GGCCGGCCTTCCATCCTCCTCCACTCTCGTCGTCTCGAGCTCATAAATAAGGCCGATGTTCGTGCATTCCCAATACACCCCTACTTGAATAAATACTGCATCTGCATGACTCGATTGGAAAAGAGGCCAACATCTGTGGATCGCCCCGGCAAGGAGGGTGGGCAGGCGGTCCACAGAGGTCGGCATCTTCGTTCCAGTTGTCAGTGTACTAGTATATAGTATAATATAGACAATATTGCATGTCCCGGTGCCACATTCTATGTGGGATATAGCCCGATGTACATCAGGAGAGGCATAATCCTGAAGTAGAGTATTTCCTTCCCTTCGGCCCCCAGAACACAGAACGACTGGTAAACTTCAAGGTTTTTTTAGTACGCGGGGCGGAGCGTAGCGGAGCCCTGCGCGAGTTTACCGTCAGATTAGCATCCAAAGTCCATCAATATAGTTTCTATTACTGATAGCTAAAGGGACCAGGGTAGGGCCCGAAAGGGCAGTTTATAAACTGATGTGAACCGCTACATATATGCCCTATTCGACATTGATTCAGCGTGATCGGTGCTCGGCAACGCTCGGAAATGAAGAGGGCAGCCAACCACTGAGCTGCGATCGTCATTTCGGAGGTTTGCCGAGCAGTGATCGCGTCGAATAAACATATCTTTTTCTCTACGGGAAGTCATCCGGTATGAGAAGAGGCGAGAAGGCTGGGAGGTAAGTAGCTTGAGGCAGTGTGAATCAAAGTGTAGACTCATACTACAATCGCTGGACTCTGAATATTATTGTCCAATCTTTTTTTTTTCTTTTTCTTTTTTGAATCAATTGCATTTATATAGCGCCGGCGCGGGCCAGGGGCGCTGTGAGTAGGTACTGGACCGGTATGCGGAGCAGGGAATTATTGTCCAATCGTCATCGCAGATGCTATGAGGGAAGAGGGAATGGTTTTTTGAACTCTGCATCCAGAACGCGCGGGCATACGAGGCGATCTTCGCAGGGTTCTTAATGCGCTTGCGAATGAGAGACCGAACGAACCAGCAAAGGAGAAAGACAAGCATTGGAGGAGTTGGCGCATAGGTCAGCGGTGTGATGTGCAACCGATGAGTCGACTTGAAAATAATAAATGGATAGAGTACGATCCTGGTTTCGCATTGAGATCTGTTGTTGGATTTGGGTGAATCCGACACTGGAGGAAATGCTCAGCCACGAGTCCAACATCAATATGTGAGATTCATTGATAGTAGATTTCATAGAGGAGCCAGGTCTGCCTTGAATGCAAGACTTGCAGATCCGTCATGCATGGTTAGCGCAAAAGTAGAAAGTATGTTTGCGTTCAATGTATCAACCATGACGGTGCCAGGTGAGACCTAGAATGCCATGAGATATCTTTGATCAGCGAACATGAAGCAGGACATAAGCAATCGAAGACGTGGCTGCAGTGAACAAGCAGAGGTGGGGCCACAGGAGAACTTTCCTCGCCACGCCACTTGAAGCTTCACGAGCATCACGAACAGATTCGGAACAAGGCCATGCACAGGGCATCGAGGGCGACGCAAGGTGATCCCCAAAGCCACTGCATTCCGAGATGGTAACGGAGAGCCACGCGGCCAGCCGATGATTGCGAAAAGCTGTGGGCGGGTACTTTTGTTGTCCCCACGTGCGAGAGTGGCCCAACTTCACGAGCAAGGCCAATATTCATCTACGTAAATGCAACAAGGAAGAGGGGATAACGGAAAGCCCTTGACGACACTGAGAACGCGCAAGACTAGGGAGTGGATGGAGTAAGTGTGGTGGATTTCTCCGGAGGTCAGTCGGTGTCCTCCTGGAGGGCCAAGGCGCCTTGCCGGGAAGGGCGGGCTGATGTGGTGCTGTACGGGATATGAGCGATATAATTCGTGTAAAAAGAGCCAGTGGTGATGGTGGTGAAGAACAAGAAGGAAAGGTGGCGTCGGAGAGGGCCGAGCGTCGGCCTGATGGGTGGACAGGGCGGACCCGGGCTCGGGAGAGGAGGGTGCGGAGGACGAGGTGGGCAAGCAAAAGAAGGGGATGACGCCCGCGGCCCTTCCCCCAACCGCTTCCCAGCGACCGCCCCTCCAGCCCCCTCTCCCACCCTCTCTCCTTCCCCCACCACCATCACCCCGTCCCCCCTCGTCGTTCCCGCCGTCCGTCGCCCACCATGCCCACCTGCAGGCGCAAGCGCGTCATGCTCACAGAGGCATCAGACGCTCTCCTCGTCGCCCTCAAGACTGACCCAGACAAGGAGGTATATTATATGGAGCAGACAGGCGAGATTTTCGACACCTATGAGTCTGTTTTTTCCTTATTTCAATCCATCCATCCATCCACACGTTCTCACATGTATCCGAACAGGGCTTTTGCTGCCAGAATGTCCTTCTACCACCTCAAACAATTCCAGTGCGAGGTCACCGGGAAGAGCGGTATGAACTATTTCCAAGCGCTCGAGAGCGAACAGCAGGAAGCGCGTACCATGCACAGTCGCTTTCCTGAACAACTCAAGCCTGCCATCCTCAGAGCCGTTCAGTGGCGTGCGTCTACCTATCCTCTCGACGTGTCACGCCCCCGCTAACGTGTTTCATCTCGTTCCAGAGGTCATGGGTCGTTTGGACCATCTCGTTGAAGCCGTGTATGACCGTTTCAAAGACCGCTATTTCCGCGATGAAAGTACGTCCGTCTTGTACCTCTCCGCCCATCTACTCACGGAAGCTAATGGTCATGCACGTATACAGAGGTCTATGTTGATGTTCAAGGAGACAAGTACGTTTCTTCCTCATTCCTTCCCCTATCCAATCTCAACACCATCCCCCTAGGTTCTTCGCCCGCGTCGTTGAAGTCTTTCCTCCCCGTCCTCCTTCACCACCCAAACCGGACACCACCCCCATCGCGTCCACCTCTTCCCAACCACCACCTTCACCACCGAAACGTCCCTCTCTACCCATCCACGACATCCGCGGCGACCTCAAGACGCCGGCCAAAGAAGTCAACGCGGCCGACGATCCTCAGAAGTACTACTACAAGGTCCAGCTGCTAGAGGAAGAGAAGAGCGAGAGTGCAAAGGACAAGATGGCTGCGTATGCGAAGGAGGCAAGGGCAAAGTGGACTGGGAGCTTGATGGAGGTTCAATGTCCCGTCATGAGGTGCGTTTCTTTCACGCTCACTTCCATCCTTGCGTGCGGTATCTTTGAATGGCGTCGTTGATGTGTATGGTTGTGTGGTGGCAGTCGCGACCGTCTAGCATTCTCGAAGAGCATCCTCCGCCGGTTTATTCGTGACTGCGTAGATCGCAGTCCAGCCGTCGCATCCCCTTGGATCGTCAAGAAAGCCGTTGCGGGTCGGTATGGTGTTGAGACGCTCATGCCCGAGTCGACGCGTCAGGGAGTCGAGGATATCAAGAAGGGAGAGATACAGAAGAGGAAGAAGGTGTGGGAGGACAAGGAAGGTCCAATAGCCAAGAAGCCAAAGAAGTTGACCCCTCTTCAAGAGGAACGAGGTAAGTCGCATTCCATTCCTCTCGTACTTAAACACCTGTACTGACATCCCCCGATGTCTGATGTTATCAGCCAAAAACGCGGCGATAGCTGCTGAGAAGAAAGAGCGCGAGGGGAAGGAGAAAGCCGAGAGGCAAGCAAAAGTGAAGGAGGAGGCGGAGCGTTTGGCTGGCGAGAAGGCTGCGCTGAAAGAAAAGGCGGCAAAGGAGAAAAAGAAACCGGTGAGGTATCCTACGGAGGACTTGGACGTCACGCTTTCGGACAAGGAGAAGAAGGCCGGGGTGAAGGTGAAGAGGCCTGTACCGAGTCGAGTGTCCTTGCCGTTCAACGAGAAGCCGGGAGTATTTGAACCCTTTTTGATGAGTTGGAATTTTTTGGCCGTTTATGGGTACGCTTTATTGCTTTGACGCTTGCCCATCACTTCCGATGGATATTAAAGGCTGTCGCTTTTTCCCCCTAGGCACCCGTTACATCTCTCAACTTTCACGCTAGACGAGTACGAACACGCTATACGACACTCCGTCGAACCGCATGCCTGCGAACTTCTCGCTGAAGTTCACTCCTCTCTCATCTACAACCTACGCACAGTTTCTTTCACGCGACACAGTGCGGTCACTTCCCTCTGGCAACTCAAGAATGACGAGGTGAATGAGAGCACGGAGATGGGTATCACGCTTGACGAACTTATCAATGCGTTGGCGGGCGTGGGAAACAATTGGGAGAGAGATCCTCTGAGGCATACTGAAGGGAGGGCGGGGTGGGAAGAGTCGCTAGTAGGATGTCTGAAAGACGTGCGTATCTCATTTCTCGTCTTATTCTAGCCAAGTGGAATTAAAATATGGACTACTTGCTGATGGGATTATATCTTCGACATTCAGCACGCCACTCTCGAGAACTTCCCCTCTCTCCGATATATTCTTACTCGACTACTCTTTAAACCAGTAGATGGCTACCCCTCGCCTTCAAGTTCGCGGCCGTCTACTCCCGAGCTTGGCTCTGTGGCGGCACCAGCCGAGACTTATTACACCCTTCCGCCAGAGGACAGGATCGCGATTCTGTCGTTCTTGTGTAATATTGCGGTTTCGAGTAAGGCGATACACGGGTATATGGAGACGTGCGAAGAGCAGTTGACCGCTCTGCGGAAAGAGAAGATCGAGGTGAATCGGTCGAAGAAGCAATTGTATGTCCTCTCCTGTTCCCCCATGCTCACCCTTATCGCACATTTGTTGAACGATATAATTATCATACAGCATCGAAGAACGCGACGCCCTAATCGCAGAGGAGAAAGGCGAAGAGCCAAAGTCGAACGGTAACGGCAGCGCCAACGGCGTCTTAACACTCGATGCTCAAGCCCCACCCCACGACGCCACCTCCGACCTCTCCGACCTCTCCGCCTCCGAGAACGGCTCGGAATTGTCTCCCTCTACATCTCTGAAACCCTCCAGATCGCAAGACAACATGAACCTGCTCCGCAAAGCTCAATCCCAAGCGCATGCCAAACAGCGCGAAGCCGCCCGGCTCCGTACCGCGTCTATCAAACAGGCCCAGGCCGAACGTCGACGGCTCGACGAAGAGGTGAATAAACTTGAGCGGAGGCTGGAAGGGATCGAGAGGGAGTTCAGGAAGTTGTTGGGTGCGATTAGGGTCAAGCCGTTAGGGAAGGATAGGTTTTTCAATAGGGTGTGGTGGTTCGATGGGATGGGGAGCGCGTCGTTGTTGGGGAGCGGAGGGACGGTGCAGTATGGGACGGGGAGGATTTTTATACAGGGGCCGAGTGTGTGGGATCAGGAGGTGTTGGATAGGAGGCCGCTTGAGGATGGGGTTATTGGGCGGAGGAGGGCGGAGGAGGGTGAGGAGGGGATGTTGGGAGATGGGGAGTGGGCCGTTTATACGGATTTGGAGGAGGTGCGTGTCCGTTGACTTGTTTGATTGACCTGGGCTGGGGGAGTTTCGGGCGAGACTGACTGACGTGTTTTTTCTTTGTCGTGATTGTCTAGGTGGACGAGTTCGCGGCTTGGCTTAATCCGAAGGGTAATCGTGAGCTGGCGTTGAAGAATGCATTGCAGAAGTGGTGGCCCCATGTGGCGCCTGGGATGCGAAAGCGCATTGCTGTACGCTTTCTTCCCTTCCATCATTCGCTCATCTCGAGTCTATAGACTGATTATTCCATTGATGTCTTTGTAGGATATGAATAATACCGCTAAACTGCCTGAAGCCCGAAGAAGCGCTCGAAAGCATACCGGACCGGATATTTCGAGGGAGCCGTATATGTTGTGGACGAATCGTAGAGCGGTCAATGCCTCATAGACGACACTGACTCCGATATCGGCCCTCCTCATCTTACATCCAACACAGTACAACAATGTCTCATCATTCGCACTCGCACTCACGTCGACATCCCTGCACGTTTGCACTCATCACCAGCGTCCTTGATCTCCGCTGTCCTATAAGTGCCATCACTTTCTTTTTCGCTTGGTTAAATCTGCCCACCTACCTCCCCATCTCCTCTCCATGGCTCGTACTTCCTCGTCCGCTTCCATTGGTTCTCAAGTCCTTGATTGCTCGCGCAAATACTGTAACCCCCTTTTTATCTTATTTCCCGGTCATCGCTCGTGAATCCGAATCATTCAACAACTGGACCATGCCTGTCTGCTCAGAATCAGGAATTGATTCTTCCGCATCTCACGATTACGATTCATTGCCGTTACTTTCGTCCCCTGTCGCTGTTAGATTGCTCGTTCATGCAATGGAATTTGTTGTGCTCTGAATTTTGGACTCGCTGGACATCGCCACCGCACTGGTTCGACACGCGTGCGCCACAGTGTCGGCGTGCATTTCCGAGTTCCTGGCGCTCCACTTGCAGTCTGACTCAAGCGTGGAACCAACGGTCTGTGATGGAGGTGTGGCTTTAGCTGAACTGCGCTGCCGGTGAATACTATAGAGGTGAACAGAACGAAAGAGCGAATGGAGACTAGATGAAGGTATACTAATGGTTGAAGAGAAATTAGGCGTGGAAGCAGGAGTCAGGGAATTGTGGCGCGCCACTTGGGGCGCTTAAAATGTGCAAATATTTACGCCAAAAGCACGGTCATCAAATCATAAACACGAATATTACCTGTCGAGTACCAGCCTAAATTATATGTTTTAGTGACAGAACCATGATGCAAACCGATACTACAGGCCCCTTTCGAAGGAGACGCCGGGTTAATAAGGTACAGTATTCCACAAGAAGGAAGAAAGAAAGTTGAAGAGAAGCAGGCAAAGCATGATCACAGTAAAGGAGAAAGATAGTAACACAAGGTACTCGCACCAGTCGTCACCGTCCCCCCGTGTTCAGAGACGGTCGCCAGTCCAGAAAGATAGTAACAATACGCAGATGCATCACTAGTGCGGTAGCAATTCTGGCAACGAAAAAACAAACGATGGAGCCCTTTCTGTCCGGGGAGATTCGTACGTATACACACCTCAGACAGAATATAAGATAGAGACCGGAATGAATAGTGTAAGTATCCGGATTAATGTGCAGGAGGCGACAGGCTGTAGAAAATTCATTGGAACGTAATAAGAGAAATACCCAGAAAACCCGGTGTCATGATTGTCGTCAATACTGGATGCCACTCGACATTCTCGACGCATGCTGGTGTTGTTGTTCGAGCGAAGGCATCTGTTCTATCCATGAATATCCTATATCATTCATAAAAAGATGTAACCAACGTCAGTTTCGATCACAAGAAAAGAGAGTGGAGGACGGGAGCGGAAGAAAAGAGGGGGTAAAGGCAGTCGGAACTGAAATGCAAAGGATGGGAAGGTAGAACTGACCTGGCATTGTCGTAGCATCTAGTTCCGTCAACGACGACTGCATCGACTGCAGGAGCTCGGGATCAAAGGGCAGAGGCTGGCGGAAGAACTCCATCTGCATCCCCAAACCGCTGGAGTCGTATGCAGATCCATGGCCACCAGTGTGATCCTGTCCCATAGCAAGCGAGTTCATGTTCTGGTACTGATTCATGTCCATCGTGTACGGGTCGAAAGTCGTTGTGCCCATGACCACGTTGCCGTATGGATTTGCCGAGGATTGCGCTTGGCTGTGCGACTGTGGCAAGGATTGCGGCACGGACTGATGCTGTGGCGGCATAGAACAAAAGTTCTGCGTGTTTGAGTGCGGCGAAGGTTGATTTGACAGCGGTGCCGGCGCCAACTGCGAGCGGTCGTGCTCAGACGTTCTCGGGCTCGTCTTGAGTTTACGCGTCGACTTTCGATGGCTGATATGTTTCGGTGAGGTGCTGCTAGCGCGCTGTTCTTTGACGTTGGCGAGAAGTCCTCCGATGAAGCGAGAGTAGAGCTTGGGCCCGTGACGTTCGTCGATAGCGACTTCGGGAGAGCCGAGGAAGTCCGCGGTGCGTTGGACTTGACTGATTATGCTTTCGCGGAGGCTGGGACCGATGTGGCGAGCATACTTGGGTTGTAGGAGCTGAAGGAGTGGTGAGGGTTAGTAGTTGCTTTGCATGAATGGAAGAGGTGATTAACGCAGTACCTTAATCTGATGAACAGAGAATATATCGATCAGTATGATAATATGGCGTTTTGCGCAAGTAGAACTCACCAAAAATGTGGCAGCGAATGTGACGAAGACGATTTGAGCCATAGGGCCATGGCGGATGTATATTCCTGGACAACGCTTAGCATCTTAGAGACCCGATCCACTTCCGAGTCTGAGGTACTCACTCTGTGAAGGTATGCCAACGTCGTCTACCATGGCGCCTATCACGTCGGATGCTGCTCGAATGCACTACAGAAAGACGATATAAATACCGTAGCCATGCATACAGTGTAGGGTATACTTACCCGGGTCAGAAAAGGGTTATCCTCAGCGTCACTCTTCCCAAACGCATGTTGGAATCCATATGAAAGGGCCACCAGCCGAGCGTAACTGTAGGCGAGCTTAAGGAGTCCAATACGGAAGCGATTCTGGACATTGTTCAGATCACTCCGTTCGAATATGGAGAACCATTGGTGACGAAGGTTTTCGAGCCTGTCGTCGGTCTCTGTAGCTAACTGCTCAAGGTCGATGTCCTGCGTACAAAGTAAAGGTTCAGCGTTCCGTGTGTTGAAGTGCCATTATGCGAACATAAATTCATACTTTGTTGAGACCTGCAGGGTGACGAGGATCACTGAACACTTGGGCCAAGAAATCGGTCATCATTCTCAACTCGGCATTGTATGCAGCTGTACAGACGAAGCCATCGTCAGGTGAGCACGACGAAAAAGTGCAATTGAGTACACGGCCGCTCACAGATATGGATATCTATTCAACACCAGAAGCGATCAGCTCTCACTTCTGACAAACAGTGAATCATAAGGTCGCGCAGGATCGACTCACCAAAATACTCCATATTGTACTCCGAGCTATTCCACCACGTCCCCGACTGTACCGCCACATAATCCGTATTCCTAATGACCGCCGCCTTCCCATACTGACTCCCCATCGACCGATCCAAATTGACGCAATTCAACCACGCCCTCGTCCGGTTCAGCATTTCCCTGGCATGCGCCTCGTTCCTCGGTTTTGCTGTGTTAGGATGATGGAGATTCATATCGAGCGCCATGCGGATCGCCTGACCGAGGTAAATCCAACACCGGTCTTCGTCCCAGCGTCGGCCGGGAACGGGATAAAGAGAAAGGAGAATGTAAGCTTGGACTACCTCGACGCGTTTTTGGCCGCCGATGAAGTTTGCGCCCGCTTCTTGGTTGGCGTATTCGATGGCGGTGGGGTAGAGATCAGGGCGTTCGTCATAATATCTTGAGGCAATAGCACAGACTGTTGGGCGATAAAGTTTAGGACAAGAACGATGATGATGGTATGAATTATTACTCACTGACGGTAAATAAGAATGGGCTTCTCCAGTAGACCTGGTAATATCAGTCAGTACGTGAGTGTAGAACGTTTGTGGGTCTATACTAACTTGCTGAGCAGTGTAGAGAACGGGATCCAAAAGTGATAAAGAAATGTTCATCCAATCAAAATATCTGCAGAAGAGTCAAGACGCAAACATAGCTCAGATGACTAAACGACGAACATATTGAACAACTTCTCCGCCTCAGCGATGGTAATGATACCTTTCTTGAGGAGAGCTGGAGGCTCATGACCATGCAAACTGAGGCCCATGAGGTCGGGACCAGGCACTACGATGATTATCTGGTAAGGGATCATAAAATTGAGCTAGATATAAGGTGTGAAGCTTACTTGGTCGGAAGAAATCTTCGTTAGCGACGCCAACGTCGCCGTGGTCCGAGCTAATAACGCTGCTAGCCCGTCTACCTTTAGTATTCTTGATACTCAACCTATAACAGCGGTCAGTCAACATCCTACGGCTCAGCCAAAGAAGAATAATCACTTGGCCATTAGTCCGAAGGGGCTCGCCTCTGTCGGTATACTCGACATCGGTCTATTCGTGTTGTCGTCGTCGTCCCTGACATTCACCGCGATGTCATATTGTCCGTCATCCTCACTCGACGAATCCTCCGGGTCAGAATGAACGAAAACATCCCTTCGCATGCTTCCCCCGCCCATCCCGATGAACCCACCGAAAGCCTCCAACTTCTTCCGTGCTTCAGCAATCCATTCTGAATTCTGACGAGTGACTTCAGGACCTTGTGTAGATAATTGGTACGCAGCAGACGCGCTAGGGGAGGTCATGCTCCTTGCTGAGGTAGATGCATTGGTAGAGTCGACGGGAGAAGTTGCCTGAGTCCGGCTGTCAGGTGAAGGTACGCTCTGAGAGGTGGTCGGTGGTTTACGGCCACCCTTTTGGACCTGTTCAAGTTGACCCATGAGCTGAGCGATCTGAGAGGCCTGCTTCTGAATTTGACTGAGCAAGTCTGCTCTTTTACTAGCAGATGGGAAAATAAGACGTCAGGCCAAATACGCAAATACGCGAAAAACAATTACTGCATCACTCACGGAGGCGGGCGCCTAATCTTCTTTCCTGGGATGGAGCACTCGTGTGGGCCTTTCAAACACCGTTCACAAGTTTCCTGATCATCTCTGAACTCACAACGGACCTATTGACCAAATTTAGCTACAAACTGCGGAGTTCGTCTATAAAAGGCGTTCCTACCTTTAGACCTTTGCACCGTGCACATGCACGCTTCAATTGCGGCGCCTCTTCAGCCTGGGCGTTCGCCTCCTCATCCGATTCTGGAGAAGCTCTCGGGCGCTTGCTGTGGTGCGATGCGGCGTTATCAGTGACGTTGCCCCTTCTTCCAGGAGAACGACTGGGGCGTCTTGTCTTCTGGGCGCCTGCCCTGTCCCTGTCTTCCTCAGGAGCAGACGTCCCGAAACTGAAATTACGGTTCGAGGAGGAGGGGGGTGAAGTGCGGGGGAGCGAGTCGGGAGAGGAGACGAATGATTGAGAGACCTCAAAAGATGATGATGTGGGAGGAGAGACATGAAGGGTTCCGGCGCGGGCGTTTACAGTGCCGGCATGTGAAGGATGTTGTACCTGTTGTGAAGCATCGTGATGTGAAGGCTGGGGGAAATATCCCGATTGGGACGGAGGTTGGACAGTAAATACTTGCGAGACGTGCGGGTCGCCGCCTTGAGGGGGATACAAAGGATAATGCTCGTTTGAGAGCAATTGCTGGCTAGGCATAAATGGTTGCGAAGACAAAGAGGGAGGGTAACTGGTAGCTCCGTGTGGCGTTCCAGCGGAAAGATCGGAATTGTTGAACTGGTGAGAGGGAAGGTCACTACTCTGGCTGGAGTAGTCGTATTCCCCATGGCTTTGCTGTGAGTGGTCCCAGGAGGGGTTGAAGGTCCAAGTTTCGGGATGGTGTGTCATACTTCTGGAGGCGACAAGAAACGATGTCAGAGGGTGGCGACTGAGCAAGTATCATGGTGCTAATAATGTGGCGTACCGAACGCAGTAGTACTCCGAGCGCGGTGTCTTTGGCAAGAAGTCTTATTTGGAAGGTGCTAGAGTGTCGGAAGTTGAGATCCAGACGCGACACGCGAATAGGCCGACCGAGTTGAGGATCTGAGAGGACGATGCTCCAGAGCGGACAAGTACTTAATCACAGAGATTTTTTCGTCCAAGATCAGAGACGTCGACGAGAGGCTGTTCGAAGAGAAGAGTGCCGTCGAGCAAGGATACTTATAGCAGATGGAAAGAGACAAGCTCAGGGATTGTCATTCGGCGGAGCACTGCATGGCTATGACTGCCGTTTGGGTGCCGTGGTAGACCTCGGCGAAAACACGGACGCAAAAGGAAAGAGGTGTCAGAAGGCCAGGCATCGCCCGTCCTATTTTGGACGGCTGCTACAAGACAATCCTCGTTTGTTCGCGTTTTTATTCCACGCACCGTACCTATCTGGCCAAGGTCAGGTTCTTCAGCGAGCGAGTGGGTGAGTTGAACAGCCCCTATTTTCTAGAAGACCGCTTTGACTCGAAAGATAACTCGCACAGCCCGCAGAAAATGTCTCCAAAGGCTATACGTATCGATGGGCGTCTACTTCAAGGTGGCCTGCCCTCCGGTGTTTGCCGCAGAAGATTCGAGATTCGAACAGAGAATCAAAGATCCCTTTGCATCTGTCACTTTCTTGCTTGTGCTCTTCCCATGATAAAATTTCTCGAAAGCTCTCGCCTTCCTTCCTTCCCGGCGCCGGACCTGGCCTTGAGAACGCATGAAATGGTGGATCTGGACGGAGCTTGACGACAGCTTGACGCAATATTCATCCGGACCATGAACAGAAAAACTTCCAGTCTAGTCTCCGCAAAAGTACATATACCCCGCACCGTCTTTCTGTTCATCCCTCAACGCAACGTCCAACTGTTCTCTTTTCTTCTCCATCTCACGACTGTTAACGACCGTTCACGACATGACTTCTCTACCGGCTGTCTTCGCTGTCGGTTCCGCTGCCAGCCAAAATAGCTTTATAGCCTCATGTGAGTAGTACCTCTAGCGCTACAGGTCAGGTCCTCCTTCGTCCATCCCCTCATCATCATCACTTTGCAGATCAGCGTGCGCAGACTAGTTTATCTAGCTCCGGTATCCCTTCAGACATCTCCGGTGCTCGGTACGCCGACGAAGACGAGGAGGCTTTGATCGGAACAAACGACGAGTATGATGAAGATGATCTACCCACGCCGCGTCCCAATATTTCTCGGAGAGATAGCTTTTCCAGTGATTCCCAATGGGACACAGAGACGGAAGCTCGCTATATTCCTGGTCCTCCATTCAAGTCGAAGCAGCCTAAGCCCGTTGGTCGAGTAGGCGTGAGGGCTCCGGAAGCAAACGAACGAACGCCTCTTCTCAGAAAGGCTGCTTCGCTGCACATCGACACCAGACCTATTCGCAGTCCCGCTGACGAGGACAAGCCTGCGGATGAGACTAGATTGGATGCTGCGCCCAGTCTTGCTCACCGGACTTCCACGCTTTCAGTGCATGCGCCGCAACCCCCGGTCCATCATGGCAAGAGCACATTCGGACAGACGGTATGTTCATCCCTTTCTGTACAATGAAATCCCGCATTTGGACTCAATTGGCGTTGTTGTAGCTCTTCAATTCAATCGCTATCCTATTGGGCATCGGCATGCTCTCAGAGCCGCTCGCGTTCGCGTATGCCGGGTGGGTTTGTGGTACCTTGCTCATCATCTCATATGGGTTTATTACTTGCTATACGTGAGTGTTTCGTCCCACCGGAGGATTCTTGAATGGCCGTGCTCAGAAACCATCACTTCGCAGTGCCAAGATACTTGCGCGCATCGTGCTCTCTGACCCACGGATCAGGTCGTATTCCGATGTCGGCCGGAAGGCGTTTGGGCCCAAATCCATGCCCTTCATCAGTGCCATGTTCTGTCTCGAGCTGTTCAGCGTCAGGTAAATTGTTCCCCGCGAGGAATGTAAGATTAAGTTGAGACTGACGTCGGGCTATAACTTTTAGCGTCATTCTCGTCACACTGTATGCAGACTCGCTGAGCGCCATCATACCCACTTTCTCCTCGGATACCTACAAGCTTTTTGGAATTATCATGTACGTGCCCTCTTGCTCTTTGCACGAGATTTTCTCACTAATGATTATATTCTCATTACAGCCTTGTACCCACCGTCTTCTTCCCTCTCTCGCTCTTATCGTACACCTCTATCCTTGGAATCATATCCACCGTTTTCTTGGTGGTTGTTATTTTCATCGATGGCTTCTCCAAGAAAGACGCCCCTGGAAGTCTCTGGAGTCCAGCTCACACCAACCTCGGTATCATGGGTGTAGGCGAGCTGGGCATGGCATTCGGGTTATTCATGGCTGGGGTAAGTTTGTCCTACAGTCAACCAGCTGTGGATATGTGCACGATACTGACAGACGTTGTTGTATGCCAACAGTTCAGCGGACATGCTGTAATCCCGTCGATTGCTCGAGATATGATGGAGCCGAGCCAGTTTGATACAGTCATGAACTATGCTTTCGTGAGTCGCCTCCTCCAAAACTTAGCGCCTGCATCATGCTCATAGTCATCCATCCAGGCTGTCGCGACGTGCATTTATGCTGTCATCGGCATGGCGGGCTACCTGATGTTCGGGAACGACGTCTACGACGAAGTGAGTACATATGTTTCTAGCCAGACTCTGACAGTTTGGTAATGACACGTCTTGTGTCCATAGGTCAGCCAGAACTTACTCGGTGTTCCCGGGTACAGCCCGACTCTGAACACGATCGCACTCTGGATGCTAGTCGTAGCGCCGCTCTCAAAATTCGCCCTTGCCGCTCGACCTGTACGTCAATCTCTCCATTTCATCTATACCGCATTGTACTGATTACCGTCTTCCAGCTGAATGTCACCCTCGAAATCCTCCTTGGCCTCGATACCATTTCTTCTCCCGACCCACACGGCCCCTCCGATCCCCACACCACCACCACCACAAAATCCTCTCAGATCGACACCCCCGCCACAACCCACCACCAAACCAACGCCACTCTCAAACACGCCTTCCTCATCCTCGAACGTACCGCCTTCGTCCTCCTCGCCGTCGGCGTCTCCATCCTCGTTCCCGAATTCAGCTCCATGATGGCCATCCTCGGTTCGTTCGCCGCTTTTATATTGGGGGTTATCGGACCTGTGTCGGCGAAGGTGGCGTTGGAAGGGAGGTGTGGATGGGTCGATAGGGGGTTGTTGGTGATGGGTGTGGTTATGGCGGTTTGGGGGACGGCGGCGGCGTTTTGGAGCACGACGGAACCGGTTTGAAGGGCCAGCGTCGTGTTCTCGAGAAACAAAACAGTGAGTCTAGTTTGCTTACTGCCGTGCTGCTGTCGTTCGTTGCCACAGGCGTGGAACGAAATGGAGAAGTCACCCTAAAAGAGAGCCCTGGTCTCTCATCTGCATCTTTCCTCTCTTCCTTTTGTTCGTCTCTCCCTGTCTCTGTTCTCTTTTATGTGCCGTTTCCGCATATATTCCCATCCACTCATCCACTCGTCGTCAAGTTGCATGGATATCTGGAGCTGTATTACAAGTCTCTTATCGATTCAATGCTTTGTATTTGCTCGTTCATTCTCGTTGTCCTTTTCATGTTTCTCTCGGTCGTTGTCTTATCCTGTATGTCATGCCATTCTTGCTCTCCGAATATACCACGCACTCTTTTGACAACTTCTACTTACGCGTTCTTCGGCTGTGATATCTGTATGTAGTAGCGATACGTCTTCGTCGCTGGTCTACGTGGCGAGGGTGAGCTATACTAGTCGTGTTCAATGGTGAATTAGCGGTCAAGCGACTCACAAGGTGCGCTTCATCCTGAAGTTTACTGTCCTCTTACTATTTGACCCGAGGCACAGATTTGGTGAGCTACAAACAGTTCATATGTACAGTATGTATTCTCTCACATAACCTTCGATCTCGTCTTATATAGCTAGTAGTCAAGCTTCCGAGTCGCTGTCCCCAGGTAGAATATGAATCCACAGCACCGACCAGAAACCGATGTCTAAAACTCTCCTGGCGACATCATCCTGTACCGTATCAGATCGACCCGCATCCATGATTTCCTTCCATGTATCTAATTCAGCAACATCAACTCCTTCCAAACCCTCCATAGACCTCTCTGTCTGAAGCTGCAATTGCGTGGCATATCCGGCCTGCTTCAATACCAAAACTGCCATGCATTGTTTAGTCAGTATGGTGTCCTCATGGTCCTCTCCGAGGAATTTCCTTCGCGAGGCCAGCACTTCTGTGTAAATCTCCTTTGCCTCCTCATTCCGCCCTTGTCGATGAAGCACGAACGCGAGGCCATGCTCGGTGCACAGAGCGCTTGGATGTCCCTCTTCGTACACCTCTCTTCGTGCTGCCAAAACCTTTCTCAAGATCCCTTCCGCCTCTGTCAACTTCTTCCCTGCATCTTCCTCCGATTTCTTTTTCGCTTCTATCAAAGGAATCTCCTCTGCTCGCAAATTGTCCGCCCATCGAGCGAGTATGATTGCGGGATCGTGATAGGTGCGCAAGGTGTCTCGATGCTCTTCTCCGAGCACTGTACATCGCGCTGCCCACAGCTCTCTACATGCGGACTCCGCTGCCTCTGTCTTGCCCTGGGCAAGGAGGGCCAGTGCCACGTAGTGTCTGAGATGCAATGTTCCGGGATGAGCATCTCCGCGAACTTCCGACCGATGTTTGAGGACTTCTCGGTATACGAACTCTGCATCATACCACTGACCGCGATGTCGATATAACATCGCCAGCCAGTTCGCAGCTCGCAGCGTGTCCAAATGCTCGCTTCCCAGTATCACTTTTCGTGCCTTCCACACCTGCTTGAACAACCGTTCCGCTTCTCGGTACCTGTGCTGTTGCAGAACAGCGCGCGCCAGGTTGTACTTCACTTCCAACGAGAACGGGTAAGGCCCAAAGATTGGTTTGTCCGAAGCAAGTACTTCGCGAAACAATGCCTCCGCTTTCTGGCTCTGCTGCAGTTGCAACAAGAGCTTAGCAGTTTTAAAAATATGCAGTTTTTGCGCTTCTCTGACTGGAAGCACCCTAGCCCGTCGTGCTGTCAGGATAAGAGTTCGGATGGGGTTGTTCGACGAGTTCCTTGGGTCCAAACGGACATAATCGCCTGGAAGAGAAAATGTATCGTGGCCATCACCAGTACTCGGTGAGATGGATTGGCTGTCGAATATGGAGGGTTGAAATCGTCCTGTTCCAACATACACGAAAGGTCAGTTTCGTAGTAGGTGTGGAGAAAATTGCGACTAGTAGCACACACGCAGTCTTGCCGTAGAGATTTTCCCCAGCTGGCGCGTGCCCACGACTTTGACCGCGTCTGCGAATTTCTCGGTGACCGGTTCTGAGAGGAGGTATCGGACTGTGGACGAATGTATCGTGTCGACTTGATCCCAGTCGAAGCGGTCAATGGCTTGCATGCCCTGTGATACAGAAAAGCGAAAGTAGACGTCGGGAGCCTCTCGGAAACGCAGCTCTGCTTCGTTCGCAGTGCTCTCACAGTCCAGAGTGATCTCCAACAGAGCATTTTTGAGATCTGCGGAGAGGAAGGAAACGGGGTGCGACTGTCCCGCTCCAAGGCTGACAATGCAGTTGACATGACGTTCTGGCCAATTCCTGTACGCTTCTTCGAAGAGTATGTCAAGGGGATTGTTGCATCCTAGTCCACCATCGATATGTGGCTCCATGAGACCTGGCGGCCCTATTTTGATCGGCTTGAAAAGCGCAGGGAAAGCAGACGTCGCGCGAGCGGCCTGCCAGATCGTGCAGTCGTAGCTTTCGTTTGCACCTGTACCGTCTATGTAAGTGCGAAAGAGGCGAGGGACGTCCCTCGCCACATGATGAGCGGACATGGAGCAAACAAATCTAGTGAAGAGTTCCAAGTGAGAATACTCTAAAACCTATTGTTGTAGAGATTGCATGAGAGGGGCTTACACTTTGCAGTTCGACCGTATCATCATTCTAGTCTCGCTACTACCCGTCTTCGCTCGAACAATCTCCTTTAACGCCTCCTCCAGCTTTGATGTCTTGTACTGTTGTGCGCTGATCCATCGCGTGTCCGACAAGACTTGCTCGCAGAGAGACGTACATGCAACTATAGCCTCATCTACAGACATTCGGAGGCGTCCAAGTAGGAGAGCAATAATTCTGAGTTCATTGGGATAGTCAGCTAGTAGAACGAGGATTTACAAGACATTCGTGACGCACCCTCCGGTATTTGAACCTGCCATCATATCAAACCACTCGCAGGGGCGAGGTACGGTTTCAAGGTTGTTCAAGGCCTTCACTCGTTCCATCATTTCTTGCAAAATGAACAGCTCTGATATTCCTCGGATTCCCCAGCCATCTGATTGCGATTAACAGAGGCTGCATTATACAACATGTGGAACGTTGATATTGAAGTGAGCGAGACGTACCGAGCGAAAGTAATCGCAATCCGCGAGGGGAAGGCATAGGGAATAAGCAAGCAGAGCAAATCAAGCGAGGGTGGTCTGAGGGTGAGGATACGTGCGCTTAATTTAGCGTCAACTGAACCAACTCGGATGGCACTGGCATCCCGGCCTGGGACACGGCCTTCTTCAATTGGGTGGAGTCGTCTGGAGAAGCCTGGCAAAGAGACAGGCCCTTTGCACCAGTTGTGCGGCCACAAATTGAACAGTTATTAGGGCTACAGTATTGGTGTATTCGGTATGTCGAAATACCCATACTAAGACGCTCTCGGGTTCCGGTCGTGGCGAGTACTTCTCAGCTGTGTGGCCCAAGTTCAACGGAGAGGTCACTTCGGCTTAACCCGGGTTGCCGTCCCACGATTGTACCCCTAACCCATGCTCTCCATCGACACTCCTCACTGTGTGGCCCCATCTCGAGCAACTCTCACCTCGACTACGACGTACACTTCTCATGCATCGAGCATCTAGATCAGAGCAGTCTTCTTCTCTTTCATAGTCGTAGACTATGTGGTTCTTTCGCGCCAAGACCCTTGAAGGCTTCGCCTACCTCACCGTCTGGCTCGTCTTCATCTTTCTCATAGCTATTTCCTGTGTGGCCCTCCTCGCCGAAGCGGTCAGGTCATCTCCCACTCGCTCATGGAAGCACAACTACAACGTCTTCGTTCTCGGAGGAGCATACTTTATCGTCGTATGTTCAATCTTTTCCTCCTAAATGATTGTGTGTCGAAGACTATGCGCAAATGCTGAGGGAGTGAACATCAATTTTTTGGTAGATTGTGATGTCGATTGCGCTATGTCTGAAACGACGTATTTCAATGTTCAGAAGGATGCAGAGGATCTCGAAGGGCCATATGGCTATTGGGAAGCACGACATACCTGCCGTGAGCTCACTGCAGCACGATGCCTGAATCGGGTGCCTCTGACATATCTGTTACCTGTCACCAGCCCGTCCACGAACTTATTCTGCAACAATATGCTCGCACGGCGCTCATTGCATATAAGGCGATACCTACAGACGTTCAGCATGAAGGCTGGGGACACCCAAGTGCGCTCAATATCTCTCCTACAGGATACTCTTACATACTGACAAGACTGATCTAGACTCTAAGTATCCGGAGGTACATTATCGACGCGCACTCTTAGACTCGGTCCGAGAACTTGGTATACTTACTCATTCCATTCAGCACTTCTCTCTCTAATGTGCTCGATATATGACAGACTCTCTCGCTCGTCTGCTCATTCCCAGTCAACCTCGGATGCGTCCTCGTGACCGAATACTCCATCATTTTCGCTTCATTGCACCTCTCCTTCCGAAGGACCAAGACGGACTCTCTCCGCTGCAATACTATGACTCTGCCATTCAACTGGCTAGGAATGCGGAAAGGGAACCTACTGAGAGGGAATATGAAATTGGAATTAGTGCGGCCAGGCAGATCAAGACTATGTCGGTGCTTTCGCATTCATCTCTTCTCACTGGATCCTGATAGTCATCGCTAGACTGGATGAGGTTACGCAGGAGATGATGGAGGGGTCTAACATCGACCTGACTCTAAATGGTTATAGTTGACCCTTCCGACGTTCAAGTTTTATTTAGTATACCCTAATCGCCCTGGTCCGTTGGATTTCATGCATTTTCTCACCCTTCGAGCCCTCTATGCATCTTCACTGCATCCGGACGCCATGTATCTTTATTATCATCTATTCAATCATATCCTAGCATTCGATCATACCAATTTCTCCAACGCTTATCTTTCCACCGATACTTTAGTGAAGGCCGTCTTCATACACCTTCTTCCAACTCTCTCTACTTACCCAAGCCTTCCAATAAGCGCTAACCCTCCTGTCCACTGGCTTACCTACTAAATTCTTTCCCAAGACCTCCATCGCATCCTCACCGCCCTTCGCACCTTGAGCAAACGAAATCCTTGCCAACCACGCACCCAAATGATAGTCATCCACACCCGGCCTCTCCCCTCCTATGAAATTCCCTTCTTCGACTTTCTTGTCCTCGAGAAGCGCCGGCAACGTCGTGGAAAGGAATGCGGCGATGTTGTCCCAGAGAGCGGTCGACCTTGCGAAGAAGCCGGATTTGGCGGTCTCGGGGACTTGGTTGTTCAGGAGAGCGACGAGGCCGCCTACCTGGGCGATTTTGCGCTCGTAGAAAGAGGAGTAGGGTGCAGCACCGGGACTCTCGGAGTGCTTTTTGAGGTATCCGAGGCCTAGAGACCCGGAGTCACATGTGATTAAGTGGTTAGCAGGTGTAAGTGGGAGAGGGCCAGGAGAGAACTGACGGGCTTTGATAGAAGCACCAGGCAGGCCGTTCGCCTTTGCTTGGAGTTCCTCTTCATTGCGCTAATTCCACGGTACACGTCAGTCTTTTAGCCCGGGTTCCTCTAAAGATCTTGTTGGCTAGGGACGTACAGAAGCTACGAACGCGAAATTCGGATCCAGCGCATCTTCATGCAGTTTATCCACTAGCGAAGACCCGGGTGCGACCTTGACAGACGAGTGCTCGACCATCCATTCGATGGACGACTTTGTGCTGTCGTAAACTTTACCATCGGCGGCGAGGGCAGGGATCGTTGCGTTGGGAGCCTTTCCCATACCGAGTCATAAGTACCACCATCGGCAAAGTGGAAATATCAGCTTTCTGACGCAGCGGACCGGTCGAACGGGGGTGAAGAGAACGGGGGTAATCTTGTAGAGAAAGATGGGTGCGATTGATGGTGCGGAGTATGTGAGTGTGTACGGCGTGCTCACAATTTTGATATATTCAGGATCGAAATTCTCGCCTGCGCGGAGATCGATGACTTTTCGGTCGACCTTACCCGCCATGTCGAGCTCATCGCTGTTCGCATACGCAGACATCAGCGAAATCGAGCGGATAATCTGCGCCGAGGGATGGAAGATGTGCTCACTAAGCGAGTTCGGCGGCAGCAGACCAGACTGACTTGTGGAACTCGTAGAGGATGGGCTGCATGGCGGGCGATTGTAAAGACCGAATATGGTGGACGTTGTGGATGTCAACGTTAGAACCGGAAAAATAGACTGGGCGGGCTTACCTTCGACATGTTATGAGTACACCTGCGGAAGACGTTATGCTGTGGAGGGGCAAAATCGGAGGGATTGTCGACGTTCAACAGGACGTCAATGCGTCATCATTATATACTGTCCGGACACACTGAATAATCTGTGAGCTAAGATGGCATCTAACTCCCGATTCCGAAGGCGAACTGAATTCCAACCACCGTGCAAGTGGGTATTAGTTCACACGGACGACGGAGATACACAACAGAGCAGCATAAGACTGTCACTTTGCCGGCCCCTGAGTGCCTTTCACATGCCCGACGTGAGGAGTCCCACCCACATTCATGAGGCCCCGTCAATGGATCGAATGGGCACAATATTGTTCTGACAATGGACAATGAGCGTATGTGTACTTCCTGAGGATAAACAAATGTGGATGAACTCGAAAAGGAGAACAGAACGTCGCAGATGGTAGTATCTGTCGGAGTGTCCTTTGAGTTGACACGATCATCGATCGACGCCGATTGTACAAACTCGCCACCCAGTCGGGTACGGCAGGTGCCATTGTGGCCCAATCAAACCTTAGGTTGAGGATCTTCAACTTGCTTGAGCACCGCTATGTAAAACACCAGTATATAAATAAAGCATGAGACTCACAACAAACACCTAACCGAATCTATGTATTTTTTACTCCGTAACAACTCAGCCAAACGGCGTGGAATCCGGAGCATTGAAGTCGGCCCTACTAGTACTAGTAGTATGGAGGAACGACCCTAGTCCATCCCTCAGTTCCTCCAGTTTCCGCTCTATCCTTGACTAGAACTGTTCGCGCACGGGGACGCTTTCAGTTTTGATCAAGACACTGGACCTCCGAGTATTTAAGCCAGGGCCGGTTGGGTGGGGTTTAGTCCAATGAGGGTATCACATCGAAGTCCGAATACTGTGTCATGGACATCCAGATATCTCGCCATGAATAATCTCCATCCTCGTCTATTCTCAAGGGCCAATAGTCCACCGTGACGAACAAGATGAATATATCACGGCCTACTACGGTCGTCAAGTCCAGTTTGTTTCGATGTGGAAAGTTCGTGCGCAGGTGTCGGTTCAGGCATGGAACAAGTCGGGACGGCCGAGAGGATGAGAAAGAACGAGAACGAGGACTAGAGAGGACCAGAACTGCGTGCGTTACGTTGAGAGTTATGGTCGTAGGCTCGTAGCCGAACGAAGAGGCGCGCTAGTTCCTGATGCGATCGTTGGGGTCGGAAACTGTACTGTGGGGAAGAGGAGTAATTTGGGGAAGGAGACCTGGAGATAGAGATGACAAGCGGGACAACTTATAGGATCACAAAAAAGACTTTGACTTTGAGCCGGAAATGATAAGAATATCAATCGCGAGCGAGGTTGATGGCCTGCCGTGCATATTCGAGTGCTCATGATGAATAGATCGTTCTACATACATTCTATGTGCAAGGTGCAATGTGCGATGTGCAATGTAGTATGTGAAAGCAAGCAAAGCATCCAGTCATTCTCCATAAACCCATAAAATGAGATGTTGCAAAGCGTCGCCCGTGCGCCATTCCGCCGAAAGGGGGATACGTCGTCTAGAAGAGGAAGACCTGTGCATGCGACGTGATTATCAGTTACATGCGATTAGGAGATATGATATGCTGGTGCGGGATGGGATGCGGCGAGGGCGTGATGCGTGTACGTACCTGGTCGACGAGTTTGCTGACGGTGCGCGGTGCGGGGTACTTGAGCTCGTCGAGGTATTTCCTAAGAAGTATGATGCGTCAGGTTACGTCCTGTAATGCGGCGCTTGCAGAATGGATAATGAAGGAAGGCTCACTTCATGGCATTCATCATAGGTGGAGGACCTGTTTCACAATGGGGATAGAAATGAGCGCCATGACCATCGCGTTCTGACAGCAGCATGGAGTGAGTGACTCGAATTTTACGCACCACAAAGCAGAATCTTGATATTCGAATCCGTAGGCGGCAACTTCGCCTCAATCTGCTGCTTGCTAACGAACCCAACCCCGCCCGTCCATCCCTCCGGCGGGTTGTTCAGCACGTAATACACCGTGAACCTCTTCGGGTACTTCTCGGCCAGCTCATCCAACTCTTTCTTCAGGAGGATGTCCTCATAGTTAACGTTCGCGTAGATGAGGCTCAGTTTCGTGAAGTCGAGTGGGTTTTTGAGCGCGGCGCGGATGATCTGGAGCATGGGTGTGATCCCGGTACCGCCGGCGATCATGCCGAGTTCGCGAGAGAGGGAGGGGTGGTAGGTGAATTGGCCTTTGGGGCCTTTGACGCGGACTTTGTCGCCGATTTTGAGGAGGGAGACGTAGCGAGAGATGTTACCCTTTTCGTATGCCTATAAATGCGAACAGAGAATATTGAGACGCAGTTCGAACATGGTAGAAAGTCCAGGGACGTACCTTGATGAGAAGGTCGAAATGGCCGCGGTCATCGTCGCTGCTGGTGGGCGTGTAGCTACGCATGATATCCTTGCCATTGATTTCAGCAGAGACGGATATGTGTTGGCCGATGGGGAGACCAAGGATGTCATTAGGGTTGGGGAGAGCAAACCGGTAGCTAATACATGAAGTTGTGACGCGTCAATCAGCATGGGCGTACACCTGCGTGCATAGATAGAAACGAACGTACATTGCAGTATTTGGAGAAAGCTCAATCTTCTCCGTCAGAGGGAACTCTTTCCATTCCTTCGGATCGAGGACGGGCTTCTTCGCTGTGCGAGGACGCGCGTGGTGAGCGAACGGGTCGCGTTGAGATCCTCGCGTGACGAGCAGTAATGGGACTCACGAGTGCGCCCGAATTTGAAGAAAAAGAAGGCGCCGCTCGCGAGAGCAAGTGCGATAGCAACCAACTGCGTGAGTTGGTTGTTTTGGATGTCGAGGAGGTTCGATGACATGGTGTCGTTGGCGGACCGGGAGCTATCGGAGGCGTTGAGACCGAGGAGGATGAGGCTTGATACGTCGTAGCCTGCTTCACGAAGCTTGTTGCCGATAAACCAGTGTGCACCGAAGAGGACGACAGAGAAGGAGAGGAAGGAGCCGACGAAGAGGAGTTGGGGAGTGTTTGGCATCGTTTTAACCCCAGGTCGAACGATATTTGTAGCGGGCTGCTTTGCTAAATGTTAGCGGGCGTTCGCCGCGCGTAACTTGCCGGATCGTTCGGAAGAGCGTCTGGAAGGAGACGTTCAAGTCGATAGGGTAAGCTTACGAGCGCGTTCGTTTACGAAGACGAACAATCTATCCACGACAAACAGCGATGTGCTGTGAAAGACAACTCTCTCGTTGCATTCGGAGCAGAGAGGCAGGTGCCACACCGCACTAACGCCACCGTAACAGCGGCAACGAGCGCCGGCGTCCTCTATGCAACGCCGGCGGTCGGCCCGGGAGGTTGACCGTCGATGGTTGGTACTCCGCTAGGGAAAGGCCTCAGCTTGACACCGAACGACCAAGTGCGCCTGCTCCCGCTGCCAGCGTCCCCGCCTGGTCCCCCTTCCCCGCCCCAGCTCACGGCCAAGTCCCCTTCGTTCTCCAGGGCATCCCGTGCTGCTCATTACCCCGGCCTTGCACTCCCTTTGCATCGGCCTTATTCTCTTGCTTTTTTCCTCCTTTTATTATTATTATTCCACGCAGCGCGTGTCTCCCAAAGCTCCCCATGCAAGGCCGCTTACAACCCCCTCCACGTCCAGCAAAGGCTGCATCGGCAATTCGCAAGAAGGGACCGCCAGCAGGTCTGCACATAGAGACCCCCGGCATTCATGGCAATGGTCTCCTCGCACCTCCAACCGCCGACAGCTCTGCGTCCTCTGCAGCTGTCTCTCCTGCAACCTCAGAGTCGGGTTTTTCCTTTCCGCCACCTCCCAAAGGTCGAGTTCGTAACATGAAGAGTCTGTCTCTCATGCTTCCCTCCGCTCAGTCTTCGACTAGCTCCCTTGCAATTCCTCCAGCGGAAGAACCGCCGACCAGCGCTGTTCCACCACCCTCTGCAGGCCGAAGGCGCACATCTGTCTCCTCGTTGCCGGTACCCACTGCCCCAGCCTTGTTGCGTGGCGAAGAGGACGGTTCTCCCTCCGCACCCTATGTCGATGGCCCGATCGAGATTCTTCCTCGCATCTACCTCGGTGCGGCTCACAATGCCACTGACTGGGCCATGCTCCGCCAGAAGGGCATCAGGAGCATCCTCAACGTTGCACGAGAGGTAGCCTCTCCTCTCGATAGTGTCAACACACAGCAGCACCGCGGCTTCGCCTCGATGTCCGACCTTCACGTTCAGCAGGATGACTTTTACCCGGCGCACAAACTCAGCGGCCGTCCAGCCCTGTACTATCTCAAACTCCAATGGTCTCACGGTCAGTCCGACCTTGTAAAAAATGGATTCGCCACAGCCATGGCGTTTGTCGACCGTGCGCACGAGCGTGGAGATGGCGTTTTGATCCAGTGGGTTCCTTCACACCGGCCGGCTATCATTTTCTCTTTTCCTGACCCTGCTTTTCCCGCGTTTTCGTCCAGTTGCCAACTAGGTATCTCGCGGTCAGCGACTCTCGTTATCGGACTTGTCATGCGAGCCGCTGCGACGAAATCAGCTTCCGTGCCCCCTGAGATTTGGGCGCTGAAGGGGATGCAGGGTGCTTATACCTACGTGAAGGAGAAAAGTCCATGGGTTGGACCAAACATGTCGTGAGTATTGCAATCAGCCCCTGGCGTTGCCATCACGTGCTCACCGGCCTCTCTGGATTTTCTAGACTCATTTATCAACTCCTTGACTACGAACGCAATTTGACCGGAGGATCTTCCTCTCCAGCTGGTTCGAATCATTCTCGGACGTCCAGCGATGCGGCTGATGAGGAATGGGGCCGCCGTCGTGCCATGCTCGATGAGGCTTCGGAGCCGGAGGATGAGGATCGTGAGAATCCAGAAATCGCACGCGAAGCTCGGGCCTTGGATAAAGCGATGGAGGATCGTGTCGTCGCTCGCAAAGCGTCTAGCTCATCGATCGGTTCAGGCATTGGGATGGGTGCCGCATGGAAAAATCGTTACGGTTCATCGCGTAAGCGAGCAGGATCTGTTGCGAGCAACGGGACTTCAAATAGCATGCTCAGCGAGGATCTGGTCGAGGAGGACGAGGAACAGGAATTGCTTGGGACTGGAGGCGGGTTCGATGCCACGAGTATCGACAATACTTCGCCGGATGTCCTGGAAGGAGCTCACTCGAGTGATGACGATCATTACGCTAGTCAAGCTACGCCCATGGCGTCCCGCCTGCAACGTCCTCAGATCGTCGTGCTACCGTCCGCTCCTGCTTCGAAGCCGTCATTCACGCTACCACCAGTTCCTTCAGGCATACGCAAGAGGGCACAAGGGATGATCGCTCCTTCGGCACCAGCTACCAAGTCCACTTTCTCGCTCCCGCCTATGCCTAAAACTGCAGCTAAGTCCTCGTTCGACCTGCCCCCGGTACCGAAAACGGCAGCGAAGTCCTCGTTCGACCTTCCTCCGATACCCAAAACAGCATCAAAGCCTTCGTTCGATCTCCCACCAGTTCCGAAGATGGCATCAAAGTCGTCGTTTGACCTCCCGCCTCTCAATACCAGTGCCGTTGGTGCAGCAGCTAAGAGGCGTCGGCCGCCACCATTAGGAATACTTCCTCCCGTTCCTCACTCGCCCATCGCGACCGTCGAATCGACGCCGTCAACATCGGTATCGTCCGCTCGTTCTATCCTCCTAGCGCAACCTCAACATTCGCAACCTCAGCTACCGCCACGCGCACGAACCGTTTCCCGGAGACCCATACCCCCACCTTTGCAGATCATGTCCCAATCCAACTCCTCCCAAAAATCACTGCTGCTCTCGGCGGCCTCGACGTCGTCAAGTCGGAGTCACGGTAGTAGTAGCCGAAATTCCCGTAGCTCGAATGGCTCACGCAGTTCACACCAGCACCCACTCTTCACGCCATCCTCCCAGACGCTCTTTGTGTTCCCGCCCTCGCCTACGCAGCCTTCCGCGTCGTATATCTCGGGCTCAGCAACACCGTCGGCTATGACCTTGACGTCCAATCCTATGCCTATACCGTTTCCGACGATCTCGACGCCGAGGTTATCGAGTTTGAGGGGCCAGCAAGGAAGCAGTGGGAAGTCAAGAGGATTCTTTGGGATAACGACAGCGCCAGTGACTCCGACCACAGCGCATTCGAGAGTCGATGCGCGGGGATGGTTTGGCATGAAATGAAGCACTACGATCATAATGCTTTACGCTTCATGACCAGACCGCCTCACTCATTTTCGCGTTTTCGTCTTCATTGGTGGATGTACATCTAGTTCGCACGGTACGATCTGACGAGACATTTGACATGCCGGACAGTTTTCTTCGCATTTTGATTTATTTTCTCTGTCGTCACGCGCTTCACTCACTCGCACGTTGGACCTCATCCGCACTTCATTGCACTTGGCTCATCTTTTTTTGGCTTCCAAGCCTCGTTCTCCGTTTCTCGTCTCTTCGCTCGCCACATTGCATTGTTGTACAACTCATCCTTCACGCACACGCAATCTCGCTTTCGCACCTCACCTCATCGGACTCGACATTTTTCCTTGCAGCCGTGCAACCTCACATCCCCTCACTCATCGATATTCATCTGTCATCCTCAATTCATCCCCCTTCCGTCTCACCCTTCTCCTCCCCGCTGTCCGACTTGCACTGCTGCATTTTCTCTCCATTTCCGTTTTTTCTCCGTCCTCGCAAGCGTGTTCGTTTCATCGTTTGGCCCGAGTTTTGTTCAGTGTGTATCATTTTTTACTTCTTTTCTTTGTCCATCTATCTTCATCTTCATCCTCAACTGATTTTATTTCTGCCTTCCGCCCCATCATCTCTCAGTCCGTCTGTCCATCTGTCCGTGCAACCATCTATTTACAGCGGCCGGTTCCGCTTCATCATCTTCATCCACCTACACACCTTCCGAGCGCCGCATCGTATCCTTCAATCGGCGTTCGAAAGTCGACTTCATTCCTGGTTCACTGGGATGTTCGACCTTGTGCTAACGCCCATGCTCAACGCGTCGCGCTCTTAGCCTTTCAATCTCGCCTTTGTCTTGTTTTCCCCTTTTGCTGTATGCATACCTATGGATATGGATATATATGTACCTATACATTTATGTCGATCATCGCTGACATCGAGGCATCGAGGAGAGTGTTTCTTCATCTCGAGACGATTCGGACTTAGTACATATTGCCCGTGGTTCCGTAGCTTACAGTAAGCTTACAATAAGGTAAGGAATGAGGGAAGAAGGCAGCAGAGGCTTAGCGTAGCGTAGTGTGGTAATTTGTGGTGGCTCGTAGTTCAAAGGAAATATATAACAGCATGGATAGAAGGAAAGGTATACTACATTGATGTTTATTGCCCTCGTTTTTGTACGGACTTGAACGTTGAAGAGGATGGATCTAGACGAAGTGCGGACAAGTTATCCATCGGAATACTTTTGAAGCAAGGTGAAGACGAGGCGTCGTTGTTTGAGAACTCGTCACTGGCGGTAATTCCTTGCGCACCGGCCGAGAGACGTGACAAACCCGCAGGACGCCAGTTGGCCGGGAGGACCCAAGATACTGCATAGAAACGAATAGCAAGCACAGGCTAGAATAATTATGGACTGGTCGTCCTAAAGTCCAGTGAATCATCCAAATACCCTCCCAACACTGTTTTTGATCGCCCCAGTAAGTATCTGCCCTCCAAAGCCTCCCATGCCCATGCTCCAGCCCCCGGCATTGGCAGCCCAGCGTTGTCTTGCGTCGCGATCGCTAGAGTAGGGATGAACAGGTGGGTACGGGTGAAAGTAGGGGAGAAGGGCAAAGATACGTACGCGTACGTGAATCCAACGACGTTCGTCATGTTGAAGACAAGAGCGAGGATAACGATGGGGACAAAACTGATGGCGTGATGGTGGGTTAGTGTGGCACTTACACGGGAACCAAAGGTTGGACGTACGAGAGATTGAACTTAAGAAAAGAGACTATAAGGAGTACGATCCAAAGAGCGGGGAAGGTGTAAAGCGCAATCTGGGGGATAAAATGAGTCAAAGGAGACATGGGATTGAGGGGGGCGGTTCAACATGCCCAGAACATCCTGTGTGACATGCATGGATATATTTTAGTATGGCCAAGTCGAAAGACGGTGGGTGAGATATCTGACCTTGAGTCAATTGGGTTGGCTGGTCGGGATGGCTATTGAAGTGCTAGAAGTTAGTAATGTTGGAAAGGGGCTGTGGTGGATGAACGAAACGTACGTCTCGGCTTTCGAACACCCAGTAACTCTCACCATCGTCGTCCACCTGGTTCCAAAATCGCAAGCCTACCAATGTCCGGCCTGAAACGTTCTGTAAAAGTATATAAACAGCAAGGCAGGTGACGAATTAAAGCAGAGACGTACACGGCAGTTCCAAAAGTCCATCGCCAATAGGACAACAACTACGACCGTCTAGACCAGAGACAGTGCGTTGGTACGTGGGTAGCGGACGAAATGGCCAGAGAGCACAATAAACTGACAGATATGACATAGTTGCTTGTGAAGAACCCGCAGAGGATATATGTTGTGATCGCGGCTATTCGAAAGAGGAATAGGAAGAACAGAGGGATTGGATGCGCGGACTGTAATGATGTTAGCGCTCGAAGCAGAAAAGCCCGAGTAGTGGCATACCTGTCTGAAGATGCCCGCAATTCCTTCAAGTATTCAGAGCTCATAAGAACAAGTATTTGCCTCATGGACACATCGTCATACCTAACTCTGCATCTCCTTGGTTGGTGGCCATTGCTCCCTGAGTGGCCCGGTTCGTAGGCGTGAGCGTGACTGGTTCAGCACGTCGTGTATTGCTCGCATTTGAATTGATATTTCCTGAGACTGGCTGTGATGAAGCAATAGGCTCGTCGGGCTCGATTGTTTGCAAGAGAGGTGTGGCGACGCTCATGGTGGTAGGGGGTATAGAGGGGTACCTTACCGGTAGCGTGTCGTGTTGGCATTCGATGAAGCGCCACACACAACAGCGACAAACAGACACCCCTGTTCTTGACTCTCATCCCTTCTCGCCTGGTTTCACTCTGATGACGGACATGGCGTCTGCTAGTGACCAGGCAGAACTTCTGCTAGACGAGTCTACTGCTCTTCTCGCTAGTCGTTCAACACCAAGTACAACGCCACAATTTGGTGTCCAACCTCCAGCGATCAATCCACTTGCGAAACAAATTCAACGACAAGGTACTCTTACACTGGATGGAGTCATGTCATCTCCTTCGTTATCTTCTCCGGCCGAGAAAACTGCCTACAAACTGCTCGTTTGCCTTCGTCTATTGGCAATATACCAAACATTGCGCTCGGCGAAACCGGATGTCTATATACAATGGGAGGAGGACGAAGAGAGAGACAAGTCAATTCGAGACCTCGAAACGCGAATATACCTGGCTTGGAAAGAGTTCATCGAAGAGGGGAGGGTGGGGGACGATATACATGCTTGTCTATGGACGGCATTTCCACTAGAGGATGGAGAAGCTCCTCGTGCAAGGGGTATGTGCATAACCTACATAAGGTCAACAGACTTTGTTTTTGAGTCTCACAAAAAACCATATCACAGTGGTGGATTTCCTTGCTCTGGCAGATTCTCCACCAAGTCTGCTGTCTCATTCACTCGTGTCTCTGAGTTTTTCCCACTCTTGGAAATTTGGCCGACACGGACCCCTGGCGAACACTCTGCTAGGCCGTCTTGCACAACAATATGACGAGCTTGCGACACCTCGGTGAGACTACCTTAACATCAACATTACAGCAATAGCCTAACGCCCCTTCTAGAGGCCTTCATTTCATCGACTTCGTCATCCAGTTGGGATACCTTGCACTGCTGATTCACTATATCCTTCGCCCGCCGGACAGGCCTATACTGACTCTAAATGACCACCGCGTGGACGCGCGAGCAGTCGCCCTCATCGTATATTCATTTGCCTCAATCTGCCGTGCCTCGAGCGCGTACATAGTTCCATCTCTTCTGGTCTTCGTCTCGTTCATCTACTGCCTCCCCGCGTTCCCATACGCCGGAGAAAGTCCATACATCTTCCTCCTCGCCTCATTGGTATTACATATAGTATCGCTCCATCTACCCATCGCCCCTGGCCTCAATTTTATTAAGCCTCCTCGTCAAAGTCTCCCGCTGGCGACCCTCCTGTGGACGGAATTCACAACTACGTTCAGCACGATCCTGCTGTTTTACTTCCCCGCTTTCCTGTTGGCGTCCTATCTACTCTCTATTGCGTTAGCGGACTCAATACCCCAAGGCCCTGATCCAGACGCTTTTCGACTGCTTGCAGCGCCGATGGAAACTCGACAGGGATTCGTGGCACTTTGGATCGTTATATTCCTTCTCATCATCGTCTCCACAGGACAACTCATCATATTCAAGTCATCCTCAATCTCGTCTGACCAGCCGAGCGATCCCTGGGATCGATATTCCAAATCTGTCGGCCTTCGTGCTCGAAGAATATTCATTCGAGCCCTTGCGGATTATTCTACTCCATATTTCTTTCCCGTACCATTCAACCTACTACAAGTTCTTCTGATCCGGTTACCTGCGGGCGTCCTACATTGGACAGCCGGAGTAAAGCTTCGGGTAGTACATCATGCGGAAGCTGTACTATGGAGGTTTACCGTTGGTCCTATCGCGATGTTGGTCGAAGGCATCTGTTTGATTTGGAGGTGGAGTTGAGCGGCACAGCCGCCACCCGAGTAACGCTTCTGTTCATTGTGAGTGTCCTACACAATAACTTGACAGAAAATCCAATGCGATCTTGTTCTACCTCTCTTCACGGCGCTAATTTGTCCATAGCGTTTACCTTTGTGAACCTCAGGTACAACTACGCACCTTTGTTGAGAGAAGCCACAGGTCCCTGAGCATCGCCCTCGTTTCGACTATGCCGCGTCCCTCCCGCCACTCGAACCTGTACAGACAGACCAAGAGGTAGCTGCCTTGTTCGATTATCCATCTCATGTTCTAGACGTACAGGGGCTTGGGCCACTGAAGGAGGGGTATAAAACACTAGACTGCTTTCTGCCTGAGATGGCATTGTGCTTTCCCATCCAGCTTTCCATTTTGTATCTCGCAATACAAAGCCAAGTGCCTTCACTTTTCTTTATTGAGGATTATTTGCAGCTACATCTCATCTCTTCTCCATTCTCTCCACGCTCACCAATTGCGCCCAGGACGGCGAACACCTTCTCTCCCCAACGGCACTCTCTTCCGCACGTCATCCCCGATCGTCGATGGCTGGTTCAGCATCCGGCCATGGCGTTGTCGAAAACGGGCGCGCCTTACGGTGTGGTACTCACGAGCACGGCGATGAGGGTACAGATGGCGTGGACTGTACCCTGACGCCTGTCGACGACCTCGAACGCGGTCTTGCTTCATGGTCAGAACCTGCAAGTGTGCCGGCCTATGTCAATCTTCTTGCTGTGCCTCCTGCCGCCATAAATCACACAAACCCTGGTCGTCAACGTCCGTCCACGTCGAGCTCCCACTCTGTATCTTTCGAAGACATGTCTGCGGCACAACAAAGCATTATGTTGCAACACCAAATATACACTGAGCGCTTCGGTGCCTTCTTCGGCGACCACGACCATGTTCAACAGAGGGTTCGGCCTCCTGATGATGCGACCCCCATTTGTTCGAGTGGACACAAGACGCGGGCGAGGATCATGTTCTGGCTTGGGTTGCGTGAGTACATTTCTCACTTTCTTTCTATTCCCTGTTTTCGCAAATTCTCTATCCTCACTAATACTTGTCCGACTCACAGCTCTGTTCTTTCCTCTCATACGAGGCGCCTTGTTCACCGTGTGGCCTGAATCTCCTGTCAACGTGGGCGAGGCGGAAGCTATCCCCCTTGGAGGTGGTGAACGTCGGCAAGCACAACGGAGGCAGGGCCCTAGTTTTCGGGCAGTAGAGTTGAAGTGGGCTAGGCGGTGTCGTGTGGCGTTGGTTTGCTGGGCAGTAGTAATCTTCATGGTCGCCCTTGGTTTTGTCTTCAGGATAATACTCCGTTCGTCTCGTTGATAAGGACAAACAAGGACCACTACCTTTGTTTTTATCTTCTATCTTATCCCTATCTGATACTGTGCGGTGAACATTTTCTCTGGCTTAGAGCCGCGTGGTTGGTCAATGCCATAGCTCTCCTTACGTTCAACTACTGTACTTTAGTCCTGTGGTCGTGTTGGAGGGACAATTGTAAATTGCTGTAACATTCCATAGAAGAAACAATAACTCGACCCGACTCGACAGGCTCAATTCGCCTCTCACGCAATGCGCCACCCGCGTCGCGCCCCACGTGACGAGTGGTTAAACCTTTCGCGTGCGAGTTTCGTGTGTGCGTTTGAGTTGGTCGCGTTCGAGCGCTTTGTGTTGCCTGTCCTTCTTGTTTCTCTTCTCTTACTAAATTATGAGCTCCTCAGACTATTTCGACGATGATCTCGACGAAGGCTTCCTCGACGAACTCGATGCTATCGAAGCTTCCAATATCCAACCACCATCGAAACCTTTAGCGCCTGCTCGAACATCCAAACCCTCTGCATCCACTTCCAAACCCGCCACCTCAGCTCCTAAATCCCCTACAGCACGAAAGATCGGAAAGACCACTACCCTAGAATCAGATGATTATGATATGACATTTGATTATGATGAAAGTGAACTTCAGAAGCTGGACGGCGTCATCGAGGACGCGTACCAGGGCAAGGTGGCTCCTCGCACAGCAGAGGGATCAAGACCCCTAGCTCGCGCACCCTCGAAAGCTGGTCTCCAAACGACATTATTCGGCGATGTACTCGCTCCCACGACAAATAGGACTCGCTCGGAGGGAAATAATAAGGGAGAGGGGTCATCCAGAGGGCCGATGCAGCGCTCGAAGTCGTCGGGTCAGTTGTTTAGGAAGACAAAGGTGTGGGATCATACTGCGTTCTCCAAGACAGGGAAGAGGAAGACGGATAAGGGGAAACGAAAAGCTTGGGATGATGAGAACGATGCGGGTGAGGAAGAAGAGCAGATTGAGTTCGAGCAGTTTCCGGCACCCTCTGTTCCTAGTACGTCTGTTGCCTTGCTGTAGGGTTGTCGCTTACTGATTGCGTTATGAACATAGCTGGGTATGTGTTATATGGTCAATTATCTAGCCAGTTACTGATCACGTCTTCGAAAACCTCATGCGTTACAGACCGGTAAATGTCACAGCTTCAACCCTTTGTTTCCAGAACTCACATTGTCTCCTAGCCGCCACCCATGAAAGTCGAACCAGACCTCCTCGCCACCAAGCAGTGGATATTCCCTCTCAATCGTCCCAAACGAGACTATCAATTCAACATCTCCAAACACTGCCTATTTGACAACACTCTTGTTGCACTACCCACAGGTTTAGGAAAGACGTTCATCGCCGGTGTCGTCATGCTCAACTGTATGTCTGAGCGCTTCTCATGTCACAAAAACTTCCACTGTCCTGCATACTGACGGTATGGTTGGATTATTTCAGTTTATCGATGGTTTCCAGACGGCAAGATAGTCTTTGTGGCACCGACGAAACCACTTGTGGCCCAGCAGATCGATGCATGCCATCAGACTTGCGGCATCCCGGGACGTGATGCTGCCGAGCTGACAGGAAATGTACCCAAAGCTCAGCGGAATAGAGCTGTGCGTATTTGTTTTCAAACTGAGGATATGGCTGTAGACATTGACCATTGACCGACATCGTATAGTGGGCAGAGAAACGCGTATTCTACATGACGCCTCAGACCCTGTTCAATGACCTCTACCAGAACAACTGTGACTGCCGCGATATCGTGCTCCTTGTTATCGGTAAGCTCCTTCCACTTGTCTCACGACTGTACCACGTATTCACTCCGTTCCAACCGTATGCAGACGAAGCACATAAAGGATCAGGCGACTACGCATACGCTACCTGTGTCCGCTATCTCATGGCCAAGAACCCACATTTTCGAGTCCTCGCACTGACTGCCACTCCCGGATCGAACCCAGAAGCAGTTCAAGGGATTGTGGATTCGCTTCACATCAGCAGGATCGAGATTCGGGACGAGCAGAGCTGGGATATCCGTGGATACATCAACAAGAAGGTAGGCATAATTTTGCGAGCAGTCTCGATGCTTGGTGTTGTCTGCTGCTGATGTTCTTGATTTACATGGGGTAGAAAGTAGAGCAGCACATCATCACCATGAACGATGACATTGCAAGGTTGAGAGACATGATCGGGAAGGTTATGAAGGTATTTTTGTCTTGGTCTTTTAAACTCGTCAATCAGGTTTCTAATTTCCTGGGTTAGCCTATGCTGCAGAAGCTCGCCAACGTTGGTATTTTCCGAGGAAATCTAGATCCAGTGCTATTTCATCCCTTCCGAGCACAATCCGCTATGGGCGAAATCCATGGTCGAAAGGACGGCAGACAACTAGCATGGGCATTTCCAGTTCTCAAGAAGGTCGGAGCTTTGGCTAGGGCTATGGGATATCTTGTGCGCATTTGTTTTTATCCCACAACACGACGACATCATGTTTGACTGGTGACCGTTTGTTCAGCTCGAAGCCAGCCAAATGCTGTGCCACCGGTCTCTCAAGGAAGCGGTGGACGGTGACAATAATTCGGACAAGGCCAAGTCAGGGAATAACAAGCTCACTAACGATCCGAACTTTCAAGCGATCATGCGCGAGCTCGATTTACAGGCCCATATAGGATTCGCGGTACACCCGAAGATGGAGAAATTGAAGATGCTTGTGCTCAATCATTTTGGGACAAAGCTACCCGAAGAAGCTGCTGATGCCAACAACGGGGAAGCGATTGGCGCTGGAGTGAATGGTGTTGGTGCTGGCGGTAATAAGGGCAGCGAAGGGGACGACACGCGGGTGATGGTTTTTGTGACGTTCCGAGAGGCGGTGGAACAGCTCGTGGAGTTTTTGAACGAAGAGTCGCCCATCATCAGAGCGACAAAGTTCATTGGTCAAGGGGCGGATAAGGCAGGAAAGAAGGGATTTGCGCAGAAGGATCAGCTCGATGTACGCGCTAATTTTATCTGTTTCCCTTGCTTTTATGTATGGCGTTGCTTGCTGACAACTCGTCATCACAGGTCATTAAACGATTCAAGCAGGGAGAGTTTAATGTTCTCGTTTCGACCTCTATTGGCGAGGAAGGTCTCGATATCGGTGAGATCGACATGATCGTATGTTACGAGTCACAGAAGACCCCCATTCGGATGGTAAGAGCATCCGGTTTCTAACGCACCCGTCATCCCTCACTCACAACTGGTCACCGTGCAGCTCCAACGTGTCGGACGTACAGGCCGTAAACGTGACGGCTACGTCCATGTCCTTCTCGCCGAAGGCCGCGAAGAGCTCAATTGGAACAAAGCACAGGAGTCCTATGCCAATGTCCAAAAATCTATCGTCCGGGGCGAACAGCTCGAGTTCTACGCCGACGTCGAACGTCTCCTCCCTGATCACATCAAGCCTGAGCCTCTGGAGATGGAGATGGACATAGAACCATATGATCGCGAAGAGGCAACAGAGAAGAAGGGAAGGAGTTCGAGCACGAATGGTCAGGGATCAGCGAAGAGGAAAAGGAACGGTGATGCGGAGAGGAATATTCCAGAGGGGGCGAGCAAAGGGTTCGTCAGCGTAGCGGATTTATTGCTCAAGGGTAGTGGGAAGAAGAGGAAGATGTCCAGTGTGGCTGAGTTGTTGAAGGCAGGCGAAGAGGACTCGACAGACGATGAGATCGAGGCAGGAATATTTGGGGCACGGAGAACGGTGTCTATGCCTGCTAGGTCTGAGGAACAGTCGGAGAAGACTAAGGGCAAGGAGAAGGAAAAGAGGAGCGTGAAGAGGAAGAAGACGACTGAAGGCAAAGAGCCGAAGGTGAAAAAAAAGAAGACCAAGGCAGAGCGCACAGCGCTGCCTTCCGTTCCTCTCAGCCAAGCCAACATAGAGGATGAGGACGACCTAGCAATTGAACAGGGCTTCCTGTATGACGACGCAGCGCAGGCAACAGCGGCTCCATCGGCTCGCAAACGACGGAAATCTGTCGATCCGCCTTCTCGCTCACCGGCTCGGGTTTCTTCCCCAGACATGCCTCTCGCCGATGGGCGCTCCTCTCCTGACGTTCCCCTGGCGTCTCAGCAATCCGTCATCGACGTCTGCACGCCTTCCGAGCGTGACTCTCCTGCTTCGCCCCCTGCGCATATTCCCTCTCCATCTAATACCAAGGCACGTCATAAGTCCATGGCCAAATCCAAATCAGCCCCAGCACGAGCATCCACCTCCAGGAGCCCCTCGAACCGAGGATCCCCGCGTGCTCTTGACGACAATGTAAACGATAAAACGGCTGGCCGCGACCTCTCTTGGCTGTTAGCAGATTCCTCCGATGGTGACGGCGTGGGCAGAGCTTTTCGCTCATTATCGCCACAAGTTCACAAACCTTCCGTGCGGTCAGCAACTAGTTCATCCGACATCGAATTTGTGGACGATCCGCCACCCGTGGATGTCGGGTTCGTTCGTTCGAGTACACTTCTTCGCAGGTCAAATCACTCGCCGACCAACGAGGATAGTGATCTGCCTGGCTCTGACATCGAAATCGAGGACGATGAGTTCGAGAACCCTATAGCCCAGAATACCGTCTCCGTCTCCGTCTCCTCCGAATCTTCGAAGTCCCACACGGGCCACTCACCAATGTTCAAGTCAGCTCATCAACCGGGTGATACACCTCCTACGCCTTTACAGGACGAAGACGAAGACGACGACCCTCTCTTGCTTGCCTCTCCTAAGGGCTCGCCAGAGCCTGCATATCCTGTAAACGCTTTGGGGAAGAAGCGAAAGCTGTCGGCGTTCGTCGAACCTTCATCTCCTCTTGTCGCCCCTTCGCATTCATCCGACCAACCCGAGGATATCGATGATCTCCAGCCGAGTCAACCCGTACGTGCAGCAGGTGGAAGAAAGAAACGAGTGGCCGTTAATGATCTTTTCTCGTCACCTTCGGCCACGGCCATGCCTCCCTCTCCTTCGCAAAAGCGACTCCGACGTCCTCCTTCACCTGCCGCTGAAGAGTCTGAAGATGGTCCGCAGCCGACTTTTCCCGTGCGAGCGGCAGGCGGAAGAAAGAAGCGCGTGACAGCGAAAGACCCACTTTCGTCGCCCGTGGTCATGCCCCCTCCTTCACAGAAACGCCTCCGACGTCCGCAGGACTCACCCCCTTTGGGTTCCATGGGCCCACCTGACTTACCGAAGACTCCCAAGGTACCGAAATCTCGAATATCCAGGCCGACGTCCAAGAAACTGAAGTTCAGAGACGCTGCTGAGGCTGCGCGAGCGAATCCCTGGATCGATGTCGAAGCATCACACTCGGGTGACGATGTGAGTGGTGGTGAATATTCCGACGATGACGATCTCGCACGTCTGGATCACTCTTCTGAAGATGGTCATGGGTTCATCGCAAACGATGGCTCCTTCACCCAGGCCTCACCTTCGTACGATCAATACGCAGTTTATCGACAAAGTCTTATGTCGCAGGCTCCATCTAGAGCTGGGCCTGTATTCAGGAGTAGACCAAGAGGACGAGGAGCGGCGTTCCGTGGCGATGGTGTAGGTGAGGCAGGCTCGAGTCGAAGGAGGAATGTTACGGTCTCGAGCTCACCTAGAAGATCGGATGAAGAGCCGGACGAATATGCTTTTGGAAGCTTTGCCGTGGATGATGAGGATATTTCATTTGCGCCCTCCAGTGATTTGTGAAGAGTGTGGTTATTGTCTCCCTCACAACGATTGTACATGACGCCTGCCGTGACTTTGGTTTTGATCTTGTTATCTTACTATGGGTTATGAGGCAGATGGACTCCAATTACGCTACTTGAGTAATACGTACCTTCATGTTTTAGTCGCAGCAGAATGCATATGATTCTGGACTCTGAAGACGAGAGGATGATGTCTTCAGCGAGTCTTATCAGCGTTACATCTCCGAGTCAACTTGCTAGACCCGGCCTTTTCAAGTGTCGGGAAGTTTCGGAACGTCGCCTTGCAATATCAAACTGTGGAGGACACTTCAAGGCCCGTCGGTACCCAATTCAGTGGTTTCGTTCAAGTTCCGCCGCAGAACACCGTCAACAAACACAAAACATCGGGGTACGGAGCGTGATGGGTACAACTTGCCCACAAGGGGACGAATAAACCGGAGGAGAGGGTTGTAATGTGCCGTGATCTCTCGCGATCGTCCTCCGAAGCCTCAGGAGACAACCTGAAATTTTCGGCAGCAAAATAGATACTTTAGGTGCATGATACCGGACACCGAATGACTGCCACTGGAGGCATCATCCTCACATGAAAAGACGCTGGTGCCTGCGAGTAGTGATGCCCAGTGCACACTAGCCATATATGTGGCCTGTAGGGCAAGAGGCTGACAATGGAGGTATCTTGGCTTGAATAGATAACGAGTCTCGTAAAGACAAAGCGTGACAAAGATATTGACAGGCACTAGACAGTCGTAACTAAGAGTATAATCATTAAAACATACACAATCCGTATTATCCAGAAACAAAACCAGACCTCCACATACACCTCCACCGAATTGGTGAAACCAATCAGACCGTCTGGACGTTACATCTAAAAACGGAGTCATCAATACGAGAGCTATGGCAAGACAACAGAGTAAGAAGGTACGTACCAGCCATTGCCAGAATGCCTCCCACTTATTCCTCGGGGGCGGCTCATCGTACGTATCGGCCTCGATCTCCGCCAGCCCCGTCACGAAGTCCATCTCGTGAGGTCGTCTAGGTGGGACGCGGGTCCAGAGGCGGGCTCCGACATAGAGAATAGGGAACAGGATAAATGGAATGTAGGTCGTGACAAAGGTGGCGGTGTCCCAGCCTCCCTTGAGGAAGACTTGCCATCCGGAGAACTATCCGATGGTGGATGGAGAACGAAATGTGTGTCAGCGGATTGATAGTGATTGGACGGACGAGAAAGAACAAGGGGGGATACATGATCAATATGAGTTTATCAAGACCTGCAAGGACATAAGGAGGAAAAGGCACGCACGAAACAGACAATAACAGACGATAACATCCCATACCACGCCGCATAGGGCTGCATCTTACTCGCGTACGGTAGTGTCGCACGATCGAATCCCTGCGCCCTGAAGCCCTTGTAGAACCTCAGGTAAGTTACGCAGATGCCAAACCAGGTCATCAGGCCGGCGACGGAAGTCATGTTCTGGAACCAAGTGAAGACTGTGTTGGAGCCAGCTGTGACGCCCATGAAGGCGAGAAAGGAGAATGCGACCGAGACGAGGAGGGCAGTCCACGGGAGGCCACTGCGACTGGTACGTTTAAAGATCTTGGGGGCGTTTCCGGCGACGGCGAGACCATCTATTGTGGTACGTAACATTTGTTGGTCATGTTTGATCCCTGTATTGTATATGAAAGAGGCGCTTACAGAGGGCACGAGAGCTAGTATACATATCACTTGAGGCTGCGGACCAAGCGGACGTCAAGAGACATGCATTCACGATCTGATAGAAAGACACCTCAATCCTGTGGACGGTAAACAAGATACAGGGCATCCATGGACTTACGGAAGGAAGCACCTTGATCCCAGAGGTGACGATGGCGATGACAAATGGAGAGCCGGCGGCGTTTCCAGTACCGTTAGTCAAATCCGGATTGTTGGAAGGGACGAGTAACCCGATGACGGTGACACCGCCAATGTAAAACAGAAGAATACGGATATATACACGCCTGATGGCCTTCGGGAGGTTCCTTCGCGGATTCTTGGCCTCACCGGCAGCAATCTACAGAGCAAAGAGTTAGACCTCACACAATGCATGAAGAAGTAGACGTGCGTACGGCGACAATCTCTGTGCCGATGAAAGAGAATGCAGCTTGTGTCATGACGGCCCACCATCCGAGGAAGTGGCCCTTGTTTCCAGTGATGCCGTTGAAGTTGACAAATGGACCAGGATTCTTCCAGTAGCGGAATCCCAGTCGATCATGATCTGGGCCACCACCAAGGTCGAGTACAATTCCGAGGATAATGAGACCTAAGCATACAAAATCAGTAAGAACATTGGGGTAACACTATCAGGAGAAAACGCATGTACCAACGATGGTTATGACCTTGATGGAAGCGAATATGAACTCGGCTTCACCGTAAGCGCCAGCACCAAGGAAATTGATGAAGACGACGACAGCAAGACAGATGATGATCCACGCTGAGTTTAAATTGGTTCGGGAGTCCCAGAAGTCGATGAGCACAGCGGCGGCACTGAGCTCGGCGGGAAGAATGATTGTCCAGTTGTACCAGTAGTTCCATCCCATTGCGAAAGAGAAAGCCGGGTCGACGAAACGTTCCGCGAGTTTGATGTGACCACCCGGAATGGGAAGGAAGGCAACCATTTCACCGAGTGAGAGCTACATTCCGCCGAAATGACCTAGATCAGCACATACTCCACAATGCCAGTATCTGGTGAGATACGAGTCCTCTCACCATGACCGAAAGACAAATCGTGCCAACAGCAGCATAACTGCAAAATAACGTTGAAGTTGAGCATGTCGTTATTGAGGACGAAATGCGTAACGTACCCGAGTAACAGACCGATCGGGCCACCCACAGCTAAACTCTTAGCAGTACCCAAAAATACTTCGGAACGAACAATGACATTAATACCCATCAAACAAGACGATAAGAGGAGCTTTCCCTACACCCTGTTCCGATGACACCGCCGATACTGAGCAAGTAGAGACCTGTTGAGAACCTGTACCGCGGCAAAATGTAGACAGACTCAGAGCGTACCTGATCATGGCTATATGTCTGTTTTTGAGCTGTCTCTTCAGCGTACGCTGAGGTGTTGCCTCATACTCTCCTGCGTCTCCTACCTCTGACCCTTGCGGCGACGTTACGGGCTTCGTCGATACTGGTGGCGTCTTCTCATGATAATTCGATCCATCTTCCGCTGAGGTCTGCATCGTAGTGGGGCGTCGCACAAGCCGCAGGACTTTGCGAGCGTATGATGGATGAATGGAGGGAAAGATGGAGGTCGAGAGCAAAGGTGCAAGCCGCCTCAGCTCAGGTTATAGGATGGGAATTTGATGAGAATGCACCACAGAGAAGAGCGCCGCTGTGCAGGTCTTCTGACCGCTTACTAGAACCGAAGCGGATAGTTGTTACTGAAAAAGAGTCAAAGCCAAGACGGGCATCATCGGCTATAAGTCGCCTATGAATACACAGGCGCTTATTCGCAGTGAGCTACTAGCTCATCGATATGCAAGTCGCCGAGGGTCGCTGCTCACCAGCATTGACGCGATTGCCCCCCAAACACAGGAATATCTTTGGATGGAAACAACTCAACCCGTTTACCTCCTCTCTATCGTGCGACGTCGAACACATTTACGGACCCCAATCGAAACGCTGTCCACGCTGTCGCTGATGAACGCCGCACATGGCGTCGGTGCTTCTGAGTGCCGCGTATTCCTATGCGTAGCGTGTCAATATTCACGAGTTTCTAGGCAATTGACTGGGAGATGTTGGATATAGTTGGAGAAATGAAGATGGATATCACAGCCTCCACTGCGGTCTCGGGTCATAGCGATGACATGCTGCCACCTAACCTACAATCTCGAGGACAGTTCTCCTTTCATCTAACAGAGAAGAGAAGCTGTCGAGAATGCCCCTCGTACCTGTGCATCGCTGCGTTCTTCATCTCCTTTGGAGCGTGTTGGAGGATTACTGCAACGTACACATGATCACGAGAAGCATCACACCCAGCGCCAGAAACAATGGAGATCAATGCGACGCGAGCTGATGTTGTGTAAAATGCTCACCGGTGGCTACGACGGCCTGACTCGGACGGTCGGGTATTATGTCGGACTTCGAAGATGCGGTACTAGGTTGAACGACGGAGTGCATGGCCAGATCAAGGCTTGAGCATGAGGATACGTATCGTCGCCATCATCGCAGGAAATGATGTGCCATGGCGTCGTCGAACGGCGACGTTGCGCGGCAAAGACGTATTAGGGAAATAGGGGCGCGGGCTATGTACTGCTTATTAGGAACGAATGGGGGCATCTCAGTACTACGCTCTGAAAGGCTGAGTACCGAAAGTATGACTCACTCGCAGCGGAAGAGCAAAACTCATCAACATCGAGATGGTAATGAGGTACCCGTTTTCTGCATGGAGCCTTGACGAAGCCAGTAGGTTTGAGGATCATGGACTCTACGGGAACGGCACAGCAAGACAACAAGCTAAATCCACGAGCAAGCTCGTAATTAAATATATAGGGGTTTCGACAAAACACGGAGTTACTGTACTTGGGGCATTTTGTAAAGTAGTACTGCACTTGGCACTCCGCACTGGATACATAGTGCCTCCATATTCATGGTATCCTTTTCCTACAAGTCTCGAACAAAACTGATAACAGGACAAAAAGCGGGACTAATAACGAACAATCCGATCACATCTGCAAGAAAAACCGTAAGCAATCATCGATAACGCCCAAATACGGTAGAAGACAAGGGGGACGAGAACGTACCAGCCGCTGCCAGAACGCCTCCCACTTATTCCTCGGTGGTGGCTCATCGTAAGTATCCGCCTCAATCTCCGCAAGGTCGGTCACGAAGTCCATCTCATGTGCCTTTTTCGGGCCAACGCGGGTCCACAGACGAGCTCCGACGTAGAGGATAGGGAAGAGGATGAAGGGGATGTAGTTTGTGACGAAGGTGGCCGTGTCCCACTGGTCTTTGAGGAAGACTTGCCAACCAGAGAACTGTGTAACGACGAATGATAAGTATCATGGAACGAATGAATGACACAGAATGCCACGTACCAAGCAAACGACGAAGCATGCCACTATCCCATACCACGCCGCATAAGGCTGCAGCTTGCTCGCATAGGGCAGCTGGCTACGGTCGAACCCTTGCTGCTTGAAGCCCTTGTGGAATCGTACGTAGGTGACACAGATACCGAACCAGGTCATGAGGCCGGCGATGGACGTCATGTTGGAGAACCAACCGAAGACGGTGGAGGAGCCGGAACTGACACCCATGAAAGCGAGGAAAGCGAATGCAGTTGAGACGAGGAGCGCAGCCCATGGAAGACCGCTGCGGGAGGTTCTCCGGAAGATGGCAGGGGCGTTACCAGCGACGGAGAGACCGTCTGTGAATTGTAATGAGCAAGATAAGACGTTGAGCGCAAGAAAGAAGGAGACGCACAGAGAGCACGAGAGCTCGTGTACATGTCACTGGAGGCAGCGGACCATGCGGAGGTCAAGAGACATGCGTTGACGATCTGCATTAACACAAAACAAAAGTGATAAATAAGGGGTCGAGAAGACGACGGTAGAGGATGACTTACACTGGGGAGGACCTTGATACCCGCTGTCGAAATAGCAATGACGAACGGCGATGAAGCCGCGTTGTCAGATCCCGACAAGAGGTCCGGGTTGTTCGAAGGCACGAGTAGGCCGATGACGGTCACACCACCAATGTAGAAAAGAAGAATACGGATGTACACGCGTTTGATGGCCTTGGGAAGGTTCCTCCTTGGGTTCTTGGCCTCACCTGCAGCGATCTACGAGGAAATCAGTCGAAATTAGAAGAAACGCTCGTTGTACCATGGCAGAAATGGGAATACGTACAGCGACAATTTCGGTACCGATGAAAGAGAATGCGGCCTGTGTCATGACAGCCCACCAACCGAGGAATTTTCCCTTGTTGCCAGTGATGCCAAGGTACTCGACGAAAGGACCGGGATTCTTCCAGTAGCGGAAACCGAGACGGTCGTGGTTGGGGCCTCCACCGAGGTCGATCACAATGCCAAGAATAATAAGGCCTGAGCAGCAAAAGCGTCATTAGTATAAAGATCGACATCATATCCAAAATTATTCGACGAGATAACTTACCAACGATGGTGATGACTTTGATCGACGCGAAAATGAATTCGGCCTCGCCGTATGCGCCCGCACCGAGGAAATTGATGAAGACGACGACAGCCAGACAAATGATGATCCAAGCAGAGTTCAAGTTCGTATTTGAGTCCCAATAGTTGATGAGCACGGCGGCAGCAGACAGCTCTGCGGGGAGAATGATCACCCAATTGTACCAGTAATTCCATCCCATCGTGAAAGAGAAAGCCGGGTCGACGAAACGTTCTGCGAGTTTGATGTGACCACCCGGAATGGGAAGGAAGGCGACCATTTCGCCGAGCGAGATCTGTGCGGAAATAATTTGATAGCTGTCCAATGAGACAACGGAGAGACTGCCTACCATGACGGAATAACAAATTGTACCGATGACGGCGTAACTGTGGCGAGCGGTTAGTATCATGGCTGAGAGTGAGTTTGTAGCGCATGCACATACCCAAGTAAGAGACCAATTGGACCACCGTGTGCCAGTGACTTTGCCGTCCCCAAGAACACTGTGGCTGTGTGAGGTACGAAAAATGATACGATGATTGGAGTTTACTTACATCCCGTACCGATGACACCGCCGATACTGTCGAAAGAGAAGACGTGAGACCAGACTCCACAGCCGCCGAAAGCTAGTGCAACATACCTTATCATGGCGATATGCCTGTTCTTGAGCTGTCTCTTGAGCGTACGCTCAGGCGGCCCCATACTTCCCTCTTCCGTAGAGTCGACGTAGGCAGGCTTAGCCGACACATGCGTCTTATCATCGTACTCTTCTGCCTTGGTCGCCATTTTGAACAATGGGAGGAGGATGACCGAGGGTGGAGAGAGGAGGGGAAACTTGGAAGGAGGGAGGGAGTAGGTTCGACACCTTTACATTCGATGCCCTCAATATATAGTCGGACGACCTGATGGGCATCACGCATGATGCTTCCATGTGAAGAGATAAGCAAAGCACCACCAGGAAAATCGTTCGTTGGAGATCGTTCCTGGGCATCCGCAAGAGCCCAGGTGCCGGTCCCCCTCAGCACAGTCCAACACCACAAAACCCGCCTAGCGTAGCCTAGGGCGGTGTACGACAATAATGCTCCCTTTGTACCCGAGCACGCCCGATCTCTCCACCTATCTTCCTCGTCTGCCGTCCCCTAAACGTATCCTCGGGCAGAAAAAGAAAGGAGTGGCTTACGGCAATCATCAAGCTAAGTTATCAAGGCACGAAGCTTTCATCCGAGCGTGCTATCACAGGCAGTTCAATACTGTTTATGATGCAGTAGGTGTGGCGCCTGCCAGTGGATGATGCCCATGTCAGACTAAGACTCGATACAGAAGGTCCGTTATCGTCGTATTCGGTCCCTTTTCCTCATGCTCGCACAATATCAGCGCCTGAAGAGTGCACAGGACATATAGTTCGCCTGTCATACACCGACGAGGAGAGGTATTGTAGTCTGAGATTCGTAAGTTGTGGCGCGGAGCCTAGGAAAAATTCTCGACCGCCTCGAAGGAGCTCGAGCGGCGTCCGGCAATTCACGGTGTGGTTACTCGCCTGAAGTGTCTTTCCGGACACCCCGGGGCAGACGACGCTGCGATCGCCCGCGATCGAAGTTCTTCTCCTCCCCGATACTTCTATTTTCATCCTCTCCTTTTTTGGCGATGCGTGCCAGTCCCGACTCCCGACAGCGTTGTGTCCTGCAGATGTCAGGTAGCAAAGTGAGATGTTGTGAGCACAGGAAGAATTCGATATGAATGTTGACCATCAGCAGATGGACGTGTATGCGGTGCGGCGTTCTCCGAACACCATGGCAGAGGAATTATTAGATAGTTCGAAGAGTCACTTGAATATCGCCAAGTGATCGGTACAAATATAGTACATAGGAGTAGGCAGGGCTCGCCGAACAAACAGGCACAGCATTCTGAGGCAGCGCAAAGCGTCGAAAATGTTCGCACTGAGTACTGCCAAAGAGGTCGATCGACCGAGGAAAAACGAGGAGACGACGGAGGACAATCCAAAGACACGAATAAAAGCTAAGACTCGCAGGGACGGAAGCTTGGTATAAATATTGCGTTTCGTGTAAATAAGCTGACTTGAGCGGCGGCGGGGTGGACGTCGTGATGGTTGATCGAAGAGCCGCTTCGTCTGCTGCGACGCGATAAGGACGAGAGCAACGCACTCGACATTTGGCCTTGGCCGTGGACTGATGCATATAGTGTGCGCCCTCCTTTACGACAGCACAACGATAAGCCCCGCAGTATTGCGACGGACGCGCCGATCACGATCGTTCGGCGGGCGAAATGGCAGAAAATGTGGAGAAAATTGTCCTCGATCTGCCTCCGGCCGTCGCGCCTGTCGGTCTCGTAGATCCCGTCGTCGCCCATCGATCAAGACATCACCCCTAAGAATACCCTTTTCCGGATTGTCCGCCTTCCAGAAGCGTCACCGTTCTTGTCGGCTTGTCTGGGGCCACCCTCACCAACTCTGGTCCATAGTCTCATCTTCGTCCTCTTGACCCATGGCAATCATCCTTTCCACTTCGTCTTCCTCATCAAGGTCCGAAAAGTCAAGCCACCTCACTGAACCAGGTGCTGAATCTGCTTGAAGAGGCTCGGACCCATCCAACGCCGTCGTCGACCACGCCGAATCCGAAGTATCTGACAACGGCGAGGACGGTATCATTTCTGGTTCAGGCCGCGTGCTACGAGATGGTGGAAGCCGCCATTGCCTCCTCTGCCTGTCACACGTGAGGGATGCGGCCGCTGGCAACATTCGCGCGTTGGGAGCGTGACCCTCGACGGTATTTGCCAAGCTATCGTGGGCAAGTACATCGTCCGGATCCGAATCGGGCGGGGTCGGGAACGGACTGGGAATACCATCACCAACGCCTCTCGCTCTGTATTCGAGAATTTTACGCTCGGCGACTGGTCCAAAGGAATGGGGGTTAGATATTGGACTTCTCTGCGTCTGTGACAGGGCGACGGCTGCTCCTGCTTCGCCATCGGCGCGAGTATAGTCAGTTGGACCTGCGTGTCTACGTCCCGCTGCAAAGAAAACGGATGAATAGACGATTGTTCAAGACAAAGAGTTAGCGTCTTCGATGGAAGAGGAAGGAGGTAGATAGATAAATGCAAACTATATTTGTGTACGTACGTTGCCTTCCTCGTGATAGCATTAGTAGACGTGTTCGAATATAGGTTGCGCTTGTCGACTGTGACGGCCCTGGGATTGCATTCTGCAGGGCAGCTGTCGAAGTTGGTGGGCTTGCAAAACGAACCCTGCGCGTGGTTGCGTTCGGCGATACGTTATTGAAACCAGCAAATCGGACTCCTTGCAAACGCAATGAAGGTCAGTGTTCCAATAAAAGACTCGAAAAAAGAGAAGATATCATCAACGCAGCAATACCTACTTTTCTTGGGCCGTTCCGTGGCCTCGGTCTCCTCGTTGCCTTCTTTCAGCTCACCTCTCTTCCTCTTCACAGGCGTCAATGGAGGCTCCAGCATCCGCTGAACCATGTCGTCCGCATGTCGCCTCCGCTGGACAGACCCATCCTGAGCCAAAAAATCGCCCGCTCTCAATGGCCGCAAAATCCCTCTTGGAGGCACTGCCGTCCGATTCCATTTTGAGGGTACGCTAGGCTCCATATTCGTCGAAAAGTACACATACGACGTCTGCGGTAACTGCACCTCGTGCAAGTTAAGCGTCTTATGGTAGCGCTCCATTATCCATTCCTCCGCCCATTTCGCATCAGTAGGATCCTCGCCGTCCTTCAATTGCTGCCGGTAGGGGCAGGTGGCGGGCGGAGTTCGTGGGGGATGTAGAGCAGTGGTAGACTTGGAAGGGTGCATTGCGAAGTCGCGAATCTTGATTGCGCCGCGGGATTCACCTGCGCTGGTAGAGGGAGGGTAGCCTTCCATAGCAAAATCGCGGACCTTGATGGATGGAGGAAGGACGGTGCTAGGGTTGGAAGCGGAATAGCTGGGAACGTGTCTGCATGATGTCCCCGACTTGTAGTCTTCAAAATCATCCTCCATCCTCTGGACCTCTGCCAGGAAACCGACGACGGCCTTCTCAAACTGCAGCGGTGTCACGCCAGGCATGACATGCCGCACAGGGTAGTAGGGGTTCTGCCCATCAGGCGCAGTACTCACAGGCTTCCACTCCTTCCTCATGGTATCCATCGTCACAGCCGGGTCAAAGGGATCCTCCATGTCTTCAGGACGTGGTCGCAGTCCTTGCTTCGCTCTCTTCCTTCTCCTTATCACCCTCTTCATATACGCCTTCGTCTTCCTTTTCTCCTCTTCCCTCGCTCCCGGATAATCCAACATATACTTCACTTTCCTCATCTCCATATCCATCTCCATATTGTGCGCCTCTTCCACCTCCACGAACTCCTCGTCCTCTGCCGTTTCTCCTTCCTGGAAACCGATGAGCGTGACCTTGCAATCGGCGCCGATGAGCATGCGCTGGAAGGTAGGGGCTCCATGCAACACACCCCGAGCGTGGATCTTCTCGAATGCGGTGACGACGGCGGCTTTGAGGACCAAGGGCATCGTCGAGCTAGCTTCGATCCAGAAGACGGGGTGTGGAGGCTCCATCGCGAGGTGATATTCGTTCGTGTCGCCCTGCAAGCTAATAACGCGGGGGACGCACTTTCCTTGGAGCAGTTTGAGGTACTTTTTGCTCTTGTATAAGGCGAGCTTTTGGTGGCGAAGGGGTGGTCAAGGTGTTGGCGTCGGCGAGGCTGCGGCGAGGCAATGAAACGTGTTGGGTGACGCACCTCTAGATGAAAACCCTTCAGTCTTGACTGGTCGGACTTCTGGTCGGACTTCTTCCAACTGAGACCATCAAGAAAACGCGTAAGTCACATTGAAAGATGCAGGAAGCGATGAGGGGACAACTCGCTTTTTGCTGACATACTTCAGCTTTGCGCCCTTGACTGAGGCGGAATTTATGAACGCAGAGCGCGTCTTTCCGGCTGAACCAAACGAAATACAGAAGACACACCCGATTGACAGCGCCAGCGGCAGGAGAACACGTTAAGAGGTTGCTTATACTCACGATAGGGAGAAACGACGCACATTGAAATCTCTTGTGAGCCCACACATGTTCGAAAATACAGCCTCTTGTCCATGCATACTTCCCATGCGGTTGATAGAGCTGTGCAAACTTAGGAAGCTCCTCTGCAGATCCAGACTTTGGTGTTTCAGCCACGGGCTTCAACGATAGAAATCCTGGTGTGCGAGAGATCGCAGCCAAATGGGCGGCGTGATGCTTTGCAGCGATCGACTCAGGGCTCGGAGTCAGGTAGGGTGTATGGAAGGGTTCGGGTAGCGGGACAACAGACTTGGGCCGAGGTGGGTAGTACGTAGGAGGTGGCGCGTGCTTTTGAAGAAGAGAGGTGTAGAAGAGGGTGACGTCGCTGTCTTGTCGAAATAGTCTCTGCATGAGGTGGGGTGCCGTACGGCCGTGAATGCGAGCGGGACTAGCCGACTCCTCTGCCCATAATGTGAACGTCAATGGTGTCTTCTGTGCGGTACCTGGTGGCACCTGTTGGAGGCTCGAGAATGACGACGAAGACAAAGACGAAGACGAAAACGCGACAGGGCTAGTCATGTTTTGTGGTTATGGGAAGGGATGATGATTGTTCGAGAGCAGAAAGCAATACGAAGGTCCCAACATCCTGTTGGGATTATAAGGGCATGACGATACATTCGTGACACTTGCATTGTGCTCTGCTTGGGCCTGTTGAAAGTGATGGCCGAGTTTGGAACAAGGGAGAACAAGGGCCAGGCCGTGAGAACCATTGGCCTCCCAGCGTGAGCCACCATGCAGGAGGATGTGGCACACGAGTGGCGCCAGTATGATCCACGTTGGCTAGCGGCAACAAAAGTGCATGTTGAGCTCCGCGTCCTCGACCTTTGTCGATCGAAGGACCAGAAGCATCAGTGGTGAATCACACCAGCATTCATTGTCTACATACACGTTACAGCAGCTTCGTAGATTTATATGAACTTGGCCACATACAACAAAACGTACACAATCAGACCATAGGCATCCGGCGCTCGAATGCAGGAAAGACAATTGGATATGTGGAGAGACAATCGAGTCGCAGCGAGAGATGGAAGACCAGTCTAGGACAAGACCGGGAAACGACTCTGCTGGCGAACTAGTAAATAATAAGATAAAACAGATGTAGTTTGGGCGGTAATAAGTGAGGATGGTGGTGATGAGGTATTCAGCAATGAGGGGTTCTAGTGGGGTATTGATAGCGATGTGATTGTGAGGATACGAGACGGTATTGGTGACGTGAGAACCTGAAGATAGTGAAAGAATGGGTGGGTAGGGATGATTGACGATGCGATGATTACAAAGAGCGTAGGATAGCAGTGTGACCGGGACGAGATATGCGATTGAGAGAATTGAGATCGAGAACAACAAAAGACAAAGTGGCAGCTATGAAGAGAGATCCAGGGAATAGTGAATAGTGAATAAGACAGAAAGTTTTGAAATGCATGATCAATGGATAAAGGGAGAACGTTGCGGGTAGAGATCCATTGTCCCACATGTATCCTAGTACCAATGTTCCACATATACGGGATGCTCAAGCGAGAACGCAGACGGGCCAGACCGTACATACTCGCCAGAGGAGTTAAGAGACCTACAGCGAATTCGTCCACACACGCGGAACATCACTCAACCACTGCCTCTCGCCCACACCGGCACTCCCCTCTGCCGATCTCGAACTCTCACCAATTGGAAACGCGATCCCGACTCTGTGCCCACAATCCGTCACTGAACAAACGTCCCCATCCCCGCCCTCTTCACCAGACTGTGATCCATCTTCGTCCGTGTGACCCAAGGTGCCTGACGTCGGAAGTCCGGACATTCCGTCAGCATCTGCCTCTTCACCCGAAGAGGATTCTGCGCCATTGCCCTCAGAACACTCAACCACCTCCGCCTCGCCCTCTTCATGACGATCCAACGACCTTCCATCAACTTCCTCGAGATCGTCCGCAAAATACCCGGAATCGCGCTCATGCACACAGCACCCTCTCAGACCACAAGCCCAACCGTCTCCCCTCTCTTCCTGTGGAACAAGCCGTAACCAACTACCCCTCATTTCGTACTCCTCTAGCGTCATCCTCACGATCGAACTCCCCCCCGTAGCAATATCCTCCAACCTCCTCCTCTCTTCTAGCCACTCCTCCAGACTATGGAAATCTGAATTTGGTGAATCAAGAGTTTCGTCGGAAGGCCCGCTATCATCTGATGGTCGTTCCAAGGCTGGAAGGGCGAGAATAGACTGTATAGACGGAGATGGCAATGGCGGGAGTATGAGTCGCAAACGGGGAGAGGCCGGAGGAGAGAGAATGGATGCCGGTGCGACAGGGATATCGCGAGTTGAAATTGTGAGCTTCGCCTTGCGTTTCGTCACACGCCTCGCCAGACCCCCTACATTCCTTAACAGCGCCCCACCGAGATTTTTGACCTTCCTCCCCGCCTTGGTTCCGAAGCCTCTCTTCGACCCATCACTCTGAAATGCTGCACCGTCGCCATGTTCGAGAATTGGCGACGGCGCCCGCGCGCCACTTCGTGAAAGTGGACGTGAATAATACCCGTCTGGAATCGAGATGTAGGAGTTCGGCGTAAGAGGTCGAAGGATCTGATGGCGGATAGTGGACGCCCATGGCATGTAGGGGCTATTGGGATGTTGTAGTGTAGGTATTATGTAAGGTTCGTCATGAACCTGACTTGTCCGGAGAGGCGAGAAGACGAGGGGTTCGGGTCGTAAATGAAGCGAGAGTCTGTGTAGAAGCGACGGAGGCGACGAAACTGACGAGACCGACACACGCCTATACTGGTTCCTATCGACGGTGGTGGCTGGGGCCGTGGATGGTGTCGTGGATGGACCAACGAAGGATGTAGGGCGAGATCTCGGGGAAGAGGACGGGTAGTCGAAGTGAGTGACGAGAGGTGGGAGGATAGAGAATGTAGAAGTGCGCGCTACGGCAGGAAGACTGGGATAGACAGCGGAACGAGAGAGCGTTCTGGATCTTCTATGATTGTTGATGAGAGAGTTGGAAGGTTTGCGGGAGGGTGGCCGAGAAGACAATCTAATGGAAGCCCTGGTCTGAGAGTCACGTCGTGAGAGGCGAGATGTTGTAGAAACAATACTGTTCCGCTGCCAGACAGCCCAAGCGAGGACGAAAGCAATGATGATTTCGAGTAAGACTTCCGCTTTGAAACCATACTGTTCGGATCAAAACAGTAAAGCACCTACCGCGATGTTCAACTCGGGCATTCTGTCTCCAAGAGGCTTCCGAGCGACACGCAAAGCAGTCGTCTGTTTATCCAGAGTGACCAAAGGCGAAAGCTCGGAGGAAACTAGGAATGAGCGAGAAGAGGGCGGTACAGCCGGCATAGGCGCGCATGGCCCGTCGCGGTTGAGGTCGAGGATCACGGTGTCGAGGCCAGCAAGACGGAGACGTTCATGAGCGGACATGGTGAATTAGACTCTAGGTTAAGAAGGAATGTGATGGTAGAGGACTACGACTTTGCACAAAGATACAATGAAACTGGGGGAAGAAAGAAAGTGAGAAGGAAAGCGAAACCGATGGTGTCCTTGCACGGAGACTGAGGCTTAGGTGAGATGGGTGATCAAGATGGTTGAGAACAAGCATGTTCGTCCACAATTGTTCACTCGTGTTGTTTCCGTTTCCGTCCGCGTTTCCCACGTGTCTCGCGTGCTGTCGACTCGCACATCTCCGAAGATGGCGGCCTGTGCGTCCTTCATCATCCACGACTCGAAGTGAGCGATATCGATCCCAGTTCTCTAATCGTCTGATTATTATATGATCCTCTATGCTTGGGGTCCTTGATGACTGGTCAAAAAGTCCCCGAAAAAGGAGCTCTTTCTCTCAATGTTTTGGAAAGGAAGGTACTTGAACGGCGGGTGCTGATACTTGGCTGGGTCTTCAGGCAAGTCGCATGGCCCGGGCGCCAGCACATGCTGCAGGATGAGACCCGGTTTCCTCTGTGATTTCTTCAGTACAGACTCCAGAATCTAGGCTGTGCTGTTAAATCACCGAGATCATGTAGCCTCCGTTCACGGGACGGGTTTGTTCACCAGTGTCGCGTCGACGTGGCGAGAAAAAACATACGAATCAAGGTCTTTCGACACATGATATATGCTCAGTTGCCATACATCCTTGCCCCTGTTCTTCATTTACGTGCAGCAAGCATAATACTCACCAAGCCACAGCAACATTATCGGGATCACACCCTCATGTTCGGTCTTTCACAAGTCCAGAAATCCTTCAAGACTCCTATACTCGTCGGAAGAGTTTCGGCAACTACTTCGGATCGTCCAAACTGTACCTCATATGCGTCCACAAGCTCACTCATCATGACCTTGCGATGCCCACTGGTGCCGGGCTGAACCTCGCTATATAACCGTCCTCAATGGTTTGCCCGTCTCTACAATATACCTGATTTGGTCACCGCCGACGCTAATCATGTTCGCCTCATTAGGCTCTCCTACGCGAGGCCTCGCCATTCTGTTGGGCCTTTCCTTGGATTTGGCGGCTATGTTTCCCGGCGCTGAGGCGGTAGCATCGCAGACTTATGCCTGGAACAATGTCAAAATTGGTGGTGGGGGTGGCTTCGTTCCCGGAATTGTACGTTAGACCCAGATTGTATAATCGGCGACCTTTGATCCATAGTTTCTGCTCCAGGTCTTCAATCCGTCGAAGAAAGGCTTAGCTTACGCTCGAACGTGAGTAACTTATGATGGCGACAGTATCTGTTATGTGACACAGTCTTCCAAAGTGATATTGGAGGCGCATATCGACTCAACTCGGACGATACCTGGACTCCGTTGACCGACTTCGCCAACGACACTACGTGGAATCAATGGGGCATAGATGGACTTGCCACGGATCCTGTCGATACTAATCGTCTTTACCTGGTAATATTGCCTCCACCAGCTCGTTCCACCCAATCTGACGACGGTCATCTCGCAGCTGACGGGCATGTACACGAACTCCTGGGACCGTAAGTGTCTATGTTCTTCTCAAAGTTTCACACTGACACCGGTGTACACTCGTCAGCGAGTGATGGTCACATTCTAGCGTCGGCAGATCAAGGAGCCACTTTCACAGCCTACGGTCTACCGTTCAAGGTCGGGGGTAACATGCCCGGCCGCGGAATAGGAGAACGACTTGTCGTAGATCCTCATGCCAACAACATCCTATTTCTAGGCGCTCGCAGTGGAAACGGTCTTTACAAGTCCACCAACTATGGTGAGACATGGGCGAAGGTCACCTCCCTACCGAATGCCGGTCCGTTCTTTTATCTCTACCAGGTTTTATACGAACCGAACCTTGTTTGACAGGAACCTATGCGCCTGATCCCACGGATACTACTGGTTATAACAATGACCCTATCGGCGTTGCGTGGATCACCTTCGACTCGACCAACGGTACAGCTGGAACTGCCACTCAGCGCATCTTCGTCGGTGTTGTCAGTAACGGAACGGACAATGTCTTCATGTCGAATGATGCCGGCTCCACCTGTGCGTCTTATCCTCCTTTGTTAGCGACAGTGATTTTTGATTGCTTGCCTCGCTAGGGAGTGCCATCCCCGGGCAGAACACCCAATTCTTCCCGCATAAGGGTGTCCTTTCGCCGGCGGAGAAGACACTGTACATTTCTTACTCGGACGGTGCTGGACCGTACGATGGTAGGAAAACGCTCTGATATGTCTTCGAGCTACATTCTCACGCTTGGTTTGTAGGCACTAATGGAGCCGTCTACAAATACGACATCACCTCCGGCAATCTCACTGACATTACTCCCGTCTCCGGAAGTGACCTTTACTTCGGTTTCGGCGGTGTGGCCGTAGACTACCTCGCTCCCGGCACGATCATGGTGGCGGCACTCAACAGGCAAGAATCAATCTTACACATACTTTGAAACTTCGTTGATGGTCGTACATTTGATAGTTGGTGGCCAGATGGCCAAATATTCCGGAGCAAGGACTCTGGTGCAACCTGGTCGGCCCTTTGGACCTGGGGAAACTACCCGGATATCAATAAGAACTACGCCTTCACGGATACCCTCGCTCCATGGCTCGGTCCCGATTCTACAGTCACCACATTGGGAACTCTGCAAATTGGGTGGATGATGGAAAGTGAGTTTTCCTAACCCTGTGTTCGCATATCTGAGAGTCAAATTGAGCGACTCTATTTGATTCCATTGTCTCACAGGTCTGGTCATCGACCCCTTTGACAGCGATCACTGGTTGTATGGGACAGGTGCAACAATTCAGGGTGGGCATGACCTCACGAACTGGGACACCAAGGGGAACGTATCTCTCCAGAGTTTGGCAGATGGTATTGAGGAGACATCCGTACAGGCATTGATCTCGCCACCGAGCGGCCCCCCTTTGATTTCGGCCGTCGGCGACGATTGTGGTCTGTCTCGCCTCTTCATTTTATGTTCTTCCTCATGGATGATGGAAACTCATGGATTTTTCTACATATTTGATTATAGGTTTCGTACACACGTCACTCACAACTGCTCCTTCGACCGAATTCGAAACGCCTAATTGGGCCACAACTCCCGACATCGACTACGCAGGTAATGAACCGACAAATATTGTCAGGATTGGCAACACTGCTGGCTCGTGAGCTCACATTGACATTAACGTATATATTCCCCATGGCTGAGTTTCGTTCTCAGCACCGACATACAGATCGCTCTGAGTACTGACTCCGGTAACACTTGGTACGGCGGCCTTCTCCCGGCTTCAATGGTCTAAAATTGACGATGCATCATCTTCAGGAATATCGACTACGGAGGTGCCGCTGGAGTCTACGGCGGGAAGGTTGCTCTGAGCGCTGACGGAGGTAAGAGTATCCCTTGGTATGCAATTGATTAACCAAAGTTGTCGCACTGAACACTACCGCAATGTAGACACTGTACTGTGGAGGACCGCATCTGGCAACGGCGTCATGGTCTCCCAATACACCAGCAGCTTCACCGCAGTCCCCTCCCTTCCGTCTGACGCCATTATCGCCTCCGACAGAAGGAACAACTCTCTATTTTATGGTGCATCCACCTCTCAATTCTATGTCTCTCCCACAGGCGGCAAGACGTTCACTACCGCAGGTACTCTTGGGACGACTTCTGCGCCTGTAAAGATAGTTGTTCACCCGAATGTTACGGGTGATATATGGGTATCTTCGGATGCGGGTTTGTTCCATTCGACAGACTCCGGAAACTCTTTTGTTGCGTTGAGTGGTGTTACGAGTGCATACGGCCTGGCGCTTGGTGCTGCGAAGACCTTGGGTGGATACCCATCCGTGTTCATTGGTGGGACGATCAGTGGAACGACTGGTTACTTTAGGTACTGTGTTATGGGTGGCTCAGGACTTGGACTCCGTCTCACACTTCACATTTCCTAGGACTGACGACCAAGGAGTAAATTGGGTTCAGATCAACGACGCTGCTCACGGTTTTGGCTCTGTCTCTGCAAATGTTCTCGCTGCCGATCAGAAGGTTTACGGCCGGTAGGTAACCTTTCCCCTATCAACTACTACACGATTGAATGCTCATACTGTGCAGTGTCTACGTTGGTACCAATGGTCGTGGTATCTTCTACGGAGACGCTTCCGGTGCAGCCCCTGCTCCCACTTCTACGGCTGCGTCTAGTACGGCCTCAAGCACCAGTGCTGTATCTACTACCGGTGTAAAGACTACTCCAACCGCCACATCTACATCCAGTTCATCTTCGCAAACTGCGGCAACCACGACCTCGACGGCTACTGGGGCGACCCAAACCACCTACGGACAATGTATGTGCATTGCGTCTACAAGGAATGTTGATGTGTCACTGACACTGTCGTCCAGGTGGTGGAACGGGATGGACAGGACCCACGGTGTGTGCAAGTGGAAGTGCTTGCACTGTAAGCAACGCCTGTACGTATCCGCCTCTTCTGCCATGTCTCAAGATACTAAGTGTACTTGATTTGTCCGCAGATTACTCTCAATGTAAGCGTGGTCGAAAGTCAGACGATATCGACAGAACCAACTCCGCTGACTCCTTTTGTAATAGGTATTCCGACCTAAGCTGCTTCGCGAAAACATTGTCTTGCCTTGGGGTTGTCGTGCTCTGTGTAAAATACATCAAAAACGTACGAGTGTGGGCCACTGTCTCTCAATCGATTGTGTGCGTTACGCTGTCCCACCAATTGGGTTATTCGTACGTTCCTCTTCCCATACCTGGTTGGTGTCCGCTATCTTAGTCATCCGTACTCGTGAGTGAGTCAAGCGTGCAGACATACATTGAAGAATCTCCTTCGATCGACCACACGAACACCACGGCAGCTGGTGAGATCCAACTTTGCCAGTCTTGGACACGCATCGATGATGGGATACAGGCCTTCGTCTAAAGGAAACACGCGGATAGGCCGTCATCGTCGTGAGCGGTGACACTAAAGTAATCTTGCTACTTACTGGTGAACTTCGTGCCGGCCAACTCTAAAACCTCCAACGAAGTGCACGCCGCGATATACTCTGTCGCGTCATCTGAAACGGCGGTGTTATTAAGGATCAACTCTTGCAGTCGGGGTGGCTCCTGGATATCGACATCGGCATTCTCTTCGGCTGGCATCAGTAGGCCAGCAAGGTGTGCTGACTGCAGTCTTGTTATATTCGCGAGGTTTAATCGCTTTAGACTATGTAAGCATGGTGTCTTCTCAAAACAACTAGGTGCCTTGCCTTCAATTTCCTTCCAACACGGCCTATGAAATCCTCCAACGCCCCTTCTTTTCGACTCCTCGTCATGCCCAACTTCGCATTGCCGACCAAGCTTATACTCTCAAGGTATTCGAGCTCTACAAGAACATACGTCAGGTCCTGTAAACCTTGGTCATCCAAGGTCATAGCAGTTGAATTGCCCATCGAAGAAGACTTTCCCGGGCTTCCCGTACCAAGAGCATCGATGCTCAAGGAGCGCAGACGAGGAAGGTGAGATACGACAAGGAGAAGGTCGTCCATCGAAATAGCCGTCGAGGTGAGTGATAGTTTCTCCAGCGGAGGAACATAAAGAAGATCGTTCACATATGGTGGACGACGAACACCTGTAAAGGCGAGATTGATACTGCTGCACGCAGGGCACATGCGTACGAGTGTGTTTATGGATGCGTCGGTAAGTGATGTTTGTCGGAATTTGAGAGTGCGCAGGAGCGGGAAGGACAATGGAGTACCATCGCCCTCTAGACTCGCCAGAAGCTTGGCGACTGTGGCATCTGTCTGTGGAAGCCAAAAATATATGAGCTTACTCCTTGAGGACGGTAGCAGGGAGAGACAACGACTATCCCAGTTCAGAATTCCTGCGACCTTGAGCACTTCAAGCTTGTCTTTGATAAGCAACAGCAGAGGAGCGAGGGATAGCGGTGTGACGGAAGTGTAGTTGAGGTTGAGATGCGACAATCTTGGGCAGTGAGTGGCGCCATCCATAGTCTTTGCTCCGACTTTCGTGCAGCCGCTGGACGCAAATGGTCATTCAGCACGACGTCGAACATATGCAGGTAGGTGAACAGAATATACCGCAAGTTCAGGTTTTGCAGGGATGGAAGGCGCTTGAGCAGGGCCCCAAACGTTTGGTCGGGTATGTTATCGAAGCCTACAAGCTCGAGGCGTACCAGACTCGATCCTAGCGCCGCGATGGAGGAGAATATATACTTGTTAACGGGCCTCTCGCCACCCAGCTCGTTCGAAAGCGACACAGAATCGCCGCGCAGAAAGTTCTGAAGACGCGTAGAATTTCAGATCAATTCATCGTACTAGTAGATACATGCATACGTCCTTGACAAGTTCCTGGGACAGTAAATTAGGGCTTGTCGACCTGAGCATGTTGAAGATCTTCGGGATCATTACGTCCGGAAACGCCTGGAGTTGTTTCCTGTAGAGGTCCCATCCCTTCCGCGGTTCCCAGTAAGCCTGTTCCTTTGACAGTTTGTAGAAGTTCTGCACGAATACACGAGCGCAAATGGTAGTCAGGGATGGCACACCGGTACCCCGTTGTGGCGGTAGTGTTCGAACGGAGAACGCCGACGAGGAAGGAGCGTTGACTTGGCTTGAAGGAAGGTCAGCCTCAGAGGGCGCTCCGATGACGAGGGCATTGGTGCGGCGTCGTTTTGTGGGCCGTGAAGAAGAGGCGGATTTTGGAGGCATTGAGAGACTGACTCTGGAGTGCGAGTCGTGTCACGATGCAAGGTGTTGTTTGGTCTTGTTATGATCAGAGGCTGCCGCGTAGACAGACGGTTGCGCGGCAACAAGGCGCCTCGGGCCGGTCTCATGTCGATCATTGTGTGAGGTGCAGAATCTGTATTTATTACTTCATTATGTAGAGCAGACGGAGAAAAATCAACGAAGGAACCGATGGGAAAACGTGAATGAAAGAAAATCGCAAGAGAGTGCTCCGTAGGGCCGTACCGGGACAGTACAGCATGTAACGCGCGTAACGAACGACAAGGGATGAGAAAGCCTGAGATCAAAAGGGCCACAAAACAGATCTAGTAGAAGGAGCGTGAAAATTCCACCTGGCGGGCATGAGTCGGAGACAGGGCACGATTGTCCAGAGCATGACTGGATATACAGTGTATGTATGCGTTTGCATTGCACAGGGTTGTCACGATGAAAAAATACGAGGTGAAGGAAAGGTACGAGAGAAGCGAGAGGAGGGAGAAAGTCTAGGGATTACTACTACTTTGTACTACTACTACTACGAGCACAACGGCAGGCGGAGTCCAGGACCGACCGACTCGATGATTGATTGATTGATTGCAATTGATACAATGTGGCAGAAAGCGAAAACAAAACAGACAGAAGAGAATAATGATTGAAGGAGGGAATGATTGAAGAAAGAGCGGGGCAGGAAGACGAGTCTGGAGCGGAATGAAACGCGCAAGCAAAGGCACCTAAGATGACGCGACAAAGGAAAAGAACCTGGAATCTCGATGGCAGGAGGAAGAAGGAAAGAAGACGTCCGGCAGTAATCGCACGGACGAAAGTCTATATTATGTTTTTGACGAGGGTATATGAAGGTTGATAGCTGTAGAGGAGATTGTCAGCATCGACTGACGCACAATCCATAGACGAGCTTACCTCTAAACCACGTCAACGCGTCCGAAGTCGAAGACGCCTCAAAGTACAAAATCGCTTTGTTATCCACCAGCCTGAGCACTATTCCCCGCAAATCACATCAGCCGACTAAGAACCAGATCCGAAAGATGAAAAGCGACTCACCATTCCCATGCACGATACTCGCCGGCTGCGGTAACGTCTGCATCCTCAACACCGCCCACAGATCCACAAACGAATTCGGATCCTTCCCCTCGCTCGGGTCTCTACACAGCACCATCAAATCGTTGCACAAAATGCCCACCAACGCCCTCGGCGTCTGTTCCGGGCTCAAACAGTCCACTTGTACATTCGACGCATCGCCCTGGCTGTCGATCAGCTCGAACGCGATCGTCGCCTTCCGAACGACGCGGGTCAGGAGCAAGGGACCGTCCATGATGAGTCGTCGATGGGGCTGGACGAGCGGCGAGGGGAATCGGCCTCGGATCCGGGCTTGCCATTGGACGAGTTTGCGACGGGATTCGGATTCGCGTTTGCCTTCGTTCATGTTCGTGGCGAGGGAGGAGATTTCGGTGACGGCTTTGTCAAGGGGGTCTATGTATTCTGAGCTGCCAGGCGGTGTAGCTCGCCCAAGTTCCTCCAACTTCATCGACACAGCCCAACCATTAGGCATCAGTCAACAACCATTTTCGACAGACACAGACCACAAAGACTCACCAATAGCCGATACCGCGGTATCCTCTGCACGGGCAACAACAAATACCCCTCCAAGTTCAACTGCGAATGCCTCGGGTTCAGCCTACACCTCTTCAAGAACGACTTTATTCGTTTCCTCTGGCTCGAAGACAGCTGGAGGTTCGGTCCCGTCGAATCCGGTGTGATGCCAGGAGAGGAGATTGCAGAGATGGCAAGCCCAAGACCGACCATCTGTGCCCCACTCGAGGAGGGCGACATGGTCGGCGGACTGACGGTACCACCTGTATTGCCTCGATCGGTCACCCATTGCTTAATCCGTTGCACCGAGTTGTCAAAATTGCTGCACAATACATGCACAGTTAGCATAGTCCGTGCTAAATGAATAAGAGGAAGAAAACACTCACTTGATATACGAAGAATACATCTTCATAAACGGCGCGCTCGACACAAACGTATTAGCCACCGCCGTCGCCACCCTCGTCGACAACTGTCCATCCGCATCCTCCAACGCCAGATCCGACGCATTCTTCATCAACGGCGCCGCCGCCCTCTCCAGCGCAGGCAGGAAGCTCTCCTTGTGGAACGAGAACAGCGACTCGAGCCCGCCGAACGCGAGCTTGCGCTCCGCGGCCGGGATGACGGTCTCTTTCGCAGATCCGACGTTGCCGAGCAGGTTGACGGGCGCGGAGGCGGGTCTGATGTAGATGTCGTCGAGCTCCTGTAGACCCCGTACGTAGGTCCGTTCGGTCCTGTCAGACGAAGAGGGTACAGAAAAGTCAGTCCGTCAATCCTTCAATCTGTCAGTCAAGCGTTCCAACCCGCCAGAGGGATGATACGCCGCAAGGCAGCAGTAGCACAGGCCTCACGGCCTCACTCTACGCCTGGTAGACGCCACTCCACGAGAACAAAGGCCACGACTCAACAGAAATGATCGACTCACTCGACAATCTCCCTCACAATCATCGCCCTCTTCCCCGCATCGTCCTTATACTTCCTCTCCTCCCCTCCCAGGCCATTCGCGCCCCCCGAGCCCGACCCCGCACTATCCGTCGTCGCAACGCTCAACGTCTGACTCGTGCTCATACTCCTAATCCGCGCCATACTCTCCACCGACCTCAACTGCCCCTGCCCCTGTCCCTGCCCCAGACCCCCACTCCCACTGCTCCCAGCTTTGGACGGCGCGATCGACGGTGAACCAAACGACGATGACCCATCGCTCGAAACGACCCTATCCGCCTCCACAACCGTCGGTCTCCTCGACCTCTGTCCCGGTGCCACACTCGTCATACTCATCCCCGCCATTCCCGCCACAGACCCGTTCGCGCCCTCCGAAGTCGGCGAGCCTCCATACCCATACATCGACATCGTCGGCCCGACCTGTTGTTGTGTCGTCGGTGGCGGCAACGGCTGCTGCGCGAGCGAGAGATCGTTCATATCCCTCAGATACGCCATGACGGACCTCAGAGCCCTCATATACGCCTCCCGCATCCTCTCCTCTTCCCGCCGAATATACTGGTCGTTCGTCTCGATAGGTATCGGTGGTAACGGACTCGGCGTCCTCCTCTCGTCGTCTCCCGCGAACGCGTCGTCCCCTTCTGCATCCGTAGATACTAAAGTGGAAGTGTACGACGAAGAAGCGAACGACGAATGCGACTGTTGTTGATGGATGAAGGGCGACGGAGCCGACAGGCCAGAAGCAGCAGGCGAATCAATAGGCAAGAAACTCCTCCGCTTCGCGCTCCGGGTCGTTCCCGGACTCGTAGGCGAAATCGGCACGAACAACGACGGCGAACCTTGAGGCGAGCCCGAACCCGACGCCGAAGAAAGGTGGTATTGATGCTGAGTCGTCGTCTGATACGCAGAAGACGATCCAGGTCTCGAATCGCCTCCGTCTACGGAAGACTCATCGACGACGGACATCGTCGTAGGCGAGTACGAGAACGTCATCTCCGGTGGCGAATGCGCAGAGATATTGCCCATGTCCATACCGAGCGTGCCCGTCGAAGAGAGCCGGACGTCGATGGTGGGGTTATCCTTCGCCATCATCAGCCTCGCCATATTCGGCGTCGACGCGCTCCTGAACTGCATCTGTGCATTCGCAGCCCCGTTCTCTCCCTCCCCATGATGAATAAGGGGCTTGATCTGCGGCCTCGTATGGTTCTGTGCCGTCGACGCCTGTCCACCACTACCACCACCACCACCCGCCGTCCCAGGCCTCGAATTCGACCCCGACCCCGCCCCAGAATTTGATTCATCCCCCCTCATCTTCCCCATCGACATCTTCTTCAAAAACCCCCACCTCGTCCCCTTCTCCTTCCCCTCCGCCCTCTCCCTCTCCTTCTCCGCCCTCTCCCTCTCTTTATCCCGCTTTCTCCTCTCCGAAGCCTTCGCCACCAACCCCATCGTCTCTCCCTCCCTATCTTTCTCTCTCGTCACACTCTTACTCCTCGACCTATCCATCTGCGAAGCTTGGTGTTGCAGCTGCTGCTCTCGAACCCGCTTCTCGCTCTTCGAAGACCTCGTCGTCGACCCCGACGCTCTCGAGACCGCCGCCCCTGTCCCAGGGCCCGTGCCCTCATCCTGCGATTCCGTCCCCGACAAATTATCCCAGATCGACATATCGATCTTCGGTCGTACGGAACTCGTGCTCCGAGTCATCTCCCCAGGGAACCCAGAAGTCGAAGGTGAAGATGCAGCGGTCGATGAGGCGGACACAGCAGCAAGGCCAGCGTGCGGCCCCAGACTCGTACTCGTGAACTTCGAGTTTGTCGTCGATCCGGATAATAAATTCGACGTGGACCCCGACGTTCCGTAATGCGACAGCGCAGGCCTCGACCCATTCCCGTTCCCATTTCCGTTCCCATTCCCATTCCCGAATCCAAAAACGGAAGACGAAGAAGGCGTACCAGGCGCATACGTCGACGATGGCGTTCCAGGTCCTGTACCGGTTCCCGTAACGAACGAAGAAGAGGACGAAGCATACGAAGAAGCCGTATAAGGTCTCACCGCCGCCATATTAAACGACGACGGCACAGGCGTCATGCTTTTGTCCCCTCCCCCTCCCACGCCATTCCCATTCCCATTCCCATTCCCAACAGCCGACGCCGCCCTCCTCACGTCCCCCGCGCTCTTCATCCTCCTAATCTCCCTCTCCCCAAAATATCCCGAATCCTGATTCCTTCCCCCTCCCCCTCCCCATTGTCCTCCTGCTCCTGGACCGCCCTGTGGCCACTGCGCCTGCGAATCTAATCCCAATCCCCTCGACCCAGACGAATGCACACTATCCCCCGCGCTCTTCCTTGCTTTCTCGTAGTACGACCGATTCGGCGTCGTTCGCGTCCTGGCTATCGGTCTCGTCGGTGCGTCTCCTGGTCCTGGTGTTGACGCCGGTGCAGGTGCAGGTGCAGGTGTGGCAAAGTTGGAGTCGGCATTAGAGTCAGGATCGGGATCGGGATCAGGGTGTGGGTTAGGATAAGACGGCATAAGCAGTGGCGCAGACGGCAATGCAGGCGAAGGTAACGCAGGAACAGGCGCACGCGAGACGGCAGGAGTCGCGCCTCGTCCGGGCATGATCGTATCCTCGTCCTCCGTCGCGTTCCCATTCATATTCACACCGAGACCTACACCCGTGCCCAAGTGTTGCTGCGCAGGCGGCGAGCCAGAGGATTCGTCGCCGTCCGTGTCCGAATCGGGTACGATATTGTTGTTGGTGTTGGTATTGTTATTGAGGACGCTGTGTTTGTTGATCGAAGAAGACGGCCAGACGGGGGTGGAAGGCATCAGGCCCGGCGTCTGCACTTGCACGACCTCCCTCGCCAACAGCGGATCGACAAGGGCTTTCCAAGGACCCTGAAACGGATTCTGGTCCACGAGCAAGACCTCCAGATTCCCCAGTACACACAACCAGCTCGGCAACGCGTGCAATTTATTCCTCCGTATGCTCAATGTGTGCAGTTTGTCGAGCCCGCTGAGCTCGTGCGGTAATGTTCCGATGCCGGTCGAGTCAGCGATGAGGACGCGGAGGGAGGTGAGGTGGGCGATGAAGACGGGGAGGGCGCGGATGGGGTTGGCGGAGATGTTGAGTTCTTCGAGGGAGGAGCAGAGTTGGAGGGCGGGCGGGAGGGCGACGAGGTAGTTGCGGGAGATGTCGAGGGCTACGAGGGTGGGGTGGATGCGTTGCAGGGTTGGGGTCAGGAAGGGTGGGAGGGCGTTGGGCGTGCTCGAGGAGGCGAGGAGGAGGTGGGTCGTGCCTGGTGAGAGTGGTCGTGATACATAAATGAGATTGCAAAGACGGAAATAGAAATAGAGGTGACATATTGAGGGAGATGAAGGGGAGCGCCGTGGGAGGAAAGGCGGTTGATTGATTGGATCAAGGCGTTGGTTGGTAGGAGAAGAAGAAATACACAAAGGATGGCATATGAACATATGGACATACCGTTCTGGACCTGGAGTTGTACGGTGGGTACGCCCTCGCCGTGGACGATCAGGCCACGGCCTTCCTCTGCAAGGACGACGGCCTGGTGAGCCTCTTCTTCCTGGTCGTCGTCGTCGTCCAAATCGTCCTGATCGAGGTCGGTTTCGTCCGTCTCGTCTCCGCTCGTGAGATCGACCTCGTCCCGCTCTTCGACGGTGACGGGCTGCCAACTGGCATCATAGCTCTTCTTCGAGTTCAGAGGCGGACTTGTGTTCGCGCCGGCGTCATGCATGCCGTTGCCATTGGGCCGGACGAGGGAAGTTCTTGATCGTATACTGCCCGAGTAGGAATGAGACCAGCGTGCCTGGTCGATGGGAACACGAGAGTGGGAGTTGGAGTTTGGGTTTAGGTTTGGGTTCGAGACGAGCGCGGACGCGTGCGGATTGTTGACCTGGTCCGAGGTGATACCGACGCCTATGGCGAGAGGAGAGCCGGGTTGATCGTCCTCGTTGTCGGAGGGAGTAGCGACGTGAACGTGGTTACCGTAGTCACTGTGTGCGAGTGCGCTGCCTGAGGAGGTGTATGCAGAGGACCTAGTGGAAGCCGATGACGAGCCGGCGGAAGAGAGGGCTGGTGTGAGGGAAGCGGGAGTGTAGGTCGGGTGCGGTGGTCGGTAGCTCGCGTAGGGCGGATGGAGAGAGCCGTCTGGATGGGATTCGTCCGCGTCTTCAGGCATGCGAGAAGGTGAAGCAAAGACGGGCTGTCCAGACGAGGGGAACGCGTCGAGATTATTGTGTCGGGTCGGTGACCAGAGCTCGTCGGAGTCGATAGCGCGGGGAGCGGTGGACGGGGTCGGGGCCTGTGGGCGAGCGTGCATGGCCTGGACGGGTGTGAGCGGCGACGGCGGGGGTGCAAAGTTGGGGAAGCGACGGAGATAGGCTACTGCAGAACAAAGACAATAATCAGGCGGTGAGCATCGGCGCCGACAGCAAAGAGAGCAAGCTGAACGACAAGTCGCGTAACGGTCAAGGACAGAGAACGGTGGAGAGCAGAGCTCGCGAACGTCGCCGGCCCTGCCCTCCCGGCTTCCCATATATGGACGTCTCCTCCTCTGCAGAATACAGCACTCACAGTTCGCTTCCTCCACTCTCGTCTCTACCCACGACCCACTGCCATCCTCTAACCCATGCATCCACCCATTCATTCCCTCCACCGGCGTCGCCTCCGGATCGTCCACTGGCATCGCCGGCAACGGCTTGTCGTACCTCACCACCGATATCCTCAGTCCCTCTCCAATCCTCACCGGCTCCTCCATCGTGCTCAATATATCTATGTGGTCTATATGCCGCGTCCTGCGTGAGAAGTAGCCGTCAAATGCCACACACCAAATCCCAAACCCACCGTCAGCTCAAGGACCAGTAAACGAAATTATGAGACGACTCGGATTGAATAATTGAAGGAAAGAACGGGTAACAAAGAGCGAAACCGTATCCGAATCACTCACCAGCAGCAACTATTAGTAGCTCGACCGTCGAGGTCAAGCCAGGTCTCGGTCTAGTCCTCCAAACGAAACGTTATCCCTCTCGAATTCCCTTCCGTCTCGTCTCCTGTCTCGTTCTCGTGTCTAGTTCTGAGTCCAGTCGTGTCTTGTATCCCTGTATCCCTCTCCAGACGTCCACCGTTCAACGCCCAAAGCACAACCGAAATGGAAGCCCGCTTTGAAGCTCGAAAAAGTCCTCGCTTGATCGTATCGTCGTCCGTTCAAGCCTTCCTCGCCCGCTGTCGAGTCCTCCCTATGAGGCTGTTCAATCGTATGTATCCGTAACACACACAAACCCTCCGCGTCACCAAGCAACACCAGATAATTTTATCCGCCGCTAGCGTCTATGTAGCGTCCGAATCTCCCACTAGTGCCAGGTAATACTAGCGAGATTTGCTGTGCTTTTGATGGATGGATGGCCAAGCTTCAAGGGTGAGCTGATGTTTTTCGCTGATGTGATGATGCAGATGGCTCGCCAGTGACCAGTCTAGTTCGCCCGGTTCGGTTGATCTGACTACCCAGCCAGTCCCAGTCGGTTCGCCGGTCCAAGAGGCTCGCAAACCAAAACCACGACGAACGAACGGAAAAAAAATGTATTCGGCCCACGGTCTACGGCGCAGCGCAGCATAACGTCACAATAATTCCTAAGTTAGATCTATTTCGACCATTCATCCTGCCAATGCCAACGCCCGATACAGTATGGTTCTGCATCGGGGGCGAACTTCGCCGTTTTGCGCTTTCCGGTCTCCGTTCGCCAGTTCGCCACTAGTACTGCACTGCGCCGCCGCAGTCATTGCAGTGGCGAGCGCAGACCAAAGATTTAACCCATGCTTCGTATGAGGGGGACTTGGACTGAGGAGGACATGGACTGAGGAGGACGTGGACTGGGAGGACCTTGTACCTACTATGTACTCAGCAGTGGTCACGGAGTCGGTCCACACGAATACATATGCATATACGCATCCCGAAATCCTTCATTCTCCCTCCACATGGAGATTTCCTTCATCCCCCGAGAAACCCATGCGACATATATCATAAATGTCATACAGCTTTTCAGGCCCACTAAACACCTACCACACAAACGCCAAGCCCACGCCCCAAACGCTCATCTCGCTCAATACTTATCACTTACAGTAACGACCATCTCAGGCATCATTGACATGCGGGTGGGGCGCTGAAGGCCTTACACTGATACTGTAACTTCAACCGAGATTGAACATACATACTACGAATCTACGATACCGGCCATCAGTGATCACGCCTTCAAACCTCCGAGCGGTTCATCATGTCCGGTTTCGTGGTGGGATTGGTATTACACAGAGGAGGATTGCCGTGAGGGCTCTGCACAGGCCGGTATGTTCATATGCACCGTGGGTTTGAGCCGGACCGTACTGCATGTACGGCTGGAGATGGAGATGGAGTGAGCTCGGCGTCCGACTATAGCTTGAAGTTGAACGCGCCGGACGGACGGACGGACGGACGATGGGATGAGTGTGTCGCAAGAAATATATCCTATATGCATTGTATTCAGCGTACGACAACCCCTCAAAAATCATACAAATCAGGTTTATCGCTCCTAAACGCGACCTTCTTCCTCTCTTTCTTCGGCTTCGCTTTCTCCGCCGTATCCATATCTGTTTTGGCGGCAGCCACATCCCCAGCGCCCTCATCGACTCTCACCTCCACCCTCGCCACCGCCTTCTCCTTCTCCTTCGCCCCACGTGCATGTCCATGCTCATGCCTCCCCTCTACCGCCCCCACCACCCCACCCACCCCCGTCCCCTCACCCCCAGCCTTCTTAGTCCTCCTCTCCCCCACTCCCCCCTCCACATCCAAACTCAACCTCTCCACCACCATCCTCTTCCTCAAACACCTAAACGCCAAATTATTCTCTCCTCCGCCTCCCGCCTCGCCCAGACCTCTCAACGTCGAGAACCGATCGGAGGGCGGGAGGAGGGTGTGTGGGTTGGGGAGGGTGAGGATGCGGAGGAGGCCGTGGTGTGAGGGGAGGAGGGAGGTTAGGGCCGGGTCGGCTGTGTACCAAACACCAGTAATCAAATATCATAAAAGTTGAAATAAAAATAAATGGTTAGAGAAGGTGGTAAAGTGAGTAGCGAAAAAGCCCAGAAAGAAGAACGTACCGCTAAACGCCTCAAAACAAACACACCCATCGCTCAACCATCCTAATTTCTCCGGCCATCCCTGTCCACCCCACGTCTCGCTGGAAAGCTCGGGCGAGAGCGAGATGGTGGCGCAGGCGTGGGGGTGCGTGCGTAGGAGGTGGCGGAGCGTGTGTAGGAAGCGCGTTATGTCCTATTATTGTCGTTGTAGGAAGGTTTTTTCGGCGGTTTTTGTGCGATGGGTTTTCGTTGCCATGTCGTGTGGGGTTGACGGGCGTAAGGATGGAAAGGTTAACGCCACCGCCACCGCCACCATCATAGAAGGAAAACAAGGAACATCCAAAAAAAAAAAAAGAAGAGAAGAGAAGAAAGAGAACATAGATCAATATAGACGTCTAGCATATAGCGCTAGAAAAAACAAACAAAAAATACGTACCACAGGCGTCAAATCGCCCCATTCGGGCGAACCCAGCGAAGGCACGCATATCCGCACGGGGATTTGTGCATCCGAGCGCTCCAGCATCTCCTTCAATTTTCGCAATATCGATTGCATGGAAGTGATATTATGTGATTCGCACGAGGAGGGGGTTTCAAGAAGGGGAAGGGGAAGGGGAAGGGTGTGTAGGAGGGATGATTTGCGGGCTTGGGAGAGGATGATGGGGGGAATGCGATTTGTGAGGTCGAATGTACGGCAGAAGTCCTCGTTTGAGCTGTTGAGTCCAATGTATCAGAGATCAGTTATGTTTTGCTCCAAGGAAGTAGATATATACAGGCATGAAGGCATCGGGAGGAAATATATGTATTATCGACGTGTGGCGAGACGATCCAGAGTGCGAACTCACATACGCGTTCGAAGCGTTCACCGTCGTCTGAAACTTCTTCATCTGCTCATACCTCCACGCGATCTTGATCTTACTCCCTTCCTCACCCTCTCCATCCTCTCCATCCGTCTCCTTTTCACCGTCATCCTGCGCCTGTTCCTGCCCCTGCCCCGCCTTTAAACCGCCGACTCCGGGCATCCACATACATTCCTCCACCCACTCTTTCTCCTCGATATTCCCCTGCCCACCAACGACCCATACGGCCATCCCACCCGCCAATCCCATGCTAACGGCATACTTGCATACTAGTTCTCCGTACGCCGAATGCACATCTGGTGCGAGCACGAGAAAGGAGCAAGAGAGGGGGAGACCACCGCCGAGGATATCATCGAGTGAGGGGAGACCTGTTGAGGTGAGCAGAGTAGATGACGAGGTTGGAGAGGGACGGAGGGAGGGATGCGAGCTCAAAGACGACGGGTGTGGCGAGGCAGACTCAGGAGTGGAGATGCTGGGAGGTTCGGAGGTCGATGGGATAGACGGTGTCTGAGATGTAGAAGTAGATGGCTTAGTTGAAGGAACGCGTCGCTTGAAGGAAGACATATTCCGCCCTTTTTCCTCTTGAGAAATATTTACAATATCGGCGAGGATGAGATGATCGTAGGTCGACCAAGAAAAGATTTCTGCGTCCAAGTCGTGAACTCGGCAGCTGTCGGCAAACTCCGTAATGGATCCTTCACCCTCAACCTCCATGGCCACCTCCTCCAAACCCAGTTCACCTACTCCTCCTCCTCGTTCACCATCACCCACATCCCATTCCGACGATCATGAAGATGAAATTCCAGAAGAACCGCAGACAGATGAAGATATCCAGGTGTGTTTATTATACACCTACATTCCAAGAGCGGCGCTTACCTGGATTGTGGCCCAGACATGCCTCCGCGATGCCGAAGCACTTAAGGTAGAAGGTAATGATCACTTCAGAGCATCGAGGTGGAACGAGGCACTAGCGTCGTACAGAAGTGCATTAGGAAGATTACCAAGGCGAAAGTTCGTGGAGAGGAAGACAAAAGAAGGTGCGAGGGGTAGGAAGAAGTGGGATATAAAGGGGAAGGGGAGAGAAGACGGAGACGAGGACGAGGAGAAGGCGAAGGAGAGTGTGGATGCTGCAGTATCGAGCAGCAGTGTGCAAGCAGAGCCAGGAGAGGCTTCCGGGGCGGCTGAAGAGAAGGAAGACAAGGCAGAGGAGAAGGAGGAACCTGTGAAGCTTAGTCCGCTCGAGATGGAGTGTGCAAAGGCAAGATCTGTGCTAAATGCCAATATTGGGGCATGTCACATCAAGCTGGTACGTCCAGTTTATTCTTCGTTACTTCGTCAAATATTATGCCCCTGTCATGACATGTTGATCCTCGACTGCATCATAATATTTAGAAAGAGAATGCCGCAGCGGTAGAGGCTTGTACGGAAGGTATGAATTTCTTTTATTATGAGTTGGTCGGCTTCCTGCTTTCTGATAGCTGTATCCAGCCCTTCTGGACGATCCATCTTACATCAAGGCGCTTCAACGACGAGCTCAATGTAACGAAGCCCTTAACACTTGGTCTTCATTGACCAAAGCTCAAGAAGGTCTGTATTCCCATCACATTCGCATCTACCATAATTATTTCTTCTTCTCTTCTGTCAACCACCATTTACTGACGCAACCCCTCAATCTGGCTTCGGACCCCCTATACGCCACACTCTCCGCCACACTTCACTCAGACTACACAACCCTGCTCGACCTCCTTCCTGACTCTTCCCCACAACTCCGAGACGTAAACCGTGCCCTCACACGGCTTGGACCTCGAATCGAGGTAGCACAGAAGCAGGAGCTGGAAGAGATGATGGGCAAGTTGAAAGGGTTCGGGAACAGTCTTCTTGGTAAGCAATAATTTCTTCTCTCAAGCCCTCGACGAAATGACGAATGGGTGGTCGATGTTCCTGCGTTGGTGAATCAGGCAAGTTCGGTCTATCGACGGACAACTTCAAGTTTGAGCCGAATGGACAAGGAGGGTATTCTATGAATTTCGCGCGATGACTGTTGTACTCTACATGTATTTTACATTGCGAGCTATGGGACGGACGTTAGAAGGTATATTGACCTCCTGGCGGCGAAAGACCAGTAATGACGCCGAACTAGTTACCGCCTCATCCACGACCGACTTCGGCTAATGCGGGGCCAACAGAGAGCTCTGCTCTGTAGAATCCACGCGGTGTGCAGGCGTCGGCGATTGTTGTCGTGGGAGGGATGTTGTTGGAGTTTGGTTCCCCGCAACTGTCAAGACATCTCAATCTTTCTTGCGGGTCGCCCCTGCTTCCTTCCGTGAAGCATCAATGACTTCGGTACCTGTAAGGTCAGCGTATCCTCCAGCGAACGATCCGGGGCCAGAACACCCCAACCGGAGCCCTTCTCCTTGACTTTCGCAGCGTGAGTTTGTTTGGGCCTTGAAACCATCGGTCTATGTACCATCTCCTCCCTCGCAAGCTTCTCCTGCTCCGTAAACCATCGCAAACTATCCACGGTGTCTGGATGTTCCTCCCCAAGCACTTTCCTCCTCCCCTTCACCACCTGACTACTAATCTCCGCCGCCTCTGCATACCTGCCAGGCCGCGCAATTGCGAGGGCCAGATTCTGCATGGTCATCAACATTGACACGTCAAGATCTTCACATCCCTCTCTTGGCCGCGTAAGGCTCCTCTGCTTCTCCAGAAGCTTCCGACACATCAACTCCGCTTCTGCCCTCCGTCCCTGGACGAGAATTGAAAACCCCAACCACGCATAACTCTCCAATGTCTCCTCATGCGTCTCCCCCAGCACCTCCAAACGTGCTCGAAACGCCTCCTGAAACAGATGCTCTGCCTTTCCATACCACTCCGGTCCTTGATTCAATATCGAAAGGCCAAGGCCGTGTTTCGTACGCAGCGTCGCGGGATGATCCTTCCCGAGGACTCTGAGCTGCGTAGAGAGAAGGTCCGCAAACATGTTTTCTGCGTCGACATATCGGCCCTGAAGATAGACCGAGCGCGCGAGGATGAAGTCGCTCTCCAATGTTTGCGGATGGTCTGGACCGCGCGTGATCGTCCTTCTGACGGTCGACACTTGGCGGAGGGTGTGTTCGGCTTCAAGGTAGCGGCCTTGCGAGAGATATTGCATCCCTCGATTGAGTGTGGGTGGGATCCACCATGGCGATCCGGGGAGGCGACCTTTGGCTATGTCGATGACGGTGTTGAGCCATCCTGGAATCGCGGTTCGGCTACTCAGTCCTTCGACGGTGGCAGGCATGTTGATCTCGCCGAAGGATGAGCCGCAGTGAATGGGAGGAATACGGGATAGTGTTGATATTGTTGCGGAACGCGTAGATTTGTTACTGTCATCGGAGGGTTTGAAACAGCCTGCGTAGAGCGACGTCGTTAGCGGTGAACATGTATCACGAAAAGCCAGAATTTCTCCCACCATTGTTGAGTTCTCTTGTCGAAATCACGCATCGACGGCTAGAAAGCACATCGACCGTGTCCTTCATCATTTTACTCGCCTGTGATGTCTTCAGGTATGTGTCTATGTGCATTTCGAGGTTAGACGCGTCCACTGTCCGGTCCCAGTCGTTGTATTTGTCCGCCTTCAGATCCACAGCACGCGTGACATCGAAGTGAAAGTAAACGCCAGGGGTATCCGTGAAATATTGACCATCTGCATCTGCTTATGTCTCCGTCAGTCAGTGATGTAGGGCTCCCGGACTATAACTGACCTGTACCAAGGCTGACGATACACGCAACATATTCTTTGGGAAAGACTCGATATGCCTCTTCGATCAACGACTGAATAAGGTCGACCCGTTTTATTCCTGGGCCATTGTCAACACAAGTAACTTCAGAGTCGAAAGAGTCCCTTCGGTGAAGTTTGGACTGAAAGATGGGGTAGGTAGTGGCTATGGTCGCGCGAGCGGCTTCCAAGATGGTATTACTGTCGTTGTCAGAACCATGCCCGTGGCTAGCGCTATGTGTGTACGTTGTAAAGACGCTCCGGGTGTGCTTGATGGAAGGGGGCTTGTAACCATCTGACTCGTCCATCGGCTGTGCGGATACGAAGCTAGATCATGTTACAACTTAGCGCATAGTCGAAATGGGAGCTCAAGGACCAAGTTGGTGACACCCTGATACATACACTTTACACTGTGATGAGCCTTCTTCCTCGACCATTTTACTTTCGCTATCCCCCGTCGTCGACCGAATGATCTGTCGGAGAGTATTCTCCAGATTGAACTTCTCGGTCATGGATGTTGATGACGTCTTGGAAACTAGATTGATGAAGAGTGCAGTGTACGCTGTGATCGCTTCATCAGCGCTCATCCGAAGACGCCCGAGTAGGAGAGCGATTATGCTAAATAAAATTATGTGCCACATCACACGTTGAGCGATGACCTTGTACGAGGAAGCGCTTGCGAGGAACTCACCCGCCAGTGCCATGCCCTGCTATCATATCGAAGTACTCGCATGGACGGGGGAGTAATTCGAGCTTGCGTCGAACTTTCAACTGGCTCATCATCTCTTGTAGAATGGAAAGTTGGGAGAGACCGTGATCGCCGCCAACTGCGTCTAGTTCAAAAACACGAGGTAAGAACTGTAGACCTGGGATGGAAGATCAGAGATATTAAATACTTACCGAGGGAAAGCAGTCGAAGGCTGCAAGGTGATGCCGAGGAGGACATGTCAACGGAACACGCTGAGAGTTTGTTCAAGTTGAAGACGGAGGAGCGTGGTGGGGATGGTGGTGGTAGAGGTCTGAGCCTTGATTTGAAGTCAAGGCTACCATGCGAATCGGTACTAATCATAAATCATTCGAGAAGGGGCTGTTACTATTTCGGAAATAGACGGCCTGAATGCGGTCGAGCACTTTGATCTCAGCGGCGAACTTCGCCGTGCAGGCAAAGGAGAATGTTCGTGATGGATAAGTTTGGTCGATATTGGGACACCATTGTAACGCTTGGCTGCCAGAGTGGCATATACAGGAACAACACGAAACAAATCTTCAGGTATTGAGATGTTATAGAAGTAGGCGTCAAGCTCATGGAACAACACGAAAACGTTTGTTACTTGGTGCTGTGCCTACAGCCTTGTAGCTTGAAACAGACGGCGGTGCTACCAACAAGTATGATCCGCATAGGGTTCGGAGATTTCCACAAACCCACGGTATTTTTCCCGGCTCGAAAACGCGACCATAGCGCCATGACTACGGTCGTGGAAGTTTGAGCCCTTGGCAGCGACACACTGCTTGCTCCAGATCATCCGTGTTCTGTTGGCCTTTGGCAGGCATGCAAAGTAGTGAGAGATTACTCGTCGATGTAGGTCATAGTGTTCGGGAAGATAGTGGCCTTGCTGAACGGATAAATCTGCGCATAGATAATTTTGTGTCTGAGCATGTGCCACACCACACGGCGCAGGACTAGTTATATCGAGCGAATGGAGGACAAAGAAGGGAAATGACTCAACACTCACTCTGGCAAACATATGTCCTCTCACTAAGCCCATAGGTACCGGCCCATAATCTCTCGAATCCGTGCTCCAAGTCGCATTATCCCCCGCCACCCAGATATGTCCCTTCGGCACTACCGCATGTTCCGTAGAGGGCGCCTTCAAGCCTGTGGGATCAACGCATACGATATCTCCGGGTAGACCAATGATACGTTTACAGACTACACGTGAGGGGCTGAGCGGGGAGTGAAAGGTTATCATGGAACCGCGGTGGAGGGAGGCTGCGCCATGACGGTAGAATGAGAGGCGGTTCTCGAGGATGGCTTCGCCGTGAGTCGACATTGTGGGAAGCATGGAGGGGCCATAAACCTGCGTTAGTGATTGCATCCCGAGATTAGACAGAGAGCAGTGGAGAAAGATGTGAGTATGGTTGAGTGTAGAAGGCAGGTGACTGAAAATCTGGTACTGACTTGCTGGATTGAACCAACATACTCGACAAAGAGATGATATGCGCAGAAGAAATTCACCCCCTATGCAGAGCATATGTAGAACATGAAGAGACGTTTAGGGTATCATTGACAAAGAAAGAGCTGCGAACGTAGAGAAAGCTCATCCCAACATCTACAGGTGTGGCACGATTGGGCCAGGACCTGACATTCCTGAAAAGGCCATTGGTGAACAATCTGTTCATGAACCTATTCTGCTGACGCTACGCCGAGGAATGTCGATTCGGAGAGAGTCAGCTAACAGTACGTTGCAATTGGAGTGGATATGGATGTGGGTGAGATACAAGGCGCTCTGGTCGAGCACGTGTAGCTTATGATCCTGCATGATCCACTCCAAACCCACTCTCTTCCGAACCACTTCCACACCGTTCTTTGCCGCATCGTACAAGCACCGGCTGGCCATCCCATCCCTCTGAGTTTGCTAGGTGTTCGTGTACTCGATCTTGGTATGCTGCTGGTGCGGCACGAATTCACGGGGTAGTGTGGACCTTCATCTGTTCTCCCAAGGCGTTGTGCGAAGGAAGTACCTCGATTGGGCAAATTTATGTCTCACACCCACTTCGAATCCTCAGATCCTCAGAGATAAAGCACTCCGAGATGCAGACCCATTTGCTTTTGCTTGAGAATCACTAGACAGACGTCGAAGTGAATGTGGTCATCTCCGCGTCATGCGTGACCGCACCTACTCAATCGAATACTTATAGCTCGCTCTTGTCGACTATCCGAATCGCAAGCATCCTCTGCCCTGTCCTCCCACTCTCAAGAGTCTCAACTGCCACCAAACTGGATCTTACGCCCGCGCTTTCTTTCCTATGCCTACCATTCAAGATTCCAAGTGTGTTCTCGTTGTCGGAGCCACGGCGGGCATCGGTCGCGCACTCGCGCTCGCCATCCATGATCTGCCCTCCAAGCCGACGGTTATCGTGTCTGGTAGAAGACAAGAGCGTTTGGATGAACTTGCCAAGAAGAGTGACAGAATTCATGGCGCGAAGATTGATATCGATGCGGATAGGGAGACGTTGGTTAAGACGGTAGACGGTGTGCTGCAGAAGTATCCTGAGGTGTGTTCTTTCTGTCAGTTGTTCTAGTATGATTCCGCAATGCTGACCTTACTCTTGCCTCGCATTGATTCTAGATTGACGGCGTTATCTTCTCCGCTGGCATCCAGAGAGAATTCAAGTTCAAGGAACCGGAGCAAATGAACCTGGACAGTGCGTTAGCTTTCTGCATCTCGCCATGTGTACTTGGTGTTCATCTGGTATACAGGTCTCTACAGCGAGTTCAATACCAATTATCTCTCTATTGTGACTATGATTTCGAAGTCCTTCTTACCGCATTTCTATAAGGTCGGTGTACGCCTATTTCCATGCGATTTATCTATATATTGACGAGAGCGATAATGTATCCCCTCGGCTACCTATTAGAAGCAAGGCCACCCTTGCTTTGTCTCTCCTGTCACGTCCGGACTCGCGATCGTCCCCGGTCCTTGGGTCCCGAACTATTGTGCAACGAAGGCCGCGCTCCATAGTCTGAGTCTCTCGCTCATCAAGCAATTGGAGGGCACAAATGTCCAAATCATGGAGATTATCCCTCCGTAAGAACATCGCCCACTGTCGATGGCTCACCCTTGTCGTTACTGACTATTCTCGTGTTCTCGTTGTCTATTCAGTCTCGTTGAGTCCGAACTTCACGACTGTGCGTTTTTCCTAGAATGTCATGTCCCCTTCATTCCAATGCCTTATTCTCATTATCCATAGACGAAGGCACTACGGAGCGTCTCTCTAAAATTTGGATGCCACTCGACGAGTTCACGAACACTGTCATGGACGGTCTCAAACGCGGTGACCCTCAGATCGCGGCGGGGATGTCGAAGAAGCAGTATGAGAAGTACGAGCAGGATAAACTGTCGGCCATGATCAGCATGCCCGGGAAGTGATATCGTCGTTCACGTACAATCGGTGCTCCTCTTCACTTTAAGGAGCAGGGGGTCCCGTCACTAAGTTTAGGGTGTGTAGGACGAATTATTTCTGGGATCACACAAATACAACACTGCGTGTTTTCATCTAAGCGGGTCGTGCACTCTTGATGTACGACCTCTTGGGGTATGTAGTCGAAACCCAAACTCATGCCGCACAGGCCAGCGAACAGAGGCGCCACACATTGGAAGTGCCACACCGACAATCACTGATAAGATTAGATCCATTTCTCGAGTCTCGTCCAATTCTCGTCCGTCTTCTGGACCACCGAGTCACTTCGACCTGCTCAAATACTTCAGAGCTTGGCGTCCTCCTCTCTATTAGATCTACCCTCACACCCATCTACACCCATAACCACAAAACTTGATTTTCATACGAGATGTCTGGCTCTGACAAGGCTTTCTGGTTGCGCTGTGAAAAGAAGGAGTTTGAGCGTCGTGCGGCGCTCACTCCTACCACCGCTAAAAAGCTCATCGATGCAGGCTTCGAGATCTTCGTCGAGCGCGACGAGCAACGTATCTTCGACGATTCAGAATACGAGGCGTACGTTCCATGTCTCTATCGAGACGATCATATCTGTCATTACTGATGAACCCTTGTGCAATCCGTATGTCTTCCACCTTACATAGCGTCGGCTGCAAGCTCGTAGACCACAACTCTTGGCCCTCTGCCCCGACGTCAGTCCCCATCATCGGGCTCAAGGAGCTTCCCGCCTCCGACTCTCCTCTCCCGCATACACACATTCAATTCGCCCACTGTTACAAGCAACAGGCAGGCTGGTCTTCCGTTCTCTCCCGTTTCCACCGCGGCCACGGGACGCTCTACGACCTCGAATTCTTGAACGACGCTGCTGGACGGAGGGTCGCAGCGTTCGGCTTCCATGCTGGTTTTGCAGGCGCGGCTGCTGGTGCGTTGGCTCTTGCTGCGATGAAGGAAGGAAATACTCTGGGGAGGTTGGAGCCGTATGTGAATGAGGCGGCGATGGTAGAGGACTTGAAGGCGAAGTTGCCGGGAGGGAGTGGGAAGGGAGTGAAGGCTTTGGTCATTGGAGCTTTGGGAAGGTGTGGTAGGGGTGCTGTGGATCTGTTTAGGAAGATCGGGCTGGATGAGTGCGTCTTCATCTTATAGCTCCTTTTTCCGTATTTTATGTTGCTCATCTAACATCGTTCTGATCACACGTTTCATCTATCTCGTCTTACAGAGATGACATCGTGAAGTGGGATATGGCGGAGACCGCAAAGGGAGGTCCCTTCCAAGAGATCCTCGACGTCGACATCTTCGTCAACTGCATCTACCTCACATCCAAGATCCCCTCCTTCGTCACCGCCGAGACGATCGCCGCCGCTGGCAAGTCACGCAAGTTGAGGGTCGTAGTCGACGTCAGTTGCGATACGACGAACCCGAACAACCCGATTCCGATCTACAACATCAACACGACGTTCTCGGAACCTACGGTCCCCGTTGCGGGTATTGGGTGCGCTCATCGTCACGTCTTTGTTACCCCTGCGGCTATTAAATTTAATTTCTGGTGTTTAGTGAGGGCAACCCACCCATGTCCGTCATTTCCATCGACCATCTCCCCACGCTCCTTCCCCGCGAAGCCTCTGAACAATTCAGCTCCGACCTCTTGCCTTCTTTGTTGGAGTTCCCCAACAGGAAGTCAGCTCGCGTGTGGACGGATGCCGAGAAGCTCTACCAGGAAAAGTTGGCCGAAGCAGTCAAGGTCGAGGGGCTTTGAGGGAGTCGTTGCCACCAAACTGCTTAAAAGTGCCTGCGAGGAACGAAGAAGGAAGTACAAAATAACTTATTGAAGTTATAGCGGTTTGTTTGTTTGTTTGATTAGATGTGCTAGAAGGTGTTCAAAACAAAAGTTGCTACTCATCGCTACCTACAATCCTCGGATAAGGCAAATCCAGAAGTGGCGCCACCACACGCCACACGGATTCAGAACCTACCCTTTCCCGGTCAGCAGTGGGCACAGCACCGATCTCAATTACATTGAGTCGGAGAGCTGAATTACTCACTCCCCGAGACATTGTCAAATAAACCAGCCCCTATCCTTTTCCATTCAATCTTACCGTCATCGAGAGGAAGGAAATCCAAGCACTGTTTGTCATCGGGCCCAGCAGTCCATGCAAGGCTCAGATTGTTTAACAAGCGGTCGAGTATACTCTACGATTGGTATAAGTATTAGTGACGGAATTCCCGCCGTTTCTCCGAGACTTGCGCATCGTCTCAGATGGTGGACTGGTGGGCGTTTAAGAGCAGGTTCTTGTTGTGGTGGTTTGTCTCACGAAAACCCACATCTTCTCTGCTCCATATACCTTCTACGCATAGGCCTTACCAGAGCACCACACCCTCTATACACCATGTTCAACAAAAGCTCTACTACTGCGTCCGAGACCGAGAAGGTGTCGTCGAAGTGCAACGCCAGCGCCCGTGGCATCTCAGGTACGTGCTCCCTCTTTCCTTTTGCTCTTGAATGCTGTTGCTTACAGGTGAGACTATGCATACAGAGAAGTCCCGTCCCGTCAGCGGCCACACCCAAGCCTTCAAGACCGTAGCTACTCGTCTCCGCCCAGACCTTGTGGCAATCATCAACTTCTTCAAATTCCAGGGAGGAGAACAGGAAGAAGATCAGCATGGAGTGCAGGAGATGTATCCTGGAGAAGCAGCTTGGGATGCTTTTGCGAAGGAACATCTTGGACCACGGGTGATCGGTGAATACGTGAAGGATGGAGATAGGTTTCGGATGGTCCAGCGTGTTTGGGGGTCATAAGGCTTTGTATGGTTGGCGGTGCATTAAATTGTGGTTTCTTCGTGTCAGACCGTTTCGTGTGTTTAGTTTCGAACGGAATATTTTATTTTTCCTTTACGTGTTCATACCTCGTACGTGCAATCAGTTTTTGTTTCCTTCGCCTCTGGTTCTCTGCTTTCTATGTATAATTGCTTGTCATCAAATCCCAATATTCGGGTGGAAGAGTAGACTTCGCTGAAGGGCCCAGTTGTAGGACGTGGCTATTTGCCTGCGGTCAGAGGGAGCGCGAAGTTCTTTGGCGACGGAAAGGCCGATCTCGCTGTATTTGGAGAAAACGATGAGAGTGAATAGTGTGATACGTAGACCCCGAGCCAAAGTAAGTGAAAACGGTCTGCGACAGTGAACAATCATCGGAGGGATTCAAGTGGTCTACGTCTTCCTAAGTAACTCGAATGAGGTGGGTAATGGAACTAAGAACGAACCTTTCCAGCACCATTGTCCGGGTGCGAACTCTGGCATTTTGATTGTGTCTCTTGTGGCATCGATGGAAAGAGCCGTTTTGGACAGCGTTGTACGGCGAGGTGTTGCTGCGTCTGTGTGGAGTGTTATCATGTTAACAGTAACTCGATTGACAAGACAAGGACTCGTAGCTCAAGCATACAACCTCGACCAAAAGGACTGCTAGAATCATAAGGTGGTCGCGACCACGATTAGTGGACGACGCGAGTGCACTCGTGATGCGTTCGAGTACCTCTCAGGGCTCTTTGAAGAGCATGTAGCTCAAATGAAAGCCGTAAGAGAGCATTGATCAACGGTACAACTCTTACTGAGGCTTTCATCGACAGCCTGACCCTCGTAGGGTGACGGTGGTGTGAAGAAAATATCGCTCAATTTGGTATGGTCTCCACCCGAGGACTATGGATTTCGTACAGGTTTATAGATGATCGGCTGTCAAAGGTTTCGACTCCGAGTCGGCAACGCGAAGTGAAGATCGCAGCCCTTTGGCCGCAGAACGGCATCAGGTAGCAGATCGCGTCAAATAGAGCGAAATGTACAGATGTTTTCCGCCATGGGAAGTCATCTAGTTCTACATTCCTGTACCATCGAGGAAAGGAAACCGCCCGCCAGATGACAAGAAGGGCAGAAAAAACATAAGTTATCAGGTACGCCTGTTCCACCGGGAAGTGATGAGAACATGTCTCCAAGACATATGCTGCGCAGTGCGGAAATATTTGGGTGTGGCGAGAACATTGCGGTTGATGTCGTCTCCAAGCTTCAAGATGTTCAAGCCAGCTATACAGTAGAGCAATTCTTCACAGAACGCAAGTAGACTGGATCAGAGCATATAGCAAGAGTCGTGGTTCGAGACAAGATTGAAGCCGTGAGAAGAAACGATTGAGCGGCCTGGCTTGAGCCAGACGTGGCGCGCCAAGGGGTTGAGGTAACCAGGTTGCTACGGCCGGCCGTAGTACGGTCTTCAACGACGCTTAGCGCAGCGAACACACTATTACTACGCCCCGACCGCGAGGATACATAAACACAGCCGACTTGACACGCTACCACTATAAAGTGCTGTCTTCGGTCTTGTCTTGTTTCCTCTTCCTGTCTTTATTTTTCTCTCCTTTTCACATCCTTTCTTCTCTACTTTGGGCTCCCTTGTTTCGCCTGTGTCTTTTGACAATCGCTTGCCAATTACACCGGTGCTGGTCGCCCATCCTAATCTCGACAAGTTCGCGAGCTCGTTCTACCGACTTCTCTGCTCGACCGCAGCCTCCATTTTTAAACCCGTCGTCCGTCCGTCCATCGCCATGGATTGCCTCTCTTTCCAACTCCCACAGATCTCTATCTCCTCCGCCCCACCCACCAGCCCTCCCTCGGCCGAGCCGTTCTCTCCCTTCTCTGGTTCTCAACTTCTGTCTGTCGAGGTCCAGGATTCCTACAGGCCGTCGCTTCTCAGCCCACCACCAATGCACCCTCCGAAGATCTCTTCTCCGCTCCGCCCAGTTGATGGCAACGCTCTGAAGAAGGGCATTGATCAAGACCGTTTCCAGGCTCTGCTGACCGCAACAAAGGAGCGAAACGCCACTAGTACGAGCAGGAAGTCTGCTGATCTTCGCAAGGAGATCGCACTGAAGACTCACAAGAGCAAGCAAAGTATGTTGATCTTCCCGTTTCATCGTATGATGCCCGTCCATCCTAACGCATTCAAGTGGAACGCCGTGCTCTCTTCCTATCCAAGGTCCAGGCACCTCCTTCGCCTACCGCTACGACTACGCCGAAGACGCCACCAGAGTCGCCTGCGATCTTCCACTACTCGCTTCCGTCCCCTGGTCTCGTCTCGCCACTCGCCTTGTACGAATCTATGAATATGGAATATGACCACGGCATCCCCGTTTCTCCTTGGATCGAGCAGGTTGACTTCCGCCTCCCTCTTGAGAAGAAGGCCCCATCGTTGGTTCCGAAACGTCCCTCTACACAACCCCGCACTCACTCACTTCCTTCTCTGGACGAGATCACCGCCCGCCTAAGCAAAGATAGTAGCGTGCCTGCAACGCGAGAATCATCAAGGCCTCATCGCCTCCCTACCTTCTTACGTCAAGAGCCTACCCCAAAGATGCCCACCATCGTCGTTTCGAACGCTGATGCTTCTCCAGCACCAACGCAACGACCACGTCTCAACCTTCCATTTGGCGTTTCACGGCAGACGAAACCCTCCACCCCGGTAGCGCAATCCACAAGGACGACCGCCGAGCGACCTAAGCTCGCTATCCCTACGTCTACATCTAAAGCATGCGGGCCGCCGGCTTCACCCCGCTCTCCGTTGTTGCAAGTTACGACGACCATCGTTCCTCCATCCAGCGCGGCTTCGCCGAGAAACCTCACCGAGACCAACGTCATCGCGCTGAACTCTCGGGTCCGCACCGCTCGCGATATGATGTCCACGCTCAGGAGGAGAATGAGCTGTTCGCCTTCGGATTGTGGCGTCGTAGGGCACGGTGAGGTTTCGGTGGAGGAGAGGAAGCTAAGGAGGATCAGCGCCCCTGCTGAGTTACAGAGGCGCGAACGCATCGAGTTCGCGCATCCGGTACTCAGCATGCCTGGTGGATTCTGAGGAAAACATAAGAAGATATCTGATGGCATTTCGAACGGTCAATGGTTTCGGACAGAGAAACGGTGTGCGGGTCTACATCTCACGTGCGTTTCCCTTCTGTTCTATATCTTACTCCCAATTCTCCTCAAGTCTTTATTGTCTTCTACGTCCTTGTTTTCTGCTCTGTTATGCGACACGGTCTCTTGAACCCTGGACATCCATTAATACAGGCCTTCTCTTTCCACTGATAGGATTTGCTCAACTTTCATTCACCCGCTGTCGGTTCGGCTCGCTTGATCGACGCCTCCGCGCTGCTGTACGTTGTACGTTGTACGATTATGGGTCGTCGGTTTCGGTCCTTCCGTCTGGATTACGGGGTTCAGGTTTCGATGGGACTACGGGGTTCTGAAGAAAATGTTAAATATAGATGGATAGGTAACATAGGATTGGGAATAGGTTCTTCCGCTTAATTTGTTGTGGTTTTTGGTACGGTCTTGATCGTGTTTCGTTTAGATTCGTTACAACCACCCGCTACCACTTATTCCATCCTCCTATCTTCTTCCCATTTTCGTATCCTCTCCCCTTCCACCCCATTCCCCGTTCCTTCGTCCTTTGGTAGTAGGCTGAGCCTCTCCATTGGTCCTACCCCAGACTTTCCGAACCTTGAAAGATACCAGTCTATCTCGCGATACCATTCTTCCTTTCCCTTCGTACTTCGTTCTTCGTGCAGCCAGCCCCCGTTGATCGGTCGGCTCGGTACACAGTTACCGATCCCATTCCAACTCTACACTCATTCGTTCTTTTACCCCACGTTAACCCTGTTGTACAGCTGGAACCTTCCGACTCCCGGGCTTTAACACATTCAATATTCATCGCCGGACAGACTTCTGACTAGCACTTATTTATTGGTCTCGTATTTACGCACAGCTTATACCTAGCTACAAAGTATCAATGAACGGTTTGTGGGCTGTGCCCTTGTTCTGTTCATGTACACCCTCAGTCAACCTGGCTCATCCTGAGACGCCGACCACGAGAGGCTCGACCTAACGTAAATGTGGAAAACAGCAAGACAATTCTGCAAATTACAAGTGTCAATATGCAACTCCAATATCTGCACCATCTTCAACTTCGCTAAACTTTCCCGGTCCCCAATCCAAACATGTCAGTGGCACCATCCCTTCCTCCCCGCCGTCATTCACACATAATGCCCGGTCATCTGCGTGTATGTTTACGATCGTCACCCTCTCTCCGAGCGTGCAGCTTAATTCATCTGGCCTTGCGGGTGTGGACGTCGCGCGGACGATGGCCATCGTGTGATCCCTCATAGGCTTGGTATGCTCGATGGTCGTGGTCGTGGTCGTGGTCACAGTGATTCTCCCGTTGACCACCGGCCTGGCGCTGAATCCGGTCATGGCACGGGTGGAAGTCTCCACAGCATCCGTGCTCTCAGCGTTCTCTACATAGCGTGGATCGACGGTCATCGTCAAGTGCTCCTCGACTGGGTGCATTCGACGCATTACCCAAGTACACCGGTTTTCTGGTGACTCAGAGCCCAAATATACATGGTCTGCTGATGAAGAGCTCTCGATAACCAGGTATGCGCGGTCTCCTTTTTTGAGATCCTTGGACCGTCAGCACAGCAACAGTGACCGACCAACCGGGTATCATGGTACCCTCAAGAGAGTAATGTCCATATCAAGGATCCTTACATAGAACTTTCAAATCAATGCCATCGCCTGAAGGCTCGGGTGATCGCAGCGTCAACCGGTACAGACTCGGACTGAAGAAGGAAGACGTTTGCAAGTACGTTGACAAGTGGCACACTGAGTAAGTATGGATGCCTGTGACTGTACAGATGATTACCATGCATATATGAATAAGAAGATGATAATAATTGCCGATCCTTAAGGCCTTACTACTTAGTCCTAGTTGGCTTCAAGTTGGTCTCCCGCTCCTGCTAGACAACTGTGCGCTGGGCGCGCTTTCGTATCGGGGTGTTCTGAGTTCGAAGGTTCTGAGTTCGAAGTACACAGCAAGAAATGTATATTTCTATCGTTTATGTATACCGGGGAGTACCCCAGGCGTACAAGGTAGCAAAGGGAGGAGGAAATAGTCAGAAATAAGACATTGGACATTGGACAAGGAGACCAAGTTTTCGCGACGCCACACGAACAATGACGTAATATCGCTTACGCACGCGAATACTCACACATTTTCCCGCGCGCCACGAAACACGAACTCATTCCTCAACTACCTTCACAGCATCATGTCCGGCCAGTTCGACGAGGCTACTCAGGTCCGTGCTCTGATCAACTCAGCCGAAACATGTCATTGATTCGAGATATAATCCACAGAAAGAGCTGCAGACTTTCCTGGACAGGGAGCAGGCCCAAGCTCGCGTCCAGCAATCTATCCATACTTTCACCAGTATGTGCTGGGACAAGTGCGTCTTATATCGTCTCTTCTTTCTCATATAGCTCTGATACGGAGTGAAATGTATGAATAGATGTATCACAGGTACTCCGTCCACACGTTTCTCTCGCAGCGAAGAGAGCTGCCTCGTCAACTGCGTGGACCGATTCCTAGACACGAGTCTGTTCATGGTGAAGAAGATTGAGGAGCAGCGGGAACAGATGCAGCGATAGAGCTTCCGTCACTCATTCACGCCCACACACACGCCGCATCTTTGCCTCACTGTTCAAAAGTTTCATAGTACGCTTCCTCTATTTAATGCAGCATCACTACACCGTTCCATAAAAGAAATGCGCATGCCACGTATTGGCCGAAGACGTGTTCATAAATAGATCGTGGTAGAAAGAACAACAAACAAACGTAGGACGTGAGGTGAGTAACATGGTACACGTACTAAACAAACCATATGTGTATACAGTCCAATCCGGTACACCCAATCCCTCTTCCTGTTGGATCCTCAGTACAGCAAACCTACCAGACACCCAAAACCAAACAAAAACACGGAAAATAACAGCAGGCAGCCCAACTCAAGGGATTAGACTCTTGAGCTTCGTCCCGAAATATCCCGCTAACGCCGGCACGAAGAACATGAATGCTCCCAAAGTTTCCCTATTATGCCTCAACTTGACGGGAATCACGACCTCGGGCTCATTCTCCAAGGAGGGCGACATGGACCCCGTCTCGAGATATCGACTCATGACCTTATCCTTCTCTAGCCAGAGCTCCCTTAACCAGAGATCAAACTTGTCCTTCTCGACTTCGGGAACGTCAGCCTCAAGTGCTGTAGATTTGGCCGAACCGTTGCTGGGAGTAGTGGGAAGGCTAGTGGGACTCGTCTTTGACACATCGCCAATGGGCACGTCCCTCGCGACATCGAAGCGGCGGATATGCATGTGGACGGCCGGAGGGGGTACGCGATCCCAGAAGATAGAACGGAGCGTGTAGTATGCTTGCCCGTACCCCATTGGCGGGATGCCTGAATTTGAACATGAGTTTGTGCGCACAGGACGTATATCTCGAGGCAGAACAAGACGGACCTGGGTATGCGACAGTGATATCTATGAGCTGCAAACTCGGTATCCGTGGTGACAATGCCCTGAGGCTGTAAAGTAGGCCAGTCGATCTCGGAAGGAGGGTGTGGACCATGTCCGGCTGTGTACAACCGTCAGCAAGCACCGAGAATATGATGGGGCGTCACTTACGATCCCAATCTTGTCGGCGTACTTTTTGCTGATAGGTCTCGTATCCTTGCTCACCAGCGTGCCTTCAGGATACAATATGAAAGTAAGAGGAATATCGGTCTGTTCGGCTTGACGACCAATCGTAGCGAGCTCTTTCACGAGATAGTGCCGGTCAGACGCCCATGAGCGGGCCAGGAAGATGAAGTTGAAGAACTGCATGCCCCTACTTCGTGTTCACAGATGGATTCCACACATAGAAGGATGCGCGAGAGAAACGTACCAGCCAAGAATGGGTACCCATTTAAGACTCTTCTTCAGTACTATGTACACATCTCTATGCGTACCGGCGAAATAAGTCAGACACCAGGCGTACATCCAATCAGCGTAGACCTGTATATTCAATCATCTAAGGACCAACGTATCGGTCGGACTGCTGGACATAACGCACCTGATGGTTCGCAATCAAGACCGATTTATGTGGCAGGTTTAACTTGACCACCCTTCCCTTCGTATTCTTCACAACTAAGCCTTCGACCTCGTCATCCGTGAATGCACCCGGTCCCTCCCTTTCGAACGTCACCACCAGTTTCGATGGTGCAAACCACTGGAAGGAAAGCACTACCATCGAAGTCGAGATAAAGTTGAGTACGTTTACATATGGCCAATAGGACGACCATGGCAGTCCCAGGAAAAAGCCAGCACTCACCCAGCAACGTTCCAAAAGCCCCTTTACTACATCGTATCCCACTCTCGTACACCCCGCTCGTCCAAGGCAACAATCTCAACGGCAAAAGGAGGATAAATTGTGCCGCATTGATCATGATGCATGCGAGGTTGAAGACAATACTCCAGCCCAATGCGTTGAGAGTTTGGTGCCACGTCCTCGGAGGTCTGTCTGAGATTTTCAGTGTATGGAGACCATGTCCCTCGGATGTCATGTCTAGTGCGTTTCCATTCGTCGTAGCCATATCAAACAAAGCCTGAGTCTAGGGGAATCCAGGAGAGTAGGAGTACCACAGAACCCGAGCACGAGGGTGAAGGGTGGTGTACTGCCTGTGAAGGCCCACACGCACTGATTTAGCAGCACAGGCGCTTACCAGGCTCAGGGGGTATGTCAGCGACAGCGACATATTATCGGAACAGTCGGCCTCCACGTGAAAATCATCGTTATGTTCATATCGAGAACGCTCCCGTTAGAGACACATCGCGTTCCATTCGTGGTATCTTTGAGAAGAGCGATGTAGGGCGTATATGCAGATCGTGGTGGCGAGGTGTATGGACGTGGCACGCCGTCGATAATTAAACGCCAAGAACTTTCTGCTAAAACATTCGGAAAGACCCTGACCTCAGGCTGAGTCCGCACTTGGCCCGCAGTGGGCGGAGGAGTTGTGGCCCAAGGAACAAAGCAAGGAGAAAGTGCATTCGTTACTCTACTATTGCCACTCCTAAAAGTGCAACATCGAAGAGCACTTCAACACCGTCTCAATCTCTTAACAACATGTGAGTATAATAAGTATGAGGTATAGGAATAATCATTCCGGACACGAGAAGAATGAAACCTCTCTACGTAGAACTCTCCACAAAAAAATCAGCCTCCATGTTTCCCCAAATACCAATCAACCCGACCCAGAATAGACATTGTCGTGCCGATGACATACTGAGCTAAGGCGTTGAAGAATGGATACCAGCCGAAGATAGTGTGAGTGTGCTCGTGGCGTGAGGGCGGGAGAAGTCATCGAAAGGGTATGGCGGCTGTATGGAAGCGGGCGGTAATGACACTATAAAAGTTGATGCATGGGAAAGGGGATGCGAGGATGGAGGCTGAGGTTGAGTTAGTCAAAATATGTCCAAAACCTATAGGGTGCTGAAGGAGAGGTTGAGAGAAGCCTCGCATGAGAAAGTTTGCGGCAGGAATTCCGAATGTTTGAAGTGAACGAAGGAAGCTGTGTGTGTGCTTCAGGTCAAGTCGATGATCACGAGCAGGCTTATGATCCAAATATGATGGTGTAGATAGGAGGTAGAAGGGCTAATTTTTGTAAATGTGATGTAAAATGGACTTGTACAACACAGTGCACTTCCAAACCAAGCGGTGATGCAAAGGTATACAGACCGTGGATGAACCACAGTTCATCAACGGGATTGATGTGGTCGCATCTACTGACCCACCTTCTTTACACTCGTTGGAGAGTAATCCAGAGTATCGTGGTCAGTGGGAGGTTCGGATCCTGTCGAACTCTAATTGAATATTCGAATATTTATCGCATGGCATATACGCGAGTGAAGAAGTGAAGAAGTCGTTCCGTATAAGGGAGCGAAGATGAAGCTGGACGAGTAGGCAGGGTCGCGCACCTTATGCAATTTTAGAACGGGGAGTTTCTTTGTTGCCTCAAGTCTTATTACCTAGGAGAGACATCACACAGGGTAGGGAAGCTATCGGAGCCTAAGATTGAACAGAGTGAGCCTAAGTTATTGAAAGCATGGTTCGCGGTCGGCCCCAGAAGCGCCATGATAGAACCCGACGCGAGGCCCAATGTACGTCGATATCAAAGGCCTGACTGGCAAGTGAGATGCTCTGATGAGTGAAGTTTCTCCAAACACGATGCTACTAATAGGGCGCCAGTGAGAGGAGAAGGAACTTAGGAAGGATTGAGACAAATTGTTCCTTTGGTGTCCGAATGCTGCCTGGATATGGACAAAGGCGGTACGATGCCGAGCATTCGGTCCGGTCCGAACTTGCTTCCAGCAGCAACTCCGATCTTCGATGCTGTTTGCCTCGGTACGTACTTGTGGCAGCAGTCCAGCCGTCCTGCGCACCCCCAACAAGCTCCACCCGTGTTCGTTCGCACCTCTCTGGTGCTCACCAGAATATATATAACGACCTTCCATGAGTATGACCCTACCATCATCCCCTGTTGAGCGTATCCGCTTTCTAAATTTCTACCCCGAGCGATAAAGTACCGCGTCCTTCGTACCTTCAGAACTGTTCAAGTATCTTAAGGTGCGTCTTAGACAGACATAATCTAAGAGCTTCACAATTCATCTCTTGAGCAGCACAGTTGATGTACCAACTTCTTTGTAGCATGTCGTCTTTCTTGACTGGGTACACCCCTCCGAAGGCTCGCCTCGTCGACGACCTCATACCGCTCATCCTCGAAAGCAGCGACTCGTGGTGGTCATGCGACTACGCTCGCCTCATGCGCGTTTCGCCTGCTTGGGCAAGCTTCGTACGAACGCGTCTCTACGCCCGTCCTCAACTACATACCTTCGACGCGTGCACGCTTCTCGCGCGAACAATACGCGAGAACCCTGGAATTGCGTCGTTCATTACGGGACTTGATCTATGTCCAGTCCCTGTCGAGGATAGTTATCTCATCCGCATTGATATTTCGAGCATACGCACACTGTTCAGTGTGGAGGGCCTTCGATTTGTGGCACTCAGACAGGAGCTTGCTGTTGACGCGGAGAGGTTCTTGCGTTGCCTCGCGCGTCCAGAGACTTTGGAGGAATTGATTATCGATGGCCATTCCTTCGATTTTATGAGCGGATGGGATCCCCTCTACCTACGCAAGCCAGCACGCCTTCGCTGGGACCAAGAGATGACCTCCAAGTTCCCGAACCTTTGTCGTCTTCGTGTTTCCCACGCCGAACTCTCCATTCCCTATAAAAGCCCAATCCACCGCCTTCAACTTACTCATCTCGATCTCGACAAAGTCACCATAGTACAGGGACAGCTCCACAATCTCTCCACATCCTGGGACGAGCTACAATCTCTGGACATTATTGCGCTAGCCGACATAGACCTCCACCGTCATCTCCCACTCCTCCTTTCCTCATGCTGTTCCTCCCTTCGTAGCCTTCATATCCAAGTTTTGGGAACGCATTGCGAGGACCTCATCTTTTCCGACACCACCGCCGCTACGTCAGCTATGTCCTTTCCTTCTCTACTTGAGGTACGACTCAGCGGTATCGATGCGAGCGCACACACGCTGCAGTGTATTGAGAAGTGGTGCCCAAAACTGGAGGTTTTTGTGGTGCTGGGGAGAAAGGTGAGAGTGGCGCCACTGGAATGGGTAGCGTTTTTAGCAAGCGGGGCGTTACCCAGCTTGCAGGGATTCAAAGCTCCTGGAGGAACGGGAAGGGAGGCAACCCAGAAATGGACAGAAGAGGAAGAAAAAAGAGTCATGGACGCGTGCGTTGAGAGGCAGGTTACGTGTTACTAAAGAGATTGTGTCGTTAGTGGTGACTTGGTGTGGTTGTTGTTTGTGGTCTGTCCACCGAGTCCCTTTCATCTCTTGCTCTCGGCTTATGATCCCCGTTGACTCTATAATTACGACAGTGTCCGCTAATTCATTTGGATCATCCGCAGTCCCGAGCTGCTCGACTGCTTGTCCCCTTTTATATCCATCTCGTATGCGCATGTACATTACTTTCGACGTGGCGCCACAGTGGCGCTCTATGGAATGCACCTACCATTACCAGTGTACCAGCCGCCTATAACCGCTGGCGCGCTTCTTGCCGTGCTAACTAGGTTCACACCTCTCACGGATTCCAGGCAACTGAGACGCCATCACAACTTGCAAGTCACTTTGGGACTTCTTCTGGAGATTTTGCGTGTGATGATGCTTCCTTTCCTGATACAAACGAAACATTAAAGCCTTGACGTGCTGGCTATGCGGCGCTTGGACTGCGATCTGCTCTTTGTTCATCCCCATGTCTTCGCCCCCTGCTCAGGCCGTCTCTCGAGGGCATGACTATGTGCCCGCCTCACCAGAAGACAGCCGTAGTCCGTGTCCTGGTCTAAACGTTCGGAGCTTTCATTCCTCTCCCAATTTTTACAACTAACGTTGTCGGCTATCATCCACCAGGCTCTCGCCAACCATGGCTATCTGTTTGTCGTCTTTCTTCTACTTTCCAAGGCCGTGTCTAATCCTATGGATAGCCCTCATCATGGTCGCAACTTGACCTTGTTTCAACTCGTAAGCAAGATCCGCGAGGTCTACAACATGTCCTTCCTCCTCGCCATCATCCTCGCCATCCCGGGAATCTGGCTATGCGGAAACATATGGCGTCTCAGCCTCTCCCTCGAAGACCTCGCCAAACACCGCGACGGACTGGAGCACGACGGAAGCCTCGCACACACAGACGTCCCTCCCGACTTCCTCTACGCTCCCAGCCCACCTGATCAGACCAAGCTCAAAGAACTGATCGATGTCTCCTCTGATGGGAAATACATCACGTTTCAGGAACTCGTCGGTCGACGTGCCGCTTTGGACGCCCAGCTTAGCAGGCCGTTTGGGTTCTTTCATTCGCTGGTGGCGAAGTTGGAAACTGCGATGTTGTACAACGTTTTGTCGATGGGACATGCCAAAAAGGATGGAAAGGTTCCGACGGAGTTTGTCAGGCAGTGGGTAGGCGAGGAGAGATTCCCGGAGGGCTGGAAGAGGCCGGAGAAGACGATTGGCGCGTTCAAGATTTCATGGACCATCTATGAGGTTTGGCAGTTGATGAAGAGCGTCTTTCAAACCAAGCGAACGGAGTAGAGCTATCAATGTTGATATCACATAGGTATTATTTAAACAACATAACTCCCAGTCTTCCGAATCACGAACTGCTGTGCCATACAATCTCAGACTAGACCATAAATACTAGTACGAACAGTCTGAGTCCATACAAGTGATGGACGTCGTGCACGTCTACCCTTCTCGGCTTCTCTTCTGAAGCATTTCGCCTTCAAACCACCGAACCACTGACCACTATCATAATATACTCTGGCGAGTAGTTCCTTGCTCTCCACAGTATCCGGATGCATACGTCCGCATACCCTCGTCCTACTCTTTACCACCGTCTCCAAAAGGGATATTGCCTCAGCACGCTGATGGAGACAATAATATACGTTCGCCAAAGAATTCAGGCTGGTTAATGTATCCGGTGAATTTGCTCCAAGCACCTCCCTCCTACCGCCAACCACATCTTCAAATAATCTGGCTGCCTTTGCCGTTCTACCCAGTTAGTGGTACGCATGCGCCAAACTGCGCATGCTCGACAACGTATCGACATTGTTGATCCCGAGAAGCTCTCCCCTCGCTTGAACGACTCGTTCCAATATTGTGCTTGCGTCAACATATTGTTTGAGCGCGAGATAGATGGTGGCCAGGAGATGCTGGCTCTCTAGCGTGTCGCTATGGCGTGAGCCCAGAAACCTTTCTCTCTTCTCTGCAACGCCTTTAAGCAGCGCGGCTGCTTCGGCATTCTCCCCCGTGTGGTGATAGGCTTCAGCGAGACGATGCTCGCTGGTCAACTTGTCAACGTGTCCCTCTCCCAGAGCCCGGGACTGCGAACTCGCAACCTCTTCGAGCAAAACTGCTGCCCATGGATAGGCCTTCCCGGTCTTCAGATACGTCAGAGCAAGTAGATCCTTGCTCTTCAGCGTATCGACATGATCGTTCCCGAGCACCCTTTTCCTCGATGCGAGGACCGCCGCCGATAAGATAGTGGACTTGGTATGCTCTCCAAGCTCGCAATACGTCTGTGCAAGGAGATGTCTACTCGCCAGAGTATAAACATGCTCGCTACCCAGCGCTTCCCGCCGCGCCACCACCACCTTCTCCAATGCTTTGGCAAGCTCACTATAGCGCGAAAGCTCGAAGTAGATAACAGAAAGCAGATGACAACTCTCGAGGGTATCGAGATGTTCGTCGCCTAGCACTCTCTTCCGCGAAACAGCGACGTCTTCGAACAAGGTCACCGCTTGGGCATGACGCCCGAGGGTGTAGTAGACGAGGCCTAAGAGGTGTTTGTTCGCCAGCGTATCGAGGTGATTCTCACCGAGAACTCTTGCCCACGATGAGACGACCTCTTCCAAGAATGTCGCCGCATCTCCGTAACGGCCTTCGCGCAACACTGCGTGTGCTTTGATCAACGCATGGTCTGGCTGGTGCAAGGCGTCGGGAAGTGGCGGAGGGCACATCGCCATCGTTTCTTTGTCTGACTCCCGGTGAAGGTCGTCAGAACATGCGGCCGGAGCGGGATGTCCATGTTTTCGAACAGACAGCAGAGAATTCCAAGGAAAACCAGCCAATTCAGACGTCAGGAACTCTGGTGAACGAGCGTGTTTATCACTGACCAGATGTTATCGAGACCACATCCTGCAGCGTCGACTTGATCTGCGCGAAGCGAGGCCTGCACTTCGGATTGGCGTCCCAGCATGACTGGATAAGCGTCCAGATGGGTTTGAGCTCGTTGTTGCTGAGCCTGACAGGGCGAGGAGGACGATGCCCCTGGGAAACGATCCACACAGCAACGCGTTCGCTGGACTCGGAGAACGGTACCTCCCCACTGAAGATCTTCAAGCAGTTCAGATAGTGCCTAACGTCCAGAAGTAGATCATCAACGAACCTCCCATCCCGTCATTGTGAAACTATATACGTCTGAGGCTGTCGTTGCTTTTGAACCGCCAAAACATTCCGGTGACGGCGATGCGGCACTGTGAGGGGTAAGGTTGTTTTCGCCTACGAGTTTTGATATACCGAAGTCGGACAGGAGGGCGTGATGGTCACTTCCAACAAGGATGTTCACCTATCGCAGGCCTTTCAGAGTTCAGATGTAGAAGCAAAGAAGTGTATCAGAAGGGAAGGCGATCGTGCTTACACCTTTGAGGTCGCCATGAACGATGTTCTTCCGGTGTAAGTAAGTCATTCCAGAAGCGATATCGTCAAGCTAGGCAACAAGGTTAGAGGTAGATCACAAGCATGGAAAAGACTTCAGAGCCATACCAGGAAAGACGGCAAGCCTCAGGAAACGATCGAAGATAATCGCAGACGTTCTCGAACTTGCAGTATCGGCTGACGATAAACGGCTACGTTCCACATTTAGTGTTAGTGCCAGACACTCAAGCTTCTCTGCCTCGACACATGCTCCATAGAATTGTAAGACGTGAGGATGTAATAGCCGCGTCCTAACATATGATTTTGAGCGGACTGTAAAGCCGAATTTGTACCAAAAAATACCTACCAGACCTTCACCTCTGACAAGAAAGCGTGCCAAATGATTTAGACAAGAGCAAAGATAACCATGGGTAGAAGTAACCTACACGTCTCTGCTTCTCGCTCAAAACTTGAGAATCCTCGATATACATTTGCTTCACCGCGACGGTCTAAGAATAAAGCTCAGTGTCGTCCTCTCGTGCAGAAAGGCGATTATTTTACCCTGCCGTCTCATTCCCCACGGTGGCATTTCCCAAACAAACCTCGCCTGACGTTTCGTCCTGATGTACAATGACCTCCAGACTCGTAAGCATCCACGGCTGTATGTCAAGTTGTCGAGCGCCGTCGAGGTCAGATAGTCTCTGCAACGCAGGTACTGTAGCGCGAATAAAAATTTCTTCTGCAGTTGAGCCTCGATGGCCCAGCTCGAAGAGGTACTGGATCAGACACGTGGATTGTGTTTGGTCAGAAAGCCGATGGGAGTCCAGTGTGAAGACACAGGTGCCTTTGACAGGCCAACGAGGAGTTCTTCCATTCGTCTGTATTGGCCATCTCCGTCCTCCAAGGCAGCCAATATCTTGTAATCGTTGCGTGTTAGCTCTTTCAGTTTTCGAGATAGCTCTGTTTGGTCCTGTTCCCTTGCTTCGGCTAGCTTGGTCTGGAGGTCTGCACTGTCGACGTGCGCGACTATCTGTTTCCAGTAGTAGTAATGATATAAGCGGTGGACCGGTTGGAGGTAAAGCGAAGACGAACGTTGAAACGAGTAAATTCGTAGCTTAGAGCAGCCCCGCCGTTTTCGATATCCTTGTCGATATTCCCGCTGTGTATCAAACACCAAGCGAACCCTTGTTGCTGGTTTTTCACCACAAGATCGCAAATTCTCTGTATGGCACTGCACCAGTTGCGGTTCGTCAGTGATCCACTCATGACGGTCATACCCACGAATAGATGAAAATGCACCCACCTCGCCATATTAAATAGATCGTCTCTCAACAACGGATCTAGCTTGATCAGCAAATGTTGGCACCGTTCGAAGAGGAAACCCAGTTGTGCGCGCCGGTGCTTCACACCTTGATAGGCAATGTAGGCAGCTTTCAGGGAATTCCAAGCTGGGTTGAGTACGGACAGTGCTGGTGACGGTGGTAAGTACGACAAGCTCAGCCATGGAGAAGGGGTATGTCGAGGATGTTGTCCGTGCTGACGGTTATAGGGCCATGCGACTATAAGTAAAGCCTCCGTGTGTGAGATGAGGTGGGGAGTCATCACCAGGCGATGTTCGTGAGGATCGATCGTCGAGAGATGAAACCATAGCTGTACGACTGACGCATTGGGTTCATTACGGGAAGACATATGAAGCAAAATTGTAAGAAACCTCCCACTGTGGGTAGCATTTCAGTAGGCCCAAGGCGCCTGCACCATTTCCTGGCCAGATATCGCACCGCACCCACACAAAGGCAAAATTGAGAGCTGTGTTTCCGGTGAAGGATAGAGCCAGTGGGTTAGACTAGAGACCTTGATGCTCACTGGCCCGTTACTAAAGATGCGATCTAGGACTCTGTGAGCAATCCAGGACGTCGGAGTGGGTGCGGAGATGCTCAAGCAGCACGCTGGACGTACGTGTCGTACTGTATGTGATGCCCGCACCAAACGATGACGACGATACATCGACCTTTCCTCATGGGCATCGAATAAACGCGCTGCGTCTGTGGGGTCGGACGGTGAAGCGAGCCATCGATCGCACATGAGTACACGAGGATGAACGACAGCTCAGCGGCTGCTCAGCAAGGCAAGCAGATGGTGCAAAATTGAAGCTTTAGGCGCATATAACTGCGGTGCACCTGGCAACATCCATGAATGACTGTCTCCTGTTGTCTCTCGAACTCCATGCTTTTTTTCTAGCCTCAAACCAGTGACGGGTTCCCTGTCAGGGTAGTAGTAGCGCTGACGGGCTGGTATGAGACTAAACCTTTTTCTTCGCTGGTGAAAACCTTGAATATGATTCGATCTATACAGCACTGCTACGCACCGTAGCAGCTCAAGGATAGTTGCGCTCTAGATGCTAACAAAGGTTTGTCACGAAGTGTCGAACAATTAGCAGTTCAAGAACGTGGGGTTCAAAGCGGTGCACAACGGTTCTGATATCACGCGGCTGGCGAAGTCCGGGTTCGGTTCCGTAATTAATCAAAGGAGTGCCTAGATAGGTAGCGCCGCACAACGAGTCCCCTTGGAGAAATGTCGCCTAAAAAAACACGAAGAATGATGGACAGAAAGGATTGACGAGAAGGCAATCCAAAGGCAAATAGAGTGAGTCGGGTCGACGGGGAGGAGGCGCATCTGATTAGAGAGATGTAGCCGAAGAATGAATTGTGACCGGAGGACAGGAGATGCCGAAATTGGCGGCAGACAAAAGACGGTGTTCATTCCGGGGATGGCCTGCAGCGCGGTTGGATAAGCTCCTGCTCATCGTCGTACGCGACGAGCCCACCCTCTTTTCTGCACCCACAGACGGACGCAGCGTCCCCGTCGACGACGTTCCCTTCAACCTTTGACGTTCATTCGATCTACCCCGCCCTGTACCGAATATTCCGTCGACCGCTGGGAAGATAACCGACGATGCCGACAGCCCCCTCGGCTTCCTTCCGCCGCCGTTCCTCGTCGAATATCACCTCTTCTCTCGTCGCGACCCCCACGGCAGACGGTAACGGTCGCGGTCAGTCCTACTTCGATCGCTACCCTCGACGCTCGCCACGCACAAGCCCACGCGCCGATTCCAATACGAATATCAACCCAAGTCCTCAGACTAGAAATAATAACCCTTCGGGAGGTGGAATACCGTTTCCCAAGCGCAGTGGTGAAGCTGAACCTCTGGTCTTTCCGAGCATGTCGCCCATGAACAAACGCGGTCAAGGCAGCTATCGGGACGAATCAGACCAAGAAGATGACGAGAGCTCGTTCGACTTCCATGCAATAGAATCCACTCCTCGCTCCCCTCACCACCACGACTTCTTCGACAACTCTCGCCGCGTTTCGCCCACTTCCCCGTCTCACTCACATCTGTACCAACATGGAATCAGCAACTCTCCTGGCCAGGGCCACCGGCATAACCGAAGAGATCACCCAGAGCTCTCGTTCTTCCGGACGTCTGGCTCGTCTTCGCAAACTACCCAAATCGAAACGCCGCCACAAACACCGATTGACTTCCTTATGCCCCGAATATCCGTTGATCCTTACCCTGTCGTGGTAGCCGCACCGGTTCCAGGAGTCGAGACGATGGACGCGTTGGTAGATGGGATGAATGACTTTGGAACGGATGATTTTTTCATGGGCACCGGAGGTATGTCTTCATCGAGAGCTGCACGGAAAAAGGCGGAGAGGGAACGGTTCCACCCACTCTATCAACCTCCTCTTCCCACCCCTCCACCCGGAATACAACTTGGCGGAGGCATGCCACGAAAGAAACCTTCCAAACAGCGTACTCGCCTTTCCGATCCTCCCTCAGCCTCCTCATTACGTCCCGACCTTTCCGGCGCGCGAAAGGCCTCGAGTTCTACTATTACTGTTAACTCCTTGCAGGCGTCTTCCATTGATGAGCCCTATAGTCATGGCTCTCCGACACCCTCCATTAAGACGACGAGCTCACGCAACGTCGCCCCTTCCATCTCCGAGATCATTCGAGCCCACGCTCCTCCAGAACAACTCGTTCGTTCTCGTCCCTCAAACTCTCGCCGACCTACTACTGCAGATGACTACAGCATCGGTGGCGGCAGCAGCAGCAACTACCACCACCAAACACCACTCCGTGAAGAACCAGAATCTGAACCCGAACCTCTGTCCGCCGCAGAAGAAGCCGAACTACTTTCTCGTTCGTCCGTGGACAGTATCACAGACGAAGTCCGGCGAACATTCCAAAACCAGAAAGCATCTCCTCTCATTCAATCACCAACAGACGACAATCTTTTCACGTCCACTCTCACAGCTCCGGTCAACAATTATCGCAACTCCACTGTCTCGGACGGCGCGTACAGCCTCGGACTCGCGTCACCTACGTCCGATGCTATGGGCCGAGCGAAATCGTTCCACTCTTCACCAGCCGAAATGGACTCCGGCGGCGATCATAGCATTCCATTCACTCCCCTCGATTTACCTTCTACCCGAGCTCCTACTCAGTCGCAGGCTATCGCGCAATATCTTCATTCTGCAAGGCTCACGACGCTGTTGAAGTTGACAAGGTCGCCACATGCAAGTCCGGACCAGCCGTTGACGGTCAGTTTGAGCGATTTGGGAAGTCCGACGGGTTATCCTGTGGTTGTGTTTTTGGGACTGGGAGGGGTGCGATACGTGATGGGATTGTATGATGAGATGGCGGAGTGTTTGGGGATTCGGCTTATCACTATCGACAGGTCCGTACAGCAGTTCATCTAATTTTAGTCCTTCTTTTCCAGCGACCTCGCCACGCTTGCCACCGAGCAAGCTGACATTCCGTGCATATTGATTCCGATACTAACAGGACTGTATTTACCTCTTTGTAGGTGGGGAATCGGCCGTACAGACGTGCCCAGGTCGAAATCCGCACGAGGTATCCCGGAATGGTCGACCGTCGTCGAAGAGGTGCTCGATCAGCTCCATATCGACGTATGCAGTGTTATGGCCCACTCGGCCGGCGCGCCTTATGCACTCGCGTTCGCCAACAAGGTCCCGGAGCGTGTACGGGGTGACGTTCTGTTGCTCGCGCCGTGGGTTGGAAGTGGTGAGTTTTCCGAATACACACATTTGTTGGCAATCGGAGTACAAGGAATGCTGACTGTACTACTCAGGGGCCGGCTACAAATGGCTCAAATACGTACCTACCGGGATTCTCAAGACGGCCCAGGCAGCAGAATGGAAGATTCAAGCATGGATGCTTGGCAAGCCTCCAACCATCGCATACGAAGGCATCGGTTACGTCCCAAAAACGACCTCCTACGCTCCCAAGTCGACATCCACCTCCACGTCCGTCTCGTCCCCCTCACGAACGCCCGCGTCACGGGCCACACTACCAAGAAGCCATCGACGCGGCGAGGAGAGGCCAAGCACGGCCATTGGACCAGCTGGTCACCCGAATGGCGTGGGCGTGTCGCAGATACAGTCGAGGCCGAGCTTGGGTGGGTCAAGCGTGTTCAGTGATTATGATGACTTGAGGGACTTCGATGGGAGGTTTGATAGTATGAGTACAATTAGCGCTAAAGGAGCGCTGAAGTCTCCTCCACAGCCGGCGGAACAACAGGCGCCGCCAGCAGCGTTCAAGCGGAAGACTTCGCGAGGTTTCTTGGGACGATTGAGGTCTGGCTCGTTACACTCGCATTCGCCACAGCACAACCAGACGCCGAGTCCCCAGTCGACGCCTGATTACACACCTACTCGGGGATCTACGTCAGCACTGCCGACTAATGGTCCGGGACCTGGTGGGAGGAGGCTGAAGGCTTTGAGGTCGATGAGCTCGTTGAAAGGAAGGGGTTCATCGAACTCGAGTACGCCGTCTGGGTCTCTTTCGGTTCCACCGAAGAAATCGATCACACCACCTCCGTCTTTACCGAACCCCATTGGTGGCGGATTCGAATCTGCGTTGGATTGGATGAGCCCATCGGATCTAGATCGGCTGGAGCAGATGCAGGAGCAACAATCACATCAGGCGAACCGACGAGCGGGTGGGAGGAGATCAGTTTCTACTGGGCCTGGTGGGTCCAGTCAAGCTAGTGCTTCGTTCGCTGCCCATGCAGCACGTTCGCCACCCGCGCCATCGGTAATGTCGTCGAACTCGCCGGGGACGAGCACTGTCACGTCTCCTTCCTCTGGTATCGCCGCCACGTCGTCCTACCAAGCTGCCCTCGGCAACGCTCTCATCGTTGCCTCGCACGCCGAGTCCTCCAAAGGCACGCATGGTGATTTATTACAGATCTTGAACCACGATAACCTGCCCTGGGGCTTCTCGTACGGAAATTATCCGCATAAGGTGAGGGTGTGGTATGGCGATAGAGATGAGAAGATCGCGGAGCATGCTGTGAGGTGGATGGAGAAGCATATGGGGGAGGAGAGGTGTGTGGTCAAAGTTGTGAAGGGGGCGGAGCATGGTTTGATGTATAGGAGTGGAGTCGTCGTTGAAGTGTTGGAGTGTGTGAGGGATTTCTGGGTGGATGGTGAGTATCCTTTCGAGTTCGAGTCTAATTCGAAGAGATTGAGTGCTGACGCTTGTGTTTGGTAGCAGAGGACTATTAGTGAATATAATCGTTGTGTTCTTTTCGTTCCCAATTACCCTTGTTCATTTAGATATGTGAGATACCCATTTGTTATGTGGTTTTGACCGCCTTCCTATATTACAGCCAACCCGTCATCCACCACTCTCTAGTCTCTAGTGTGCCGTAACCTACTTATTTCTTTTTTATCGCGGAACCATTCACCATTCGAAGGCTTACACACTTTTCCCGTCGTTGGAGTCGCATTTTCCCTTTTCCATCTTACATGTGTTCGTCTACATCCGGTTCCCTTCCTAGCTTTCAAAACTCACTTGTCTCGTCCCGACCCAGTCTGTATTTGTTTCGTCATCGATTTCTACCTTCTTCCCCCTTCCTTTGGTCACACCGTCGTTTCTCCTCTCTTCCTCGCTCCCTCTCTTTTCTCTTCTTTATTCCCCTTCTCTGTCCGCGCCCTTGCGCTTCCTCTTCCCTTCGTTATCGTTGTTCTACATAGCTGAATCTGTCATTTGTTTGTTTGTTAGTTACAAGCGACTTCGCCACCTACCCACCCATCCAGTGATTCACCACCTTCTTTTCTTCGCTGCAGCTGATCGTGTTCTCCGGTCCTTGAGTCTCGGTATAATTCAATTCGATCTCTGTTTTCCCTCTCTCTATCTCTCAATTGGTCCACGTACGACCAATCTGCTTGACACCCGAGGCTGCGTTACGCGGTCACCCAATAAACCTGCCTTTCTCGACATCAACATCAGCCGCTTATTTGCGGTCGGCATCAACAAACATCTGCTTCCGTGGGCTCATTTCCCGTCCGCGAACAAAGTTGGGCGTGGATGAATTTTCTACCTACCCATGGGGCGACAAGTTTGAGCGCCCTGTTCTACTTAATGAGACTGCTAACTAGAAGGGTCACATCGGCGCAGGTCACAATTGGAGGCCTGAAGTCGACTTCGCCCGAAAATCTTCTGGCCAACCTGGAGCATTGATGGCGAGGTTCTCTGTGTGGTCTGCTGTAGTGTCGTGCTGAGGCTATCGGGACTTCGCTAGTACCTGTTCCCAAAATGCTAGTGCGTGCGAAGGACGAGACTATCCACGCTTTGCACGTGAGAATAACATTTGACAATCCGGTTTCTACACAACGCTATCGAGACAATGGGCTAACACCGCCTGCCTGCCTCGTGTTCGGACCAGCAGTGCTTCCTTGCGGCCTCGTGCCCATGTTTCTGCTCCTCATCATCGACATCGCCTCTCTTCGCTGTACATATAAGACCTTGGGTGGACCGATGTCGTCTACTGCCGTCGCTTTCTCTGTTTGAACTGGCGACTTTTTGGCACTGCTACGGTACTAAGTACTTGCTGGCTTGAAGAACCGCGCTATTCATGGAGCGACAAGCGTATGCACAGAGCTCTCAGTATGTTCAGCAGATGGCTTCGTTCTGACGCCTCCCTTGCGGCTGCGTTTCGCTTACACCTTGTGGGCATGCGTGCATAACTACTCTTCATAGACCGCAATATGTCTCTCGCAAAACCCTGGCAATCAAGCGGGGTGACTCCGAGTTCGTTCCCTCAATCTCTTCGTCCTTTTGTATGGTTAGAGGATCGAAGCTGAACGGTCGACCACTTTGACCCAGGACGCTAACCCGGGAGGACGTTCAGTACGACCTCCTCAACTACATCTTCTCGGACCAGACCAGGGTGTTCACGGACGAAACGCCAGGGAAGCCGCCGACGAATGTTAACTTTTGCGATCTTTATGTCAGCGCGCTGTACAACTCGACGAAATGCTCGAAGATCATGCGGGATAAGATGACTGAGACGCCGGCATTCGCTATAGAGTTTGCGAAGATCTCATTGCTGACGAACGTTGGCAGGATCAACACGACTATGGCATGTGCGTACTCAGACCCTCTGCTCGTCCATCCGATATAACTTGCCTCACCCCGCCTGACTCTTGATACGATTTCTCTCCCGCTATGGACAGTTTTTCCGGAGATGAAAACTGCATTGAGGAGCTACCATCCTGTACCGTCCCTTCAGAAGACGGACGGGAACGTCCAAGACGCACCCAGAATCAAGAACTGCTTGAAGGCAGCGTTGTTACCGCAAGAGCAGAAAGGACCTCCTCCTCCGTCTAACCCAACTGATATCCTGTCTCGGGTAAGAAACAAATCAAAACTCAGTTGTTTTGTCTCGAGCTCACTCAGAATCCCCACAGAAAAAGACGATGATACCCCCCACCAGCGTCGTCAATCTGATCTTCGTCTTGACCAATTACTCGACCGTAGGCACCTTCAACCATGTCTTCATGCCAACCACCTACTCATTTTTACCGATACCTTTACGCTCGCAGGCACTCTCTCCTACCCACTTTGACCCTCCGGTCGAGTTCGTCGACCTCTTTCTCCCCATCAACATCTCCTCCGCTGCCCGTGCCCGAGCTTTCCTCTGGACCATCTTCCACTATCATGAATCTGGTGCCATACCCAATCCTTTCGCTGACGAATACGCCAAAACGCATCTTGGGAAAGTTCCTTGGCTCGAACGGTTATCTCCAGAACAGCAACAGGCCGAGAACATTGACCCTCCGGAAGAAATCGAATGGGGGCGAAAGATGGCGGCTCAGAGGAGCCAATTCTTACAAGATCTTGTGTCTGGGGTAGATCCTGAGAAGAAGGGAAAAGGTGGTGGAAACGGGCACCACGGCGGAAGTAGTGGTAATCACGCAAGTGCAGGAGGAAGTGCGCCTGCTGGAGGTTCTCGTGCCAGAAGGTCTACGAGCTTGGCACCCCAGGACCCACATAGTAGAGTCATGATGGGGGTCGACGTCGAACCACAACCGGCGAAGAAGCATCGTATTAGCCAACAGTATTATACGCGGAGCGCGGCCAGCACAACCTTCCATCACTATATACCGGCTGGAGAACCTGTACCTCCGGACGAGACCAAGACATACCCTATCGTTGGTGGTACGATCCCCTTTTTTTCACAAGACCATGCCGTTTTCCATCTAATACCGCTTCTTCAGAAAATCATGCTAGACAATACGGCTTACCACCCGAGTACATCCGACAGCGTTCTATGGTTGAGCGTCAGTCGTTCTCGCGCGTTTTCCGACCGCTCGATTGATGACACCTGACCGACTCTGCACTCATAGAGGCATGCAATCGAGCATTGACAGCGCACCCCCTTATCGACTCCGACGAAGAGGAGTTGGACGAGTACGTCCGCGTGGATTTACGTACGATTCCAGCCACCTTCTCTTATACAACGCCGTTCTCGAACGCTCATTGCGATATCTGTATGGTCTCGTGCAGAACGACGCCTTCTTGTTCTCGACACTATTCGTCTACAGCCCGCCCATCTAAATGGCTACAACTACTCTCCGCACTCTGGATGAGAGGACCATTTGTGCCCCTCGCTCGTCGCCTTGAGGCCCACCACCCCCTGGGCCGTCATTACCTTCCAGCATACCATCAAGAACCCGTCTCAATTGTAGAAACGCAGTGTAACATTGCTCGAAGACACGCTCACACATCTCATCTGTGCCATACATACATCAGCTCATACCTACCTAAGTATATCCACATCATCGCTTTCGCGCTCTCTGCTTTCCGTTCCGCTCTCAATGTTTCTCTCTCTGCATACACAAAGTCTCGGGTTTCGGTTCCGGGGCATCATCTCTCAATAACTTGGGGAACACACAATTATCGTCTCTTTGTGTGTATTTATTCTATCAAACAGGCAGCTATTTATTTTGCGCCGCTAGTGGCGCAGGCACTCTTGCTGAAATCTCGGATCAATTGGGATGAGCGAGCTGTGTGGCGCGCCACCCCCTCGCCTATAGTCCCGCGGCCAAGTCCCGTTTCCTTGCTCCCGTTTCCTGTGTTTATCTGTCCAGATCGAGGACCGCTGGTGCGTTCTTCTGTTTCTCTCGCATGTGAGATGCGCTCACCTCTTCTATAGATATTTGTATCCATAAATATCAGCGCCCTGTCGCCGTGAGATGTCGTGAACCTCAAGAAGAAACAGGAATCTTTCTGATCATTGTCTCCAGGAATCATCTATATTGTCTGTTATATTCCTCTGCAGCTGACAATCAACATCTTGATTCCTTCCCTGCTTTAAGCGGTGTCCCGAGACATGTTCGCGGCATTCTCTGAACTTCGATCGGAACCTCGCCGCAGGACTTGCCTCTGTCTCAGTTCTAGTGACTGCAGTCACCCTGACCATGATCGAAGACTCCCGCCCTTCCATGCTAACCTCCGAGGACTGCTGGGACACATTCCGCTTGGTCTCAGCTGGAGAACTGTTATCCATATAAGAACCTGCCTCCATGCTGGATCTTTTCCTCACCTATCCCACATTACCTTTTACCATACATCTTCATACTTTCATATATCTTTGCACTCAACCCCTGCATTTGATCATACACAATGTTCTCTAAACACACCTCTGCTTCCATTTCCCTTGTTCCCCGCAAGGTGTCCGATAAAGTTGGCGCCAGTGTTCGAGGGTTTGTCGGTACGTCGGTTTCTTCTATCTAAGTATAGTGTTGGGTTAGCTGGTTTACTGACATCAACTGGCGATGGTATACAGGAAGGCTCACGATGGAGAGGAAGGCTTCGCAGGCTTCCGTGAGGTCCGCTGATTCTGTTCAGGAGAAGGAGAGGGTAGAGTTCGATCTTTTCGGGAAGGATGCAGTCTCGGTTGAGGGTGGCGTGGAAGGGACGAGGGTGCTAGAGTCGTGGTTTGCTTTTGAGGAGGAAGAAGGGGTTTGTCCGGAGGTTCAGCGGATAGATGTGTTCGCGGCTGCTGGTCGTATGGGTGAGGTGGTTGCGGGGCGCGGAGAGGTCTCGAGGTTGTCGACTCGTAGCGATGGTCAGATGAGGCGTGAGGAACGGGTGTGGTGGGTATGAGAAGTGGATGGGGTTAAGACTTAGTAGGGAGAGGGCGCTGGTCGCTCGGTCTTCAGAGTAAGCAGGATGGCTTACGCCTCCATCAAGTGAGTGATATCACCCCCTCCCTTCATCATCATCGACGCTGACTTCAACAGGACTTGGGTTCTGGGGGCTACTTGGGTTCTGGGGGCGCATCAGGTTCCGAAGAATCACATCTTAGGGCACCGTGTCGGCATGCACGGTGTCGTTACTCGCTGACGAGCGGCTTCCCGGGTTCACACCCGGCGGTGAGTGGGACTCCCCCTTGATTTCCTCAAGGAGTCCACTCAGTAACACGCACTCATCCTCTGGTTGCCATTGTGGCCCAGTCTCCGAGGGTGAGTGGATGGGTAGACTGTTGAACATTATCATTCGCTTCATAGCGGTCTCTCGGGTTCGACTCCCAGAGATGGATGATCCCTGACTTAGTCTTCAGTGGAGGGATTGCTCGGTGATATATATAACTCCCGATGCTTTAGGCAGTTGTTGAAGATTTGATGTGGCGTCATTACTCGCTTTCCAGCGGCCTCTCGGATTCGCTTCCCAGAGGTGGGTGATTCCTGATATATAGATTTTAGCGGCAGGATCACTCGGTAATGCACTCGACTTCTTGATAGCCTGATAATACGGGTTTCAGAGGTTGGGTGGTTTCTCCTGGTAAAGGGAGATGCTTTCATACAGCTATCCCGGCGTCGGCCTCTTCGTGGCCCAGGAGACGAGTACCCTTCGGGGGAAACTAACAGACGCTCTTTTCAACCTTTTCATGTCATCGCCTTGCAACGGTACTCTGCCTTCCATAGAGAGCTGGTTTCGTTCCCATACCATGCATTGTTCTACCCATGCATAAAAATTAGAAACCGCTTCTGGTGTTGTGTAGACATTCCCTTCACATCTTTGTCGCCACACGCTTGTTCATTAGGGGCTAACCGGGCTCTAGACCCAGAATAGAATGAGTTAGCACGCGAGCAAAATTAAAGCCGTCGCGAGCGCATCACAGGCACTGCCTTGGTTCGGCTCCAGTGTGGCCCATATGAAGCCAAATTTCGGTGGGGAAGTCGAGCGGCGCAAGTGCAGCCGCCGTGTTTCGCCGTCTGAGCACAGGCATCGTGGCATGATGCCGACCGAAACGCGTATCAAAATTAGCGCATTTACCCGCGAACAAGTCCCTGCTTTCAAACGGAAAGACAAGGAAGAAGGGTCGTCAGAGTTCGGTCTGTACGAGAACAAGGCCGTGTGGCACAAGGAGGGAGCACGAGGCACGGAGAGGGGAATGTCATAAAGGCCGAAATCGCCAAGTTCGGACTGTCAAGATGGTCGAATAAGCGTCGAATAATTTACAGTCACAGCCGCTGAGCAGGGTAAATCGGCATACGAATACGATGTGAAACATTCATCCCCAGACCAATCATCCCTTCTTCCCTCCCCCGACACCGTCGTTGTCTTCCCCAACCCCTTCCAGTCACCGCTCGCCATGTCTCAAAAGTCGAGCTCGACGTACGCATTCTCCTGTTCGTTGTTGATGTTCGTGGACTGACCTGTACGGTTTGAAGGTCTGTGCATGTACGCAAAAAGACGTGAGTGTATGTCGACCTCTCTCTTCGCCGTGCTAGGCTCTGACTGTCAATACTATGTTCTTCAGTTTCGCGATAAAGAAAGACGAAGGGCAAGCCCTTAGTCGCCGTGACATACAATATGATTTCCTTCATAGCATCTTCTTCGACGCCCAGCGCGTCTTCATCAACCCGTTTGCGACCTCGGAGTCGGACGCCAAGGTCACATTCCGGGACCTCTATGTTCAGGCTTTGGTCCAATCTCCTAGGTGTTCGAGAGCATTGAAGGATAAACTGCAGGAAAAGCCGGAGTTTGGCACGGATTTCGCAATGATATCGTTGCTCGCGAATGTTGGAAGGGTGAATACGACTATGACATGTACGTGCAAGGTGCCTGCCAGATCACTGTGTACTGACGATGGGCTGTAGTCCTACCGGAGATGAAGACATCTTTGAGGACGTATCATCCTGTTCCTGCACTTCAGAGGTACGATGAGAATCTGCAGGATGCGCCTCGCATCAAGAACCTTTTGAAGGCCTGTGCCCTGAAGACAGAGACGGGCAGGATGCCGGTTACTCAAGCTGACCTGCTTGCACTCGCGGTTCGCAGATTCCATGCTTTTTGTTCCATTATAACGTCGCTCAAACATCTTTGCAGGCGAAGGGCACGATCCCGACCTCGAGCATTGTCAACGTTCTCTTCGTCCTTTCCAACAACTTCACCGTACGTCATCTTCCCTTGTCCCCTGTCTCACACTCGTAAATTACTCTTATCCAACCATTCAATTATTGTCCTTGCCCCCGGACATCGGCCCTCGGGATCTAGAGCGTTGCACACGATCATTTTGGTCGCCTAGACATCGACCTACTCGACTTCTTCCTCCCAATCCACGTTTCCTCCGTCTCGCGCGCTCAAGCCTTCCTGTGGCTCGTCTATCGCTATCATCAAGGGCCTCCCACTTCCGACCCTGCTGACCCTAATACGAACCCATTCGACGACGACCACTCAAGGCAACATCCTGGCATGGTCCCGAAGCTCGTGACATTGAATGACGCGGAATTCGAGGCGGAGAACGTGGACACACCCGAAGAGAATGAGTACGGCGCGAGGATGAACAAGTTCAGGTTGAACTTCATAGCGAAGAATGCAGAGGGTGGATCTGGGAAGAGTTCTGCTGGTGCTGCTGGTGGAAGTGCTAGGGCGAGCATCAGTGGCTTAGCGGCGGTGGCGAGTGGCGAGGTTGTTGATATTGATGGGCCGGCGGAGGCGGGAGAACAAACAAAGGAGAAGGAACCGGCGTCGGGGCCTGAAAAGGGGAAGAAAGGGCTCGGAAAGGGGAGGAAGCCGGACTGGTACTATGAGAACGCGAATGCAGCCGCTGGACCGAGTGGCTCAACCAGTTCACCTCTTGCTCTTGGCCCCAATGCGGTGCCCAAAGGGAGGGGTAGGGGAAAAGGGAAGGGGAAGACGAAAGAGGTTTCCGCTTCCTCTGTTCCTGGCGACACTTCGAAGACAAGGAAGAGGGGAAGGGAAGCATTCACGCCGATGAGTGAAGCGATGCCTGTAGACTCCCTATCTCGCAACACGACTATGAGCAACTTCGACCCGCCAGCAGGTTCGTCTCTCATTCCTCGTTTGCGTGTCGTAGCCTTTTTTTTTACACTACCCTAACCTACGCATTCACAGCATTTGACCGGGACTCTCAGAGACGTCGCCTCACGTCCTGGCAGCGCACCACCGAGGCGGAAATTCCTCCTCGCATGAGCCTTGTCTCTGGGCAGAACCCTTCCCATCTTCATTCATACTCTCAAACGCATCAACAGTATCAACACGTCCAGACCAGGAGCCCTCGTCATGCCTATGCGAGGTCAGGCTACTCCACGCCGCGCTATCGAGCCTCGGAGCCCAATCTGCGTTACACGCTCTCGCATGATCGTGATGGGCCACAAAGGACGTCGATTGAGCGTGAGTTCATCTTGCATGTCGTGTTTTTTTTGTAGTTAAATGCTCTTCTTTTGGAATTCATAGATGCATTGCATGCTATTGAGCACATCGATCCTCTCGCCGACTCTGATGATGAGGGTATAGACCATCAGTCGCGTGCTGAGTACAGTGAGTATCATCTCTCCTGTAGCCTCCCTACTACATTTCCCTCCCTTTCTCAACTATTAATCATCCACTCTAGTCACACGCCTCGGAGTCCTTCAGCATCTCCAGTCACAGCTTGCGCCAGGTCCTGCTCTTACCCCACCCGAAGTCGGCATCCGCAACGGCTCTCGCCACGGCCCCTATTAATCAACCCAAAGCATCTCTCTCTCCCTCAAGCTTCAAAACAAATGCATAGCCCCCGAAATCCTTACCCTATATAATGTATAATCGAATCGAAAAGCAAAATCGTCAAAAGCTCTTGTTGTTGCCAGTCTAAGTTATTCGTTGTTTATATTGTTTATACATCCGTATATTTGTTTTCGACCCTTGCTTTGTCCAGTTTCGTTCTCGCACGAGTTATCTTTGCATTTTAATTGTGGACGTTGGGGCTGGCGTTGATATTGAAAGGACCGGCATAATATGGAGTTGGAGTTGCATCTTGGATCGGGTCGAGCGTTGGTTCGTTTCCGTTTCGCCGATGAGTTCATTGGCATATGGACAGCCGCTCGTATCGCATTTCATCGTATTATATCGTCTTTTATTCTGAGTAGTCTATTAAACCTCGCGTTTCTCATAATGATAGACTGTTGTTCCGGTTATTCTTTGTGAGAGGGGGGAGCTAGTAGGGGTACATGAGCACGTAGTGGTGACAATGTGTTCCTAGTGAATCATCACAACTGAATTCTTCCGAAATTGGGAAAGAGTCGACATCGCAGAGGTAGACAGAAATATAGACGAGAATCTGTGATACAGACTTGTGGAGGTCGTAGGAGGTCGTGAGCGACGAAAGATTACCGTTCTATCTAACCGTTAAACCGCCGACTTGTGATTGGACGCGGCCGGACAGGGCCGAAAGAAGAAAATCGGACATTAATTCTTGGATCGGGCTCACTTCACGCTCCTTAGATTTTTAGCTCTGTGCACTTGACTCGACGTTGTGGAGCTCGTTGAGGAGCTCGTCTCTGGTGTTGTCCACGATGTCTACCACTGCTGCTCGGTCAGTCTTGAGGCAATGCAGGCCCTTACCTCTCTCAAGGTCTCTCGCCACCCATGCGTCTGCACCGACCAAGGACTGCACGTCAATTACCCCACCCTATGCTCAACTCATCAAAAATCTGTCGCTTGTCCAGAAACTGCTCAAGGACCGTCCATTGACTCTTGCGGAGAAAATTCTGTACAGTCATCTCTTTGACCCAGCCAGTGCTACCGATGGGATTGTGAGGGGACAGACATATCTTCAATTACGGCCGGAGAGAGTAGCCATGCAGGATGCTTCTGCTCAGTGCGTACATGCTACATGTTCATTGCACTCCCATATCTTACGCTCGTATGCTCTCGTTTAGAATGGCTCTGTATGTGTAATCCTACCATCCATCGTTTTTCGTTCTGAGGCGTTGGGCCACACCAGTTTGCAGTTCATGAGTGCCGGTTTGGGCCGGACGGCTGTCCCTTCGAGCATCCATTGCGACCATCTTATACAGGCATCTGTGGGAGCAGATGCTGATCTTATGGTGCGTACTAGCATATCCTCCTGTCCGTATGCTCGTGCATTAACATTGCACCTATCAGCGAGCCATTGAGTCAAACAGAGAGGTTTTCGATTTCCTAGAGAGCGCGGGGAAGAAGTACGGTATCGAGTTCTGGAAACCCGGTTCTGGAATCATCCATCAAATAGTCTTGGAGAACTACGCGGCGCCCGGTATGCTCATGTTAGTGACATTTCGCTCATGGTGCGAAGTGCTGAAGTTGACAATTGTGGCGCTGGTCTCAGGTTGGGAACTGGTAAGGATTGCTATCTCCGACCGCTAGGTGTCTGCTTATGAACCTGTTCAGACTCGCATACACCGAACGCTGGTGGTCTTGGTTTGTTGGCTATTGGTGTCGGTGGTGCCGACGCTGTCGATGCCATGACTGGTACTCCCTGGGAGCTGAAGGCACCACAGGTCGTTGGTATGGGTTATCCTTCCCGTTTCCGTGGTCAGCTCCTCTGATATCTGCATTACAGGTATTCATCTCACCGGTAAAATGACTGGCTGGGCCACACCCAAGGACTTGATCCTTCATTTGGCAGGCAAGCTCACGGTCAAGGTATAGCGCCACTTCTCACCTATCATCCGGTGTGTAAAGGCTAACCCATTCACAGGGTGGCACTGGTCGAATTCTGGAATACTTCGGTCCCGGTGTCTTCAATCAATCATGTACAGGTCTGTGTGTCACGTTCGGCTCACTTCTTTTTCACTCATCGCTCACGGTATATCTACATGGAAGGTCTGGCCACAATGGCGAACATGGGAGCCGAAGTAGGCGCAACGACGTCCACTTTCCCCTACACACCACACATGCGCGCCTATCTCAACGCCACAGGACGAAGCCCAGTTGCCGCCGCCGCCGACGCAGCAGCTTCTCAAGGTTTCTTGAGTGCAGACGAGGGTGCGGAGTATGACGAGGTCATTGAAATCGTATGGCCCACCTCACTACTACCCCATGAAACACGTCTAATTGTCGGAGCCATCTTCAGGACCTTTCAACGCTCGAACCCACCATCAACGGACCCTTCACTCCCGATCTGGCAACTCCTCTGTCCAAGTTTGGATCCTTCATTCAAGAGCAAGGCTGGAAAGATGAACTCTCAGCCGGACTTATCGGATCATGCACGAACAGCTCGTACGAGGATATGGTATGTCTGCCTTTGACGCATGTCCCATTCCCATTCCTCTAACAGCGATGTATAGACTCGTGTAGCAGATCTCGCTCGTCAGGCGAAGGCCGCAGGGCTCACGACCAAGGTTGGTAATAAATATTGATGGGCTTTCCATCGTGGAGCTCATGCAAATACAGGTTCCTTTCCTCTGTACCCCAGGTTCCGAGCAAATTCGAGCAACGATTGAACGTGACAACGTCACTGAGGCTTTGGAATCCGTCGGCGCTACCGTCCTCGCTAATGCCTGCGGACCTTGCATCGGTCAGTGGAAGCGTGAGGACAAACAGGGCGAAGAGAATGGTCAGTAGATCACGCTTATCTCAGGCGAAGTCTTGCTCATATCGATACTGTTCCAGCTATCCTGACCTCGTTTAACCGGTACATATTTTATGTCTCTTTCTCGATGGAGCCTCCTGGGTACTCATCTCCCCAATTATCCAGTAATTTCAAGTCCCGCAACGACGGTAACCGCCTGACGATGAACTTTCTCGCCTCCCCCGACATCGTCACTGCCATGTCCTTCTCGGGCAAACTCTCCTTCAACCCCATGACTGATTCCATCACCACCCCCTCCGGCGAGTCCTTCAAATTCACCCCACCATCAGGACAAGAGCTTCCCGCTGCCGGCTTTATGGCAGGCGATACCTCGTACTACCCCACACCGACCCCGGAGCCCGTACCAGAAACGGAGGTAGTGATCAAGGAGGATTCGCAGAGACTGGAGGTTTTGGAGCCGTTCGGCAGTCACTTTGGGGAAGAGAGCGGGAATGCGAGGGGGCTGGAGTTGCCGGCCTTGAAGGTTTTGATGAGGGTCAGGGGAAAGTGCACGACAGATCATATCTCGGCTGCGGTGAGTTGAGGTTTACTTGTACTCTATTGTTCGAAGGCTGAAGTCTATCTCGATGATCAGGGCCCTTGGTTGAAATATAAGGGTCACTTGTCGAACATCTCCGAGAACCTTTGTAAGTCCTGATGGAGACTCCGCGCATGGCACGCAAAGACCTGACATCCGAATTATTTTCTAGTGATCACTGTAAGTCACATCATTTCCATGCTACGATGACAATATTGACTAGGTGACAGGCCGTGAACGACGAGGGTGGTGAAGTGAACATCGCATTTGACCACGAGCACGGTCCCTCCCAAAGCGAGGCCGACACGATCCCGGGAGTGGCCAAGCGCTTCAAAGCACGCAACCAGCCATGGGCTCTCGTCGTCGATGAAAACTACGGCGAAGGAAGTGCTCGTGAGCATGCTGCGCTCCAACCCCGATTCTACGGTATGTCTGTTATCTGCCCGTTTCTATTGGGCTTTTCTCATGGAATCAACGTAGGATGCGCGATGATCATTGCCCGGTCATTTGCCCGTATTCACGAAACTAACCTCAAAGTACGTCTTCGTCGCCTATCTCCCACATCTCTCGTGTGACTCATTCTCACTTCGTCCACAGAAACAAGGTGTCCTCCCCGTCTGGTTCGCCGACAAGGCCGACTACGAACGTATCGGTTCAGGTGACATTGTCGAGACTAACGGACTCGCTGCTCTCCTCGAAGGAAACACCGATGCTGCTATTACCGTCAAGGTCACCAAACACACCGGCGAGACGTTTGAGATTCCGGTGAAGCATACTATGTCGACCGATCAGCTTAAGTGGCTGAGGGCTGGCTCAGCATTGAACTATATTCGCTCGCAACTTGCATGAGAGGGTCTCTCAGCGGGTATGGTGGTCGGATTGGAGTGGGCACGCCGCGAGTGTGGCTACAGGAAGATGGAGATGTGGTCTCTGAGAGTGATGTGCATCTAGGCCAGGAAAGTACTACATAGATCTTATGAATAATATACGGGGTATGGAGTATGTATGTGTTGTAAGCCACAAGATTAGGATGAAGTATGAGATTTAGGCGATGTCGATGCTGATGCTGATGACTGCTTAGCCAACGATTGTCCAAGATGTTTTAAATCTGCGATGCTGCTTGCGGTAACAGCATCACGAACACGAAGCCAAGAAAGTGCGTCCTTTGCGACGCCGATAGCGGCGGGTGGCATACCTGCCAGTTGAGCCACCTTGAGACCATGACTGTCGCGATTGACACCGGGCCGAAGTCGATGAGAGTAGGCGAATGAGCCATCCTGAAGACGATTAAGGTCAGCACATCATGAGCAGAAGAGTTGGTTGATCAACACAGATGGATAGGCTGGGAACACTGACCTCAACCTCGTCGACATCGGTACAGTAGAATCCGACATTCTGAAACGCGCCTTCTCCCTTTTGATCGCCAGAGTATCCCAGCATGTCTGTAATTTCGTGAAAGTGGGTTGCAAATAGTGCACGGCATTGGTTCTGAGCGTAGAGGTGATGAACTGTGGCGAATGCAATAGCTAGTCCATCTTTGACAGTCGTCCCGCGTCCGACTTCGTCCATGATGACCTGTACGACACAACATTGAACTCTATCACCGAGGTGTTTGGCCAAATAGGGAACGAAACCTACTAGACTATTTGGCGTGGCCCGTCGCAGAATCTCAGCCGTCTCTAACATCTCAACCATGAACGTGCTCTTATCCCTGAACAAATCGTCCTTGGCACCCACTCTCGAAAACAACGCATCGACCATCCCGATGACCGCATGCTCAGCGGGCACGAATGACCCTGTCTGCGCGAGGATAGCAATGAGGGCTGTTTGGCGTAAAAGAGTAGACTTGCCAGCCATGTTTGGGCCGGTGATGATATGTAGACGTGACTCGGGAGAGAAAGAGACGGTATTGGGAGTGAAGACACGGCCGGCATTGATGAGACCCAGCTCGACTGTGGGATGACGACCGTCCACGACATGGAAAGTGCAACTGATATCCAATATTAGTATGGGGCATAGAGAAGAAACAATAACACTGGCGTACTCTTCGGTCAAGGTGGGTCTGACAAAGTTCATGCTAGCGGCAAGGTTGGCGAATCCGAGGGTGACATCCAGTTCGTCGATGATCTGGGCGTTTCGGCGGAGAGCGCCCTCTTGGACATTGACCTGGCCGAAGGAAACTCGTGAGACTTTGTCTATGGGAGACGTACCTGTTCATCTTACCTCGTTGCGAAGGGCTTCAAAAGCGGCCTTTTCGTGGGCCAGAATGGAGTTAGAGGTTTCCATGAGTTCGGTGCCCAATTGCGACCATGCCTGTAAGTGAGAGTAAGATGAGCTGATACTCGTAAGACAGTGTAAGAGGTATTACTCGATTGAAAAAGACACTCGTCGAATTGCTCTCTGAGATGAGGACAAAGGATTGAGAGGCTTTCAGAGGAGCAGCGTCACGCTTCGATCGGGCGATGTGAACGTGTAGACCGTAGAATGAAGAGGATCGCAGGGTCAAAGACGAAGCATCTGTAAATTGTTTGAGGAAGGTTTCAAGAAGAACAGCGGTAACCATACGCACCGTACACCTGTTGAAACCGCCGCTCTAGCTCCTCGCGTTGCGTGAGTAGATCCTGGAACTTGTTATGCAGTGACCGTATCTCATTCGAATAACTTGGGAACAAAAGAATCACTGAGAAATGTTCATTTCGGAGCAGAAACAATTACTCACTCAGGATTAATGGTCCAGTTGTTCGTTTGCCACTTTAGATCGCTCTGCACCGTGTCCGACCCTCCGAAACTGAGTTCCTCAGGCATATTCGGTTCCAATTGCCCTTCAGGTTCTGTTCCAGCTTCGTCCTCCGACTCTCCGATAGCAGTCTGATCCCTCCTCACAGCCGAACTCCCTTTCAAGGCCACGTCAATCCTGTCCGCTAGTTCCTTCAAATCCGTCATCCTGCTCATCAAACGATCCAAGCTGTCCCAGTCTTCCTGCTTCACAATCCCTCTCTCCTTCTCTTCATAAGTCTTCTCAAGCTGCATACGATTGTGAATAGTTGTCCAGGTGGAGATCGTGGAACTTATTGCTGAGAGATCTGTGGCATCACCTCGACCAAGGAGGAATTTCTGAACGATGCGTGTGGCGTCGTCGATTTTGCGGAGGTAATCGACGAGGTCGTCTCGAAGATGCGGACGCAAATGGAAGAGAGCAACGAGGGACTGTCGGGCGTTGACCTCGGCGAGAGACGTGCTCGGAGAGCCTAGATATCAAGCAGTCGTTAGCATTTAGAGAGACTGAGGAGAAGTGAGGAAGTGGCGTACAGAGCCAGCGGGCAAGTAACCGAGTGCCACTGTTCGTGACTGTCCTCTTGATCACACTGAGCAGGCTACCTGATGTACCGCCTTCCCGCATACCTTCTCGAATCTCGAGAGCCTTGATCGTGTGAGCATCGATCCGCATACGACCTTCGCTCGCTTCTTTGCTGGGTGAGGACAGGCGGGGCATACTTTCCATCAAGTTGGCATGCAGGAAGGTCGTGAGCAAGTCGACTGCCGCGGTCTCCTGCTGCGAGAGGGAGAATTTGGAAGTATTGGTGAGCCCGCCCTCGGGAATAGCTTGCGCTTCATGTGAACTCGCGGACCGTTTCGACGGCATGATGAAGGAAGTAAAGGACTCTTCTTCGAGGACGGCTTGTCGGAGAGGGTGTGAAGGATTGGATTGAAGGGAGGTAGATAGAACGACCTCACGAGGTGCAATCCGAACCAGATCGTCCCGCAACGAGTCGAGGGTCGTGTCCTTCGTGAAGAACTCTCCAGTCGATACATCAATCCAGGCCAATCCCACAGCATTCGTATCTTCACCACCGCTCGCACTGACCTCTCCGATAGCGAGCAGGTAATTATTCTCATACTGATTCAAGAACGGTTCGTCGATTAACGTGCCCGGCGTAATGACCCGAGTCACCCGTCTTTCGAACGTAAGTTTCGCTCCTGCAGATGTAGAAGGGGTGACGGAGGTAGAGGGAGGGCGAACAAATTCCTCGCAAAGGGCAACGAAACGGTGGTGGTGTTGGACTAGAACTTTGAGGTGCTTGTGAAGGTGATGGACTGGGAAACCACACATATGTGCGCGTTGGCCTCCACCGCCAGAAAGACGACTTGCGAGCTTGATGTTGAGTAGCTCGGCGACTTCGACTGCTTGATCGAAGTAGGACTGAAGGTATACTGAATACTTTTTGGAGAATAACTGAGTGAGGCGAGCAGGAGCCGACGTACCTCATAAAATTGGCCAACACGGGTGAGAAGGATGCAGTGAGGGAACTTTGCATGGTTTTCCATTACACCAGCAGCCAGAATACTTCGAGGTCTAGCAAATGTGGCAGGCTCGTCTGTACGATAGTAGAGAAAATGTGAATGGTGAGAATAAAGGCGAGCGGTAACAAGACAGACCTTCTCCTTCTCCCGACGCCACTTTCACTCGTCGCGTTCTTTTAGGCTTCAAGTCTACCGCTGACGCGTCTTCAACGTGAGGAGGGTCATCTGCGACCTTCTTGACGCGTCTTTTACGCGTTTTTGGAACCGTCTCACCCACACCGTCTGTTCCTGATGCGCTCGCATCTTGGGCCACACTGTCTGGCTCGCCATCCTCCGCATCCTCGAACTGCTGCAGCTTGACGCGCCGGCGTCGTTTGCGCATTTTGGGAGGGACATCGATGATGGAGATGACCCCTGTCTCTTCATCGATGGATGCCTTTTGCGTGGCTTTCTTGAGGATCTCTCCGGGCTCACCTTCAGACGGGATAGGCGGGGAGTCATCAACCAGTACTGAGGAGTTCCCATCTGTCCGCCACGAAGAGTGCGCCGAACAATATGTGACATACGGTCAACGACTGGATTGTTGAAAGAATGATCATGCTACAGGACTGGGCGTACATCTACCACTCTGAGAACCCGAATCCGAAACGCCCAACTCTTCCTCTGTGTTCGCTACGATCCTCCGTCCGGTAATTGAAGTGTGGTGTTCGTTGGCTCGAGAAGACGAGGGTGGAGCATCCAGTCCTCCATCCCACGGAGCAAGAGGTCTGAGAGATACTCCTTCGACAAGCAGAGCACTCGATAGTTCCGTATATTTCTTCTTCGTTATTTTTGGTTTGGACTTCAGCGAGTCGGATCCCGAAGATTCGGTGGTGGCATTTCTGAGCGTGAGGGCATGGTGGAGTGAGCGCGTCGACGACGACGCTTTCGTAGTAGGGCAAGCAGAACCAAGATTTATTTTACAAGCATTCCGGAGAGAGAGTCTCGTTCGTTGCATACGACGAAGGGCCACGACGGCGAACACGACAGTCGACAGCGGCGCGAACCGAAATTGAAGGCGAAAGAAGCGCTGGGCGGAGTTTGAACCCGTCGTCGAACGCTCTCCCCGTTGAGCTCCTCCGCCTCGCCCTCGCACCGCGTCGCAGTCCGCAACCGCGCTCTCTCTAACCGCTTTCTTTCCTTCATTTTTCTCTCGTATAATTCACCATGTCGTTTGCCGGAAGACGTAGGGGCAACAAGGTCAAGAAGGGTGTTCAGTTCACCCTGATGGTCGTCGGTGCGTCGCTCTCTATCTGCCTCGCCATGAATGTTCATTGCTCACTCGTTCTCGTCGTCTTTTCTGTGTTCAACCTTGGAATATCTCCGTGTCTGTCGTTCTCGGTGTGGTCTCGGTGGATGTCTTGCCATGGATGCAGGCGCGTCCGGCACTGGACGCACGACGTTCGTCAACACGCTCTGCGAGTCGGAGGTCCTCAACCATAAGATGTCTGACAACCCTGAGTCTGCGCACGTTGAGGAAGGCATCAGGATCAAGCCCTGCAACGTCGGTGCGTTCTTATTTTCTCCCTACTCTACGCCCTTTCCACTGCCGTCGTTCATTCCCACTCTATCTACGGACCACCATAACTTACCCGTCCGGCGTTTGTGCGTGGCCACGACAGAGCTCGAGGAAGACGGCGTCCGCATTGCGCTCACCATCGTTGATACCCCCGGCTTCGGCGATAACATTGACAATGAGTTCGCGTACGTTCCACACACTTACTTCAAATCATCTTTTAATCGTATTTTTTCCACCTCGCCTCCCCCTTCTCACTTACCTCCTCACGGCGCACGTTATTGGGGAGTACAGGTTCCAGGAGATCGTCGGCTACCTCGAGCGTCAATACGACGATATCTTGGCCGAGGAGAGCCGTATCAAGCGTAACCCCCGTTTCAGGGATAACCGTGTTCACGCGTTGTTGTACTTTATCCCTCCTACTGGCCACGCGTACGTCCTTATTTTACTTGGTGATTCTCTGGGCTAATGATGGGACATCCACTGCAAACAGCTTGAGGGAGATGGACATCGAGCTGATGCGCCGTCTTTCGCCCCGCGTCAATGTCATCCCCGTCATCGGCAAGGCCGACTCTTTGACCCCCAGCGAGCTCCGGGGCTTCAAGAAGAGGGTATGCATTCCCTATACCGAACAATACTCGGGGCGCTAAAATTGACGGGCTCGGGTCCGAATTAGATCATGGAGGACATCGAGCACTACGACATCCCCGTATACAACTTCCCCTACGACGTCGAGGAGGATGACGAGGAGACCATCCAGGACAACAGCGAGCTTCGCGTACGTGTTGACTGCGCATCAGTCTCTCAAAGATTTTCGAGCTTACCAGGCGGCTTTTTCTGTCTGTTTAAACAGGCCCTCCTTCCTTTCGCCGTCATCGGTTCCGAGGAGGAGATCGAGATTGACGGCCAGCCCGTCCGTGCGAGGATCTACCCGTGGGGTATTGCCGAGGTCGACAACCCCAAGCACTCTGACTTCAGCCGTTTGAGGAGCGCGCTCTTGAAGTATGCCGTTCTATCCCCTTATAAACACTTCCCTGCCAGTGGTTGACGTGATTTGCCTCTACAGCTCCCACCTTGCGGATCTTAAGTCCCTCACTCACGACGTCCTGTACGAGACGTACCGTACCGAGAAGCTCTCGAGGACGGTGCACACCGACACCCAGTGCGTTCTTCCCCATGGGTCTCTTGAAGGAGAACTTTTACTAATTGATCCGTCGTGATCTGCAGCGACTCGTCAATTCTCCCCGAGGAGCTCGCGACACAGAGCGTGCGCCTGAAGGAGGAGCAGCTTCGCAGGGAAGAGGAGAAGCTCCGCGAGATCGAGCTCAAGGTCCAGCGGGAGATCAACGAGAAGAGGCAGGAGCTGCTCGCGAAGGAGGAGTCGCTCAGGAATCTCGAGTCGCGTCTCGCAGCGCAAGGATCGCAGGGCGAGTTCCGGGGCGATTAGGTGGCGACGACGACAAAATGACGCGTTTGTGCGTTCAGAGTGGACGTTGGTCGAAAAGCGGCGGTCGTTTCCTTTCCGTTTTCCGTGCGAGATTGCAGTATACCCCCATCTGTCTCCTCCTTCCTCTCTCCATATACTCCTGTGTTTTGTGTGTTGGTTCCATATAAGTTACACGCTCTTTGACTTGTGTCTCATCCCTGACTCTTCGCTTCTTTTCCCTGGACCGTTACTGATTCGGTTACAGTGTGTTTTGCGTGTTGGATAATACCGTCTGGTGTTCAGCTTCTGCGTTGTTCCAGTCTGTCTCTTCTGTTCGATGTTTCTTTCTTGAATTCAATAGGATACTCTATAGTTCGGCTTTATCGTGGGCGTTTCCCGTGTCTGTCTTGGCGCCAGCCTTCAAGATTCTTGGTATGGAAGTTGCTGTTCAGACTGTTGGCTGCGTGATCGTGGCGCATGACGGGTGTAGCAATTATGAGTACCCACCCGTGGTCTTTGTTTTCGGGAACTTCGAAGCTGTCAGGTGCAAATGGAGGAAAAGGGTGAGGGCAGGTGGATGATGGGAAGTGCCCGGTGGGGAATGCAGATAAAGAGTTCAAGCGGGGATGTTCGGGATGTGCCCGCGGGGTACGTCTATCGTCTGCTACTAATAATTGTGTGGACAACGGAAGCATGGCGAGGGAGAGTCGGATAATGAAGAGACTGGGTATCGTAGATACGCCGCCGCCGGTGGGTATGTGAATTGTATCTAGTACTTGAGTCTGAGTAGAGGAGGGCGTATTATGATTGCGTGTGGGTGTTGTGTATGTCGAACGTAGATGAACAAGGTTCGAAACCTGCGAGCTGGTACAAGTTCTTCTGGATCTTTGCGCAAACGGCTTCGCACGCCCCTCAATCAAACACAACGTCGACCTCCCGTCGTCGTCGTCGTCGCAGCCGCTATCGATTGTGTACATATCGCGAGAGTTCCGTGATTGTGTTCTGTTCTGTCGAGCGACTGCGCGTGGCCAAGTCCTCGAAGGGGCTCGCCGAAATAGGCAAGCGTCCGAACAGTACGCCTGTTCTGTTTCTCGCTTCTCGTTCGTCCCTCCTGAACGCCTCTTCTCCCTCCATCCTCCCCTTTTTTTTCTTCCTTTTCTTCCTCTTTCGTTTTCGACAGCTGGCGCTCTGTGCTTGACCGTGCAGGATCTTTGTTGGCGGTGAAACGCGCGAACAAACGATCATATCACGGACGTAGAGCAACCGCGTCGACTCGAGACGCCAATCCGAAAGCCAGGTATAGAGGCCGCGAACAGACGCAGTGTAGTGCTCTCACCGCAATTGCCATACAGCCATCAAACACACGCTCGAACGTCGACGCCATCTGAGCTCGACGCTTTGTCGAATACCCGCACCATATTGTATCACCATTACCACCACCAGCTCTCGCCAACCCGACTCCCATGCAGCTCGGCGAGACAAGACCGGCATCAGTCCTCAACCCACACGCAGAATGGATGGTTCGAAACCACATCGACCCAGCACCGCCGTCTTCTTCATCCTCGTCCACAGCGTCCGCCTCGTCCACCGCAAGTGCATCCAACTCCACCCAGGCCCCTTCATCCACTTATCCCACCCCAAGAAGGCGTTCATTCATACACGCACCCCCTCCCGCTCCACCGCCCAGCCAGCCGATACCCAGTCTACCCATCATTGATACCACTCACGCAGACCCCACTCCCGAACACACTTCCACCTCCCCCACTGCTGTTCACTCAACCACCATGCCCAACGGACATTACTATCCCGACTCGTCCTCGGACTATCGGGACCAAGAACGGCATACGCCCCATTCCCCACCCACATTCTCAGCAGGCATAGGCCGTCCAGCAGTATCGCCCGGTCTTGCCGCAGTCGCTGCATTCTCTCAATCTAGACTCGCCAATACAACGACACTGACTGCTGCTTCGAGCTCGGGACCAGGACCAGTACCACTTTCGCCTGCTCGTGCGACGAATGCAAACGGCAGAGCGTCAAGCGAGCATCAAGAGCTCATCCCGGACCGTCTGCTACTGTCTCCGAACGGCCCCCAGCCCGCGGAACAACCTAGACCATCGTCCAGGCGCGCGTTGACGAGGGCGTTGGAGCTCGCGAGGGAAGCTGTAAGGTTAGACTCGACGAACGACGATCCGTACGGGGCGGTCATTGCGTATGGGAAGAGCGTGGCACTGTTGAGCAATGTTATGGAGAGGGTGATGAGGGGTGAGGATAGTACGGAGGGGAGGAGAAGAGGAGGTAGGAGGAGGAGCGTGGTCGCGCAGGAGGAGGAAGTGAAGAGGTTGAAGGCTATTGTGAGTGCATAATCCATGTCCGTCCGCTTGCCGTTGCACACTCTGACGGGTATTGTGGGACGTGTTCGACTCGCCGAGCAGCACGATACCTATGCCGATCGTATGAATATCCTCAGTCTTATTTATAATATCCCTCATATACCACACTCCCCTGGCGCCCTCGCGGCGTCCATCTCTGCATCTGCGGATTCTACGCGGCCCTCATCACCCAACTCTAGCTCTCCTGGCTCCGATTCGGATACATATAGGGGTAGGTCATCGTCTGTGGCGACGACGAGCTCCGATGGTCGGACGACAACGATATTCACGGATTATTCTGGTACGACACTGGCGGATGGCCTATACCCTGACGAACCTGAGTCGGATTCCGAGAAAGGTACGTTAAGCTATGGCCTATATCACTTTGACCGCCACCTAAGAATAGTCACTATTTACCCAGCTACATCTTCATCTCATCATCCATACGCAGCCCCGGAGGCTATGGAGCAACGGGTTTCTCCACCCTCAACAGCGACAACGAATGGCACTGTCGCTCATGTCCAACGGGATCGAACTAGCTCACAACCTCCAGTTCGACCTTATCCGGCTCCGGCCGCACCTCACCGTCCTCGAGCGGTCTCCGCTCTTCCACCCGCACCGCCACCGCCACGAGACTCTTTACCTCCCGCTCCGGATCAGGAACGTCTGAACGTCGCATCACGACCCCGAGGAAACTCGGCAAGTCATTCACGGACGGGGTCGAATGGTTCGGGCCGGTTAGCGTCGTTACAGGAGGAGAGTGAGCGGTACGATGACCAGCCATTGCAATCGCAGCAGCAACATCACTTTGAGGTCGAAGAGGACCTGCGGAGGTCTAGGGGCAGATCGCAAATAGTGTCTACGCCCAGAGAGTCAAAACGAGAGTCACATCCGCTACCGCCTTTACCTTCGAACTCATCAGACGCCTCGGGGTCAGTAGAGTCGCCGCGGACGCCACGTACCTTGACGAACGACGAGGTGCCAAATACCGCGATTGGTTCACCTCGACATGTTACTCCTCGGCCAAGAGGCAGTTCCACGGTTGGCACCACGAAGTCTGAGATCACCGTCCCGAATACACTGATCAATCCCTCAACGACGATGGGGACTATTTCGCAGAGGAGGTCGAAAGTATCTGCGCCTCCACCTTCGTCGATGTCAGCTTTTGCGAGCACTGCAGGCATGTCTGGGCTTCCAGAGTCAGCACCACCACCGTCTGCGATGAGACAGACGTTGTCTGGTATGCCACCCAGCTCTTCGTCTTCTCTCGGCTACACGCGTAGTCGGTCGTCGTCACAACCAGGACACCGACCAAATTTGGCCGGTCTACCTTCTGCTTCGTACGACGGGCTACCGACCGGTAGACCCTCGTCTTCGATGGTGCCGATGATGCCTATGGTACCAAGGAAAACCTCGATGTCTTCGAGGGCGAGCACGAACCAAGTCCCACATATCACCGTCGTCACCGGTCTCGTCTCTCCACCCCTCGGAACGCCAATCACGCATCTGGTACCACCGCCTCCTATGATGGGCACCAACCTCCCGACGACGCCAACCTCACCCCTCCCACCCGCACCTCCACCGGACCCAATCCGCAAACCGTACCACATGATGTCGCTCATCCGCCAAACCATGACGTCCAAAACCGGAGGGTACATCACCCGCCGACTGCACGTCCCGCAGGAGGTCTGGTCCCAGGGCGGGGCAAAGCTGCAGAACCTGCCGGAAAAGGTGCGGGTGGTGGAGGTGCTGTGCTCTGCGCTAGAGGAGCTGCAGAATACGAGCGTGGAGATCTTTGGTGCGGGGAACGTGAGCTCGGGGATGGCGATGGGGATTGGGAGCGTGGGGAGGAAGGAGGGAGAGGTGTGGGCGGGGAAGTTGGAGGAGTTTGGGGCGGTGTGCGATGGGGTTGTGCAGAATTTTGGGAAGAAGTTGGGGGTGGGGGAGGGGTTTGTGGTTAAGAAGACTAGTGGGGTGCGTTACCTCCACAAGGTCCACTTTATTTTCGTCGCTGACTGACTGGTCGCTTTTGTTCTTAGGTGACTTCATGGGGAGGAAAACTTACCCGGCAGTTTGACAAGTTCACGTCGAATGGGAAGAAGTGAGTCCTCGAGCTGCTAGCTGCGGCAGTGTCATCTACTAACGACTGTCCATTTTCTCCTCTGTCTCGTTGTAAATCACTCAGCCTTGATTCGCCCGCGTCCTACGTCCAGGGTCTCACCCGACTATTCCATCAGGTCCAATTGCTCGACGAGCATCACAAAGCAATCCTCATGCAGCCCGTTGCGTCCTCGTACGCTGGACTACAAAAGGAGACTCGCATGGTGACAGAGCAGAGGCTGAGGCACGCGTCAGAGTTCTTCGCGTCTGTGGTCTTGACGTTCGTCATTCGGGACCTGGCGCAGTTGTTGGATAAGTATGTAAAGAAGTGCGAGAAGTGGCTGGCGGAGTGAGGTGTGAATTTTTGCCTTTCTTTGTAGTTACATGGGGACTTTTGCCACTCCTGTCGCCACTTCGGAACGGATGGATTCTTTCGCCCGCTCGGTCGGTCGGTCAACTTCGGATTCTCTTCAATGTACTACTTTATGCTCCTGGACTGGATGCCGTTCCACATTTGTGTTCTCGTCGCACACTATCCTCAAGATGCCGGTTCTGCCTCCTTGTATATCCTTATCACCTCTTCGCTTCGCCTCCGAACCTTTATTTACGCTTTCTTCACCTTCTCTGTTGAAGCAGTCTACCCAAGTACAGCAGCGCACCATATCTCCTGGAGACCTCTCTACTCCTCTGTCGAATATTCTCCTTCCCTCTCTCTCCCTTCTCGGATGGGATTCTGTCACTGTTTGTCGATCAATGCCTTCCTCCTATTTTCCTTCTCTCTTCCTTCCAATTGTTCTTTTAAAGTTTTTTTTTTCTTCCTTGTCACTTCGAGTTCCAAATCATATACAATTCTGTTCTGTTCACTGCCGGTGCACTCTCAATCATCAATCTCAGCGTGGATTCGTTCTTCATTCTTTCTTTCCCGTCCGTTCTTCCTTTCATTCTCCCTTTTTCGACTTCCCCTTTGTTCCTCCTTGTTTGTGTGACTTTGTCCCTGTGTCTCCCTGTTTGTTTCGTTCTGTCACACCTCCGGAATTGATTCTGACGTGGCTCCCCTCCCCACCGTTCTCTTCAAATTTATTCTCACCTTCAGGCTCGTTCTTCCTTCTGGTTCGGTTTCTCTCTCTACTTGAGGTCTGTGTGTTCCAAAATGTGATTCTTTGTCCTGCTATGGATGCTCCATTTCTGGTCGGTCACACATGCCTGCCTCATTGAGATTGGCCGGAAGTTCTACTTGTGTGTGGAACAAAGGCAAGAAGCGGCAGGTAAGCAACACATGAACAATTCTGAAACTACATGTTCCTCTCCACACAAAGACGATGCAAGGGAATCATTCGTCAAAGGAAACGAACAAAGGCAATAAGCGTTATTTACATGACACGGCAACGGTAAAAAGGTAAGCAAACATGCAAACAATTATCGAATTTGATCCTCATCTGCACCGTGATAAAACTCCCACGTAAACTTATACCACCGCGGTTCCTCAGTGGCACCTAAAAACCGCTTGAGCTTCTCCAGCTTATCCTTGTCCACCTTCATCGTCTCCGGAGTGAGATTCTGCAGGCGCATGGCATATGCCTAGGGAGGTCCGATCCAAAATCGCCGGATTTTGCCCTTTTTGTCCGGACCGATTTGGGAGCGGAATGTACGCACTCGGATCGGGTGCCCTGTTTTGGAGGACATTTGGTACGCATTTCGTATCGGACCTTGCCCAGATAGAGCTCGAAAATATGTGTTTTATTTGTCATTATGTGCGCACCTCGTCGGGGAGTGTTTGGAGCGGATCTCTCACGAGTCATTTTTATCTCTTTTGTGCGCACTGTGGGCTATGGTAGGATCGGACCTCGCTGCGAGCTCACCACTTTTGTCTCGTTTGGGATCGGACGTGGGGTACTTGGGAGACCGAAAATGTACGCACCATGATCAAACATGGAACCACTTTCTGACCCAAAATTGTCCGCACCGGGATTGGACCTCGCCCCGCATATGCCATGCGCCTGATTCTGCGCGACGGTGACGCATAACGCGGTCATTCCGTTCGCCATGTTAACCATGTTGATATCGCGCTCCAAGTTTAGACCGCAGAACTTTTCTAGAATGTTCATGAACCGAAGCGTCGAGTTGGCTCGTCCGAGCTTGTCCAACGCGTATCCCTCTGCCCCTCTACCCCTCTGATACGTCAGTTCGTAATCCAGGGGATATCCAAAAACACGGCGGTTTTGGTCGATATGACGAGAAGAGGCACGCCGAAGGTTCTTGGAGCCGATATAGCTCGGGGTCTTCGTCTCGCTGGACTCGTGAGCGAGGCGGATGTTCACCACGCATGGGGGAGTGCCTTCGAGAGGACGATAGTCAAAATTCCCATTAGGGAAATGGTGCACAGTAGGCTCGTCATGGAGGCTGACGTCGGCAGGTTCGGCGAGTTGTACATGGTCAGACGCTTGCTGTTGCAACGAATAAGCACAACAATGATGTAACAAGTAGACGTGGAAACATACCATGACTCGAGTTTGGAGGTGGTCCGCATTCTGGGTAGAGAGTGTGGACGTCATGAGCGATGGAAGGACAGGGCTGTGTCAACATTCGTCAAGACTGGCACTGGAGGCAAAGTTCCGTGGGAGCGCTGATTCTATTTTGAATCCATTGGGAACTTATCCTGAAGAATATCCGAATGCGCTCAAACGAATTTACGCTGAATATATCTCTATATAGCAATATATTCCCGATAAATTCCAAATATTCTGAAATTTATCAATATGTTCAAAATCTATTCGTGGAGTCTATGCGGGCCTTTTTGAGAGAAAATTTCATCAATATTCACGATACGGTCCTTTGCCTCCAGTGTGGGCAGCTTATATAAGGACGGGCAACCCGGAGCCGTGTTCGAAGTCCGACGCGCGGCAGACACTGCCATGCTTTGTCAACAATCCGAATCGTCCCCAGGCCCAAGTTGGGCCCAAGGTCGAAGGACTCAGGAAGCCCCGCCTGGGTTGGCACAAACCTTGCTTGTGTGACTCGGAGGAGCTGTTTGCCAAACTGGACAGGGTATTGGTGCGCAGTTCTCGTTTCTTGGAGACTTACTTAGTGAAGAACTTCGAACATTTGAGGATACTTGGACCAGCTGTTGAGCCGAAGTACTGTAGATTTACGACCACGAGTTCGCGAGTGGGACCTTCCTAATCTGTCCCCCTTCACAGTTCACCGCGACTGGAGGACAGGGTGTATATGTTCGCGGCCGTGCTTGCTTGCGGCAACATGACATCCGACTCTTTGTACGTTTATGAATCATTTCATTGGTCTGTGATTGTGTTGTCTCTGACTGTATGCCAGTGGTTCTGTGTCTTTCTGTGTTTATCGACTCCGCTTCAATCTGTGCAAATAATAATCTCCCTTGGGTCCCAGCTTGGCTTGTCTTTGTAAAAAGAGGACTTGGACGACTTGACTCACTGCCTCTCCGGGAATGGCCCTCCGCGCCATCACTCCCAGCCTTGATACTGACTTTATCAAGGCAGCCACCAGTCCTTCTCACATCACTCTGCCTAGCCTCCCATTCACAGTACCTCCCACCGTGGGTAAAATATCCAGAGTGGCGTGTCTTCGTAAGTGGCGTTGGTCAAACTTTTACAGAACCTGACGCAAGTCTAGCACGCTACGCTCACAGTTCACTCTTACCTGAAACTCTGAAATTCCTTTGCATACCGTGGTGTTAGGATAGCATCCCTTGATTCCAGGCGTCCGAGTCGCGGCTACATAAGTCCCCCCTCTGGATAAGTAGTGGAAGGAAACAAGCGAACGAAATACTGCAATATTGAGTGACGCAACAATTACAGAACATTTGGAAGGACAAAGCGAAAAGTCCGCGAGCAGGAACAGGCAGGAATCGTGCCATAACTACTATAACACGCGCAATATTGTCCAAAACGACCACTTCGGATCAGCTATCAAATCTCGATAGATCCAGTCAGGCGGTGGTCGCGACTGCTGGCCCCCACAGTTACGCCAGTTGTACCGCTCGGGATAACCCACTTCTGTGACACGACGTCCCAGATGGAGAGGTCATAGCGGGACAGCGGGATGGTGACGTTTGTGAACTCGCCAGGTGCGATGTAGACGTTGTCGAAGCCCTTGAGAAGATATGGTGGCGAGTTGGCAGTTTCGGGAGGTGAGAGGTAGAGCTGAGGGACCTGGGTTGCGAGGTTTGTCAGTATTAGAGTGTGGGTAGTCAATACACAAGCCTACCTCATTCCCTGCAACCGTTCCGTTGTTCTGGATCGTAAAGGTCACGTTGAAGACCTTCTCGTGGAGGCTGAGGGTGCAGATATTAGGTTGATGTATAGCTGGGAGTATGAAGGGAAGTACGAACGTGTCATCCAGAGAGGATCCAGCACCAGTGGGTGGTGTATAGTCTCCGACCGAGCCCGAGATTTCCAGGTTGGAGTAGTCAAAGGTCGTGTATGACAGTCCGAAGCCGAACTCGTAACGAGGCTCAATACCAGCCTTGTCATCCCTGTCAGCCTACAGTGAGCATAAACATTGGAAATTATCCTCACCGAGTCGAAATGACGGTAGTCAATGAAGAGGCCCTCGGTGTAGTCTATTTGAGCGATGAACAATATGTCGTCGACATAAATCACACTGGCGGGATAGTCGTCTGCGCTCTTGGCTATGGTGTACGGCTGGAGTAGATGGTCAGGCTCTCTTTCATAATTTCACAAAATCAAGACTGACGAGGCGACCACTGTCGTATGATGGCACTAGTCAGCATCAAGATCATGTCTGAAGAAAGAAGACTGACCTCGGATTGAAGGCACCGTACAGCACGTCAGTCAGAGAGTTTCCTGCGATATCGTTAGAACGTTGTGATTCCAAAGCTACAACAATCATACCTGCTTCTTGACCACCCAGACCGCTCCAAACCTGTTCGCTTTGGTAAATCATCTATGAAGAATATGACAATGTATTCACTTACTAGGCCGGTAACTAACGGAGCGAGTTAAAATCGCATTTTATGGAGAAGTGCAGAGTAACTCACTGTTTGTGTTGTCTATCCAAGCATCGACGATGATGGGTCCGACAGTTTGAACCACGACAACGGTATTGTTGTTCACGCTAGCTACAGCCTCGACAAGAGCATCACCATCATGCCAGGCAAGGAGATCGTTCCTGTCCCCCTCATTCCCTTCCACGGTGTACGAATCCTCTCCGGAGTCAGCTGTTGCAATCGTCACAGTAGATCAATACTCGAAGAATGATAAGACGGTGTACGTCAGAGAACTAACCAGTAATGAACACAAAAGCAATTTCGGCTCCCGTTGCGGCGGTCTTCGCTGCGTCAAGGTCAGAGTCACTGAGCGAGGAAGTAATGGTAGTCCCGTCGGTGGCACTCCGGTTGGTGATGGCATCCAGAGGCTGGGTAAAAAAGTGCTCAATATTTTATTGAGCATTTGGGCAGTGTTGAACTTACTGTGATCAAGTAGGGATAGGCCGCGGCTCTGAGAGAGAATGTTAACCACAAATCACGCTTGGGTCCAAATGTCAGACTCACCCGCTACCCCACCCCATACCAAGTGTCCCTTTGTTACAGCTCTGATCAGCACAACTAATACACACCCTTAGTCAGTATATCAGACGCATATATTGTCCAGAGAATCCCACCTGTTAAGGCCGTCAGGGTTCGGTCCCGCAGCGCTGCCTAACAAAAGGTCAATCCCATGACTTGCGAATAGCGAATACTAGTAGTACCGATTAGAGCTACGGTAGCAGGAGCGTTCAGGGGAAGTGCGTTGTTCTCATTTTTGAGGAGAACAGTGGAAGCCGCTCCGATTTCTCGGATAATTCTGTGGGAAAATGTCAGATTTATTCAACATGTGTGGCGAGTGTGGCCCACTTGTAGTGATCTCCTTGAACGTCGACATCATTGACAGAATCGGATGGGTTCTTCGCATTGAGGTTGGGAGTTGGGTAATTTTCATCTTGACCCAAGAGGTACCTACGATAGGTCAGAATTCGAAGAGGCATCAGTACAGATAAAAACACACGAACCACCCTGCGAGGATTCTGGTTGCCATGTCCTGGGAGCAACATTCAGGTCAGGAACAATCGGACAGTTCGCGGGTAGAAGAGACTCACGTCGATGCGGTCTTCGGACACTTCTCCCAAACCAACCGCGATTTCGAGATTAATGCCGTACCATCTGATAATATCGTTCAGCACACGTGAGGGTTGAGGAACAAGTATCGGACGAACCCCACGACGGACAAAGGAAAGAAGTCCCCAGGCATAGTCATCTAAGCCAGCAGTATTAGACCGAAAATTCTGTCAGAAGACGTTGCCACTCACATCGAGACCATTGTTTGCAGATGCAGCGGTCGAGTGTGTGGCGTACCAGTCTAGAGAATGTATTGGCATCATGTAGACGATAATGGCTGATTTTTATACGTACCAGACATGACATCTGTAGCGAAAAGGCGTCAATGGGATTGAATGGGGGGGCTTATATGCAGGAATGACTGACATCCTTGGAAGCCTAGCTCGGTCTTCAGCAAGCCATTGATGGACGCGTCATTCTCACAAGCGTATGTTCCGTTGACTACAGGGATAAGAGATCAGGAATACGGTGAAGATGAGACAGGCCCAAATTCCTACTTTGATCTGTAGGGAGACAGTCAAATTTCAAAACGTCAAGCGGGTTGAATAAAGTACTGACTATAGCTGCACATCATAGCAGCGACATTGGCCTGTACACTTCGCAAAAACTGTGAGGGTGTCGGTGAGAACTGGAATTTCAGCACAAGACATCAAGGACATACTGGATGCAAATAGAGCTCATGTTCCTACGCATTCCCAATGTCAGCTAATTATTCTGAATTAAAATTTGTTTGCTCCATCACTCACCGTCCTACAATGCAAGTTGCATGTCTAGTTAAGAACATAAAAGAATCAATGAAATCAATCACTCGCCTGTCATCAACATTCGAAGAGCTGAACATCCGCGAGTGTTCCTGCTCACTGGATCATAATCAGGGTGGCTCAATAGACTGCCGTAGGGGAAACGAACTTGTTCATGAGATGCTTGGCAACAGCCTGAACACCTTGGGACTGACAACCAGTGATAGTCTCGTAGGCAGCTTCGCCCGTCAGGAATGGATCGGCACCGAAGCCTGGTACAATATGGCGGTTATTTATCATCGAAAGTTATTATTGGGAGCTGCGCACCTTCCCATGACCTCCCAGAAGCTGGAGCCCTCATGAGGTTCCTGTTAAGTTTCGGCTCGTTGGCTTGTAACAACGTTGCAAGGACACGGTGCAACCTACATCATTGGTCCAAGCTGGGCGTTTACACCCTTTCCACGGAATTCCTCCGCCATGGCCACGCCACGTTGGTTTATGAGTGTCCTGTTCCAACTATGATACAAAAGGTATTCAGTAACACCATTCAAGTTTCAAAACTTCGTACTCACGTAGCAGCGGCGTTGATCCCTCTGTCGTTCAAAAAAAAGTCAGACTAAGCTCAGTTTCTCTGACGAGAGGTGGTACTTACGGAGGGAATGCCGAGTTACCGCTCGTTTGACGAACACCGAGAGGGCCATCTAGGGCGAGGAAGTAGATAAATTGTTTGCGTTGAAGAACATGCGGACTTTTCTGTAAACCGTCTTACCTTCGAGACACAAGCCAGGAAAATTGATACTGTCGATGGCGGGTGTATTGCCCGTACAGTCGCCCTGGTTAATCTCGGCATCAGACGCGAAGTTGACGAAACCTTGGAAACGGTTCTTACGATGAAGAACCCACGACCAGTGCCCAAGTGAACTTTCTCGCTCAGACTCAGGTTGGCAACTGCGGCGCTCGCCTGTGAGAGATAAAAGTGAGCACGCGACCGACACAGTAAAGGAAAAAGGAGCACCTTCGTATATGCAGCGGCCCACTCAGGTGAGTTTACTACGCAAGCAGTTTGAATACTTGCGAATATATATGATATAGAGATCGAATCCTGTGGAACTCTGCGAATAGATGAGTCTCGTGGTATGGAAGTGATGAGTATTGCAAGCTTACCACATTGACCAGTAACGACAGTGATTGCAGACAGAAGAACGGTAAACGAATGGGAGTACTTCATATTGAAGTTCAAAACGGTGAAAAGGGCAAGAGGGAGATGGGGGAAAGAGGGAGACCAGTCGCGGCAGTAGCTGTCCACAGGTTGGTCGCATGGCGAGGTATCAGGCGGGCTCCTTTTGAAGGAATCGACGACGGGAAGATACGTCAAAATCGGTGAAGAACGACCCGATCAATCTCCCATACAGGCACTTTGAGGGCGATCCACGAAGAAGCTAACCGCAGATCTACGGAATTGGTCGCGTGCGTCGTCTTCCGAGGAGTTGTGGCGTACCTCATACGATACAGACATACGTGCATGGCTCGCGATCTGATGAGTAGCCACACCAAAAGCGGCTTTCCTAGACAATGTGAAGATCGACGCGAAAGGGCAAGATGTGCATATATCAGCGCATCACAATGCCGGTGAGACCGAGCAAGGTTGTCATCACTTCTCGAGCACACATCTTCTGTCAGAAGGCACGGAGAGATGAAAACACATGATAGAGCTCAACGTGCCGCGCCAGGACTTCCTCTGGGTAATACAGGGTAATACCGATACACGTACACCGTGGCATTTCATACATCTTTCAGGAGATATAGACATGTGAGATTATTCGAGGGTTGCACCCAATAATTATCGTGCACCGTGGACTGGTCCGTGAGCACAAGCGGCGTGATGGCAAGCCCATATCGTCGAAAAGGGAAGTCTCGAAGCGGCCCATCGAGCCATGCCTGACGCATATCATCAACAACTTTCTCAATGTACAGAGAGAGGCTCCGCTATTGCAACCGACTAGCGGCATTCCAAGAGATTCACCACAAAGACATGCACGTGAATCTACTGCGCAGAAGAGGAAAACACATACATCCATTGACACAACCCTGAAAAGAAGAGAAGCTCTATATTTGCTTGCGTACCAGCCTCCCGCCGGTACTCTTTTTGAAACCCCAGCTGTCATCATCTAATTCTCGATGGAACCGGTCAACCTCCTGTCGCGACTGCTCGCACCCACAGAAACGCCCGTCGTCCCTTGAGGGATCTCCCAGCGCTGGGTGACAGTGCTCCAGGTCGACAGGTCGTAGCGAGACAGGTTGAATGATACCGTCTCAGACTGCCCTGGGCTGAGGAAGACGTTGTCGAAGCCCTTGAGGTTGAAAGGCGCCGACTTGGCCGATGCTGGGGGAGACGTGTACAACTGAGGGGTCTGATTGACACATTTGAAGTCAGCTTGAGTGGCAAGCACAGAGTCTTTTGGCCCTTACCTCATGTCCTGCGACAGTCCCGTTGTTGGAGAGTGTGAAGCTGACTGCGATGACCGGCTCGTGAAGCCTACATCGGTGGCGTTCCATTAGAAAGGGGAACTTGTATGACACCTGCTGGATAAGACGTACCAGGGGTCGAGAGATGACCCAGGCCCCGAAGGAGGGGTGCCCGATCCAACAGAGCCAGAGACCTTCAAGTCTTTGTAGTCGAAGGTAGTGTACGACAAGCCGAAGCCGAACTCGAACCTGGGTTCAATACCAGCCTGTGAATACCTCCAAATTAGTTCAGTGGTCTCATGTCCACAGGAAGGCAAGACTGACGGCATCGAAGTGTCGATAGTCGATAAAGAGACCCTCAGTGTAGGGAATCTGGAGGATGTCCGTGCCGGTCGTGTCAACGTAGATAACAGAGGCCGAATAATCCGTAGTATTCTTCGCGATGGTATAGGGGAGCCGAGCGCTGACGGAGAGCGGGTAACGAGCATTAAGGATCGTGCAATATTCGAAGGTAAATCTAAATCGTACCTTGGATTATAATCGCCATAGAGAACATCGAGGAGTCCGTTGCCTATAACATTGTTGGTCCCGGTAATCTATGATTAGCCACGCCGGAATGGGACTCACCGGCTTCTTGGCCTGGAAGGCCGCTCCATACCTAGATATAAACTTTAAGTGGCAGGTCCAGCAGGGGTAGAAATAAGCTCACAAGGCCTGTCACTGTTGATCGAGTCAGCGTAAGGTTTTGAGAGAGGTCATGGGGTGCTTACCGTTAGGGTGATCTATCCACGCTTCGACGATAATGGCACCGACAGCGTTAACTACAACGATCGTGTTATTATTCACGCTGGCCACCTTTTGCACAAGCGCGTCCTGGACGAGATTTAGATGTTCAGCTGGTACACAGTAAACAGTGGCTCAAAAGACTAACTCCACTGTGCCATGCTAGTAGGTCATTGCGATCTCCTTCGTTGCCTTCGACAGTGATATACCTGAATAAAAGGGGATTTATATCTGAGCACGGACTGAAAGGTAAGATCAAATACCCTTCGCCGGAGTCTGAATTGATCTAAGAGTGAAGTTAATATCTTGCCATATGCACATAAGCATAAGAAGGAGCGCACAAACACAAGGGCCACACTCTTTCCAGAAGCCACCGTAGCAGCGGTATCCAGGTCAGTATCGCTCAAAGACGAGGAAACGACGGTCCCATCTGCTTTGGAGCGATTCGTGATAGCGTCAATGGGCTATGAGTGCGTCAGTATCCGCATTTGAAGGGGTGTTGATCGCATTGCTTACTGTGATAAGGTAAGGATAGTCATCCGTTCTACATCGGCGTGAACCTGTGTAAGTGTCGAAAGCAAAAAGACAGGAGAGACTGTGGCTGACCCGCTGCCCCAGCCCATTCCGAGGACACCATCATCTCCGCCACGGTCAGTGTAACTGATGATGAATCATTAGAGGTAAGTCACGATATATAAAGTTCAAGACGAACCCATTGGCTCCTAACGAGTCAGGTCCAGCGTCGTTGCCAATGATAGCGATGGTCTCAGGAGCCTTGAGTGGTAGTACATTGTTCGTGTTCTTGAGGAGCACCGTCGAGGCGGCATCAATGGTACGAATCAAGCTGTAATTCTTTCAGTTAACTTGAGGGCCTGATTACGGGAGGCACACCACATACCTGCCGTGGTCAGCTTGGACATTGACATGCGTGTTGACCGCTGCATTGATATCCCAAGCGTCGAAATTGACCGCAGGGAAGTCGGAGTCCTGGCCCATCAGATACCAAGCTGCAAGAATCCGAGTTGCCATGTCCTATGAAGAAAACAAACGTTAGGTGCTTTCCTGATCGTCACGTGGGTCGGAGTGGTTGCTTACGTCGATGCGAGACTGAGCGACTGAGCCGTTGTTGACTGCATCAATGAGGGCCTGACCAAAGTAACTGTAAAAGCACTGGTCAGTCTATGCGACGACAGCCTCTGAGATGGCCGACACTGACGTAGTTCCAGAGTTGGCGCTAATATCCCCAGGCATGGTCATCTAAATATCCGAAAGATGAGCTTTTTTTATTGTTGGAGCATCGAAAACTGTACTCACATCTAGACCATGGTTTGGCGCAGTCGTCGAGTGTGTGGCCCACCAATCTGCGGAATGTATGTTTAGATGAGTCTGAGAGGAGATGGTGGGATATATGCGAACCAGAAGTTACATCTGAATGGTTTCAGACTTTAGCTCAGGGCCTGCTACCAAAGAACGAAGCTGGGAGACTCACATCCTTGGAATCCTAGCTCCGACTTGAGAAGACCGTTCAGTGTTTTATCGTTCTCACACGAAAAACTGCCGTTAACTGAGGGACGTTAGTGAAGCCGTGCAATGTGGCATCGCTGGGGCGACTTACTTTGGTCTGTTTCGTATACAGAAAGGTCAGTGAGCCAAACAAGACAACTGTGAAGGTTCACGCACTGTAACTGCACATCACGGACGCCACATTGGCCTGGACGCTGCGAAGGAACTGATAATTGCAAGGAGACATGAGCCAAAAATTTGTTGAAGATAGATGAATGCGATACGACATACCGGATGCAAGTAAAGCTCGTGTTGCTTGACAATGTGTTAGACCCAGGGTGATTATGTGAAGATATCTTAAAGACCTACCGTCCTACATCATGTCGAAGGATTATTAGCTTTAGACTATGTAGCCAAGGGAGTCAGTAACATACCTATCGTCTACATTCGAAGTCTCCGTGGTCCTTGAGTGTTCCTGCTCACTGATAAGTCACATAACATCAGCTCACAACTGATGAGGCACAATACGACCGAGGGGCATGGTTCACTGACTTGTTGATGTAATGCTTCGCAGAGGCCTGTACGCCATTTGACTGGATGCCCATCGTGGTCTCGTATGCTCCTTCACCGGATAAATAAGGATCACCACCAAATCCTGGTGCAAAATAGAGGTGAGTGATCATCAGGAGTAGCTATAGGGGGCCGACACACCTTCCCATCCACGACCGCCTTCGGGCGTACGCATGAGGTTCCTGCAAACTTCTGCTTTAGTACACCAGAGCGTGAAGAGCAGAAGAAATATCGCACATCATTGGACCAAGAGCGACATGGACACCTTTTCCACGGAACTCAGCACCCATGGCAGCCCCTCGCTGCCTCATCAAAGTGCGGTTGAATCTGACAAAATACCGTAAGCTCTACTAAGATCAGTTGAAGACTGTGATAGCGAAGAGACTCACGTTGCAGCCACATTGATCCCAGGTGGGAAGGCAGAGACGAGATCTGCGTAACGCACACCCACTGGGCTGTCTACAACCACACAGGTTTGTGTCAGTCAAGGATCGGCCTACTGAATCGATAGAAAGAATGTAATGACGACAGTAAAGAGGCCGGATTTACCTTCAAGACAAAGCCCCGGAAAGCCAATGGACTCTATCGGGAGCGTATTCCCAACACAATTGCCCACCTCCCATCCGATTCCAGTAGCTAGGCCCACTTTGTCCGTCAAGTTCAACTTCGCAACAGCAGCTTCGGCCTTCACATATGCGGCCTTCCACTCCGGCGAGATATTGGCTGAATGTTGTGTGGCAATCAGAATTATATCATCGACGGATAGAAGGGTAGAGATGGGCCTACCGGGTGGCGAGCTGGTCTGAGAAGGTGCAGTCGATGAAGTCGATGTAGCCGGTTGGGATGAAGTCGCAGTGGCCGAGGATGAGCTAGATGCTGATGTCGAGGCAGCCGGGAGGCCTATGTACGCAGAAAAGTATGAGATGTATTCCCGTAGCATTAATATAATAAATCAATCTTACATTGGGAATAGTCTTCATAGTTGCGCAGCATATGTCCAGAATTAGTATACATGTCTAGGTAGAGGAACGCCAAAAGCACCTACAGGAGTTCAAGGCTTGACAACTCCATCCGTCAGCGCAAGCTGTCGCACCAGACCTTGATCATGAGTGGACAGTTAGCCATTGGATAGAGAGCAAGACGAATCGAAAGAAACCAACCATCCGATACCTCCACATTGCTGGTACGACCCAGCCTGTGCAACGACGTATCCAGTGCACCATGTCACAGTAGTCAAAAAGCTCAAAAAGATTTCGTATCTCATGGTGAATTGGAGGGCTTTCGAGATGAACCTCGCTTTAGCATCCAATCAGCCCACAAAAACCCTCACTTATAAGGGATTGAAGACATCCGAGTGGGCAGCTACTTCGCGGGTCTGTCGGGGCCACAAGCTACGACGAGCGGGGGAACGGACTTGGGCTCGGGAAATCGCCGGAGGATTTGTTGTCGCTAGCAGAGAAGGGAATGCCAAGACTGGGGGGTGATGCTCTACTGGGTTGAGAGACTCGTGGCGACGTTGTACGTGTTCCATGTTTATGCCCAGGTTATTCCTGTTGAGTTATTGTTATTCCTCTATGTTCGAAAGAACAAAGGCAACGTCAGTCGCGGATCGGGAGAAGAGGGCGGCGATCTACGGAGGTAGGCAAGAAGGAGATGGCGCCACAAACCCTTCGGAACTATTCACCGACCAGCATCTTTCAGGATAAGGCGCCGTTGCGAGCGAAGAAATTCTCCATATTTATTCCCAGGTTACTCCTGTTTACATCCGCCTGTCGATATCGTACACCAAAGAGGATCGTCAGGAAAGGAGGATAGGATCGATGAGGAACAAAAGAAGCACGTACGGCAGAGAGACGCTAGGGAGGTCTAGAGTGGCGAGAGGTTTGGAGAGAAGTCGATCGACCATCTCGAACATGATGAGGTCAGAGGGGTATGACAGTCCCCAGTCGCATTATAGCATGGGACATCCACGCAATAAGATACATTAAATCAAAATATTCTCAATGCATCAGTCTAAATTACCTTCCCAATCGTAGCAGATAACAGAGACACGGGGTGATCCCCACCCCCTCACCAAAGCGGCTCTACGTCCCTCCATCCCTTCTCCCTCTCCTCCCAATATCCGCCCTTATAGAACCACTCCTCTCCTTCCCTCACGAACCACCTCGGTTGCCTATCCTTCCCCTCCCTCCTCCTCTTCCTCTGCAGCTCCTCAACCCTAACCTTCTCCTCCTCCGCCAAATCCAACTCACCCTCCTCCAACGCTCTCACATCCGGCCTCAACCTCGAATCCGTCGGTGGTAATTTCCCCTCCACCGCCATCTCCCCCTCCCCCTTCGTAATCTCATTCAAAGTCAACCCAAACGCAGTGAAGCCATAATACTCGAGAGCATTATTCGGGAACGGATTCATCTTCCACAAGACATGGAGGTGCGAATCATTGATCTTCCGAGAGAGCGACTCATCCCATTTGCCTTCGAGGGTCGCTACGGGCTTGTGCGAGGAGGAAGAGGTGTAGACGGAGCCAGAGACGAGATTGGAGGCACCCCAGTAGCCGGCTTCTTTGAAGTCGATGACGCAGCGGGATTTATCGGTTGTGTTTTCGATGGTCATTTTGCCGGTGTGTTCGAGGTATTTGGTGCCCATCATGAGGTTGCGCATGAAAGAGGATGGTTTATTCCTGGGGAGCACACTCTTGTCAGAATCGCATGAGTGTATCATTTAGGTAGAAGTTCTCACCACTCGTAATGATCCTCGCCAATTTTGACATGACTGGTTCCAGTGGGTATGATCTCTAAACTCTTGCCTGCAAAAGTCAAGACGCAACGATCAGCTGGTGCCACTGAACGAGGCTGTTCGTCAAAGCAGCTTACCCCAGAACTTTGTCTTCCCGGAGGACGAAGCGTAATGCTCCCAACCCTCTCCCTCACAGTGATACGCGAGGATGACAGGCTGGTGGCACACCTTCTCCGAGATAAACTTCATACGGGGATCCTCGAACGTCTCAGCAAGCATTGGGTTACTAAAGACGACCAAGATATGAGTCCCTGTCCTGCGAGAAAAAGCTAAGAGGCTCACAATCCCTTCCTACTTGATCGATGTCTCGTATGCGCGTAGCTCGACACCGCAAAAGCAGCAACGTAACAAAGCCGCTCGACTAGATCTTGCGAACGAGCGGCCTCGGTCAGTAGGTTGAAGTACTCGACCTCTTCCGCTGCACGTTGCAGCAGCGTCAAAGGTTCGTTGAAGGTAACAGGGAATGCGACGCTCGAGAGATCCTGCCACAAAATGAAGGTAAGCTCCACTCCACAAAGGGGAGAAAAAGGACGCAGAACGCACTTTGCCAACATTCTTCTTCAATACCGCAAACAAGCTCCCCTCATCTCCCACCGGCCCCGTAGGCAATTGCGTCCTGTACACAACCGGCTTCAAAGTTTCCTTCTCCTTCTTGCTACCCACACCTCCTCCAACATCCCCCTTACGCACAGGCGTCTGCGTCTCTCCCACTACCTCTCCCCCTGGAACATCCTCCACTTCCAGCTTTTCCGAGTCCGTATCACTCGCGTCCGAATCACCCGGGTATATACTACTTTTACCATCGTCTATTATGATTGTCGCATTACTACCCTTCGTCCCGTGTCCTTCTCCTTCTCCATCCGCCCGTCCTGCATCATCCTCGGGCGGCGTGACATCCAACATGAATTCCTGAGCGCCTTCTCCTTCGAGATCAGGCGCGTCAAACCATACGCTCCCCGATTCACTACCCGTAGCCGACCCGGCGATAGAATCGCGTTTACGATGTACGTACGCTGAGCTGTGCGGTCTCGTTACAGGAGTCGTATGAGCCGAATCGGGTCTCCCTTGTTCATATGAGCCGTCTTGGTGGTCCTGGTCATCTTCTTCAGCGGTGGTGGGGAGTGGATAGCCGAGCGCGGAGACGGGGGTGATGCCACCTCCGACACCACTTTCGCCGAGCATGGGAAGGAGACGCGCGAGGGTGTTATGTTGCGCTCTGAGAGTTGCGAGGATGGCTTGGGCGCGTTCTGATGGTGGTGGTGCTGACGATAGCGAGGAATGGGAGATGTAGGATGCGGCGTCGCTGTCCGCTGCTGGTGGGCTTGTAGTAGCGGTTGTAGTTGGAGGTGGATGTTGCGCTGTCAACAGGTATAAGAGAATGTCAGGAGATTCGCTGTGACGGAAAATAGGGGTAAGGCATACGTTTCTTGAAGAAACTGAACTTTGAGCCCTCTTTAGATGTATCTTTCGGCTTGACATCGTTCCGCATCTTATGTATGCTTGTACGTTTCTTGAGATCATTCTGTTGCCATACACGGACGGCTTCATCGAGCTCGAGAAGAGCCTTAATGCATGCGAGGAGCCGAAAAGGAGGGGAAGCGTGTAACAAAGCCTTAGTACCAGTCGTTCAATGAATGCAGTAGGACATACCAAACCCATTTCCTCTATGACTGCTCCTGCCTTGCCTGCCTGGTTGAGTCGAGGAGTGTTTCGACCAACGGAAGACCTTCTCCCCAATGATCTTGCATCCGGCGGAGGAGCCACGAATTGTCTACATCGCGAAGACGCGTCCAGGCGTAAGCAACGTACATGATAACATAGCACAAGTTGAACACACCGAAACGAGGCCATCCAGCCATCGAAGTCCTCCATGTTAAGACACTTGATATGAAACGTCGCATTGTTAGAATCGATGTGTATATCCTTCTGCCCTCGTGCGGTCGAAATTGCGGCTTGCGGGAGAGCAATCTGGTCTCGCGAGGGTTTGCCGGGCTCGAAAGAGTAAGATAGCAGGCCAGACTGGTGTAAGACGAAATATCGCCTCGCAAAGCCTGTAACTTATTCATTACAGCTTCAAGGTACTAGAACGAGCGAATAAAGACCTTGCATTCGCTTCCGCCTCTTCTTTAATACCCATCCTTCTCTGACGATGCCGCTCGTGAACGGGTCCGGGAAGGCGACTGGGGAAGTATTGGCAGACATGGTGAGTACTGCGGGTGCGATAGGCTTTGGTGCTGTAGCTATGGTCGACATCGCGAAGGATAATTTGAACTATGACTGTGCTGCGAGTCGGAGAGCTGCTCGGTTCATTGAGGTGGCGGGAGTACGGGACGGAGGGGTATTCGACGCGTTCCGATTTCGTGACGGTCAAGAATTGAGATACGACGTTAGAGAAGGGTACTGAGCAGCTACTGGATCTGACGCGACCGTATGCGCGCTATGGATCAATGTAGGAACGCTTGGAAGTTGTTGACGTGGAGGACGAGAGCGGAGTGGCCCAAATAGCGCTTAAACTCGTTTGCCACACCGACTGAAACTTCCCACGATCGTCTGGCGCCGCACATCACCGAACGGCCCGGCGCTCGCGGAAGCCTCGGTCAGGATTTTCGTGAGAGCTGTGAGTGCAAGACATTGTTATAACTGGTTTTGTAGAGGATAACGCTAGAAAAAGTGCACGGTCGTGGTTTCGTGTGTATGCAGAACATTGGGGGACGGCCAATGGCGGTTGGGGACAAGACTAACGCGATGATGGCATGCGTCCGCTGTGGATGCTTGACAAGCATCGATGATGCGCATCTCGACTGGATCTCTCCTCCGCATTTTTCAAGTGGGTCAACGGCTGTCGTCAATGGCAGATGCATAGCACCAAAGTCCAGGGAGCATACTCTGCAAATAAAATCGCGAAAATACACTACGTTCAGGCATGGGATGTATACGAGGTAAATTCTCAAGAAGTTGAAAGCTCGGAGATGTGAGCGGGTGAGAGCGACAGGGGCAACTGGGAACAGACAAAGTGATTGGTCCGTCCCCAACGGCTTATTCAGGGAGATGACGGCCCGGCGCAACTATAATTTGGGTCGGAGAGGCTCTAATCGCAATCCGAATCTCCTCTCCTCCTACCTCCATCACCATCGCTCTTCCTCGTCTACAGTCAATCCTACACACTATGGCTGCTCCTACGTGCGAGATTTCATTCTTCCTCTATCATCGACATCACGGCTTACCTATACATCTATAGTGGCGATATCGGTCTCATCGGTCTGGCCGTTATGGTACGCTTTGACGCTACTTACTTTATTTTTTTCTGTAACTTACTATACGTTCAAACCTAGGGTCAAAACCTGATCCTCAACATGAACGACAAGGGCTTCAATGTCGTTGCCTTCAACCGAACAGTTGAGAAGGTCGACCGCTTCCTAGCCAACGAGGCAAAGGGTATGTCGTTACGAATCCTTCGGACTTGGTTTCGGACGTACGGAGCAGCGCTAAGTCTGTATCGCATGTAGGTACCAACGTGCAAGGTGCACACTCGCTCGAGGAGCTCGTTTCCAAGCTCAAGAAGCCTCGCAAGATTGTCCTCCTTGTCCAGGCCGGCCCCGCCGTCGACGCCTTCATCTCCAAGCTCGAGCCTCTCCTCGAGCAGGGCGACATCATCATCGACGGTGGTAACTCACATTACCCTGACTCCATCCGCCGCACGAAGGAGCTCGAGGCCAAGGGTCTCCTTTTCATCGGTTCCGGTGTCTCTGGTGGTGAGGAGGGTGCCCGCCACGGTCCCTCACTCATGCCCGGTGGTTCCCCCGCCGCATGGCCCGCCATCAAGGAGATCTTCCAAAAGACCGCCGCGCAGGTCGACGGCGAGCCATGCTGTGACTGGGTCGGTGAGACTGGTGCCGGCCACTACGTCAAGATGGTCCACAACGGTACGCAAAGACTCGCCTCGCGACATTGCGTCATTTTTACGCCTCTCTGACCCACCTATCCGCCCCCAAAGGTATCGAATATGGTGACATGCAGCTGATCGCTGAGGCTTACGATATCCTCAAACGCGGTCTTGGTGTCAGCGAGGACGAGATCGCCGACATCTTCAACAAGTGGAACAAGGGCGTTCTCGACTCCTTCCTCATCGAGATCACCGCCAACATCCTTAAGTTCAAGGACGACGACGGTGAGCCCCTCGTGAACAAGATCCTCGACAAGGCTGGCCAGAAGGGTACCGGAAAGTGGACCGCAATCAACGCTCTCGACGCTGGCATGCCCGGTTCGTATTCGTCTCCAAGTTATGCATTTACTCCTATTCATGACTTTCTATTTCAGTCACCCTCATCGGTGAGGCCGTTTTCGCCCGTTGCTTGTCGGCCATCAAGGACGAGCGTATCCGTGCCTCCAAGGTTATCGCCGGTCCTCAGAAGGAGCCATTCCGTGGTGACAAGCAGCAGTTCATCGATGACCTCGAGCAGGCTCTTTACGCCTCCAAGATCATCTCCTACACCCAGGGCTTCATGCTCATGCGTGAGACTGCTCGTGACGTCAGTGCTTCTCTGTTCATACCTTCTAGTCAACATCACTGATGTACTTCTTCATTCAAATATACAGCTCAAGTGGAACCTGAACTACGCTGGTATTGCTCAGATGTGGCGTGGTGGCTGTATCATCAAGGTACGGGTTTTCTTCAGGATATATCCGCGATTTTATTCACATCGGGCTTTCTTCGTTACAGTCCGTCTTCCTCGGCGACATCACTTCCGCCTACCACAAGAAGCCCGAACTCGAGTCCCTCCTCTTCGACGACTTCTTCAACAAGGGTACGTCCTCCCGTGCCTGCCTTAGTACTTTTTCATATCTCATTCCTTATTCGTTTCAATCTTCAGCCGTTCACAAGGCTCAGCCCGGCTGGAGGCGTGTGATCGCTCAGGCCGTCCTCTGGGGTATCCCCACGCCCGCCTTCTCCACCGCTCTTGCCTTCTTCGACGGCTACAGGTCCGAGGTCGTTCCTGCCAACATCCTCCAGGCCCAGCGTGATTACTTCGGTGCTCACACCTTCCGTGTGCTTCCCGGCAAGGAGAACGAGAAGCTCAAGACTGGCGAGGACATCCGTAAGTTCGCTTCTCCGTTTCCGCTTTTCCCTCTACAATCTACCCCTATCTCCTTCCTCGGTTTGGATTCTACCGACGGTTTTTCTACTCCCGCTTTTCCCCGACCCAGTATCTCCGTGATTCTCACACTTGGAATTCACAGATATCAACTGGACCGGTCGTGGCGGTAACGTCTCTGCGTCGACTTACGTCGCCTAGAGCGTTCGCATCGGCTCGGGGTGTTGTGGTACGCTGACACGAAGAACAAGAACGTTTCGACATCCCGCATAGACTGTCTGTATCTCGTTGTTTCTTCTGTGTGTTTTTAGGGGTGGGATGTAGACATCTGAGCAGTCTTGTAGTAGTCACGAATAAACGAAAGCAAAATGTGTTTGTATTCTCATCGCTGTGTGTGCAGGGTTTAGTTACCACCACTCCCACGACAGCATTGAGGTCGGAGGCGGAATCGGCATCTCAGAAACATGACACACAGGTGTGAAAGTGAGGATTGGGGTACGGAGGCGAGAGTGGGTTGGATTGCGACCGCCTATTGGACATACACGGGGAAGGATTAGAACGGGTGAGGACGGCTTTGACGTACGTCTGCCAAGATTCTGTCTTGCTGGTGAGCCATATATTGGACCGCGCCAATCAGTGGAGGAGTATATGTGTATATCTATGCGAACATCCAGATGAAACGAAACATCGGACGGGATGGACTCCTCGTGAGCCACACGCCACATTCTGAGCTTCTGATTACGTACGCGATTCAAAGCGAATTTCGTACCGGACCGATAAGGAAAGCAGTTGACCGTTTTAGGATCTTTTGTTTCTTCTTGCCACATCTGAGCCGAACCACGATAAGTCGGAGTCGACCAAGTTGGTTGTATGTGCGGTATTTTGTTTTGCGCGCGATGGGATAATCGCAAAGAAGGAGAAGGCGATGACCGACTTGATGGTTTATTGGAGGACTTGAAGGTGGCCAATGCGAGGAGAGGTTCGTATTTCACTTTCTTGAGATTGTGGCCCGCAAACACCGCACACTCATATTCGCATCATGTGAAAAAGCTGACATATGTGATGGTGCATTGTTATAGGCCCAGATGCGCAGAATGCCCATTCCGTCCTCTTGCCGACTGGTGTGGCGCAGGATGCGAAGAGAGAGCTGAAGCTCGAATTCTTCGCTTCGGAGCTGAGGCTAAGAGGTGATGAACCTGTTGTTCAACCTCATGTGGATGATAAGGGCGATGTGCTCTGTTGGAATGGAGAGGTTTGTCAAATATTCTTTTGTGATCGGTCCAGTCTGCTAACATGATCTTTATTTCGCTGTTCCAGATTTTTGACGGGCTTGATGTGAGCTCGGGATTCCGCTACTTCACATAGACTCTTGGCTTCATCATTTACATGGACAGGGACTGATTTTGGTACTGTTCACCTAGGTAAATGTTCACGAAAATGATGGCGCGAAATTGTTCAAGGCCATCACGGAACTAAAGAACGTTGACGATCAACCCAAATTATGTGGTAGCATCGAAGGACCGTAAGATCTTCTCTGCGATCGTAATATCTCCATTCTGTCTGACCTGCTCTCGCAGATATGCATTCACATACTATCATGTGAGGCCACTTCTCTCGCCTCTTCCTTGTGAAGCCATCGCAGACGGACGCTAACCACTGCATAGTACGCGACCAACCGCTTGTTCTTCGCCCGGGACCCGCTCGGTCGACGTTCTCTTCTTATTCACAAACCTACGCGTGAAAACCCATATTTCTTGTTGGCGTCTGTCTCCGTAGGTCAGAATGACGGGTATATGATGCAAGAGGTCGGGACGGACGGGGTGTACGTTCTCGATATGAAGAAGCTAGCGACGTGCGTGGATGTAAGATGTCCGTCTACTAAGCTGTCAGGGAGGCAAGGTGCTGATTCTATCTTATTCAAAGCCAGTGACAGAGCTCGATAACTGCGTGAAATGCCTTCCCCGAATATTTTTAGACGCCGACAGCGGCAGTAGCCCACCTTTATACGTACGTTTTTCAAGTTGCTGTTTTCTCGGGTCTGAACGCTGGCTGACACCACGGGATGCTCCACAGGCCGAGCCCGCCAAAGTGAACAGCACCATGCCACCGTCAGATAACGACTTCCCGCCTCCCACAGACATCTTCACCTTCACACCAGAATACCTCACCTCTGCTGTAGACGATCTCATATCTCATCTTGAAGAGAGCGTTAGATTGCGTGTTTGCAGCGTTCCCCAGCAGAGCGCTGTATCAGCATCGTGAGTCCAATTGTGATAAGCTCAGTCTGAATAAATGTTGATGTGGGTGGAAGACTAGGCCCTCATGATGAAGGCGTGGAGTCTCCGGATGGACTTGAAAATGTGCCTTCAGCTCTGAAACCCGCAAGGATTGCTGTATTGTTCAGCGGTGGGATTGATTCGACAATGCTAGCTTGTCTTGCACATCGGTACGCTATTTCCTTCCGCTCAACGCAATCATGACCTATGTCAGCTATCTAATTGATGACGCAGCCATATACCCCTAGACGAACCTATCGACCTTCTCAACGTCGCCTTTGAGAACCCACGCAAAATACAGCTCAAGGTCGAGGGTAACATCGGTGGATTCACAAAACAGGAGAAGAAGAAAGCCAAGAAACGTTTGGAACAGCCAGCTAAAGGTTCTGCTGGGGATCCTGGTATCACAGTTGGTGGTTGTGCAATGTGGGAGGTAGAGAATGGGAAGTACGATCATGATTATTTGGTTCCAGATCGTGTGACCGGACTGCAGGAGGTCGAGGAATTGAGAAGAGTGTGTAAAGGGAGGACGTGGAACTTCGTGAGTTTATCTTTTGCTTCATTGAGCATGGCGGTGTCCTCATGAGATAGAGACAGGTTGAGGTAGATGTACCATACATGGAGTCAAAAGCCGCCCGACCGACCATCGAGGCTTTGATGTGGCCCTCAAAAACCGTGATGGATCTCGTACGTGCATATCATATACCCATAAATATCTACGATTCGCTCACAACAAATACGATGTCGCTGACTAGAGTCTCGCTATGGCGCTTTACTTTGCGGCACGAGGCAAGGGGCAAATACGCAGCCATCCGGATGCACTGCCTGTCACATACACCAGTCCTGCTCGTGTCCTTCTTAACGGACTTGGATCGGACGAACTACTGGGAGGGTATGGACGGCACCGGACGGCTTACATGCATGGGGGCTGGAAAGCTGTCATTGACGAAGTAAGTAGTACCATCTACATTCTCATAACGGCGCCACACTGATATATCCCCTTGCAGCTGCAACTTGAAATCGATCGTATCCCAACGCGCAACCTCGGCCGCGACGATCGTACCATCTCCACTCACGGAAAAGAAACCCGTCACCCCTTCCTGTCCCTCAACCTCGTCCGCTTCCTCGCCCAACTCCCAGTGCACTACAAAGTCGATCCGAGACTAGATTTGGGCGTTGGGGATAAGCTGTTGTTAAGGTTGGCGGCGAGGAAGGTTGGCATTGTGGAGGCAAGTGAGAGGAAGAAGAGGGCAATGCAGTTTGGGAGCCATTCGGCGAGGATGGAGGCTGGGTTGGGGAATGTGCGGGGACGGGCGCAAATTGGGTAGCATAATCGTACGTGTTGGACAATTGCTCCGGACACCTAATAGCGAAGGCACTGGAGTCGTGTGCTGCAACGTCTCGTCACTGACCTATTCAAAAGGGCAAATGCTACCGGATCTATGTCAATGTGGCCACGCAGAGCGCTTTCTGATATCTACCCGCGCTCTATTGAACGTGTCCCAATGCACTTCCATCCTTTCTGGGCATTGACTATCATTTTATACTACGGGATCAACTTCGTGCAACCCGCCTTTCGCCTCGAGGAGTATATATTTGGTTGTCTTGCTAAATGACAGGCTAGAAGTTGGTCCGCATCCAACATACGTTTGTAATGAGGTGCCTCGAAGTGACTCGGGACAAGACGTTATATGAACTCGACTTTTCTCTCATTGCGCTTCACCCGTTTGCTTCCTGCGATGCCACAGAAGTCTACTGTTGTTAGCCATACTATTCGTTCCGATGTTCCTCCAAATGTTCAACATACAGCTCCCTCAGGTCCAGCCATCCCTACAACAACTAATAGTGAGTTGTCGTACGCTTATATCTACCAGATTCAGGCTCATTATTTTTGCTTGTCCAGATAAAATGGTCGAGGCACTGCAAAGCGGGTGGATTTCGTCCTCTCAAAGCGCTGCGACTGTTGTAAGTGATCTGATATTCTCAAGAGAACGAATTATGTGGTTTATAATAATCATGCATATGAATCAGTCCGGGCTCATCGCCGCCACAGACGCTCAGCTTCTAGTTTTCATGAGGACGCCCGTCGATCCCACAGACCCTCTGTCTGTGCATAGCACCGCTCGAGAAGTCATGCTCGGCTTTATCTACCTAGGTCTCTTTTTCAGTATCAGTGCCACAGTCTCCCAACTGGTAATGACTGAAACTGTCGTGGAGCGACCTCAAAACGTTACGCACAAGAGAAATGACGAGGATTGTCCGGCGCCTCCCTCTCCTCGGCCTATGGATACCGTCGACCGACTTATAAGGCATGGGGTCGACATAGAGCTCAGATATGTTTCTCTTCATTGTAAGTATTTCTCAACGCAATGACGGTTGCATCGAAAGGAAGCGCACTTAGCTATGCAGTGATCGTCTACTTATCAAGGGTTGTTCTGCTTTCTCACTGGGATGTCGTCCACAGTGACCAGTGTTTTGATATACGTGTGGATAGAGGAGTCACTATGGCTTAAGATTGTGTTGACCGCAGCTGCGTTTTTCACGGGCCTTCCCTTCCTTCATTACCTACCCGTCTTTCGTGACCGTCGCGGTGCTGCTTTGGCAGCGCGGCAGAAAACCCTTACACAAAATGCATCTCTGTCCCCGCAGCTTTAGGAATGTCTCTTTGGGCCTCCTCTCTATTACTTTAGCAGTAATAACATCTGTATCTAGCCATAGTCTGTACTAATTCTCATACACTTACCTCTGCATTCGGTCTATCTCAGGGCCATGTCGCATCACTTTTTGACTGCCGTACAGGTTGGGCCCGATGGCCCAAAGAACACAGAGTCTTGAGCATAAACTCTAGCTCGCACTGCTCTCACAATATTATACGTGAAATACATTCGTACAGTTCACAGCGAGCGATGTGGCCCATTTGTGGCGCCGAGTAAGTTCGCCTCGATTTGATCGGCAAGAATTTCAAATCGCGCCTCCCGCGACTTCGGCATCGTGACGCGCGGGGCTCGCGTCTTTCCTTTGCCCGAGCTCGTCTTGACCTCCTCGATCTTCTTGACGCCAGTTCTCTAAAACAATGTCACTCTCGGCATCTTTCAGTCGTCTCGCAGGTACATTCTTGCAGTTATGTACTCTCACGCTGAAGGACAACTTGGGATGCTAACGGTTATATGTGGTCTGTGCGCGAAATGACAGTTCCGTTGGGCATCGCGGCGGTGGTGTTGCAGAACAGTCTTTATGATGTTCCGGGAGGATTCAGGGCGGTGATGTTTGATAGGTTTACGGGTGTGCAGAAGGATGTGCGTTTTCTCTTCATTTGACCTGATGGGTTGGGTTGGTGTACCGAGACTAATAATGCGGGGGTGGATGTTTTCGTGGGTTAGGCGAAGCCTGAGGGAACACACCTTTTGGTCCCTTGGATCCAGAGGGCTGTTTTGTATGACTGCCGTATCAAACCACGAGTGCGTTCTTCCCTTCTCTTCTCCGCATACTGAATACCCACTAATATTGCCACCCATTCGCACCGTTCTCCCAACGTGTCTACCTCTCCCGCGCGCAAATGCAACTAGAACATCTCAACCACCACCGGCTCAAAAGACTTGCAAATGGTCACCATCACACTCCGTGTACTCTCGAAACCGGACACGGAACACCTCTCGGAGATCTTCCAGAACTTGGGGTTGGACTATGACGAGAGGGTGTTGCCGTCGATCGGGAATGAGGTATTGAAGGCTATAGTGGCGCAGTTTGATGCGGCGGAGTTGATTACGCAGAGGGAGGTGGTGAGTCTTTTGAGATTTTGGTTTCGTTGGTTGAGGGTGGAGGGTGGTTTGGTTCTTGGGGGGGTCGGCCTCGCTCTGCTCTAGCATTCTGGGCATGGTCTTGGGCGTGCCGGGCTGAAGACCGAGTGGATGGCTAACCGACTATTGTATTCCCGGGCTGATAGGTCTCGTCGAGGATTCGGGAGGACCTATTACAGCGTGCAGGGGAGTTCAACATCAAGTTGGAGGATGTGTCTATAACGCATCTTACCTTCGGAAAGGTCAGGGTGCTCCCTTAGTTTTTGTTTAGGTGCCGGTCTCTGACGCCCCACACAGGAGTTCACCCAAGCCGTCGAGGCGAAGCAGATTGCACAGCAAGGTATGTTGTACGGCTCGTTTTGTTTACCGGTGACTGACGTTCGTTGTAGATGCTGAGCGGGCCAAGTTCATCGTCGAGAAGGTATGTTTAGTGTCTAACAGTGTATAAGTCTCTCTTGACCCTCTCTTTTCAGGCCGAGCAAGAGCGACAGGCAGCAGTTATCCGGGCAGAGGGAGAAGCAGAGGCGGCGTATACTATCTCGAAGGCACTGGATAAAGCTGGGGAGGCGTTTGTGGCGCTGAGGAAGATTGAGGCGTCGAAGGCGATTGTGCAGTCGCTGGCGGGCAACCGGAACGTGACGTACATCCCGAGCTCTGGGGGGAATGTGCTGTTGAGTGTGCCGTCAGACAGCCGGTCTTAGGTGTAGGGAGTCTGTAGCTACTTCAAAGCGTAGAGTACTTGGATGGAATCTACGCAGCGTCGCCACTCATCGGCTGAGTTTCGGGGGTTGCCGGGAGGGTGTGCCTGTGCGTGCAGAGAAATTGAGGGCTCTGCCTCTCTTCCGCACCGATACGTCCCCGTCGTCGTCGCAGCCGCCGTCGTTCCCGTTTCTCTCTCTTTCCTCTCTCTTCTCTCTTCCTCTCTATCTCTTTCCTCCCTCTAGTTCCAAATAGGACTCTGTCTATTATCCCATCTACTTCTCTCAGTACGTCAGCAGACCCAGATCTCACTAGATAGCGTCCTCATCTCTCTCCTCAACAGCTCTCACGGCATCCTTATATTTTAAGCCATGAATCCAATGGGCATGTCTGGTGCAGCGGAGGCCCCTGTGCGTATTTTGTCTTTTTTTCCGCTTTTCTTGCATCTGACCATGGCACCCGTACCCGTGTATTCACCCCCTTTCAAATCATCAAACAGAGACGGGCTCACCTCTACGTTGGCAACCTCAGCCCCCGAGTGACCGAGTACATGCTCACCGAGATCTTCGCCGTCGCCGGGCCCGTCCAGCACGTCAAGATCATTCCCGACCGCAACTACCAGCACGGCGGCCTCAACTACGGCTTCGTCGAGTACATGGACATGCGTGCCGCCGAGACCGCTCTCCAGACCCTCAATGGCCGCAAAATCTTCGACACCGAGATCCGCGTCAACTGGGCTTACCAGGGCCAACAAAACAAGGAAGACACTTCCAACCACTTCCACGTCTTCGTCGGCGACCTTTCCCCCGAGGTCAACGACGACGTCCTCGCCAAGGCGTTCGCCGCCTTCGGTACCATGTCCGACGCCCGCGTCATGTGGGACATGAACTCTGGCAAGTCTCGCGGTTACGGTTTCCTCGCCTTTAGGGACAAGACCGATGCCGAGCAGGCCATCGCCACCATGAACGGTGAATGGCTCGGATCCCGCGCCATCCGCGTCAACTGGGCCAACCAAAAGACCCAGGGCGGCTTGCCAGTCAGTGGTGGCCCCACGGCTAGCCCAACTCGCACTGGTGCTGGCGGTGCTCCGGCGCCTATCAACTTCCAAGGCGGTCCCCTCTCTTACGAGTCCGTGGTCCAGCAGACTCCCGCCTTCAACACCACCGTTTACGTTGGCAATCTCGTCCCGTACTGCACCCAGTCCGACCTCATTCCCCTCTTCCAGTCTATCGGGTATCTCTCCGAGATTCGCATGCAGGCCGACCGTGGTTTCGCGTTTGTCAAGCTCGACACTCACGAGCACGCCGCCATGGCCATCGTTCAGTTGCAGGGTCAGTTGGTTCACGGCAGGCCCATCAAGTGCAGCTGGGGTAAGGACAGGGCGGATGGTGGTGCTGCGGGTACCGCTCCCATGAGTCCTGCTACGGGTGCTGCGCCTTACGGTAACATGGTTAGTTTTACTTCCCTTCTCGATACAGGCATCGTATTGACATCACATCATAGCCCATGTACGGGATGCCCCAACCGAACACTTACGGCCAGTACGGGTTCGGCGCCTACGGAGGCTTCCCCAACCAGGGTGGGGCTGGGGCTACGGCTGGAGGTGCCGCTCCTGGAATGCCTCAGGCCGCTCCTGGTGCGCCTGCTGCAGGTGTTGCTGGTGCCGGGGCTGTCGACCCCGCTGCCGCCGCGGCGGGTGGCGCCCAGGGTCAGTGGGCCGGAGGAGACCCCAGCTCGTACTACTCCAACTACTGGGGCGGTAAGTTCCTTTTCTTGCTCTAGCCCAAAGCTGCAATTGATGCTGACTTGCTCATGACGGCAGGTTACTACGGACAACCTGGTCAACAGGGCGCCGTCGACGGTCAGGCTGGCGCGGCTTAAATTATGCGACGCAACGAATCCGTGTACATTTTTGCAGTGTTGCCATCTTCATACTCGTCTCAGCATCTTGCTCTCTGCTCGCTTGCACTGCCCGTCGCCATACAAGTTCCATCTCTTTTCCCATCAAATTCTGAAGCTGTAGCCCTGATCCCCCTATGTTCAATCCAATCAGCTCTCCTACCACAATTTCTCCTCTCTTCTCGTGTTCTTCTGAAACTCTCCTCTCTCCAAATAGCTCATTTCGTCTCCCTTTTTCTCGTCTCCACTGCATCAGTTGAATCTGTTTCGGTCTCAGTCTCGGTATCGATCTCCGTCCTCTCTGTTTCCTCTGCTCCTTCAACTGTGCTCTTAGTGCGCCGGGATATGACATGCTACGTTTCTATTCACAATAGCTACTGCATACATAACCCGTGACTTCCATGTTTTATCTTTTCTGTTCTTCCATTCCTTGCGTCTTCTTGTTACGAGTTTTCGCCTGCCTGCCCTTCTGCTTGTTTCGCTTTTCTTGCACTTTTTCTTTGCCCATTGATGAGATAAGGTCTTCTCTCTTCCTCCTTTCCTATCTTATTCTCTCTCCTCCTTTCAGGCTCTCTCCTCCCCTCTGTCTGTCCGTCTGTCTGTTCCCTTCCTGTTTGTTCCACTCCTGTCCTGTCGATCAGTTAGTCAGACTCTCCCTCTCCTCTTCCTTCCTCATTTTTTCTTGTCTTCTTCTTCCTCGTTTTCCTTGCCTTGTCCTTTTTCTTCCCGTCTTCGTCTCTATTTCAACCTCCCTCATCACGGACGCTCTTCTCGCTCGCCTACCTACGTCTTCACTCTTCGCCCAATTCCTCCAATCTCTCTACTCTTCGAACCCCAGCACGGCACAGCACACCAGAATCCCGAAAGAAAGTTCTTTGATGATCGACAATTGACAGTGTGGCAGAAATCCAGAATTTATGTATTTATGCGAATGCACTTTTTTCTGTCCGTCCGGTTGTTCATCCTACGACCACGCACGACTCGCTCTGATCTCGACGTTGGACTTTGGGACGATAGCGATATGAAGTTCCCGAGAAAGTATTGATGAGTAGTTTCTTTTTGCTCTGTTCGCTACTGCCATGTCGTACCTCGGTCTTTCCTTTGCTGTCGCTGGCCGGGGTAGAGGATGTGTAACTCTGTCTCGTGAAAGGTTATGTTGTTAGTGCCCTCACTTTTGATGATCCTCACAACTTTCCCGCCTTTTTGCATAGTAGTAAACACCACAAAGGTACAAACGCAGTGGGATAGCTGAGAGGTGAGTGCCAACCTATTTTTCGCCCAACGAAAATCGACGTTGCATGAGCTAATCAGTATGATTATGGGCATCTCTAATCTCACAAGACAGTCAGCAAAGCATAAAGACGACAAGAGAACAAGGACGAGGTTGCAGACTCAGAGAAAGTGCAGGATGCCTGACTAATAAGCCGGAGGAATGGTAAGCGCCAATAAACTACCTCAATGGACAACGAGACTTACGAGTGCTTTCCATCTTCGCTATTCAGCAGCAACGAGTGCACAACCTTTTTCCTTTGTAGAACGGGAATGGACACCGTCTGGACCATCTTTTGCTTTGAAAGACTCCACTTCAAAATCTCGCAAACTACAGCGGTGACTTGCAGCTCTTGCACTCCATTCACTCACCCTTGAGTACTTAAGCTCGATGTGGTTTTCGCTCTCAATCACACAACGTACCGTCCAACGTTTTCTCATCGTCGTGTAAGATGGTTCTCAAACTCTACGGGTTCCCATTCTCGACCTGCACCAAGCGTGTCGCCGTCACTCTCAAAGAGCATAATGTCCCCTATGAGCTCGTTGTTATCGATCTACCCAAGGGTGAACAGAGAGACCCGGCCTACATGGAAATTCAGCCCTTTGGTCAGACTCCTGCTATCGTACGTGTCTGTAAGCCTTCCTTCTCTTTGGACGGCCTTCGCCATATCACCGCCCCATTTCTGTGGTCACTTTCACCGACCTTTGAATCATCTGAGCTTACACTCATATGTATATCTATCTTTACTAGGATGACGATGGCTTTATACTCTACGAGTCCCGTGCCATCTGCCGGTACATCGCCGCCAAATACGCTTCTCAGGGCCCACAACCACCCCTCCTTCCTTCAACTACGGAGCTCTCGAGCTTTGCAAAGTTCGAGCAAGGTGTGAGCATTGAGATGTGCGCTTTCGACCCTAGCGCTTCAAAAATTGACTTTGAGAAGGTGTTGAAGCCGTGCGTGTCTTTCATATCTCCCAAATCCCGATCCCTGGTTCACCCATTTTGGTTCCTCGACTCCTGTGCGCTCAACTATACTTGTAGGATGTTTGGTCAAACGCCGGACGAGGAAGTCGTCAAGGCAAACCTGGCAACTTTAAATGCAAAGCTTGACGCGTACGAAAATATACTTAGCAAGCAGAAATATATCGGCGGTGAGGTGTGCATCACAAGCCACAAATTGTCAACTCCCATTCAATCCGTAGACCTCTGTCTATGAGCTGTCGCACTCAGAGACAGATTCAGTTATCTCTCCATGTTCCTGTTTCCTCATGAATGATGATACGATGATACTACAGGACTTAACTCTCGCCGATATCTTCCACCTCTCCTACGGTCACTCGCTCGAAGTCGCAGGCCTCGGCATTGATACGCTCGCTGATAGGCCAAATGTCGCTCGGTAAGCTCTTCTATTGTAGAGCGTGTTCCGTCCTTGACAAAGTCTCCTCTTTGAACTCAAATATTTGGTGATTTGTCGATTGCAGGTGGTGGAATGAAATATCGTCTCGTCCGGCGTGGATCGCTGTCCAGGACAGAGCATAACCTTGATCATCTCTCATCAGTCACTTGGCCTCGATCTGTGTGCTCATCGAATATTCATCCCTTTCGTCGATTCGTGCTCGTACGGACAGATACTGCAGTCGTGCTTATATGGTGAGAGCCACAGGAAGCTTGGTACACATCTAAAGGCTAAGTGTCACATCCTTAGGCGTGAATGCAATCGCTCAATCCCGGCACAACGCCATCTCACTGTGTCGAAAATTTTGACGCCTAAGAAACTGTTTGTGGACTGTCGACCGTTTGTTTGATCTGGCAGGAATCATATTGCTTGTACTCACGACCCCCTACGAGTTGCCTCATGCACCTCTTGTTTGGAAAGTATATTTTTTGTGGAAAGTCTTGACCTTCTACCTACAAGGTATCGGAAAAGCGCGTTAAATATATTTAGAATAAATCAGAGGAGGACTAAGAGATGTCACACGCCATCTTAATACTTACGATGTCGGTACCAAGTCGGTACCAATGTCCGCAAACGCTTTACGGAGCATCGAGAACGGAGAAACGCAGGTATGCTGTAGCTTGTATGCAGATAGACTGAATGTCGTCGACGTCCGCCACGCAGAGCGAATTCCTAAAGATACACCGCGACGTGGTGCCGGTCATAGATGGAATAGAGCAGTATGGAATCCAAGGACATTACATTGCTACTGCACTATGAAGATGAAAGAAAGAAAAACAGCGAGAAAGGAACAGGACAAGGTCGAAGACCAGACGGATGAACAGCTAGCTACACCAGCAAGGACGGTACTTGAGCGAGCGGCACCTTAGATTGCATGCACCACGATGAACGCTGCTGACTCCGTGGTGGGCGCTCGTCATGAACGGAGGTAGAGAGGCGGAGAGAGCAGGGTAGATAGATAAGACGTGGAGAGCGGAGCGGTCAAGAGGTAAGTGAAGAGGGGAACTAAAAAAGAGACAGAAGGTGACGGTGACGGTAGAAAAGTGAAGACATGACTAGGTCCGTATAGATACTGGGGTCGTGACATGGACATGATGAAGTGGCAACGACAATATCAGCAACGTCATCAGCAGTTGCAGCCATAAGATTGCGAAGAGTCGGCGTTGATCTTGATGGGATCCGGGTAGTCGACGTAACTATACAAACGCGAGTGATTGATGTGCAAACAAGGCGTGGGGGATGAGAATCAGTTTCGGACCGTCCAAGCAGGATAGAATGGAAACGAGATCGACAGAAAGATGGTAGAGAAGAAAGGAAGATCGAGGTGGAGAGGGATAGTGGAGTAGAACAGCACGGTACAGGGATGCAGAAGAGGTGCCGAAAAGCGAGGAGGAGAGAGAGAGGACGTACAGTTGCTCCTCAGCTTCCTGTTGGAGGGCGTTCTTGGCCACAGTTTGGAATGCCTGCTCAACGTTGATAGCCTCCTTCGCTGAGGTCTCGAAGTAAGGGATATTCCCTTTGGACTGGCACCAGGTCATCGCACGCTTCTGCGTCACCTGTACCACGAACACGCAACACGTAATGTCAGCAATCGCGCGTTCAAAGCGTGATTCAGGATGGTAGGTCGACGATGAAGGGGCAGGATTGCGAGGCTATTGCACGCGGTAGTGGGTTGAGCATGCCGAAAATGAGCGCACCTGTCTCTTGTTCTCCTCCATATCAATCTTGTTCCCGAGGACGACGAAGGGGAAGTTCTCAGGGTCATGAGGGCTGGCCTGGATGAGGAACTCATCGCGCCAGCTGTCAAGTGTCTCGAAAGATTTCGAGCTGTTCACGTCGTACACGAGGACGCAGCAGTCGGCTCCACGATAGAAGGCGACACCGAGCGATTGGAACCGTTCTTGGCCAGCGGTATCCCACAACTATTGCGGGTACCGATATCGAGTCCGTCAGTCGCTCCGACATGAGTAATACTTGATGAGGGTAGCAGTGAGGAACATACCTGCATGGTCACCAGCCGGTCGTCGACCATGACTTCCTTCGTGAGGCTGATAGGGTGTGATAGAAGTGGGTGAGCAGTGACCGATAGAGCGAGCGAACGGCCTTGACGCACAAGTCTGCGCCAATAGTGGCCTTGTATTGGTTACTGAACCGCTTGTTCACATATTGGTTCATAAGTGAGGTCTTTCCGACGCTGTATCCCGACACCAAACCGGCTGTGAACACTTGTCGGACGAGCAAAGCGTCATGATACGCACCCACTGTCACCGAGGATGATAACCTAGCACACCAGCTCATATCAGTAATATTCCCCCATGATTTCGACGGTCGTATACCCACCTTGAGTAGTACGCGACCCATTGTGGAAGATATGCAGGTTGTGTGGCGGCCAAGACGGAAGGGTGAGGGAGAGGAGTCAGAAGGAGAGCGCTGAGCAGGCCACGGTCAGGCAGGCGCGGCCAGTAAGCGTCCCTCTTCCAGCCGCCGGCCGGGATCTGGTCCGACTCCGGAGCTATAAACCGGGCACCTGTCCCCGATATGGAGATGCGCTCTTCCGTCCGCCCGGGAGAGCCGGGCTGGCATGCCTCTGTGCTCTCACCACCTCCGCCGCTGACGCCTCAGCAGACATCCCTCGCCACTTCAGTCGTGTCAAGTACCCTCCCTTTCTGTCTACCCTGGCTGCCGACTACTCATGGCGGAACCAGCCTGGCAGGAGCTTCTGCGTCTGCGGTTGACGGAGCGCAATGCGAAGGAATCCTCGTATGCTCCTATCATCGAGCAGTGTGAGTAAAGTACCACCGCGTTTGAACCCCGACGCCGCCACCCAACCATCTGATACTTATCCTGGTCTTCACTACTTAGATCGGAGACTTGCACAGCAGACAAAGTTGCTCAAGGAACGTAATGCGTCTTTGCTAAGAGCTGTTGCGAGTGTGAAGCAGAACCCGAGCAGTTCTACAGTCTTCGTACCGGGAACAGGGGAAGAGTGCGTCTCATTCTCCTGCGCTTTATGTCGCGATGTGCTCATGACGCAATGCTGCTTTCATCTACAGGAACCCCGTCCGTGCGGCATATATCTCTTCACTTGAATCTCAGATATCATCTCTGCGCGATGAATTAGCGACGGTGTACAAGACTCAGGGCCAAAATGCACAGCGATTACTGGCCATGAACGAGACACTACGCGAGAAGGAGGAGATATCAAGGATGGATTCGGAAGCTTTGCGGAGAGCGAGAGATGAGGCTGCGAACCTCAGACGGAAAGTAGACCAGCATGCAGAGCTAATGGCAGAGAAGGACCGGACGGCCCAGGTACGTCTATTTATTCCGCCTTTTCCATAGCACTGTTTCTTTCCATTTACTTGTACTCATTCTTCTTTCCTACTGGAAAGGTTCTCCACGATGAGATCAGCACGCTTCAGCTCGAACTCGGCCAAATCGAAGAACGTAATCAGAACCTCACACGGGACAACGCTAAACTCCTCCAACGCTGGCTCGACGCCAAACAAGCCGAAGTCAACAAGATGAACGAAGCGAACGATTTTTACGTCGACATGCGCACCCGGCACGAAGCCGTCCTCAACTGGCGAGATGGCTCCGAGGCCTCCACGTCCAACGCTGGAGATGCCACCACGTCCAATACTGGTGACGCCGCGGGTGCTACGTCGTCGAACACGGGTGATGTGGACGGTCAACAGACGGAGCAGCGGCAGTCGGGAAATGCGCACGCGTCGGTGTCGGGAAACGGGAGCGCGAACGGAGAGGGGAAGGGGACGGGGACGAGGGATGGGACGAAGTCTCAGCCGGAGCAGACGGTGAATCTGACACCGAATGGCTAGTGGTAGATGATTGATGTGGGAACTCCGTTCGCATTCACGAGATCTGGAAGAGTTGAGGTGGGAGGAATTGTTGGCTTGTAGGCCTTGATCGAATAATTATTGGGTGGTCGATAACTATAGGCAGAGGAAGCAAGCAGTGGTGGATGGTGGTTGTCGCATACTTATGGTTTCGAGGTATCGTACTGTGCTTTTTTTGTTTGGTCTTTGATGTTACAGTTATACCCAATGCTTCTACACTCGTTTCGTCTCTGCTCTTTTTTTCTTTCCCGGATATCATAATGGCATCTATCTATCAGCGTACTATCCATTGCCCTTGACGCTTGAGCAACCTTCCTGGCTCAGATTGCCTCGCCCCTTGAGAATTACAACGGCAATTCTCGGCCCAATGACAGAAGCCTTGAACATTTTGTCGTCGAGCTGTCTATCCGAAACCTGAAGGCCACCACGAGCGTGAGAAAACAGGCCGTGTGTAAGAATTCTGTGGCATAGTACTGGGTACATGGCAAGAGAACACAACACATCCCTAAGTAAATTAAAATCTATAGTCTCAAGCCTGCACAATAAGTATACCACGACAATCCAAGGCGTCTAAACAAGACATGTTAAGTAATATCCCAAGCATGAATATCATTACCGTTACCCCCACAGCAAGTGAATCGCAGAGTACTCTTTTCACTCTACGGCGTCTGTGTCCCTCGCCCAACTGACAGACACTCCGCTCACTCAGTGACCTGGACGCTCCAGTCGCTAGGGATCGTCCCCATCTGTCTCCCCATGAGCTCTTTCCAAATAGGTCTCGACACAGGGCCCATCCCGTCCGACTCCACGGGAATATGGACGTCTTGGCCCTGATAGCCGATCCTGTCTACGGGGCTGATCACCGCCGCCGTACCTATCACGAGTAAACGCAAAATACAAAAACAAGCGCAGATACCATCAGCACAGGATCCAACCCAGAAATGGCCCCATACGACGTATAGGGACGCAAAGAGCGGACGGTGAGCGGAGGAAGATGAGGAACTCACCGGTCCCGAACAGCTCGACGAGCCTTCCCTCCAATGCCGCGTCTTTCACTTCCTTCATCGTCACGCCCCTTTCTGAGACGACGAGCTTGTCCGTCAGGTCTGGGATGTTGAGAGTCCCCGCGGCGTGGGATTGGGCGAGTTGGAGGACGGAGTCGCGGGTGACGCCGGGGAGGATCATGCCGTCGAGAGGAGGGGTCACAAGCTCAAGGGTACCGTCGGGTTTGCGGAAGACGACGAAGAGGTTCATGGTGCCGACCTAAGCATATGTCGAGTTTGGTAGGAAAGAAGGTAAGTTGAGGGCTTTTGATGAGCTAGGGAAAGTGGGAAGGGAGGATGGGCTATGGGGCATGTGGTGTTACAAAAAACATTTTTGAGGGAAAGACAAGGGTAGAAGGGGTTGGGAAGGGGAGAAGGCAACAAACCTCGGTGAGGTAGTGTTCTGGGCCATACAACCAGAGGTTTTGGACATATCCAACCTCCGCGGCTTTCTTTTGGGGATAAACGCTTGGTGCGTAGTTAGCGCCGAGCTTGAATTCGCCAGTGCCTAAGGCAAGCATCGAAATGATCAGCCCATCTCTATGGTCCGAACGTAGATCATACGGAAACGTACCACCAGGAGAGGCACGGGTGTACTCTGTCGTTCCGTAAAGAGCGACGGGCTTAAAGCCGTCTGGATAATATGGGCCTACAGGACTGAGGATTACGAAGAGAAGAGCAGAGTCGGGTGGGGTAATGCCGACAGATTTTTGGGTGCCGACTGAGTGAAAGAAGGTTTGGTGCAGACAATGTGGCGTGAATGGGGTAACGATTTGAGAAGAGTTGGTCATGGACGTACTCATAGTGGGGCGAATATAGAGACTATAGCCGGGTAGCTGCGGGATCCAGTTCTTCTCAAAGGCAACGAGTTTCTTGATGAGATCAGTTAGGGCGTCGCCGTCGAACGTCTATTATTCGGGGTTAAATTAATTCGCATTGGCGGTGAACTCGATGGAGAAATAGGGTACTCACGGGAAGTGCAATGCGCTGAGCGCTTCGATTCATACGAAGCATATTCATATCAGGACGAAATAATGTGACCTTGCCATTGACGTCCCGGTAGGCCTTCATCCCCTCGAATAGACATTGGGCGTAGTGAAACACGGTGGAACTCGGGTCAAGAGCCAAAGGTCCGTCTATGCCAGCATCACCATTTAGATAGAACGCGCCGTGTGGTGTATCAGAGCGCAGTTCGTGCGAAAAGAAATGAGTGAAAGTACGCACACGGCTCGATCTTAGGCGTTCCCCAGCCCTCCTCCAGAGTCCATGGGATGGTCAGCATATGATCCGTCTACACCACAACCACCAGCCACAAGTACATTCAGCATAGGTTGTTATTCCTGGTTTCAAGGAGGAAACATCCTTACGAAGTTACGTCCAAATTTGAGCGACTCGTAAGGTGGCATCTCCTTTGGCTTCTGTGTCTTCTCAATGACCAGCTTAGATATCTGTGCGGGTGTATCGACTCAGTGCTGCTTCATAAACGTTTCCTAATTTATTCAGAACTCACGTCAATACCTGGTAATGGATTCAGAGTCACTTCCGTCGCAGTCGCAATGCATCGGAAGCCAGGTAGTGAAGTTGGCACGGGAGTAAACCTGTTACATCTCGCAGCTGAGGAAAACAGAGAACGTCTTGAGAGCGTCGTCCGTAGTGAAGCAGCCATGTTTCGGATCTCAAAGCTAGGCTCAGTAACAAAGGGAGATAAGGGTAGGTGTCTGCCTCCAGTTGTAGTGAGCACTGAGCTAGATAAATGGCCGTACTGACTCGGTCTGAGTCTCGCTGTAGGATTGCAAGTCCCGTTTCGGTCGGATAGCCGTCGGCCGGCGCCACAATCGCGACGCGTCTCGCCACAATTTTCCACGCGACATTCTTTGGCCCATGGCCATGGATCGGAAGATAAAAAAGTCGAACATGATGGAGGCCAACTTCCAACCCATCCGAATATTATTCTATCGTTCGTCCAAACCCTTTGAGACTATATCTCCATCACTTGCTTGGGCCGAATTGTACACTCCGGCGGCTCAAGGTAGTTGCAGTGAGATAGACGCTGGTAGACGCCAAACTTGCGCCAAACTCACGACTGGCAGGTTTAGCATCGACTGATAAAGTCTAACTTGAAAGCAACCGTGGCGGTATGGATTCTTTGATGCTTATAATGCACAATCAGGTGTATTGTAGAGGCGGATCGGCGCTTCATCTTTACCAGGGACGCTGTCGTTACTCCCGGCTTGCTCCCGGCATGAAGCCACCAGATTAAGTGCCGGAGAAGGCGCTGTTGAGTCGCAGGTAGGCTCAGGCAGAGTCGGGTGTACATCTCGAAGTTCCTGATGGTGCAGCGTGTTATACGGTTGAAGATTGCATGGTAAATGATTGCTTTTTACCAGTCTTGAAAACAGTCCACTCCACGGCGGCGACGTGCTCGCCTCCTGCTTACGCTCATGGTTCTAAAAGGATAAGACGCGATTTTGTTTTCACACCACAAGCTCCAGTCTTCTGGTACCTTCCGGAACGACGAACAAATTCTCGAAGTCACCTAAAGGAGTGTATAACACCAACCGGGAAACCCGCCGCCTACCACCTAGTCTATCTCACCAAGATCGACATACATACACCTCAAACAGCCTGACACATTGATGGAGAAGCTGATAAGGGTGGTTAGATTTACTGTTGTTGGGGTACAGGATGCGCAGACATTATTACCAATGGGTTTGTTCATCCCATAACCTCTCCGTGCACTTCCTCGTGGCGAGAACGTGACGCGTGTACAGGACTTTCTCAGCGGGGCCTTGTATGGCCAGCGATCCCTGGGCGATCCCGGGCGTTTAGCTGTGTTTAGGCGCTTGAAGACTCCGTGATACCCTTTGGTTCAGACCATAGCAAGTCGCCTGCGGTGCCATCACTGCGTCAGGCCTCAGGGGCCTTCGGTTGCTACTCGGGCTAAGAACAAAGCAGATCGTCATTCTGATCTCGATTATCCCCATTAGTGAACAAGGCGAACGAGGAACGTTTGATGGCCAAGTAACTTGACACCATGGATGAGGTTTTATTCGGATTGTCGAGGTGGCATTTTCTCTTCCATCAGGCTTCAGCATCAGTCCAATTCGCTGCATGTCGCAGGTTGCATGTTTGATCGTGGCCTTTGTGGAGTCTCGAGCTTCATGATAGGTGCTTCCTAAGACGAAGCCAAATACACGAGACGGTAGAGTGCAAGCGGAGTTTGTACTCCCTCAGTCGGTGCTAGCTGCTCACGAAAGAAGGTGCTGATGCACCGGATTCCATCTCTGCCCTGACGGATCGCTTACCAATATTCGCTGATGAATAGCGTGGCAAACGTTGTGCTTCTTTTCCCGCCTGGGCTGGGCGTCTACTCGTTATTGATAGAACGCGTGAAGTTGTGTAACCGCGTGCGCTAATATAAGAGCGCGAAGTAATGCTCCGGTACTCCCATCGTCCTCACACACACTCTACTCCTTCCTATAGTCTTTAGTCTCATCGATTTGCCACCCGTACAACTTAGTCAGTAATCCTCTCACCTCTCGAAAGAGTTTGAACCTTCGAGTTTACTAACCTACTTCCGCAGAACACAAATGAGTGGCCGTAGCACATGTTCTAATTGTAGGCGGAAGAAGATCGTTGAGTGTTCGACTTTACCAATACCATTTTCCACGTGCTTACCATTATCTTGCTGCTATAGCGCTGTGACGGACAAACGCCGGAATGCGGACAATGTAAACGACGACGCCAAGCCGGGCCTCAATGTGATTATAAGCCACCCGAACCTCCTGCTATCCAAGGAGAGCTGCTTCGTAAGGGTGATGCTTGCGTCCCTTGCCGGTATGTAATCGTATTCATACAATATCTTAGTTACTAACATTCACACTGCGCTTTACTTGGAAACTTAGTCAGAAAAAGAAGGTGCGAGAACAATAAACCTTACTAATTAAGCGACCCTGGCTGACTTGAGCGCTTTGAAAGAAATGCAGCGGAGAGCATCCAGCTTGTCAGACGTGCGTTGCTGCTGGAAAGAGCGACCAATGCAGCTACTTCAAGACGCGGTTAAAACGGAAGGGCACTACTCCCGCCTCTCTCGAACGACGCCGCCGACAGGACACACAAGAACCTAGTTCAAGCACCTCTCGATCGTCCGGAGAACCTGACGAGTTTTACCCCAGCCAGCCACCTTCGCCACCGAGCTCCGGCGAGTATCTCTTCGATTCGAGGGGCTATGCGCAGTCGAGCAACTCTTCTTCGGAGGCCAATTATGACCCTATCGATACTGCTATTGTATTACCGGATAACTCTTTATTCATAAGAGCAGACTCCCTCCTGGTCGATCAGCCCATCGCTCCTTCGGGTATAGAGGACTTCTTTCTACCTTCAAACAGTTTCAACGGCACCATTTATGAGACCGCGTACGCTCCATTACCGACGGTGTCGCTCGATGCCGACTATATCCCCTCTTCCACTGCGCTCCCCGCATATTCTACCACTATCGTGGGCGCGGAGCAGCCTTACGGCGAATCTTTAGCCTCCTCGCCTGGTCCCTCCACGATGACTTCTCTGAGTTATCTGGCCCACCTGTAAGCCATTCTCACCGCCGATGACATCGTTGGTGAGACGCTCATTTCCCTGTGCTCGCAGACGAACTCTATTTCTCAAACGAGGGATAAAGATGACCGTCCGAATGACCCAGGACAAGTTGGACGCCATAGCTCTCGGCGACGTATCTGGTCAGGTCATACATCCCATCTTCATCCAACTCGCCCATCTCTTAGGCTCTGTCTTCCATCATCACGGCGCCGAACATCCAGACAAGCAACGCGAACTCGTCGAGCTTGCATCCGTTCGGGAGATCATCCGCACACAGCAGGACATCACGCTCACGCCGACGGCTGCTCTCCAAGCGCAGAACCTAGTATCGTTCTACTACATGTATTCTAGAGACTTCGCTGGCGCGCAATCGGCCATACAGGAGTCGAAACAAACGATATCGCGGTTCAATATGCATATCACCATCCCGGAGTCGGCGTTGAATGAGTCTCGATCCTCGTCGAGAGCAGGCGAAAGCGTTTATGCCACACCCTTGACGGCGGCTGACGAGGAGGACGAGAAACGGTGTATCCTGATGCACATGTGGTTCAGGGATAAGGCTGCTGACCTCATGTCGGGTTCCAAGTTCCTGGTCGCGGAGCATCTAGACGATGAGATTGCGCTATGGGCGGTAAGCTTTCTCAATATCCCCATAGCTGTCTGGTCGCTAACGTCCTGCCTGGTATCCAGGCGCTTGAGCCGTTTCCTGACCGTAGCAATCCCATCGTGATGCGCGCTATCAGCACCTGGTTCTTGCTCGAAAGTCGTGCGTTCATGGCTCGGCTAGGTAGACGCCCTTCCGGCGGCCTAGGTATGTACCTCCTCCCATACTTCACATTTCCAATCCGTGCTCATCCTTCGTCACTTCAAGATCAACAAGAATTTTCGCCATTTTGTTACGAAACCTGCATCGACCTCATCCGTCGGATACGCTCTCAAATCAATTATGTCTCACACGAACTCATGCGCTCCGAACTTGTCTTCGCGGATCACCTGAACGCCGTCACGCTCAAAAGCACCAACATCATCGCGTTGACAGCGCTCATGAACATGTATACGGTTTTGGTGCATGGAGCGGGCCATGTGGAGTCGAGACGAAAGTTGCTCAGCACAGCACTCGAGATCATTGCGATCTCAGACACGTTCTTCGATGATGACTTCAATTACTTGAACACACCAGTTTGGGTGAGCACCCGCACTTGATCTCCGTACATCCTTCCTATGAGGGCTAACTAAGTGGTCTTCACTGTTCTATTAGATGTGCTGGAATGTCGTTCGCGAGCTTCTGATGCAAGAGCAGCTCCAATTCACGAGTCTTAGTGTGGCGGGACTCGAAGATGGTGTGGCCAGGTCACACCTTGGCGTTCACTTGGACGACAATCTTCCAGCTCTGTTAACTAATCTGCGTCGGTTTATGCAGAAGCACGAGAATACGTTCTGGTGTATACCTAGAGCGAACTGATATACTAGAGGACATAATTTGCTATTATGTATTTCATAGTAACTAGACTGCAAGGACTCTATCTCTACGCTTTTTTTCGAGGGTACTGCTATTTCGTACTATACTATACTATTTATTGTACCATTGGAAGATGCTATTGGAATACCCTGGGAATGAGCGTATAGGTGTCTTACTTTTCTTGTGTGTGGATGTGCGCCGAATTGGGTTTCAGACCTAAGTTATGGGGGTGCCACCTGGTGCCACCCTGAGCGGAGTGTCAATCACGTGTGATCACAATTGTGTTGATTCTGCCACGTGGCCACCGTGTCCTTCGAGTCGAACGGTTGATCGTTCGTAACTTCGTTCGTTGAACCTTCGAGTATCCACTACTACACCAGTCTTGCGTGGAACTGTGACAGAACGTTAGAAGGAGTAGTATGCCTCGAATCCTTCAGACTATTCTTCTCAATGCGCCGTTCTCTCAAAGAAAGCCCTTCAACTTTGACCACATCTTATACGCGGGCTTCGCCAAATCGTCATCGCGGGGGATATCGCATGGTAACTTCAACTTTAGCACACGAGCTGGCACAAAGGAAGCAAAACCTACTGTATGTACTATCATTTACGGGTTCTACATGTACTTACACAGCAACAACTCATCACTCAACTTGAATTCAGACGCAACCCCACAAACGGGCACCGAATGGAATTCGAGTCATCCAAACTCTGGATCAATCTCGTCTGAAACCTTCCGACTTCCAGGATATTTCCGGTCTGAAAAGTTTCTACCTTTCTACGACCTTCGACAATGAGGGGCTCAGCCAGAAATGGGAAATGAGGTACACACACTACACGACCCACGGTAAACCCCCACGAAAATTTGAAGTTCCATTCCCGGAAGGCACACATGGCTTCCTCTACTATCGTCCTACAAATCTTTTATCACCCACACGAAACACGCAACCCTCAGACGGCCCAGCAGGGCAGGTGTATTTTCGCATAACGAAAGACAACGACCCCGCCAGCTTTGCTTCAGGAAGGGACTTGATGCAACGCAACGGAGACGTTCCTTGGTACATCGTCCCAAAGGCAAAGACGACGGCACTGTGGCGGCTTCTGCTCAAAGACGGGCTCGTCACAGCCTCCACCAAGAGCACAGGTCTCATTCGCTCGCCAAAACCCCATATCTCAACATTTTTGGATCCCTTTATTATTGACCTCTCACACCACAACATTCAAGTGAATGTGCGGAGTCTAAGGGATGGGAATGTCCTCCGCCTTGTCTGCGGAAACCCGTTCCGTGGTCAAACCGGGTCGGCAAGTTCGTACCATCAGTGTTTCACAGGCCAGTACATCAATGGCTTCCGCTCTACTTTTCGAAGACACAACTTACCTCCTCATACGTCTTCTTCACAGGTCGCTTACGCTGTCGTTTCGAGCGCTCTCCCCATCCGAATCACGCAGGTACCGACACTTTCGTGATTCGGGTGGTGGAAGTATTGTCGCCCGTAAAGTACATTCCCCCACCCTCCGTGGGCGAGGAGAAGAACTCGTTCGCCCTACCGAGTGCGCCGCAGGTGGGAGACTTGCTGCCGGCGAAAAAGGCGGGAGAAACACTGTCATTTCCTCAGGTGCCGAAATCGAGGGTCAAGACGAAATCGGTGTCTAGCAGAGCATGGGATGCACTATTGGAGAACGAAGCACTGATGCTTTCCGCGTCTACATGCTGAACATGTTTCTTCAATTTCTCACCGTATCCGGCTTTGCTCGGTGAGTTACTGGTATATACGCCCCCCTTGCCTATAATTGATGCCAAATCCCCTCAACCGCGGTAGATCCGGCCTTCCCTCGAGCTTCATTTGTGCTCCCAAGAAATGACAGTACTAGTTTCCGTGTACCTTGTCATATGAGTCTCTCACCCCGGTGCTTTTGCCTGGTGCGGTAGCCTTCCGCTTCTGGACACCCTGTGAGGTCGTTTCATTGGGAAACCGACACAGTGCTCGTAAGCCTGTGAATGTCCTCGAGCTCTAGCAATCGCGAAGAGCGGGACTGAGTACTGAGCCATGAAACACACAGCGTATGCATATCTGGTGTATTCATTTGATAATGTGCCGCCTACTCTTACGCTCCAGGACCTGTCGTACATTTACTGGGAGAATCGTCTAGTGTCCTCATACGTACTGAGATATAAGTATGTAGTGTGCGGACTAGGGCGTGGTTCGGATGAGGCTGTAGGATATAGTGTACGGTATACTAAGGGAAAAGGATCGGATAGTGAGGAAAAGGGTATCGGGGCGATGGTATGATACGTCAACATAATATATATGCTCGGAGGAATAGACCAGTCAGTGTTACTTAACAACATATCTGGCCATAATGATCAACATAAAGACGGTAACAGGAGTATGATTAACAGAACGAGTGTGGTCCGTATATCCGAATTACCCTCTGGTAGGATACTCCACGGGGGGCCGACCCCATGGCCACTAGAGTGCCCACTCTGAAATCAAGCCTCATAGCTCAAGATTCATGCTCAGTGTCCCTCTACATTCACGTAAAGTTTCTCAGCGTTCGAAACCATCCTCTCATCCACCATACCCAGATGCTTCAAATTCGTTTTTGACGGCAAAGGAGGTGGGAAGGCCATTTCCTTCTCGTGGAGAGAGTCAGGCGGCAGCTGGTCTCGGGAGTATGCCGACGATGGAACGGGGGGAACGGGCGCCATGTACGAGTCAGCATAGGTTTGGAGTTGAGGCAGTATGTTCGGGCCGGGTATAGGAAGGTTCGGTAGGATATCGTGATGCGAGCGGGACATGGGAGGACTGGATGGTGACCGGCGCTGTGTTTGGGGAGCGGCGACTGATAGGTTATTCCCGGCTGATTTATTGATAGGAACGGTTGGACGAAGACTTGTGAGGGAGTATACGAAGGACTGAAGTAAGATCTCGGGCTCACCAGACCGGCTCCTTGTGCGTTGTCTATTTCTACGGAATTGAGGTTCCCCAGTGGCGGTTTGCATGCTCGCCACACTATCAAGATTTCCAACTGAGAGCCATCTATCCGATAGCGCTCTCGAGGAAGATGCGGTATTGGCCTCCGGGATAAGCACACTTCTTCTCATTCCTAGGTTGTTGGGTAGTCCTGGGCCTACAGCGTCGCTGACGCTGTCATAGGGGTAGAGCTCCGGCGCGAGGGGCTTCGGAAGGACGATCTGAAAATTTCCGTGGACATGCGGGAGACCACTGCTGCGACTACGTGAAGCTTGTCCGGAGACGTCGGACACGGACGAGACGACGGAGTAGGTACTGCGGGATGCAGCACCAATACGAGATCGGGGTCGAGAATTGGAGCGAGGGAGAGATCGATAGGACGAGGAGTTGGACACCGATGCTGCAGGGGCAGAGAGGGATCCATAATCATTTGAGGGGAATGTAGAGGATACTGAGTTGTCGCGGCGATGTCCAGGTCCGTGGGCGGAAGCTGGAGGCGGGAAATATGGAGGCTGAGGGATGGGAAGGATACGATCGTCCGGCACGGTGAGGGGCTCGTGATTGAGTGAAGAGGAGACAGAGACGTCAGGGCTGGTATCCGCGTTCCAGGTACTAGAGCCAGTCTGTAGCAGAGAGGTATTGCTTCTGGTACGGGCGTGGAGCGAGCGAAAGTTGTCTATCTTGGGCTCAGCGGAGAAAGCGGTGAGTTGGTGTTCGCGGATGTGGGCAAGGGGCTGAACGGGCGGAAGTGGGTTCGCAAATCCCCGTTGGCGCCGGTGAAGTATGACACGCCAAAGAATAAAGAGAGCGAGCAGTCCACCGATAGCAGCAGCGACAGAAATGATGATGGTTGGCGAGGTATCATTCGCGCGCCGAGCGAGGTAGTGTGATTTCCGCTTCATACTGAGAGCTTGATACGAGTGATGATGGGCGTCCATGGTCAAGGTACGACGAGTATACGACGAGCTCGATAGCGCCAGATGGTTGACAGAGAAATCGAAGAGTCGAAAGCTGAGTGCAACGAGGGTGCAACTTGCTGCCGCAGTAATATGTAAAACAAGACTCGAGGCAGAGCACTCCAGAAGAAGACACCCAGTGACGGCAGTTATACACAAGTATAGATAGAATGGACAGCGTTCGGAACAGTAAGGAGCGGCGGCGGGCTGGGCAACAGTAAGGTAGAATCGACGTTGTTCGACGCGATTGACGGCGTCCAGGAAAAGAACGTGAAGTTCAATATGTGATGTGGCGGGTCGGATAGCGTGGAAAACCTATGCCGCAAATGGCGCGCTATTTGGTACTCACAACTCGGCAGAACACGTCTTGCTCGTCGTCCGCGACGATGGCGAACCCCAAACGACGACCAGGTTTTTCGCAGCGGTCAGGACCTGTCGCTGCTCCCTCCATTCCTCTCGACGCCCGTTCTCGTTCCAACGCGTCCATCTCATCTTCCATCCAAGGCCGATCCGCTCCGCCCCCCACGACCGGCTCATTAGCCCAACCCATTTCACTCACCAAGCGTCTCCTTTTCTCGCACTTGCCGCCCAATGCACCTATACCCCCGATATTTCAATATCCGGGCCTACCACCTGCTCTGAACACAGAGCTATACGACTTTCTTGCGCTTGCGCTGAGGGCATTCATTAATCCTTGGTGGACGAAGATAACTAGATACGACAAGGAGTTTCTTGTTCAGGTTACCAGCATAGTCACCGTCGTCTTTCGTAACCTCGAATCACGCTCCTTGGCCGCGGACCTCAGTCCTCTCGTCTTCCGAGACCTTCCGTCAATCTTGACGCAGCACTGGGTTGACTATCGGACCGCGAAGCAGAAACTCAACACTTCGTATTCACTCGCTGGTTCTTCTTCCTTTCACGCACTATTTCACGCTCAGCAGCAACATATCGGGGTTTCGGCAGATGGGCAGTTTGATGAAGTATATGTGCGGACAGCCATCGATGCTGTCTTGAAGGCTTGTCTGCCTCCCGAGGATTGGGAAGCTGAACCGGAGCGATATATTGTCAGAGAGATTGTGGTCAAGATCGTGTCGAAGGACGTTGCTGGTAGGCTTACGCAACCATGGTTCATACACAAGATTATACTGGATCTACTTGGGCCGCCCCCAGCCAAGTTTGTAGAGGTGAGTCACTCAATAACTTCGTCAGCATTGCCTCCGTCCTCGCTACCTCCTCTCGTTTGCATGCGTCTAAATATATCCCTTTCCAGTCGACGAAGTCCGCATACGTATCTATATATATACGGGACGCATATGTATGCTCCTGGGCTATGCCTAGCTACTCTCAAATCAATACCGATGCTTGCTTGCTCCCTATCCTCTTTTGCGTGAACCTTTCGCTTGAAGTCATGCTGACACCTTTTTAGCCTCCAGACCCTCATCAACCACATCCCGGCTCATCAACCTCCTTCCATTTACCCTCCTTCCACACGATCATCGTTTTCTTCCTCTCCGCTATACAAACCATCTCGAGCATCGCTCTCACCCTGATTCACTCCTACAAACGAGCGGTCCATGGCATTCAAATGGTCAACCAGCACCACAACTTCCGACATCAAGGTTCAAAACCCTCTTCTGTCCCATCACCTTCAACTGTTCCGTCACCAGTGGATCGGACGCCATCCACTGTCAAGATTGACGAGAAAGCTACCCCTGTCACCCAGACCCAATCGTTCATCTCAGATCACAGCCCTTTGTTACACGGTGTCGAGAATCCGGTCATTCATGCAATTGACCTCACCGACAACGGTCTGTCAACGTCGAGACCTCCTGTGCCTCCCGTACAGCCCCCGCCGCCGCCACCACCACCATCACCTCCGCCACCACCTCATTACCCTCTCCCGGCAGCTCTAACACGGCTACGCCCAGCACCGACAGACTTAGGGCGAGCTCCCGTCGCGTTGTTCGTGGAACTCTTGACGTTGCGAAGGCGGTATGCGGGGAGCGCAATGGCTTCACTGCTCGAAATGCTGCAGGCCGGATTTACTCGATTCTTGGACAGGTTCATATCTTCTTTCCCTTCCTTCTCAGAGAATCCGTGCTGACGGATGGCCCAGATTATTGCCTTATGTGCTCTACGAGCACGTTCTCTCACCTGAACGTCTCACGTCCATAATCATTGTCGCCAAACGGACACTCTTCCCTAATGGATACCCAGCTGCTGCTCCACCTGATCCAACACAAGAGGAGCAAGTTGCGATGAAGGAGGCAGTAGTGGAAAGGACTGTGGGGATTGTTCCTCGTGCGTTACCTTCCTTCTCCGCCTGCCTTCACTTTTTCGCTGCCGTAGATACTGGTATCCTGACACTTCGCATTCGGTTCGTCGGGGTCGTCCTGGCACATCCAGCCTTTGTTTCATCCGTCCTGCTTGGCGCCACTCCAAACGAGCAAAAGCGGACCATAGAGGAGATGATCGATCCACTGAGCGACCAGGCCTGCAATGCGCATTTGTTAATATGCATTCTCGATGCCTTTTTGTTAGCCTTGCTTCCTGAACTGGGTGGAGAAGAGGAGGTTTCGGCTGTTAATACGAGTGCTCGGAGCAGTAGTCCAAGTGATGGAAGTGGCGGTGGGAAGTCAGGTAACGGAGATGGGATAGGATCAAGTGCAGGATTTGGGCTGGGTGTTGGGGAGGTGCGAAGTATGGAGGGAGGGAGTGAGGGTGAGGATGGAAGAAGCGCGAGTACTAGAGGTGGAGGCGAGAGCGGTACGGGTGCAGGTGGAGGAAGGCGAGGATCTGGGCTGGAGAGTATGTTCTCGGTTTGAGTCAGCGGCCTCTGGATTATCAGTATGTGAATTACACGTTTTCGGTCATTTCGTGTATGTCGCCGATTTGTGTCACCAGGTTATAATACTATGCTGGTTTGACGATCGGAGTAATGTTTATTAATCCCTGCGTCTGGCATTCACTGTGAGTACTTACCTCTGTCATCACCGTATTAGGCCCCGAACTGCTGGCTTGGTAAGGAAATATTTTGAATGGTTGATGTGCTCCGAAGTGTTGCTTCGCAAAACGTATACTTACTGGCCTGGAAGGCCAAAGGCCTGCACTATTTGCTTTTCTGCCGGGCATTCTATTGGCGTCCTTGATGGCCCAGTAGCACTAAGTCTCTAGTGACCATCCGAAGACGTTCTCTGATTCGTCTCGGGCTTCTGGCGCTCACACACGGACTCTTCGTCTCGAAGGTGATTGGGTTAGCCACCGGACAACCTCAGACTCACAGGACATGCATTCCGTGCGAGACCGAGCAAGCCCGAACGACATCACTCAACCACGCAGCGCTCTCCGCCTTTCAAGGCGATATGTCAGCCACCATTTGATTGGCTCAATTTCTGAGAGTACATCGGGGATGTGCGACCACTTCTGAGCCCTTGTGAAGTTGTTCATCCTCTGCTAACCGGTGTAATATCTGCATCGAAAGCCTTCACAGTGGTCTCCGTCTTGCCGAGACAGGGGTAGAAGGAACAAAGAAGGACGGAACAAAGAGATTGCAAATTCACATCGATTGGAAGGAATACTCCGTGGCGCCGAACGCGTGGCCTGGGAGTTACATCATGGCTATTTATGAACTCTAGTTGACGCCCTGCAGCCAGTGCTTATTCACGAACCCCCTCATCTGCTTTCGCCCGCCCACGAACCTGCCACAGCAAAATGAACAGAATACAACCACAAGACTTTAGTACAAGGGATTATATCCCGATTTCTGATCATGGATTGTTCGTGTCTCTCTCAATCTGTGCGATGTCCAAGTGAGCGCAAAGTGGGCGGCTCGTTGACACTGAGAGATTTCGTTCTTTGGCAGGATCGGGAACTTGAGGACGGCTGCGCTCGTGCGTTTATCGTCTTACATCGCTGCTCTTGAGTTATAGGTCTGACTATTGGAAACCTTCTGCATGTAGGTCAGCGTCGATGGCTCCAGTGAGTCTGGACGCATATTGAATCACGTTCATCTCCGTTAACCCCTGTCCCCACTAGTCGAAAGTTATGTATGTTCTTTCAGGACCTATCTGCTATCGCAGGAGTCCTCTAACCTGCAGAGTGTCTAAAGTGTGTTCCTGCATTCGACTCGCCATCGGTCTTCGCGCGCATCCTTGACAAAGATAAGGTAAGCGTACATGTCCTCAAATCGACCGGTATTGCATAACTCATTCTGTGCTACAATTCAGGGTGGTCACTTCTCTATCACGCCGACCGTGGCCGTGACCACGAAGCAGAATTACCTTCCTAGCTCTAACGTGAGTCATAAATCCTACCGAATGCGAACCCTGTCCTCATAGGTCCACCAGATTCTTCAAACAAAGTACAAAGTCCCGCCAAGCACTATTTCCTCTCAGAGTCTGATGTTTTGGTGGCAGATTCTTGAATGATGAAGGCGTCATCAGTGTTACGGACTTCTTGCCCCGGAACCCGCATCACGTCGCACATAAGCCACTTCTTGACTGGTTGATTCGGCGCGTCGAGGTATGTATACCCTGTCCTCTCGATAACATTCCATCTCGCCTCAAATCTCTGCAGGTTATCCGCGGCCGCATGCCTATACGTGTTGAATGTGCCCCTGCCTTCAACTATGCGCGTGACTCCCATGAAACCTCCATCGTCAAGGACACCTCCATCAGCGTCAAGCCCGGCGTCACTGCACAGTGCAAAGCGCTCTTCGAGTCTCAGAACCTTACCCTTGACCTGCGCTACATCGCCGAATCGGAAATAGAAGGGGTAGGCGTACCTGAGATTGAGCTGAAGGAGCTCGATCTAAGTGCGAGGGGTCATAAGGGAAAGGCCGTGTGCGTGGACATGGATTTGACGGAGGGCCAGGTGGTAACGTTTGTACTGAGGACGCCACCGCCACCGAATGGGCACGAGGATAAGTTCCATCCCACTGAAGAGAGGGCGAACGCGCTTGGCGTTCCCTTGGAAAGTATGAATCCTTGTTGCAGGTCGAATCTTCAGAGAAAGAAAGTCGGCTGATCGAAATGCAAAATTATCGACTATAGAACTCGTCATCGGAGCTTCCACGCTTCGTGAAAGATCTGACCCTATGCTTACCAAGGTCAGCGCTACAACACTCCGCCTCACAATTCATTTACTCACAAGCATGTATACGTAGGAACTTTTGCGCGATCTGCTCAGAGGTACAAACTCCTATTGGAACTCTTGGATTAGGCATGTCTTTCATTTGCTCAGCCACGAACATACTCTCATCCAATATCGGTTGCTACAGGAGGTCAACCTACCACGGAGACTGGAAAGAGTCTGTTCATCGCAGTGCGCTCGCGCTAAAACTCCTTATTTACGAGCCTACAGGTACGCACTTAAGTTATTCAACGACACCAGAGCACTTCTATAACAATATGTTTCTTCTTACCTTGTCTCCTTCAGGCGCTGTGGTAGCCAGTCCGACATTCAGTCTGCCTGAATTCATCGGAGGGACGAGGAATTGGTATGACTTCCTATCATTCATTGCCGATTATTTCCCTGGCTTAATCACGGATTTTCTGCTTTGTAGGGACTATCGGTTCGTCTTTTACATCATGATAATCTTCGAAATAACTGAAATGATGTGTGCATCAGTGCATCTTGGATCCGTGATTCTTCGTTTATTCTCTACGCCCTCCTTCGACTTGGATTCACCTCAGAGGCTACTGGTACGACATTGAGCTATTTAATACATCATCATAAACACCTCACATAGCTTGATGGTCCTGGCCTTCACGGTACAGCGTATATGGAGTTTATTTTTGACAGGTTGAAGGACAAGAATCCGGATGGATCGATTCAGATTATGTATACCATCCATGGCATGTCCCATCCTCTCCCCCCCTTCTCTGGTAACCATTCTCAACATCTCGACACATCTTCGTGCCTTTGTTGCAGGTGGCAAAATCTTCCCAGAGGAAGAGCTCACGCATCTCGATGGGCACAAGGGTTCCAAACCTGTTCGGTGCGAGTGTCTCTGTTTCTCCTCGACGTAAGGTATGGTCACTAAGACTGTTTGTTTGGCTCGGTGTCTAGGATTGGGAATGGCGCGATTGACCATATCCAGCTCGTAAGTGTTGTAGAACTTGTACATAGTGAGCGAATCGAGGACTAATAGACGTTTACGTCGTATAGGATATCTATGGCGAACTGTGAGGTACGAGGCTTTCTTCATATGATATCGTGTTCTAACACGTACTAATTCACGTGAAGTCAGGAATAGCGCTCTATATTAATGATTATAGATCTGAAATGCCGTTCATTCAGCATGGACTGTATTTACCTCGGCCAAAAGGTAGGATGCTCATGTTGCTGATTGCGTTCTTATTCGTGCTCAATCTACTCACACAATCCTGCTAGTTCGGTCGTCCTCTTGTAAGTGGTGCTTACATCACATCATGGCTGAATAGAATTCTGACGCGCAATGTGCATAGGGATACGATACATGGTTCGTTCATCACCTTTTGTACCTTAGTTCTTCGCTTATCCTTACATCGGGACCAGGTTGGCTGTGCGAGACCTGTGAGTTGTAACTGGCTTCTTTGCTAATTTCTGTATTAACACGTCTTTCGTTATCAGAGTGGACTGTACGCGCGACCACATCTCCTACATTCATGTATGAATCCTGACAGTTTCTCCTGCAGTCGTCTGCGCACACTGCCACGACCCGGACTTGTGCGTGTTATGTCCCCAAGATGTTACGCAAATTGTACTCATGCTCCGGTTTACTGACAGGTCGATATGGTCAGTTCGACGCTTGAAACATCAAGACGCCATTTCATCCCTTACGCGCACAAACGATTTTAATTCTTTGGTATCTCACTCTCATAGGGAGGTCCGAAACAAGCATAGACACTTCACGGTGCGTCCCATCCTGCCTTGGAGCTACCTTCCCATAAGAGGAGTGCTGACAGCTCTTGTACTGCAGTATTCTAAGGTATGGTTTCATTGAATGTGGTCACGCTGGGAGGAAAGAGACCGAGGGATTACTTACCCCATTCCCTGTCTGAAGGTTATGATGTGGTACGTTTACCCCTCGAAGAGACCGGTATATTATGCACCCGTCATCGCTAATGTTCCATACGCCTTCCCTCTCCGCATCTATCTTCCCAACTGCCAGGGTGGCATTGGACCGAGGTTCGTCCTTTCCGACCCGAGTTGTACCAATTTACTTATGCAAAGACTGACGTTATAACACTTCTTCGCCGCTTTCTATCCAACAAATACCACAATTTCCGTCAAATGTGCATGTTACACAGGCCTTCGTCTCGCAGATAAGCGGTCCTTCCCTTGCCCGAACCGGAACAAATGGCTCGCAACGAGGGACAGCTTATATGAGGAGATCATGGACAAGGCATGGAACAGAAAGGAGCAGTACTTCGGACAAAGCTATGAAGAAACACATGTGTTGGACTCTGCGGTATTAGTCATGCCTTTGGTTTTCTTCATGAATGCGGTACGTTTATGTTTGTATCGCGTTAGATGAAAGGAAGATACGTAGGCTGACGGTGATACGTGGGCGGATGATAGTCAGACCCGCGGTTCTTAAGTACATTGAAGGCTATATTGAAGACACCCGAGAGAGGAGGATTGACGGCGAATGTGAGTATACGGTCCCTCAACTTCTTGGTGATATCTATGATATATATTGGCTGGTCATCAGAACCTTGTCTATCGTTACAACACCCAGGAGTCGGATGACGGTGTCGGAGGGGAAGAAGGGACGTTCTGTCTCTGTACACTCTGGTGAGGTTTCGTTGATACTCAAGATGCCTTCCATTCACAGTACTGAAGAGACAATATAGGTGTGTCGAGGCGTTGACAAGGGCGGGAGAGTACGATCCGTCAATGTTGGCGAGGTCGGTGAGCATGTTCGAGGTGAGTTCATGGTTTACGGTGTTTTTGATGAACCTCTGTGAGCTCAATGACTGTCTGATTGAATGCAATTGGTTCTTCAGGACTTCCTGATGTATACGAACCACTTGAAGTAAACCTACTCGCTCCCTTTGGGGATACACAAGACTAACATTATTAATTATAGACTATGCACGGAGGAGATCTCGCCATCGGGTGATGGGTAAGTGCTCTTAATGCCTATGAAGTCCAGGTGCTCACGACATGTTTGCCGCCTGCTTGTGGCGACGCGCAGCCTCGGAAACGCGGTCCAAGGATTCACTCATGTCACGCTCATCTCTGCTGCGTTTAACCTCTCGAGGACTATGTCGAAGCGACACCATGCATAAGGCCCGCTCAAAGGATGGCGTACAGATGCTGTAGTCGATGGATAGCCTCCCGCTGAGAGGGCCTAGAAGACATGTGGAACGGCGGCGATACTAAGAGTGAAGCGATAAGCAACTAATGTTCCCTGGTTGACGAAAACGAGTGGTAGATGCACAGTATGGCTTGTACAACAATAAAAGTGTACAGATAGAATTTGAGGATGTTATCGTGCATTGTACGCTATGTGTCTCGGGGGAGTTCATTCGGGAGGCTGCCAAACCATCGGTAGCAAAGCCCTTTCATTTCTTTCACAGACCAGAACCTCTTCCATGTGAGGCTGCTAAATTCCTGAGACAGATTTAATGTAAGCTCAAATGTGTTGTTGAGACCAGAAAGCATTGGACGAAATAGGATGTCATGGAGGAAACCAAGAGATGCCTCGCTCTGTTTAGTGTGGCGTGGACCGCGGTGGCACCTTCAAGTTGCAACGGTCCGGATTATGCCGATTTTGAAATTTGACCATGCTTCAGTTGAGCAACCGTACCGTTGAAACTCAGCTTCAAGTTGTTCGTTCACCTGGGTCTGACGTCGCCGCTGCGTCAACTTGTTGCAAGGCCATTGGAACAAGCTTGATCATAAAAGCACAGCCGGACCTCCAGACAACTCGAAATGTTGTAACTTCTGTCTTCTACTCCCATATGCTCTCGAGTATTCAAGTTTTGCGACCACATCATGGCCTACAACAGGCAGCGCTTGGTCAATAACCCAACCACCCTCCTAGCGTGGTCGAGACAGCCTTCTTGGACTACAATCGTACCCAGGCTTGCCTTCACCGGTGCTAGCATAAGAGGCAAGGCCACTTCCACTAAACTGGAGGCACATTCGGTGCGTCTAGAAACTTTCCGATAGTTCACTACACCCCCGTTCCAGAAAAAGATCCTGTGAAGTCTTGACACTGAATCTTCTCTGGAGAGCCACGGTCAACATCCACGAAGGGCAAAAGACTCAACGATACTTCAGCGTCTCCCTGAGCAAACCTGTCGACGCGCGTCATCGATGATGGTGGCCCCACTGGCACATCAAAGATGGGGTTTCCTTATAAGCCCCCAGCCACAGTTCGAAGCGAACAGCAAGGTGCGTTCTTTCCTTTCTCTTTCCCCCTCTCCTTCTCACTTGTGCAACTTGACGATCTGGCACTGGTGCGTGTGCCCATCGTCTATCAACAGTCTTCGCTCAACAGGATCAGTAGTGCCAGCAGCCGGTATGTGGAGGAGTCTGCTGTTCAGGTGTGCTCATGGGCCCGGCGGCCAGCTGCAGAGTCCCACCTGTCTTGTCAGGTCCCGATGATAAATATGTCTTGTCGCTAAGTTCGTGCACCTGTATTCCCTCAACCTCTCTTGTTGTGAAGTAATTTCTCGGTATTCAACATCTCTGTTCATCCTCATGTATAAGTACATACAATATACATGTTTTGATCTACCAACTGCAATGATTGAGAGTCTCGTACCGAAAGGAAGAAAGAAAGCAAAAGTGAAAGTAAAACCAAAAGAAAAGAAAAACCCAAAAAAGGCCTAATCAGCGAGACTTGATTGACCCTTTTGCGCACATTCCGTGAACCTCATCGAAGTCTTCTGCGCATCTCCCTAGAGACTACTCTTCAAAAAGACCTGGTTGATTTGAGAAGTCACGCTCAAGGAAGACTTCATTGGCACTTCGTGGAGCTTACCCGAAGGATGTCCGGAGACACCCGCGTTGATGTTTAGGAAAGCTTCGCGCGGGTTGGTGGTGTAGACGTATCAAACACGAGCAATACCAGCTGAACCCGCAACGTCTTTTTCTCTGACTAGGATAAGCGACCCGGTGGCAGGCCCCCAAAGAGGCGTATCCACACCCTAGATTCATCCCGTCTCGAGCCATCCGACTTCCAAGACATCTCAAGCCAGAACTTCGTCCACTGGAGCCTTACAGTCGACGGCGAAAGTTCCGGATTGAGCCTCTCAACGTTCTATGCTCGTTGTGCAATACAACGAGTGAAGAGAGGGAACCATCCAAGTAAGGTTAAGAACCCAGTTGTTCCATTCCCTGAAGGCACACGTGGATTTTTGTATTACCTTCCTCCGGGCTCCGAGGGCCTCACAACAGACCGTGACGATACTGGCCGGAACTCAGACATCGAACTATCTCCGTTCGAGTCCATAAAACGTGACCCCGACGCCGTCGGTCGAGTCCTTTTCCGCATCACAGACAATAACGACCCCTCGAGCTTTGCTGCAGGGCGGGACCTTATGCAACCTGGAGGTATCACCCCATGGTACGCCGTTCCCCGCAAGAACAGCGCAGCCTGGCGCCTTCTTATTCGAGATGGGCTTCTCATAGACTCCAACAAACCATGGGGGACTCGCCGTCTGACGACTTCCACTATCTCGGCTCTCGAAGAACCGTTCTTGTTCGATCTCTCTAACACCGAGATCAACGTGTATGTGCGGAGTAAACGGGACGGAGGCTTCTACAAGCTCGCCTTCGGTAATCCGTTCTGTATCCACCAGAAATATCGCCCTCGTACACAGTTATATGAAGGCGAGTAAACTATACAAGCTTCGCCGGTTCTAAATAAAAGCTTACGTCTACCTACGATGTGGTCCTAATCTACGCAGGGATCTTACGCTGTCAATTCGAGCGTTCAGCCGCACCAAAGCACGCAGGTACCGACACTTTTGTCATACGGGTACTCGAAATATCGGCCCCCGTAAGACGCCTTCCGATCGAGTCCGACACCGCGAGCTTCAGCACCTATCACCTTCGAGTTCTTGAGACTCCGAGCAGACCAGAGGTTGGAGAACTGCTGCCTCTGACGAGGAAGGGCACTCTCTGGAGTCGTAGGGTATCGAGCGGCGAAAAGAAGGAGAGTAAGTGGAAGAAGGGATGGCACGTCCTTCTGGACAATGAAATGCTCAAGGCCACGAGTTCCCTGTCGGAGGCTTGAGGTGGTGCGGAGAAGAAGTAGTACCTCAGAGAGCATGCTCTAAATGCATGCTTAGTGCTGTAAACCGACTGGGCATCCTATACCAAGCAGAGTACTGGATTTTGGAAGGCGAGAGGATGGCATAAGTACACCCTTCGTTACCATAAGTAATCATACCCATGGAGACCAAGTCTAATCTCGTGATGTTGGTGGAAAGGACCCCGATAGTCCTTTGCCTGTGTATTGAGGCATGAAACCAGAAGCTTGAGTCGGGTTGACAGAAGAGAAATAATGCGCGCGACGCGTCTTCCACGTGGCGCGTAGGCTCTGCCGCCACCGACGCGTCCGCGGGTGACGTCAAGGTTGTCACTTCCCTTCCGCAAAGTCATCATCTTTATGGAGCCTCCGCAGAGTTAGAGTGGGGCCATTGCGCGCTGAAATCGGCGGGAAAATACCGTATTCTACTCCAATCTTAAGTACAGCCTAAAACCCTCCTTCTGTCCATCTATTACCTCTCATCGAAAACACCTCCATCTCGCTTTCACATCCATCCCTTTATCCTTCAAATCCAATAGTGTCCAGGAATATTGTAGACATGGCCGCCATCGCTGTCGCTCGCGCATACCAACACTCCTTTGATACGAGGCCGAATGCTACGCTTGCAGTCGCCGGAGGCGCGCTCACAGCGCTTGGAGACGTCGTCGCCCAGGTCACGCAAAATATCGTACGTTTTCTTCCCCTCTCTACTGACTTCGTTGCTAACCTGGAAATGTCGCTTCCCGGTTGTCCTCGTGCAGCGTGCGAGGCGGGAGTTACACCACACAAGACCACAGTACGACGCAAAACGGACGTTACGCTTCTTTATCTTTGGGGCTGCGATGAGTGCGCTACTTTACCCGTGCTTTGTCTTCTCTTCACTGTCTGGATAGTACAGTACTAAGGTGCCAATTTTTGTTACTTGTTACCTTGTTATCCCAGGTCCATTTATTGGCCGCTGGAACAAGTTTCTGGAATGGAGATTCCCTCTGCGGTCGGAAGGCGGGAAGATTAGCATGAGCTCACTGACGAAGCGGGTGGCCGCAGACCAGATCATTATGTGCGTCTGCTTACATCCTTGCCCCTACAAGCGCCTGCTGACGTGGTCACATCTTTCTTGAATGTAGGGCGCCCATAGGCGTAAGTCTTGAAGTCGCTGTTGTCTACTCCAAGTCTCGGCTGACGCACCTCGTCTGTTTTTCAGCTCACAATGTTCCTCGGCGGTATGGGGATCATGGAGGGTCGCGACCTCAACCATATCAAGGGGAAGTTCCGTGACCTGTACAAAGAGGCCATTATCGCCAACTGGAAGGTCTGGCCTGCGGTGCAGATCATCAACTTCAGATCCATGCCCCTGCCATATAGAGTACCCTTTCAGCAGAGTTGCGGTGTGTTTTGGACACTGTATCTGTCGTTGCTGAACTCGAGGTATGGTTTCTTTGGATGTTCGCATCTCGTGGACAACGGGCTAACTTTGAGCATGACGTATACAGTGAAGAGTGCAAACAGGAACTGGAGGATAACCTTCGCCGTACTTTGGATTGAGGTGACGCTTCCGGTAGACGCTGGCAGTAGACTTGGGCTCTGGATTTTTCATTGCACTACTTATTCATACTTGCATGGATCCTACCTCTTGTCATCTTCATCCGCGGAAGGAAGGAGTGTTATAGAGGAAGAGGATGATATATTGTAATGTATCTTTAGTTATCTTAATCGGTTGTACGAGGATAGGGACTAATAGTTTCATCCGGAGGGGCAGGTTAGGGGTAGATGCTCGACTTGCTTTACTCGGTTTGTATTAGAATGCAATACCATTTTGGTTGTCCCTCTTGTCCAGGACCTCGGCGCAGGCAAAGTGCAACAGTGGTCCAACCCGGGACCGTTTTTATCACTTTTGCTTCCGTACCGAATACCAAGCTGAAGCTTTGATCCCGAATGTCGCTCTCTATTCGGACATCAACGAATGAAGCTTTGATCCTTCACTTGTACACTATCTATCAGGGTAACCTCTTGGATTAACCAATGTGCCGTCATACCTGAAACATTCTGAATCAACTGAGATTTTTTTTGCACTCTCAGGCCAAGGTCTCAGACTAGCAGTCATGGTCCCAATAGCAGCATAGCAGTCACCCCAATGCCACCATGAACCCCACTCCCTCATACTCTTCTCCCTCACCGCGTCAGATTATACGCTACACAACTCTATTCACTGTTGTCCGGTCCATTCTACCTAATCCGACCAAATGATCATCCCATCTCTCTCGCTCTCGCTCTCTGCCTCTATATCGTTCTCCGCTCTCGCTCTAAGTGCCAGCGCCGCTCCCTCTCCCCTCCACCCCAACCATAATGCGAGCACCAACGATATTTCGAGTTTAGGTGGTGGTATCAACTCCAGTAACAGTTCGACGGCACTACACTTCAAGCAGTCTTCTCCGGTGCGGTTGGGTTCCACACATGCTAGCCGTGGTTACGATGGCGGGAGGGCAGAGGGACAATTCGTTGCTTCATTGAGGAGGAGGTCATTCAGACAGGGACCGCCTGTGCAGGACGGAGAGGCTATCGGCATTTTCGATGCGACCTTTCCTGTATGTGCTTTTCTTAACGCCCACGCAATCGGTGTGGCGCGCCACTCTCATATCGCTTCATCATTCAACGTGGGCTGATTATCCATTCATTTTTTTCCATGTCTTGTGTGGACAAATAGAAACTAGAGCTACGCGGTCTCCAAGCCAAATATGAGCAAGCGGCAGAATTCCTCCAAGGCATTGGTATCAACCCGCCGAACCAGGACCTCGCCTCCGCTGCTGAGAACTATATGCCCGCATCAAATGTGACCAGTGGCCCGGATACCTCGACAGTTCTGGAAGGCTTGGAATACCCGGAGGTCCTGCCCAAGAGACAGACTGATCCCGACACACCGCCGGAATATCTCGATCCCAGTTCAGAGGGTGCGGATACCTCCCCCAACGAGCCGACACAAGGTCAGACTCAGCCTCAAGATTCAGAGGGCAGCGGATGGGAAGACAGACAGTCCACCGCGTCAAGCTCTGGCGAAGGAGTTGGGGTATCGGAGCTGAGCGATGGCAATGGTGATGGAGGTGCATCGGAGCTGAACGATGACAATGGTGATGGGGCACCGGTGACGGGTCCATTCTTACCTTCCGTGAGCGCGCAACCTGGCACGGCCAGGCAACCATTGAGAGATGATGTCTCGGGGACTTTGGACTTGTTGTATTATGGCCCGATCAATCTCGGGACGCCGGCGCAGGTATGTGACCCAACTCTATACTTGCCCGCACATTATATTGACCGTTGTTGATATGCTGTGCGGTAGACCTTAACTGTGGACGTCGATACAGGCTCTGCGGATCTTTGGGTGCCCGTGAATTGTCAGGATTGCGGCGGGCATAAGCAGTTTGCTACGTCCAGGAGTTCGACGTATGAGAATAACAACGAAGGGTTCTCGATAACCTATGTAGGTCTTCACATTCGTCTCTGATCCTTATAAACCTGCTCACTAACTTCTAAACCTATATAGGGATCCGGCCAAGCCTCCGGTACACTCGCCACCGACGTCGTCTCCATCGGCGGCCTCACTGTCCAAAAACAAGCCTTCGGTGCAGTCAACCAAGAATCCGAAGACTTCCACTCCTCGCCGAACGACGGGCTTATCGGTATGGCCTTCGGCTCGATCGCCAGCAGCGGCAAACCGACGTTCTTTGAGAACTTGATGATGGAGAGGCAACTCGCTGCGCCGATATTCTCGATACATTTGACGAGGAATCAGGTGCAAGGGAGCGAGGTCTGTTTCGGATGCATGGATGAGAGTAAGTTTAGCGGGCCAACGAGGTGGATTCCTGTGAAATCGAAGGTGAGTTTTCTGTGGTTTACAACACGGGCATCAAGCGTGGCAGCTGATTCACTACCTTCTAGACGTATTGGTCTGTAGGGATGGATGCTATCGTGGTGAACGACAAGGCTGCCATGACCAACATATACGCTGTTCGTCTCTTCCCTACTCTCTTTATTCATGTAACTCCATCTCATATATATCCTTTTCACACAGGCCATTGACACCGGCACGACCCTGATCTATCTCCCGGACCGTCTCGCGGCCTCATTCTACAAATTAATCCCCGGTTCAAAATCAGCGCCACAGTTTGGCTCAGGGTTCTATACCTTCCCTTGCTCCTCCCGCCCCAATGTCGAGCTCTCCTTCAACGGCCAACGCTTCTCTATCAATCTCTATGACTTTAATCTGGGGAGGACCCGTTCGGGGTCGCAGGATTGTGTGGGTGGAATATTGGGTACTGGAGATGGGTTCCCGCAGAATTTGGCGATTGTGGGGGACGAGTTTTTGAAGAGCTGTGAGTAATTCATCTTGCTTATCGGTAGGGGTGCATCTGCTGACTTGAATGTGGATAATTTTAGGGTATTCTACGTATGATTACTCAAAGGGAGCGAGGGTCGGTTTCTCACCGAGCATCAACAACCAGCAATGACCGATATCCACATCTGCGAATTTATAATGATTTACTGTCATCTATGCTCTCCTATAATCACTGGATACATTGTACTGTCTTGTGATACTATTGGTACTCGTGACTATACTATAATACCCCGAGATCCTTCGTGCCCCACATCCAATCCTGTAACCTGACTGAAGGACGGGTAAGACCATCGTGTATGCCACAGTTGCGCCACACGACCCACAGGCAGCGATGTTCTCACGGTACTGCACTAATCCGCCGTCGAGTCGACAAAGTGTTCTAGCTCTGTTCGTAACCTTTCTGAGTCCTAGGCTGCAAATCAACTAGACACCAACATGACTCCCAACCCTCGAGCTCAGTGTAACTTGAAGATATCGGAAGAGCTCCAGAGCTGATAATTAATCAGGATTTCTTGCCGTTTTTCCCTGCTATCGCTGTAAGTTACCTGGACCTCTTAGAACATCGTCACGAGTTGACTCTGGATCTCCAGGTGCTCTCCTGGTTTCCACTCATGATGTCGATTAGAAGGACATGCTGACTGTCAATAGAACCATCCACGGCTCTGGGTGGGACCCTGGGATGCACAATGAATAGAGTTACGGCCAAAGCATTTAAGAGTTCGTATATCACACCCACGTACACTATATATATACTCAGTCGAACGTCTAGCACCGCCCAATCCTTTCTTGATTGCGTTCGACACTATCCACTGTGAAGATTATATCTCCATGGCATACGTCCTTCTCAAGAACGGTCTCGTCCTCACCTTCAAGAACGGCGATCCCAACGCACATGAACTCCAGGCAGATGTGCTGATCAAGGGCGACACCATCATTGATGTGAAGCAAGGGTTGGAGCTGCCTTCTGGAAGTGACGGAGAGGTGGTCGATTGTACGGGGAAATGGATTACACCTGGGCAGATCGACACCCACAGGTACGAAAACATTTACTTCGACGAGTGCTGGGCTCGCTGACATTGTGGCCTATCACTCTTTCGTTGCTGTACCAGGCATGTGTGGATGAGCGTTATGCGTGGCCAACAGGCCGATTGGACACTTGTCGAATAGTGAGTCTTTTTGTAACCCTTCTCAAGTCAGCCGTCTATTTATCGCCTCTTCCTGGTTGCTGACGAATATATCAGCTTAATGAAGATGACCTATGCCCAATCGCCCTACGTCACGGCCTCTGAGGCACATATTGGCACACTCGCAGGATGCCTCGAAGCTATCTCCAACGGTATCACCACCGTCGTCGACCACGCTCACGTCATCAACACACCCGCCCATGCGCCTACCATGATCGACGCGCATAAACAATCCGGGATTCGATCCAGGTTCTGTTACGGTCGAGCAACTCCCATCCCTGCCAACTTTGCCTTCACCAAGGAGCGCGAGGAGGAATTCAGGACCTGGCAGTTGAAACAACTTACCGAATTAGCCTTGGAAGGGGAGAAGAACGGCTTCGGAATGGGTATGCTGTCCGACCGTGTTGGTTTGGGCTTGGGATATGATGCACTTAGGGGTTCGAGGCCTCATGAAGACAATATCGAGGCGCATAGGGAGGTTCTCGCTTTGGCCAGGAAATATAGGCTTTCGCCCATCACAGCTCACTTCGTCGAAAGTCCTTCTGGTGGATACGTGCAAGCTGCCAAGATATTCTCCGATGTCGGTGTTCTGGAGAGTGATGTATTATTTTCTCACTGCACTGGGATTTCGGATGAGGAGTGGGAGCTGATGAAGAGTTCGGGAGCGTCTGTGGCCTCTACGCCGGAGGACGAGCTGGGAATGGGGCATGGGAACCCTGTTGCTTATGAGGCGGTCAAGAGAGGTGTAAGAGTAGGCCTCGGGTGTGACTGCGTTTCTATCCAGAGGTAAGTGTTCATACTTACTCATGTCGGTCACTCTGAATTGGTGTCACCCGTCTTTGTTTTGGACACCAGCGCCGACTTGTTTACTCAAATGCGCGTAGCTCTACAATGGCAGCGCGGACAAGACCATGCAATTCTCGCACATTCACGAAAGCCTCCTCTTCGCAACAATCTCACGTCCGCTTCCGCATTTCGACTCGCCACACTCGGTGGCGCCGAAGCTATTCACCAAGAAGACAAGCTTGGCACCATCGAGCCTGGCAAACTGGCCGACATCGTGATCATCAATGCGGAGAACTCCATGAACTTAGTGGGTGCCGTTAATCCTATCCAAGGATATGTGTTTTGGGCGAAAGGGGAGGACGTGGAGAGTGTGTTAGTGAACGGCGAGTGGGTGAAGCGCGATGGAAGGTTGACGAAAGTCCCTTGGGAAGATGTGGTTGGGCGGTTGAAGGAGGCGATGAAAAGTGTCGACAGCAGGAGGAAGAAGGGCGAGGAGGGAGAGGAGGCCTATAACCAGGCGTTGCATGCATCCGGATGCGTGACACAGTAAACTGTGACGCCATCTTGTCTCGATCAGTGTAGGTGAAATGCTGACTTTTTGATCGCCTGGCATATAGATCTTGCTATCATTGGGACATTCAACCCTTCTGTGGTTTGAGTATTCATACCTATCTCTGTGTCGAAGCCTATTATAAATGGGTTGCGTGGCTTGGTATCCCTTTGGACGACGCAGTCCAGAGATAATGGAATAATAGTGTGCCTATGTCATACGAACAGTCTTACGGATTGTGAATTTAAGCTCGGAATCTCGGGTCCTGGTAATGTTGACTCTGTGAGATACGCTATACCTGTTGAACCTTGATAGTGTTTTTAGGGAGTTGTTCGCACCAATTTATATCGACGGTGACATCTTGGCGCTCGGAGTTCCCGGTTTGTCTGAGCTGATTGCTGAACCTTTCTGAGCGAGCTACCATCTTCTATAAATGGCCACTCACCCTCATTTCGCTCCATTTATCTGTGTTATGTATGCGGGCCCGCTCTCAGATGTCCTCGATAAGCTGTGAGAGGCCGAACTTACAGCGATTCTAAGGTTCTTTCTAGCCGTGCATGTACTGTTTGCGCGTCTCCTATCTTCTGACGGCTCTTACACGAATGGACGCACCTGCATCGTATCTTGTGCGCCGTATTTGCATTGTTAGGCGCCATGTTCGGCACATGGAGTATATAAGTGAAGATTCCTTTGGTCATACCTCAGAATATGTTCCCTTCCCACTCGCGCCACATGTCGGTATACAGAGACTTGCCTTTCGTATTGGAGGAGGGAAGCGTCCCTCCCACCCACCGCGGTGATCCCTGGTTCCGGGATGGAACGGTAAGCTATGTTTCTATCGCCCCGTCGTATTTTGTCGCTCATGAGAGTATCACACAGGTCATCTTGATAGCTGGGTGCATCGCTTTCAAAGTGTACAAGGGGCTACTCTCGCGTGATTCGCAAGTGTTTGCTACCCTTCTAAACGAGACACCACTTGATCGTCTCGTCAGAACACGGATAGAAGGATGCGAGCTGATTCGGATGGACGAGCCTGTATCGAAGCTCCGTCCAGTCTTGCAGTGGATACATGGAGGAACCGGAAAGTATGACCCTAGTCATTTCATTCCAACTTTATAATTTATTGATCACTCTCTTGTTGCCGACAACCAGACATTTTCCACCGTTCGACGACTTCAAGGCCTTGACATTCATGTTCACGTTGGCGGACTTCTATCAGCTTCACAACTTGCCTCGTGCCCTCATCCAACCTTTATTGAAACATTATCTTGACCGTCACCGCCTATACGAACGCTGGGATGGCCTGCATTCGATCCCGAAGCCTATCAATCCCATCCATGCTCTCAACTTCGCACGTACTTACGAAGTACGAATGCTCTCGCTCGTTCCCATCATACTGGTCGATCTCACCGTGTTCGTCTCTGAAGCGGAGCTTCTCGGTGCGAGGGAGCCACGACGCTCGTCTCCTTACGCTCCAGGTCTCAACCAATCACAGGACAGAGACCTCTGCCCCGAGCTTTGGGATCATCACAAAGCTCTGGCTAGAGCCGTCGGTCGCATCATGACAAGGTTCGATGCTGGGCGTGTGTTTAGCCGTCGAGTGCGGTGCTGCTCGTTCAAGAAGTTATACGAACACCTAGTGGAGAAATTGGAGAAGAGAGCAGGTGGTACCGGCGGTGCTAACGAGTGGCTAACAGAGTCCCACGGACGATATGGGTTGGAGTTGATCTTGGAGGCGCGAACAAATTCGGAGAGGGCCTCATATTGCGATGCGTGTTTGAACGAGTTGGATGGGGAAGTGATGGCCGAATATGAGTCGTGGTGGGAGAAGATTCCGAAGATAATGGGGTTGGAAGGGGGCTGGAAAGATGAGGCATTGAGGGATTTACAGTATGGTGACGAAGACGTGGTATGGAACCTAAAGTGACGGTCGGAACAGCATGTCTTATTTGTGAGGCTATCCATTCGTTGTTCTTCGTTTTAACCATCTAATTGCTTAAACTTAGCCAGCAACCACAGATCCTTGCGATGAGAGAGTATCCAGACTGTAGCTCTGGTAGCGGTTGGCTTATAATAGGTATATGCCAGAAATGGAGGACGATAATGATTGTAGGAGGGTGGTGTCATTCTCGGAATGCTCTTGTATACGCAAACATACTCGACGACGCTGGTGAACACGTGAAGGCTGATGAGTACGTGTAGTTCCTGACCTTCAAGTGACGATCAGGCTATAGAGCACTCCCATGTGTACGTTATTAGAGAGGTCAATCGCAAGTCAAAGCCAAGGATCATTTTGTAGGCGTACGCAAATCGATATCAAGGTGAGTCATCATTGGAAAGTATTTACGCAGCGACTGGTGGGGATGAGAGGCACTAAGCCAGAGAGATACCAAGGCCTCTCATGATGTAGACAAGTAATCCGTGCACCGGCGGATGGGCGAGTAAGCATGTCGTGTGGCCCTGGTGCCACGTTGAAGGCATTTGACCGTACGACTCAGTATACTGGACGGCTCGTGTGGTGTCAGAATTGTGAGGCCTTACTGCACGCTGGCGTCTCGTTAAATATTTCAATCTACATCTTCTACGTGCACTTACAAGAATGTGGGCAACTTGAACTGTTCATAGGAAAGCACCAAAAGGAACACAACTCGGGCATATGAGAGTGGCGTAGCATGACGTTTGACCTCAAGACGCAGAAGGACATGTCCTAAACTGTAGACACCACACAATGCTGCACGCACTTACTCCCAATAGAAGGGTATGAGAACAAGTGCCATACTTGATTGTGTTCGAGTTTGGACCTATAGTGGTAAGTCGCTGATAAGTTATAAGGGTATACACCACTGCCTTCGAGACTCCAACTAGGCTTCAACGCCTCAATGCCTCGAAACCCTGAAGATGAAGAATGTCGGAGAAGGCTCACCGTCCGTCCGTCATGTCAAATACTCCTGTTCCCAAGGTTCACGGTCTCCTCAAGCCGTTCTAGACGTCGCTGCATCGTATAAAAGAGGCTCTGACCACCCTCGCGCACCATCAGACAACGAAATCTCTTTACCTCGACGATCCCAAACCCGACAAGCACCATCATGTTCTTCACACGAGCGTTTCTCGCCTTTGTGGTCGCAGCCTCTGCTGTTGCCACGCCCGTGGCACGTGCTGACGACGATAACACAACCTGCTACTTCCTCATGACACCTACACCAGACCTCGGGGCGGACGCGCTCCAGACATCCATCAACTTCGGTCAGCCGCTTCCGCTTTATACGCCCCTTTCGTCTACTGACACTTTACCATGAACCTTAGCTATCAGCAACACGCTCGGTGAAAATTACCCCGGCGAGGAGATCACAGTGAGTCCCAATGCATATCCCTCAGAGTTTTGAGCCTGACGTGGATCACGACAGGATGAGACCCAGCCTCTTGTACGCCACCTCGATGGGACGTACGACGTGGTATCACTCGTCGCCGTCGAAGGCGAGACACTGACGGATGTTGGCGCTGAGGTGAAAAGTTGGGAAGGCGAGACACTAGATGGGCTATATGCTCAGTGGTACGTGGGCGCGGCTACTTGCGTTGTAGGGGGCGCATATTGAATGTGATAACGCTGCGAGAATTATGGGATGTCGATGAAACGGATAGTACCGATGCTCTTGCCCGTGATAGCTGGATTAATATGACATTTTATTGTGCAACATCTGATCGCGAGAGACGATTGATAAGAGCACAATGATGCGAGAAAATAAGGAGAACGTACTGAATAATACACAACACGAGGTCCAGATGAAGCCTCTTTCGCATGATTTGTTGATACGGACGTCGGAAAAAAGACTGGATAATAACAAGATCTACTTGAAGTAAAATGAAAATTTTACGGAGACAGCTGGATGTCAACGGTAGACACATGCAAGACATTGCGAGGACACAGCACTCAAGGCTTTCGACTTAACCGAGCAAGCGGAAGTAAAATAAAAGGCCGGATTTGGGAACAAAAGGCCTCTTACGACGCGACGCGAGCCGACAAATTGGCACGCACAGAGCCAGTCTCCGGGATCAAACCCTTCAGTTGAGCCAAAGTTGAACAGGTGGTTGTTGATGAGTATCTCGAACTGGTCCCCCGAGAGTCGTGCTAATTCGCGTATGTGATGATAGTCTGAAATGTTACGCACGAGAAAGGAATATCGCTGATGCTCCTGTGACGAAGATGAACAATGGAAAGGGACGACGTGTCGTTGGAGGTCGGGGAGAGCTCGGACAGGAGGCATAAAATGGCTAGAGAAACTAGACTGTACTTTGGAGTGTCGAGCGTCTCAAACCGTGTTAGGCAATGTGGTGACGAGGACCTCACGGGGCGAAAGGAGGCGGACCTTGAGGATAACACGGCATCCTGCCAGTGGACCTAGCGGTGCAGTTCTGAGCCCCGCTCGATGGGCTGGATGCCACTCGATAGAAGGCGATGCAAGACCTAGACTAGCCCCGGGAGCCATCAAAAAGAGGTTTTGTTCTAGTTTGGAGAACGTCCGAGTCGTCTTCGTGGTGGTCGTCGTTCTTTCCAAGAATTGCAGTGTGTGGCGCGCCTTCTGTGCAAACCGCCACACCGGGCCGCACATGCTCGACCCACCGACCACCAAACTTTTAAATCCTTGTTGCAAGCCTTGCCACTGAAAGTTGCCGTACGCGTATCTGGGATCACAGCAGGCATCAACTCCTTTCGACCTGGCGGACCGGCGACGGACTGTTTGCGGCCAACGCAAATACAAGATAGGACCACTTTGTGGGGAAAATTGTAGATACATGATGTATCCGCGCGGTGCCCTCGATATTCCCCTCGAAGCGGAAAAAGCGGAAAATTTCAAATACCTTTGGAGGAAACAATCCAGCCACGACAAGGATGTTCTATGAGATTTCCGCTGCATTCAGTCAGGTTGGAACAAAGATGCAATGAGGTATGCGTGTGTCAATCCGCGTGGATCCGTGTGGCAGAAATTCCAAATATAGGGTACTCTTCCGCTTGCTTTCCGCCACCAACTTCAAGTTTCGGCGTGTTTCAGCACACTTTCCGCCATGCACTTCAAATTTCAGACCAACTTCCGCCAAATTTGGCGGAATGTGGTCCGGTATTTAAGATTTCTTCACCGGCCTCGGACGCAACCTCCTTATGGACTAATGTGAAATTCTGTAACACACCAGAAAGGACGCCACTGACTCTGTATATGCTGTATCGGACCTTTTCCAATCATTCCTTTTGTTTCCAGCATTAGAAATACCTTGGTGTGATCAGCTCACCCGAAGTCTCGAAATATCTGCGAAATTCGGCTTCACCGAGTTTGATCTAGAATTTGCGCTGGGCGTGGTCCATTGGAAGCTCATCGGTCCGCCCAAGATAGGTTGATGCCTGGTGTGGATCTTCTAGGAAGGTATCGCTGTGCACAACTTAATATTATTTGAGATGAACTGAGCGCGTACCTGAGCACGCATTGAACGTGTGGCGCGTGACGTCAAGGCTAAAGCCTGCTTGCTCTCTGCACGACAAGGCACGACTTGTTCTTTCTCTCTTTACCATCCCCGCGCCTATACCCACCACTAATCCGCGCACGATGGCTCGTCCATCGTCGCCGCACACTGTGTATCCAAACTCTTCCAATGACCACAGTTTTACGCCCAGACGAGAATTCATCAGGGACGACCGAGTTCCCTCCACTTTTGCTATCCTCACTCTCTCTGCTTCTTCTCTCATCAGGCTCTTTGGCTTTCCTCAGCCCTTCATCTCCGCTCTCAGGAAACTACTGCTTGAAAAGGATCGTCTTGCAGTTGGTTTTCGCGAGGATATCACGCAGAACTTTTGCGAGTTCACTCTCGAAGGGAAACCATGGGCGAGCCCCAAGAGCATTCCCTCCGAAAAGCTCCTTGTGGATATCCTTGCCGTTCTCTTTCAACATGGCTATGTCTTCCTTTCTACGCTAGACTATGGCCGCGAACAGGACGATCGTGTCGTTATGGCGTTTTCAAAGCCCAGTCCTAATCATGCCCCACAATCATCCACTCCCCTACTCTCGCCCCTTCATAGAACTAGCGGCCACTCGCCTACTCCCACTCTTCCGCCTGTGAGAGTCCCATTTGCCCTATCCTTTCCCAACGCCACGACTCTCCGAGTCATTTCCCCACCACTTCATTCCACCCCCGCGATCCTGCAAGCAGTGCGAGGTGCATGGCCACGTGGTGTAGAATCCGAAAAGAAAGTCGGCGATTCTACGTTTGAGTTCAAACTCAAGGGCTACAAGTGTACGAAATGCGCCCCGTCTCCTTCATCCGCTTGTTATCTTATAACTTCGTCCATCATCCAGGGTTCCAGGAGGATACATTCGCGACTGACTCGCTGCGACACGTGTTGACTATCCTTGCCTCATTGAACTCGTTCGGTTTTACTCTTCAGACATCAATCTCCGTTGCAAATCGATCACGAGTCAAGGACCTATGGATCTTTACTGGTCTCAGTAATGCAGACCCGCCAGATTCGCCGCCTGCTAGTCCCGACATGTCCAAGACTTCCTTGCAGGTAGCTCAGGGAGGGCCGACGCCAGACACAGGTCGTTTTGTAGACCATCGAAAGGCGAGCAGCGTCCCTGGACTATCGCAATCTCACCTTGATAAGACAGGCCACGGCCGTGCGGCTACTGACAAGGGGCCCACCGCAGCCGTCACGCAGTCGTCACCTCTCGCGAGCCATCCTAGTCTCTTGCGCAAGCCCGCTCCACGAGCACAGCTCCCAGTATCTGTTGCTGGATCTAGCACATCTCAGGAAGGCGTGCCTCCCATGTCTGGACCAGCCACGCAACGCCTTCCTCGCACGTCTGAAGAACTCGTCCGTGCCAATCTGCCTAGCACCGTGGGCAGTGCCACAGATATGACTGGCATAGGTACCGCCGCCCACCAGGCGATGGTCGGACCTTCTGCAGAACCCAGTCCAGCCATTTTCTATTCCACGTCCCCCAAGCCACCGGATACCCATAATCCATATTTCCCCTCGACCACCGCTGCTCTCGCACAATCCGCCAGACCGGCATCACCCAAGGCCATTCCTAAGGCACGAGATACCCCGCCAGAGTCTGTTCCCCAGAGTCCGGAACCGTCCACTACCACTTCGATCACTCCTCCGGCTTTCCCTTCTCCCAACGCGACCGTCGAGCAACCTCCACGAAACACCCTTCAATCGACCGCGACCACGTCGACAACTTCGACCCCTCCTCTTCTCGGTCCCGGAGCATTCCGTGATTCAGCTTTCAGCTCAAACACGACGCAGACGTACGAGATCCCTATTACATGGACCGGGAAGGAGCCAGAGAAGGATACGCCAGACGGTAGGAAGCTTCGTGATCCGGTTCTTCCTGGTGGTTGGGCGAGTCCCGTACAGGAGAAGCCTGAACTGGACGAGTCTTCCAAGTCTTCGTCCCCGACCGATGGGCCAGTCGAGGACCAAACAGACAGCAGGGACGACGGATTCCTGCGCCCGGGTGGTGAATTTGGACCACGAACGAAGGAGATGACGCCGGAGCAGCAGCAGGTTAGGGTCAACGAGCCCCAGTTGGTGCAACAGGAGACGGAGAGAAAGAGTCACCCGGTTCTTTTTGGCGAGATTCCAGGAGCGAAGTTGGAAGTGAAGAATGTCGGTGATACCAAGAACGACACCCCGAGCGTTAAGCAGGAGCGACATAAGAGCGCAGATGGCTGGGTCATGGTCAATGTCGCACAACCGACTTCCCCGTCTAGTCTTCATCCACCCTCACATACGAAGAGCGCGTCGGAACCTGCGGTGACGCTTTCGAAACCGGCCAGTCCTCCGAACGGCAACGGTGTTACGCACGCGGTGAAACCCTTGGAGTCATCCATGTCACCAGCAGCGAAAGCTATCGTTATGGCGGACGCTCTGGAGGCTCATAAGCCAAAGGGTGGAAGCAGGGCCACTTCGCCTGCTAATGACGCTAGGCCAGCTGATTCGCCTTCTAGGCCAAGTTCTCCACAACAATCATCGAGTTTCCGCCGTCTTTTCTCGCTCAATCGGTCCGGAGATGAGTCGCAGGGGAAGCAGAAGAAGAGGGAGAAAGACGATCGCGGTCGTAGTAAGCTGTCGGGGGCTGGCGTGACGAAGACGAAGAGTATGGCTCAGGAGGAGATCGACGAGAAGAAGAAGGCGGGGAAGACGTCGAGGTGGAAGAGGAATAAGGTCCCTCCAGACGTTTCCAAAGCTTCGGAGCGCGTGGCGGTGGATTGAGCACCGCCGAATAGGACTTTCTGGTATGTATGGCTAGATCTTCTCAATCCTCTGCCTCGTTCGGCCTGGTGTTTCCATTGATTGTTTCTTTCTGTGGACTTTTTTGTGTCGTGTTCTTGGTCACTTGATGGGACGCGACTCCCTTGTTGCAATGCTTTTTGGATGGAAGGTCTATTTTTTAATCATGTTTGCCTTCATGTTGCTCGAATATCTGTAATCCTACACTTTTGTGCGCACTTCCAACCGACTCCTCTCTTTTCTTCATTATCTTATGTATCTTGTTTCTTACCCCGCCCATGGCTGTACGACTACTTACTTAACTAGCACCTCTTTCACCCTTCAAGTTGTTGTCCGCCGTCGGCTGCGTACTCCTCTCCTCCTCTTCCACACGTCTCTGACATATCCTAATCTTTATCTGTAGTAGCTGGTATGCTTAGCGGTTGGCATTCTTTTGCTCGACGGTCTTTTCTCTTGACTTTATGCTTGCTTAGATTGTCTGGTTACAGCGTAGAACACTTCATTGGTGTACTGCCCTTTGAATTCTTGTGTTTATGATGGATTGATTTTGTTCGCTCTGCTATAGTAGCACCCTGTACATAGTGCATTTACGATGATAACGAAGTGGGACGATTGTTTGTACGTGGAGATAGACAGTGAACGATTCCTGGGTCTGCAGCGCACAGACAAGACTGACAGTCATTTGATTAGTGAGCCGCAACATCGATTCGTACCAGATTCTATTTGTGGAGAATTTAAGACGGCTATCGTACATGAACGACAACCCTATCGTCGTTTCTTTGCCTTCTTGCTTGGCGTCGCGGTAGTCGACGCCTTGCCCTGCTTAGACGCATCTGCTTCCTTGGTGTCATCCGGATTCACAAGAGCATTGAAGCTAGAACAATGCATGAGAAGGCCATATAAATCGAGAGTCGTGGAGAGGTATTACCCGTCCATAAGGTTGCCGCTTTGTAGCGAGCTCTGTACCTTAGCCATCTTCGCATGGTTCTGACTAACCTCTTGCGCCAGCTCAGGATCCATATTCTTCTGTCAAGAGATATCTGAGTCAGAGCCATCTCAGCGTCATAAATGTTGGGGAGACCGTACCATGAGATATGGCATGGCGAGCATCATGCCTCCTCCAAACACCATCATCAGCATCATTGGATTTTGGAACATTCCAACGATATTGAAGGATTGGGGAGGTATGAAGAAGTTGTTGCGGTGGCGAGGCGTGAGTTTGATGGGGTATGGAAGTTGGATGGGTGAAGGAGGGTTGAGGGGTGTGCCTGCTACGTATGGCCGTACTTCTGGGACATCAGAAGACTGAGAGATATCTATCCGCAACTGCGTGCGAGTAAGATTTAGTCGAAGGGTATGGATACTGTGAAACGGGACGGGACTCACTTTGTCGAACTGGTGGCGAGGCGACAGAACGGAGAGTACATATGTTCCAGGTTCAACGTCTGAGCTAGGTGAAGTAGTGAGGATCAGGGTGTGGCGACACGAAAAGATGGCGAGCTCCATACAGAGTGAAACGTCCGTCTCGTGCTATACTCCCAGAGTAAGCCGAGTTATCAAGAGCAACCTTAGCTCTTCCCAATTCAAAGACATCTGCAACGGGTCAAACGTTAATACAACAGTTCCTGAAAGTGGGGGGCGGCACGCGCCTTGGCAATGCTCATTCCAGTGTATGCTGCCTGTGACGTCCACCGCGAGTGCTGACCAGAATACGCTATAATATGTTCCTCAAGTAAGTGTGCAAATTCAGAATGACGATTCGACAGGCAGACCTCAAGAGCGTGACGACCAGTGAAACGGACTTCATGGACGGAAAGAGAGACGCGTAACGTGGCGTAGACGGTGTGCCTAATTTTGGAACAGTTGGAAGCCTTTGGACAACAAGGCCAAACAACCGCTTTGCTGATGCTTTGCAATTTCTTTTCGGGCATTCTCACCCCTCCTTTCGTGCCGATCTCTGTACACTTTCCCCACACTTGTTTCTCTACCTTTCAAAATGCGTCAAAAGAGAGCCAAAACGTATCGCAAGCTGATGGCGTTATATAGTCTGCACTTTGGGTTCAGACAACCTTACCAAGTGCTTGGTTCGTTCTCACAGTACAGTCGTCCTCCAACGATATCATTTAACTCGGTATATGGATATAGTGGATTCCGAGATGTGCAAAGCAGCAATAGCGCTGAAGGAAGTTGATTTCTACAAGCTCATGGCTGACTCGCTGCAAGGGACTGTCAAACCAAGTACGTATCGTCCTTGTGTCGCAGGGGTACGGTAGGCTAACACTGACGCACAAGCGCCTCATTAGTGATCACACAATGCTGCATCCATGAGCTTTATCTTCAAGGAAAGGAGCAACAACCTGCTGTCGATCTCGCAAAGAGCTTCGAACGTCGAAAATGCAATCATAAGGAGGCAATCCCTGGGGATGATTGTGTCTCAAGTGTCATCGGTGCGACAGCTACTTATCTCCTTCTCTGTCACATGGAACATCTACTTAGTATAGTTACCCTTCGGATCGTAGGTGACAAGAACAAGCACCGATATGTCGTGGCCACACAATCTCAGCCTCTTCGCGTCAAATTACGTTCCATTCCCGCTGTGCCAATCCTCCACATGAATCGCTCCGTCATGATTCTAGAACCTCCAAGTGATACCACTCTCCGTGCGAAAGCCCTGGTAGGTCACCACTCGCTTGTCGTCCGAACCCTTCTCACTTGCATCTTACTTTCGTGCTTTGGCCGATAGGCGGAACAAGAGGCTCTCAATCCTTCCACGTCCGAAGCAGCCCGACTCAGAGTTTCAGAACCTCCGCAGGAGTCACCGAAAAAGAAGAAAAAGGGTCCAAAGGGTCCGAACCCACTCAGCGTCAAGAAAAAGAAAACAGAAGTACCACCAGCGAGAAAGGACGGCGGGGTTAAAGATGGGGGAAGACAATCTTCGGAGTCGCGGAAGAGCAGCACAGAGGACCGACCACGGGTAAATGTGGGAGAGAAGAGGGACCGTGAGAAAGACGAAGTCCACGGACCGCAGAAGGGCGATGGCGAAGAGCTGAATGGTGTAGGACATAAACGGAAAAGGCGACGGAAGGCTGGTACTCCACAGCCTGAGCCACCAGCTCCTCCAGAGTAATGTCTTTCACTATCTATCTCGGCACGATGCTCAATTTGACTCTCCGGACAATCGATACAATTCGGTATTAGTGGACTCCGTGCTTCATAGACGACCAGATCCGACTCGATTTCTCCGCATTCGGCAACAGCTATGGAAGCAACACCTCCCAGTTGCTATGCATACAGTGGACACAGTCGTACTCGAACCGTTATCTGTGCTGGGCGGCAGGAGCAGTACGTCTTCAAGGAGTCAGCGGCTCGGCCACTTCCCGAACTCTCTACCTCCATAACTCTTGTCACTACACATCTGTTCGCCATCTTACATCTCGCGATCATCCTACTCGGTGTATCGCATGTCTGAGCACATAAGACCAGGAGTCGTTCCGGTTATAACTTACAGGATTTGCAGGCCGCTCAAGCCAGGTTGGCGAACACAGCAGTCATCGTTCATGAGCTAGCTCGAGGACGACGATCTAGCTTAGAGAGAGCGCCAGGCAGTCGAACGTCTTCTCGTCCATCGTCTTTGTCCGGAGGCGATTCTGGCCTGCAAACCAATCCGAAAAGACAAGCCTCGCTCAGACGTCAGAGCTCCACGTCAGACGAGGATCGTGTCATCGTAGCCTCAGAAAAGGTCGAGGATGCTGACGTTGCTGAGATAAATTTAGAGTTTAGGAAAGCATAGCGACGTAGACCGCCTCAGTGCGAGAAACCTCGAATGACTCTCGAATTCACACGCATCGCGTAGACGGCCGACTTTCCTCCTGTTTCCGTTCTCTCTATCTACTGCACAACATTACAATACTTGTACCACCACTACGCGCTCTGACAAAGCCCTCCTAGGACGGAAGACAACTATCATAACCGTGTAATCACCAACTGGAACATATCCGCTCTCTGATCCACAGCACCACCAGGTTGTACGCCTTCCTGAGTGTTCTTTTTCTCACTTCTCACCGATCGCGTGCTTTTGATACTAACTGTGGGAGCCATGCAAGGCTTTCCGCAGTGTGCTTCGGTCAACCACTCTCTATTCGACCTTTGACTTATACCATCGCTCGATGTCTCGAGTTGAATCATTCTGTAGCTTGACATGGCATTGATCACCCGTGTGGAGGCCCAAGCGCGGGTCCATCCTCCGTCTCTTCACTGTGGTAGTCACGGTGTACCTCATCCGCTCAAGTGTTTCAAACCTCAATTTGATCTCCCTCGTTCTATTGCTCGTGGGTCTGCTAGGCAACTGATATATATGGCGCACAACTTACCCTCACTGGTCAATAGTGTCGGCTCTGTCGTTCGTTGCGTGGGATGTGTGTATCACGTTCGGTGATGAGGTATGGAGACTTTTCATCCGCCTGAAGATCTTCTTGTTGACTTCTATCGACAGGTCGAATTGATCTGGAGGTAGCTGGCTTCATGAAAGTTCTCAGAACTTCTGATGTCCTGATCCCAACTATCCACAAAATTTGAACAGAACCCCGTGGAATCATTTGAAAACCGTGTACATCCTCATACGAGCTGTGCTCATGGTATCTCAGACGTACGCGCTTCAGGATCTTTCTATCACTGCTGACACGTTTAACCGACCAAGAGATTCAGCATGAGCACCTATCTGGCTCTGACCGAATTACCACCTAACTGTCTGTTGCTGATGACAGCCCAAGTCCTGACGACGATAGTCTTGATGTTGCTTTATCAAGGACTTATGACCATCCGAGGTGCGCTTTTCACGGTGACTCCTGCAAGCTGTGTCTAACATACACTTGACACAATTGTGTAGTATGTTCCATATACAGGCACAATGCCTTGGTGCTCAACGGAGTTCGCATATTGTTTGTTTTGGAGGTAGCTGCGGTGGTCGGCCTATTCGTTTACTCTAGGCCGCTCACGCACTCCAACAGCCACTGCAAAGGACCCTCTACCGCGCGATCGCCTTCTCAGAGATTTCTCTTCGCGTACGTGACTATCATATTTAAGTCACAGAGCTGCTTGTTAATGAACATGCCATTGGTAGTCTGCCTCCTTTAATCCATGATTCCACACTCTTCCTCTTGACGTGGATCAAGTTTCAAACATCGCTTCGCCACGGCTGGGGACGAGTGCCTGCGGTCAAGAAGTTTGTTCAAGACGGCATTTGGGCGTATGCTTTGCCTTCGGGTGAGTGCTCTTGAATATGATTTCATGTAGCGTCCGTCAATGCGCTGCTTTTCTGACGGCTTTCCTCTCAGCGGTTCTGCTCATAAACATGGGTGTAAATGTGTCTAAAGATGGTTACTATGCAACCCTAGTATCCCCGTGAGCTCTCTTGGCTTATCCGTGGACACTGTGCATCGACGACTCATCCGTTGGTCCAGGTGGATCAGTGCGGTGAACGGGTTTTCTGTGAGTCGCGTTCCAATGAATGGTGCACAGTGAACGGTCTGCTGATACAAAAATAATACCTAGGGATACCGCCTCGTGCTAAACCTTATGAAGATGCTTCACGAAGATACTGTTAGCTCTCTGGAGCTCGATTCTCAGATAGACCGGGACTCGCAGTATACGTATCCACCGTCGGATAGACGTGCACGGACACCTTCTCCGGCTTCGGTGTGAGACATTCTCTCCGCTTTATTTGCGAGTATGATGCTAGACTGTACAGTTAGTGCCACTGAATAACAGTGATTATGCTCAAGTGTCTTTCCTTTGGCCAGGATGAAGTGAGACGATCTGCCACAATACGATATCGCACATGTCGTTATGATGATATGGGAGACCTACCGAGCGACCGTAGGCGTAATGAGTCGTCATGTGCCCCTAGTCCATACCGCCACATGGCCAGAGATTCAGAATCCCAGGCATCGTCGTTCTTCCCTTCCGGTTCTCACTCCTCCGATTATCATATCAGCAATCGGTGCCCGACATGAATCGAAAGCGTGGCATCTCGTGGTAGACCTAAGAGCGAATTCGACTCGAAAACCTTCCCGTCGAAGGGTAACCCTTCGACATTTCCCCAACCGCCGACTCTCGGTTCCCACTTGGCGGAAGGTTGAACTGGCCAAACGGATTCAGGCACGGGATCAAGGCTTTCTCACAACTCATTATGCACAGCTGCGAGGGAACATGAGCAGGCCTTTTTTCGAGCTCACTGGTCTTCCCTTGCGCGACCGTCGAACGGCTGTCATTCTATGTCATGAGCGAGACGACTCGTCAGAGTTCTCAAGCTCAGTTCCTCTAAATGCCTACTCAGCTTTCTTCTCCGAATCGCCTACATCATCATAATTCGCATCATACTGATAGCCTTCAGTTCATCAATCCTACCATTGTTGCTGGTGTGTAAACCTATCGCACTCGCTAGCAATTGGAGATCAAGAGACTTACTTGTCTCCGTTCTGTTTTCACGTGGGCAGTAACCTCATTCTCATTTCTGGCATGGGATATGTGCGTCACACTGGACGACGAGGTATGCTTGTCTCACCCTACGGGCATGGCCTAACGTTGATGAGTGTTCGAGGCCGAGCTCATTTGGAGGTATGGCTTCTCTCGGGCGAAGTTCACAACAAGACACACTAACTATAAATTTACAGGAGGCCTTGGTCCCATTTGAAGTCTATCTACGTCTTTATACGTTTCGCCGTGTTGTTCGCCAAGATGCAAGTTTTATTCTCCCACCTTGGGCCCGCCCACGTTGACATAATAATTTCGAAATACCGCCCGCCAGTTTGGATGTTTGGCTGTCCGTCGTCCCTCAACCTCCTGGCGACTGTAGTGCATGGATAACAGGCCAGGTCATAACCACGATCATTCTTATGTTGGTTACCCAGAGTCTGATGACATTGCGAGGTCTGTCATCATCCTATCTAAGTCACTGCAATATGCTCACGACTGCGAGCATGCTCAGCTTCCTCCCTTTACAGGAATAATTGCATCATCTTCCGCGGCGTTCGCATTCTATTCCTGCTACATGCGGTGTCAGTCATCAGCATTTACTTCGTCTTCAAACCGAAATATTCTCCCGATGGCCAGTGTGTAAGGGGTCCAAAACTTATTCAAGGTTCGCCAAATGCAGTGGAGCAGTATGCCTATGCGTATGTAGAGCATATTTCAGCTCCGATGTTGGTAGGCTGACATGCATCTCTGTATAGGGTACCGCCGCTTGTATTCGATTTCATTCTCTTTGGATTGACCTTGTTCAAATTTCACGCTTCAATCCGGCATGGCTGGAGACATGTCCCTGTCATCTCTAAGTTTGTGCGCGACGGTGTCTGGGCATATGCGCTCCCGTCTTGCGAGTATCGTCTCCTAGTTCTCGAGTCATGAAGCCGGGTCTAACATTTCTTTGCCAGTGAGCTTCGCTATGAACCTATGTTTGAATCTATCGGGCGGTGGTCATTATATTGCCCTTGGCACTCCGTAAGTTCCGTATCGTCTGTTGACCAGTATACACACTTATTCCACCCAAGCTGGATAACTGCCGTTAACGGGTTCACGGTAAGCTGTTGAAGATTGCTTCGTATACGGAAAATATTGACGGGCGGTATAGGGATACCGTCTCATCTTGAGTATTCTCAGGATGCTACACGACGCAGAGATCCATGGTGGGCCCGTAGAAATGGAATCTCTTACTCGATTGGACAGTGGACTTGATACTGATACCGATCTCCACTTACCTCGGGCTGATCACCGTATGTTTACTTTGTCGTACAGCTGAGAACTTTGTTGATGATGACCTTGCAGTGCATGAAGATGCAATATGTGTGGTCACCCGTATAGATATCGAAAGGTCGTGACAGCCTAATATTTATTGGATGGCACTAAGCTCGACGGGAACGCTGTCGACGCTACCCTCTACACCTCAATAAACATAGTGTGTCTAGACAATCCACGTGCATGTGAAGCGAGACGAGGAAAGGAAGGACATTCTTAGACTGAATTGCCATCATGCGATCGAAATCGTGAAATGACGAACACACATACTCTATACAGCACTGTGCCTCGTGTCCATCTTTGTGTGAGTCGGCCAAGATTTTTCTCTTTGTTCTTGTCCAGATCGGGCACCTCGGCATTCTCCCCTGTCAAACTAGGCTCGGACCATCTATAGAATACTGGAACCTGTCAGCTTTTCTCGTCGATCGCTTATCCGAACTGGTATTGCGACATCTGAGCGCATACATTCGGCGCCTACCACGCAGACTGTTTTTCTCATAAATGTTGTCCGCCGCCGTGACTTTCACTCGGGTCGCTCCAGAACTTTCACGGTTTTCCTTCCGCGCAGGTTCCTCCTTCCGCCCATCTGCCTTTTCCCGCCGAGCCATTTCCATCCCAATCAAACGCAATATGAGTGCCGCTTCAGAGTTCCCTGCTGCAAACAACGTCTATGTCGAAAACTTCGGCGATAAGGGCTCGCTCCCACTTCCCCCTGGCAAGAAATTGATAGTTGGTGAGTCCGGCCGTCCAACATTCTCACACGTGTGAGGTTACGAAGATTCGAGGCTAATCGCCTGCCCCAGTGACTTGCATGGATTCTCGTATTGAGTAGGAATTCCGCATCACCGAGCGAGTATGTGCTGAAAGAACTTCATAGCGTTATGTCCCACCTTGGTCTGAAGGAGGGGGACGCCCATATCATTCGTAATGCAGGAGGTGTGGCGTAAGTGACGTCATTCGAGCTTTTTTCGCCTCTCGTATACCGTGGCTCACTTCTTGCGTTTATTCTCCGGACTACCATGTAGTATCGACGCCATTCGCAGTATCATCATCTCACAGCGCCTACTTGGAACCCGCGAAATCGCCATCTTCCACCATACGGGATGTGGCATGGTCACGTTCAAGACCCCGCAGCTCCGCGAGATCGTGGCGTCATCGGCTCCTGAGGACAAGGAAGTAGCGAAGCGCCTCGAGAACATAGACTTCCATGAGTTTGACGATGTTGAAGAGTCTACGAAGGATGATGTTAAGTTCTTGAAAGCGCATCCGTTGTTGTTGAAGGAGACTACCGTCACCGGGTGGGTATATGAAGTCGAGACGGGAAAGGTGGGTACATTCAATTTTCGCTCCTGTACGATGTTCTGATTTTGTCCTTTAGATCAGGCAGGTTGCCTAGGCCTACTTCAACAAGAACCACACGCGTCCCTTGTACGAATATGTCGGTATATTGAGAAATGAATCTTGTTGTGTTATGGTAGATGTCAACCGCGTCGGAATGCCTTGCTATTCTGACGGGAATGTCGCCTTTGGTATAAGTGTTAGCGTAACACAAGTGTCACGAATCGTGGCTTTTGAAATTCTTGACACAAGTGATAACTTCGTCCCAGTCTCGAACCCTCTGAATCCGGTCATCGTCTCTCAGCGCCGTATCGTCATCCTTCCACCATTCTTGCCTCCCCTCAGCATTGTTCTTCTCTTCGAAAGCCCACTGCTCCGCAGAGTTGACCCGCTTGTTCCACTCATAGTCTCCAAATAGTAATGCTTGTCGATTGCCTTCTCTTCCGAAAGCTAGTGCTGTCTCCATGAGATCGTCTATGAGGATCTGCGCTCCAAGCGCCTCGCAGACCTTGGAAGACGGCGTCGAGATATATCTAAGACCTACTGCCGTTCGACGAGAGAAAGAGAAATCGTACCTCGAGCTTCTTCAGCGACGTTCCTATGTAGAGTCCATCCTTTTCTGTCTTCTCTTCAGGTTGGGAGGAGAATATAACGTGTTCGAAGACGCCTTTGGAAAGCACAACGTAGAGGTCAGGAAATATAGAATCAGAGCATCAACTAGACACTGACCCTTGAAGTGTGTCTCTAGCCACCGAGCGGTACTAGCATGTTCCTGATCCAGAACACGGGCTGTCACAATAACGGGATCATAGCCTAGATCCTCCAAGGCCCTTAGACCTTCAGTGGCACCCGGCACAGGACGAGCGCTTCCTAGCTGATCTGTGTCGTAGAATTCTTTGACCTTTTTTAAGGTCTCAGGGACAGTACCCCAGCCAGGATTCTGAAAGGCCCTTGTCAGCGACAGACAGGTCAGGGGAGTGAATTAGAATGGATGATAGCACGCGACTGACCTTATACCACATCGAGTCTACGTCGAATAGCCTACATGAGCTAACATCTAGAAACTTATAGGAATAGTGCTCCACTCACAATAAAATTGATTGATGGTCATGCTACCCCCGTACCGTCTATTATGCCCTTTCCATGGTCATTATTGGAGAGACACTCAAGTCAAAAATAATATAAACATGCTTACATTCTGCGGCACAGACGCAGGTCTGGCAAAGAACATCGTCTAGATCGACAGCGATGATGGGCCTCCGCTGGCGAGCAATGCCATTGAGTAAGTCCTTTGTGACACTCTGAGGGTCCTCTGAATCTGAAAGAACGCTCATTCCGACGAACAAATCAGAATTTGGTGTTATAGTGCTGAAGATCAAAGCTGGTGGTTCTCGCTCTGAAATGATGTTGGGGTCCAAGACGAAGAGCTGATGTGGCGTCTGCTGTGAGTGGCACCTCTTGGCATAACGATCCCACGGGCCGGTTCCGCAAGATTGGCTCATCTCCCCACATTCAGAATGATATCTGAAAGGCAATCACATGCAAGCCCTTTCATTGTATGAAGTACTGCTGCATCTTTGAACGCAATCCACGTCTCTTCCTCACCTTCTACCCTCAAAAATTCTTGAGAATAGTCTCTGGCATAACCTAGGTGTTTCACTTTTATGTCGAACCTAGCGGCGCTGAAGCAAGCAAGCGCCCTTCGTGCCGCCGAATTCGCAAAGGCTTACTCAAAACATAGGCCACTCGTCCAACGAGGCCTAACCGCAGGCTTCATCCTTTATGTTCTCGGGACAACATATAGAGGACTTTCTGCGAAACCAAGCTCGGCGAGCTCTAGGAAGGGTAAGGGGAAAGGGAAGGATGAATCAGGGAAGCCTCCCAGAGTCGCGGTGCGTTCAACTCTCCTCAAACCTGCGGCAGTTACTGAGATATTGTTCTATTCCAGGTAGACGTCGTATTCTACGAGAGGTTGAGCAGAATATTGAGGATCGTGATCCCAAATTTACGGTCAAAGGAGGCGATGCTCTTGTTCATGCACTCAAGCCTTCTCATTTTCAGGACCGCAATTTCGTTGTATGTGGCGGCACTGGACGGAAAGTGGGTGTTGCATTCCATGTCATTGTCAAGCTTGACGCGTGTTCTGACACAATGCATCACGCAGGATTGTAGCATCACTCGTTCGTGCCCAGACAGTCCCATTCCTTCTAAATATCACTCGCTGGCTCCTCGTCGCCATTCCCGCCACATGGACAAACAGCTGGCTCAGCTACGTTCAGAATAAACTCGCGATAGCGTACCGGACAAGGTTGACCGAGACTGTACTGAAAGAGTATCTAGGCGATGAAGACGATGATGTGAAGGACAAAGTATATTATAAGCTATGTAAGGCTCCCAGTTTCATCAAGAGTTTCTCTATCGACTGACGCCTCTCCCAACCAGCGAATTTGGACGATCGTATAAAGAACCCGGACCAGTCAGTCATACTTCCTCTCTCGTTGACTATTGGACGCGACTGACATTCGTGTTCGTTTGCGTAGGATGATCACCCATGATATACAGCGGTTCTCGTCTCACCTTGCCGCAATCTATGCGAACATGGCGAAACCAGTGCTTGACGTGATCCTCTACAACTACCAACTCTCGCAAAACGTTGGCGCCGAGGGCCTCGTCATCCTTACCTGCCTCGTCCAGCTAAGTGCTGCCCTTCGTACGTCGTCTACGAATCCTCTCATCAAGCATGGTAACCGAACTGACTTCCACGATGATTTGGCTGTTAGTGCGTCGATTAACCCCGCCCTTTGGTCTCTATACCGCTCTGTCCGCACAGCTCTCCGGCTCCCTACGCCACACCCACTCACGGATGTCAGAGTTCGCGGAAGAAATTGCGTTCTTCGGAGGCGAGGAGACAGAGAAGATCTTGGTCGAGAGAGAATATGCTGGACTTGTGATGCATGAGAACAGGGTATTGAGGAGCCGATGGTGGCATGGATGCGTGGAAGAGGGCATCGTTAAATGGTTATGGGGAAGTTTCGGGGTGAGTGCTGCTGTATTCATAGATGAAAGTGCTCGTACTGATGGTGAAATGCTGATCACTCGAGCCTAGCTGGTATTATGTGCCGTCCCAGTATTCTTGAAGCTTCCCGGAGTGCATAACCTGGACATGGGCAGTCGGACAGAAGGTGCTTGATTCGATCTTGTGCCTTCATTACCTGTATTGATACATACGTCGATCAGGCTTCGTCACAAATCGTCGCCTGCTACTCTCCGCCTCAGGTAAGTCGTTCCATATCACCTACTATGTCCTTGTGGTTTCTGACCGGGTTCTCTGTAGATGCTTTCGGTCGGGTCATGTACTCGTACAAGGATCTGGCCGAGCTAGCGGGCTATACCGCTCGCGTCTCAACCCTGCTCGAAACCATGGAGGACACCAAGAAGGGTAAGTTCGAGAAAGCGCTTGTGAGCAGCGCGAGCACCGCCGAGAACGCGAGGAGTGAGTACGATCGCATTTAGCTGTCGAGGGATCTAATGGTCGATTGCTGACCGGATTTGAGCGCTAGTTCTGAAGGGCAGGGGTAAGATCATTGAATCCGAAGAGATACGATTCGAGGGCGTACCTATCGTCACGCCGAACGGGGACATTCTGGTGAAGAGCTTGACGTTCTATGTCAAACCTGGGGTAAGTGACATCCCGCTCATGGTGACCAAGACACCGAGTAATTGAGGATTTATCTCCATTTTTGACAGGAACATCTCCTCATCGTCGGGCCTAATGGTTAGTCTCTTCCTCCTTTCTAAGGTGTATTGTCCTGAGTATGGACCGCAGGGTGCGGCAAGTCGTCGTTGTTCAGAATCCTTGGAGGTTTGTGGCCCGTGTATGGCGGGACAGTATACAAGCCTCCAGCAGACCGATTTATTCTTATCCCTCAACGGCCATACCTCCCTATTGGTACTCTGCGGGACCAGGTCATCTACCCTCATTCGAAGGACGACATGGAAGCCCGTGAGTGCTGATTCTACTCTTCGGTGTGCGGTCAATGGGGCTAAGTGGGTTATGATCAGGTGGCATAACGGATGATGATCTTCTGCGGATACTCGCACTTGTCCAGATGGATAATGTCGTTGAGCGAGAAGGGGGCTGGGACGTCGCGAGAGAATGGAGAGATGCATTGAGCGGCGGTGATAAGCAGAAGATCGCCTGGGCAAGACTGTTTTATCACAAACCTAAAGTTCGTTGCCTCTCTCATATCGCGTAGTGAGTCGACGAACTCACTTTCCGTGGGCAGTATGCGGTGTTGGATGAGGCGACGTCACTGGTACCGGTTGAAGTTGAGGGTATGATGATGGACCATGCGACGGAATTGGGGATTACGCTCCTGACTGTGTCGCATCGGCCAAGTCTGTGGAAGTATCATTCTATGATTTTGCATTACGACGGGCAGGGTGGTTATGTCTTGTGCGTACTGCTTCTCTGCTGTTCTTGTCATAAGACATCTGAGTTCTGCGGGTATTTAGCACGAAGCTCGACGCAGAGAAGAGGCTTGCTTTGCAAGAAGAGAAGCAGGTGCGTACGGGTTTCAGTGGAATCGTGCTTCTACCCGCTGACCATAGCACAAACAGGGCCTGGAGACTAAGTTGCTCGAAGTGTAAGTTTTAACAATTTGTCGAACTCTTCGTGGGGAAGGCTCATTTATGGTTTCTAGACCGAAGATGAAGGCGCGCTTGGCAGAGCTCCTGGAAGCTTCACAAGCTTGACGAGAGTATCCGGTTCCCATGTATACCTACCTGTACCAGTATACCTATACACGATAGACTTTCTTGCAGTAGGACGCGTCGACACAGTATGAGAAAGTATCCGTGCAAGCACCAGCGAACGCTTCGCATTAAAGCCCAAAGATACAAATATGATGCTGTAGGATGCTATAGAACATATCTGAGCAACACATGCGATTGGAGACGAGCGAAACAAGACTCACAAAAAGGAACCATCACTGTGCGCGGCAGACGACCTCTCCACCTAGATTGAGCCGCAAAGCATCTCTAGCCTCTACCCACTCATGCTCTGAACTCTTCGTATGCACGACCGCAATCTCTCCCATTCCCAACGGTTTGATGGTCTGCACTCGTCGCCCCGTGCACAACCGCCGAATCTCCGCGACGTCCATGAATATGCGCTTGCTGGGCATGCTGATGAGCTGCATGCGCTCCATCACAGGTCTGTCGTTACGGTACTTGAGGTCTGCCCATATACGACGCTGAGCATCGCCTGCGTTCATGAATTCGGCTGGTGAAGGGGTCTCGATGGTGCCGCGGGTGAGGGTAGTGAGGAAGCCAGCGCGGAGGAGGATGGAGAGGATGCCGAGGTTTTGGGTGTTGTGGTCGACGGCAACAGAGTGGTGGCGCGCTCTGAACGCGTTTTGCATATGCGAGCAGAGATCGTGTGGGCGAGGCATCGCGAACGAAGGTTTTGGTTGTGGCGGTCGTCTGCTCGAACAAACAAACTCGAAATTCAATTCGGATTGCTGCTAGTGGCGGGCGCGGCGGGCCGCGATGCCGCCAAACATTCACCGCCGCGTCGGAGCCAATCGGGATGTGGGGCTGGCGCAGGGAGCCAATGGGTTGAGCGCAAAGCCGCCGTCATTCGCAAGCACTTGATATTTTCTCACACGACCATCTCTCACGCTTACTACCACATCCCCCTCTTACTTCCCCGCATACCCATCCCTCATCGTCTACGACTACACAAAATGCGCTACTTCTCGCAACAGTGCACCTACGAGTACGTCGCTCATCCACGATTGCCTTTTTTAGAGTCGTCTGACCGTCATCTGCAGCCATTCATGGGCACATGTCATCATCGGGATGTGGCATAAATATCCCAACCCGCATTGCTCACACGTCGTATCCGTCGACGTAGTAGACCGCTCAGTCAACCCACAGACGGGTATCATTCGTACAGAGCGGATTGTCGGCTGTACACAGAGGGCTCCACTATGGATCGTCAAGGTAAGCCGCATCCTCCCCTTAGCTCCACTTCTCCTCCGGACGGGTCACTTACATTCCCCTTGCCCGCGCAGCTCTTCGGCGGTTCAGAAGACGCATTCGTGCGGGAAATATCCTTCGTTGATCCAGCCACCCAAACCACTTCCATCTCCACCGTCAACCTTTCCCTTTCACAATTCGCGACATGTCATGAAACCATTCGTTATTCACCAACACGAGATGGCCGAACGGACTTCACGCAGACGGCAGAGATCGAGGCGCGGATGGCCATGTGGAGGGCAGCAGCGGATAAGCTCGAGGGTTGGTTAGCCCAGCGGTTCGAGCAGAATGCTCATTTGGGGAAAGTCGGCTTTACGGACGTTCTCCGAAGGTTGTGGGAGGATGCGCAGGAGCAGCAACCAGCGCGTGCGTCGGCTTGAGTAGAGTTGAGTTCCGCTTCATATCTTTATCTCGCACCGCACCGCTGTCCTTGTTAGATTTTCATCTTGGAGTGCGCTCTCTCTACGCTTTCGATGCTTTTTAGACGTACATTATTCGGTTTGTCATGTAGACCCAGACATGGTAAAAAGCGTCATACTACGTACGCCCCCCGCACATACATTCATACCACGACCTTCACGAAGCATTGAAGCCCCCATCTGTACTTTTGTCCACCTTACTCTATCTTCCGCACTTGCCAAAGTGTTCATACTGCACGCATGTACATGCATACGCCGACTTTATCGAGCTCCGCCTCTCCTTCATACAGTGTTGCTCAATTTGGAATCACATAATCTCTTGGGCCCTTGAAGAACCACGTAGAGGTGAAAGGGGGTTCGCGTGAAGAGGATGAAAGGAAGACAACAAACCTGTCTGAGCCACTGATGCACACAAAGACGACGATGATGGCCCGTAGAAAAGGTCACGTGGCATGCCCCTTTCTTCATCACCTCCACCACCAACGTCCGCGAACCTCTTTTCTCCTCTCATCGCTACGCCTTCAACATCCAGTATTTTGTTTCAGTACAAAAACCACTTGAATACAGCGGTTTGTGAACATCCGCGAGGGTCGTTCGGAGGTTCGATCCCCCCAGTGGCCAATACCTTTCATTGACTAATTTTTCGCTCCTCCTGTCTGTTCGCACAGATGGACGAGCTTGTGCATCACTGCATGCGTGAGCTTGCGTTTGACGGAGATCTCGGTAAGTGTCATCTTTTTTTCTGTTCCATGACATAAAATTCCCCGTTTGGCACACAGCTGGGGGAGTAGTAAAGACCCTGCAGCTCAGCTCTGTGGTTCGATCCTGACTAAGGCCACTTTCTCTCGTTCCTTCTTCTCAAAAAACCTGGGCCACAATTAACTTACTGACGACCACGCCATTATCTCGTTCGTGACGACTCAGGATGCGACGTATTTCGTCTCCGAGACTTCGTCACCGACTTCTTCGCTCATCATGCCGCCACACGCACCCAGCGGGTCGACGACGCTTACATGGCCTTCGTCTGGGTCCTGATCATGCAGCAGCCTGCCGTACGCGTCGGGACTGTCCCATCTGGCGCGAGCGAGGTATGGGTCGCCCCTCAGAATGTACAGAAACAGAAAGCAAAGAAGGCCAAGGCTCAGAACGAGGACTTCGAAGACCCCTTTCAGGTCAGTTCGTTGGAGATTATAGAGGGTGGTAAGACGAAGCCGATGAGCGAGTTGGTCGAACGGTATGGAGCGAGTTTGAGGATTGCGGTGGACCATGAGACGTCTTTTGCTGCGATTACGGGGTCGCATATTCGGGCAAGTATCACTCCTTTTATGGAATGCCTCACTGAAGAAAGAAAGAAGATGTAGCTGACTTTCCTGCCATTGTAAATGAATAGCCTAGCAAATTGAGCGACATGGTCTACTCGGCCCTTCAGCTAATCGCGCGCGGACGAGAGCACGGGATGAGCGTCGTTGACTTGGGCAAGAAGACGGGCTACGACCAGAAGACGTGTTTCTATCTCGTCAAGCAGCTCATCGACCTCAATCTCGTCGTCAAGCGCCGCCAGGGTGGCGTCGGCTCCAATTTTTGCATCCTGAAGTACTTCTTCGAACGAAGTCCGCTCTGGAAGCCTATTCGCGATGAGGAGGCAGCGGCTGCTCTGAGCGTGGAGCAGGCTGTGGCAGGTCCGTCAGGGGAGGGAGGTATGGACGTGGATGGCGGTGGTGGCGGTGGAGGTGGCGAGGAGAATGCTGCACTCCCGGACGGGATTGTGTTCACGCCGATTGATGCGCGCCATCTCTCCAGCTTGCCTGTGATCAAGGCGAGGGTAGTCAAGCTCTTGACATACGCACCGAATCATATCCACCCTTCGCAGAATCTGCTCAAGACAATCGTTCGTACAACTTATTCTATTCTGGCTTCAGAACGCTTCCACTGATGTATTTTCTTTCTCATTATATACAGGGCTTCCTGAATCCGACGAAGACAGACCGTCGTTTTTTCCAAAGTCGGGTTCGCGAACTCATCGAACAGGGTATCATAGAACGTGTCGCTGTTTTGGACCATAACCCGAAATCGACCACGTCGAAGATACCTTGCCTCCGGCTCATCACGAACGAGGAGCAAAGTCATATACCGCAGGAACAGGAGCATGAGGAGGCCGTTGTACAGGTTCCAGGCGTGGAGGAGGATGTCGTGGATAATTCCTCTGGTATGATTTTTCGCATGCGTCCACCGTACGAATCCTCGCTCACGGAACTGGACAGGCGGATTCAAGATGACCGTCACTCTGCATAAACAGATAGTAGATCTCATCGAGGAATCTGGTCTGCGAGGGATGACCTTGAACGTAAGACATTTATGTTGGTCATGACATGGTTAGTTCAAATATTGATTCATCAACGTTGATTTTCCAGGATCTCTGTTCCAACCTATGCAACTTCGATAAACGCACCGTCGAGCTTCTCCTCTCCCGACTCGTCAAATACCCACCTCCTTCCCACCTCGCCGACATCGGAATCGCACAGGTCCAAGAGACCTTCGGCCGTGAACGTCGTTTCAGGTATCACACCGTCGCCTCCTTCCGTGCGATCATCGAGCGAGAGAAGTTGCAGGACCAGGACGTCTATTCTTCCATTGACTTCTCGAACGTGGGCGGTTTCGCTCCGTTCAGTGCCGACGTGTTCTGGGAGACGGAAGAGGAGAGAGATGCGCATGTGGATGGTATGAAGGGCACGACGGCACAAAATGCGTCGAAGAAGGCGGCAGGAAAGAAGGCGAAGAAGATTAGGGATGCTGACGAGGCTGAAGGTTCTGCCCCGGTGAGCAAGCCTAAGCGGGGGAAGAAACGGAAATTGGACGAAGATGAAGGAGACGAGGCTATTTCAGAACCACCTGCGAAGAAGAAGAGGGGACGTCCACCGAAGAAGAAGTCTGGTGAGGAAGGCGACGCTAGTGTGGCGCATGAAGGTACTCCAGGTGCCACACAGGACGCCACGGTAGGGGAGCAGGCTACCACTCCGACCACTCCTGCCCAGACTCCTGCTCCCAAACGTCGTGGTCGGCCACCAAAGGCGAAGGCTGTTGATTCCCCTGCGGCTGGGGAGGTCGCAACGGACGCCACACCCGTCTCGACGCCAGCAGCCACACCTAAAAGACGGGGTCGACCACCGAAGCGCAAGCAATCGGAGATAGATCAAGCCTCTGCAAGTGAGGATCCACCACCTGTGAAGAAACGAGGACGACCACGAAAGACCACGACACCAGCTCCTACAGCCGCGCCTGAAGATATGGAAACTATAACATCGATCAACGATACAACACGGACAGACTTAGAACCCTCTTCTTCTCTACATGGTGTAGATGGTGTTGAGACCTCCCCAGTGGAACGTCCGCGGTCTTCCAATCAAACGACCCCAGAGCACGCAGAGGCGTCAGCCCTGACTTGCCCCGATGACGCAGAGGAGGACCATAACATACCCGCATCGGGTCACGCTGATCCTTCGCCTTCAACACGTTCACCTGCGATACAATCTGCAGTGGAAGAATCGTTTGACCAGACAACTCAAGCCACTGTTGACGACGCTGCAAATGATGGACGCTCTGGAGCAATCCTTGAGCCACCATCCAATATCGAACAAGACCCCACGCCTATGGATGTCGACACAAATATCCCTCCTCAATACAGTGGCAATCTTCCTCTATCGCACACTTCCACTGCCGACGACCCAGAAACCTCCAGGCAACCGGCCCGCGTTATGCATGATATACCCATCGACCCTGCTCTTCTTTCTGAACCCTCCGCTCCAGTAAGTGTTCTTTTAAATATCGGTCAATTTTCCATCTTAGTACTGAAGCGTCGTTGGTTTATCTTCCTCTCAGACATCGATCGTTTCGCTTCTAGCAGGCTCTATCTCTGAACCCAAGCCAAGAGGCCGTCCCAAGAGCAATGTCTCCCTATTACGGCGGGAGAACGAGATTCTACGCGTTGTTGAGAACTACGGCGGCATCGCGAACCTCAGCTCCAAAGAGTTTCTCCATGCTCACAGCACCCTGCTGGAGACGATGACCGCTGCCGGCGAGGCGACGAGTGGTCAGGCCGGTATCCGAGTCGACAAGCGGACACTAGACCAAACTCTGACGGGCATGGAGAACAAGGGGAAGCTCAAGATCCTGAAGACGTCCGTTGTGGCTCCTACTGGTACCAGTCGCCTTGTTCGTGTCGCTTACTTGCCCACAATCGACATCGCCAAGGTGAACGAATTTGTGGTTGAATTAGGCCGATCTGTGCCTGTTCTACAGCCCATGGTTATGAAGACGATCGAACAGCCTGCCAAAGACCCTGTAACTTCCGCATCACGACCACACAGGGTCTCGCGCTTGAGCACCTTAATTACGGATTTAGACTCTTCAGGCCAGCCCTCAGCTCCAGAGGATCCGGACGCAAAGCTTCGTCTGGCAATGCTCACCGACCCGAACGTGCTCGCTCAACTGTACGGATATATACATGGCAAGGCTTTGCGAGCTCGAGAATTGCATCTCTTCGCCATACATGCCTTCGCTAGTCGCATATCATCTTCCCGCATCGTATCTCATGACCACCGGATACTGAGTTTGCCGTTCTTCAACCACGATATTCCTCTTTCTATGCATTGTTCGGTCGTATCCACTCTCGACTACGACGCAGACGTCGAGGCTCTCTTCAATACGGAGGAGGGCAAACGGACGCCCGTGAAGGACCTTTCGCCCGCCATTCATACATCTCTTCAAGTTGGACGATCAAGAGCACGCACACGTATACTAAATTTACTCGAGTTGCTATACGGGTTGAAGATAATCACTCCCCTTCAGCCATCGACGGCTGAGAATCCTGCATTCGTGTGTGGCCCAAACGACGACCATCCTGTGGCGTTCGATCCAGTGCCAGATCCCTGGACTATGACGAGTCTCGCCTCCGCACCGGTCTACTGGAGATTCAACGACGTCGCTCCCATTTCACTGTGCGTCCTTGTCGAGGATAACCCCCCTCTATGGAAAAACGTAGACATCAAGGACGTTGACCAGTCGAAGGCCTTCTGGGGTGATCTGGAGCGGGCTTCTTTGGACCGTGCTTTCGCCGAGAAGGTGAAGTTACCTGCCTCCGGGAGTACTGCAGGATCAGCAGAGGCGAGACGCTCCATACGTCGCAAGTCTGCATGGGTCTCGTCTTACGAAATGTCCCCGAAACAAACCGAGTATCTCAAAGGCTTCACCGACCTCTCCACTGGAAATACGCCGCTTCAGGCTGCGAATAGCGACGGTATCCTCCAAAGGCTGCATCGAGTCACCACTGCTCCCCTTCCCGTTATACGGGACTTCTTCACCAGGGACCATGCGAGAGTGCTCAACGAGTTGGAGAAAGCACGTCGGCGAGCTGCGGAGGCAAAACGATTGGAGGAACTCAACAAACAAGCGGCGGATGACAGGAATCGGCTCGCGGAGAAGGCTGCTCATGCAAGGGCTCAGAAGGCCCAGGATTGGGAGGATATGGTGAAGCGCATTCATCCTGAAGAGCTCAAGGGTACCACTGCGATACGGGTAGGGCATGTCCGTGCGAAGTTCCTGCAGTCTGGAGGGAAAAATATTGCGAAGTGGGAAGCTGAAATCGTTCAAGCCATCGCAGAAGCTCGTAGAGCGGCGGAGACCGTCCTTGCCTCTGCATCAAGGACAGCTCTGCCAACACTGGCGCCACTTCCGGTACCAGCAACAGCCAGTGGTGCGACAGTGCATGAACTTATAGCGAAGCAGAAGAAGACGCAGGAACCCCTGAAGGCCCCTCCACCGAAGAAGAAGAAGGGAAAGAAAACCGCACAGAGTAAGTAGTCGCAGATCTTTTGTAGCATTCCCAAAGCTCATCCTTCAATTACAGCGGAGGAACCCCAGCCTAAAGCACCTCAACTCCGCAGACATCGCTTCCAGTGGAACCGCGAATATGACGAACTCCTCCGGGATGCTGTCATTATCATCAAGGCTCGATGTCAAAGTAATCGTATAGAATGGTCTGCCATAGATCAGGTGTTCCCATCGTCTCCCAGAAACTCACTTCGGCAACGTTGGAATTATCTTCGAGAACAGCCTACTGCAGAGGCTTACCTCAAGCGCTTGGAGGACTGGTGGCATAATTTATGGATACAGCATCGAGGGTCTTCGCTTCTTCCCGATCCCGATCCAGAGAGTGCCACTAACTTCAACCTCGTTCAACACGTCGAATTCCTGCGTAAGCACGTGGACAAGAACGCTCTGTATGTCACACGTTTCCCATCCTCCTTCTTAAGGCTGATATTGACACACATGCAGACGAGTCGGGTTTGTGCAACCAAACGCGACTGTTCAAAAGGTCGAGCTACCAGCGGACCTCACCGCTCTCAACACTCGATGGGAGATCGATGACAAGAGCGCCAACGTGCCTACCTGGGATTTCATGTGGAATATGGTCGTCGAAGAAGGCCGCGAGAAGACCTTCCTCCAGAACGCCTTCGTCTGTGGATTGGAGCACCTTCCAGCGACGCCTGAAGCTCCGAACGACACCATTCATGTCGCCGAATCTGCGTTGAAGGTGAGTGTCTGATGTTGGGTCCTTCGTACTGTGGCTTGAACGCTTCCCGTGCCAGATGGTATTTGGTACGCCGCATGAAGGCTACGATTCGACAAGAGCGTCGGCCCTCTTGCACGAGGTCGGAGAGCAGCCGATATCCATTGCGAAAACTAATCTTCTCAGTCGGGGCATCCTTTCAAAACTCGTCAAAGATCCCAGTCGGCCCAGGCCAGGAAGGGCGTTCAAGATCTCGGAAATGTATGCCCTGCCTCACTCATTCTCGATGTATGTGCTAACATGCAGTACAGAAACCAAAACGCGATCGGAGGTTCCATCAGTCAAGACACCTTTCAAGACGGAGCTGCTCTTGAGGCGGTCTTTGAAGAGAATGAGGATGACTGGAGGGAATGGCCCTTACTTTCCAGCGACGGTGACCTCGCTGCTTTAGTTCAAGCTACGTCAGAGAATCAGGCGAGTATTCCCACTTTCATCCTTCGATTATTCGACTTATACGCTGTTACAGGTCGACTTCAAGATCGATACTTCGCAGCCTCAGTTTCATCGGCAAACGCTTGAATGGAATAGTAAGAAGGCTGGTGAGTACATCATTGCCGTTCCACCCTGTTATGTACTCAGCTCTCTGGGTGGTGTCAGACGACGACCAAATTGAGACGGCACTGTTTGTTCGGGCCCGTGACACATTCTGCGCATCGCAGCAAGTATCTGCCTCCCCTCCTCCGGCAGCGGAGCATCCTCCAATGGCGATCGCCACGACTGGCGAGCACGGGAAGACGGCGGAAGGAAACACTGCTTGTTGCAAGTTATCTTCGGACGGTATCGTGGACTGCGATCAGTGTATGCGAGCCGAGCTACACAGTGTCACTTCGAGCTTGACAGACCATGAGAAAGATATCGCATCAAGTATCATGGAGGTCCTGCATGATGCGGGAGCAGCTGGGGTACCCAAGAGACAATTCCTAGTAAGTGACTTCACTCGCACTCGAGAGACGACTTGACTGAGATTTGTCGTCCTGCAAAGGTGTCTTTGACAAATTTCTCGGAGGACAATGTCAAAACGACGATTGAGAAATTAGTCAACGCATCGATGCCTCTGCTGTTCAGCACTGGCTACTCGTCCTCGGTGGTGGTCTCCTCGGCGTACGCTCACCAATGGACCGTCACCGTATCAGAAGATCCACCCACCAAATTGTTTCCTCGACGGTGGCTCGATATATCTGGCATGAAAGTACCTGAGGTCTGGGATGCTGCTCTTCGTGCTGTCATGGGTCAGATCGTCTTCCGCCCAGGAATCTCGCAGGTAAGTCCTCAATCTGACTGATACCTCTCGCGTGCGTCCGTTGATGTTCACCCGATTCTCCGCAGACTGAACTTCGCTGGAGGTTGCGCTCGGTATACGATAGGCAGGAGATCATAGAGCTGCTACGAAACGTTCAGGAAGCGGGCTTCGTCGAACGTAGGCTCGGGCCAGGCCAGAGACTCGCGTACGACGGACTGCTCCAGCCGGACGAAGAGGAGGAGAAGAATATGTTCTGGTTCTTGGGGAAGAGGCACTGGTATCAGGTCTGAAACTTCTCGGTCTACGTTGAACGTCCCCATATTTTATTCCATAATTTCTGTACCTGCCTGGAGAGCTACGTAGCTTGTTGTGTGTACTTGGGTACTTGTTCCAATTCCTCAGCATGAGAGTCCAATGGATTGTACTACCCTGATATATAGGGCCGATGTTTGTGTGCGAGTACTATGAAGGAAGGAGGCGCAGATGATGACGCAGAGTGGCGCAAAGCCATGGAGAATGAAAAATCCCACGGTTTCCAAGTCGGGTGTGGCCCTTCCTAGGCACTCGATCGTTTTCAGCCATCCAATTCCTCAGCATGCAACGTCAATAGATTGTACCACGCCTGATAGACAACGCAGGTGTTTCCGTATAAGTACCATAATCTAAGGATCTAAGTGATAATACGATACAAGTACTACAACATCAGATAAATATAACAAACAAACTCCCTCCGTCCCTAATAAGTAGTACCTAACCATACAACCTTCTCCGCCGATACAATTATTCACAAACATCCGAAAAACTAAGCTAGCTTACGAGTCATACGTATAATCCTTCACTTCGCCTTGTGCCGTCAACCTGATCCTCAACCCATCATGAGCCGGCCTCAACCAAATAGGCCTCACCTCTCCCTTCTCCTTCTCCTTCTCCTTCTCCGCCACCTCCTTCCTCTCCTCTTTCAATAGCTCGATCCCAGCCCGCTCATTCTCCGTGAGATCACTCTCACTCTTCTTTGCTTCTCCCACGTACTCACCGAGGGTGACATACTCATCGTGCGCGACTTCATGTCCGAACCCTGTGAGATACGTGCGAACGGCGTTCATACGACGAGCGTACGTCACGGCCTCTCTAATTCCGAGATGGGACGTGAACGGCAGCAGGCGGAGACAGTCGAGGATGAGCAGCGGTGGTCGTGTACTTGTGGCCGTGGTAGCGGCAGTAGTGGTGGTGGTAATAGCTGTTCCTGCGTCTGGAGGTATAGCTGCAGAGGTCGAAGTAAGCGTACTCGGTGGCGTCGGCGTCTTCTGATCGGATAATAAGAGCGACCACGTATCCTCGGGTATGAACGATACATCCGAGAGATAGATTATCGATTTCTGGATCTGGAATCCGAAGCAGAGATACGGATGGATGACTGCTTTGGATGGGTGAGAGGATGATGGGTGGGAGATGGGAAGCGGCTTGGGAAGATCGGGGGGTGAGGTTGGGTGTTCGGGGGTCGTGGCGCCGGAGAGGTGGGTGGGGGTGGAGGGGACGGTGCTGCCGGGGGTGGGGAGGTAACCTGGTGGAGGGGCGACGGAGAATATACGGCCGTGGTGTACTGTTTCGCAACGTTAGGGTAAGTTGGGAAAATTTGCTCGGCGATGAGATCGGAGAAAAAGTTTAGAGAGGTTGAGCATACCGTTGAAAGGCAAGACTTCGATCCCGGAGTCTTCGATCTCGAAGGGTGTCTTGTCAGAGATGATGTGCCACTTGAAGTCGGGGACCTGTAGAGTGTGGCGCCACACATGAGATACTACTTTCGATTGGTAAGGGAATGAGAGGAGGAACGTACGTCTCCACCGCCAGACGCGAACTCTTTGGATACGAGATAGGGGAAGGATCGTTGTACTTCGACGAATGTAGCCTGCGAGGCGTAGATGTCGATATGGGATTGTATAGCCTTATGCAATGTCCAGCCTGTCGTCGACTGCAGGTCAGCCACGGTGTAGATCGTTTGCAGTTCAACGGACTGTGGACATACCTCTGAGGTCATCCAGACCGTTTATGGCTGACGATCAAGAGGTCAGAGACGAGCCTTTTGAGACTTGAGAGAAATCTGCGCCACACTCACCATCCGCATCTACATAACACTGTCAAGAGGGCTGCAACATACATAGGACGATAAACCAAGAACTTACGAGCATGAGTCAACAATACAGCGTCTATCCTCCGCAGACCATACTTCGGAAACCATTCCAACGCAGCAGCTTGGAAGTTCTTGCCGACATCGATGACCACCGTCCTAAGCGTGTGGCGCCCAATAGACTCGTCAGACTCGGGATACCGTGAAAGAAGAAACGGGCGGAACGCACCATTTCCTCCCGTCTTTACCGTCTATCCGTACGACGCCCGAGGTGTTCCTCCTGATGTTCTTCTTCCCCTCAGGCGTGAGCGTAGAGAGACAGGTCCGACAGGGTTCCCTGTCCGAGTCTGGCGGAGCAGTCAAGCAGTCGAGATGGGGAAGCGAAGATGACGTTCCGGTCCCGAGGAAGATGAACTCGATATCGTTCGTCGCAGTTCCGTTCGTTGACATATTTCAGGCTACAGATGCGATGAAGATGGAGATGGAGGGAGAGAAAAGACAGAGAGGAAAGGCGCCACCACAAGTACTACTGTTTTGCTGATTTTATAGAGACTCGACGACTCGGAGGCGCGCGAATGAAAGAGAGGTGAAACGCCGGACTGGACGGGTCTGTCATCCGTCCTTGCTCCACGTGGGCCCGGGGGAAGTGTTGTGTTCTCGCGGAGTCAAGAAAGCCCAAGAGATATTATCGATGAGTGCTGTATGTTCGCAACATTTGACAGGAGCTGGGTGTGAAACCGTTCCGCGGAGCGCAGAGGGTCGATGTAAAGTACTAGCGAGAAGATGAGTTCATTATACTGCGCGTCTATCATACATTCTCGCTTTCTCCGAGGCTGGATCGTCATGTGGCGCGGGTCACCTGCCAGCTTTCGGCGAACTCGAAGCTCGAAACAGGACCTTTGATGGATGATCGGCGTCCTCGACGAGCGGCGGTTCCAGAGGACAGACACGACAGTGTCGATGGGGTTAGGACGTTGAGCACTAAGTGAGCGACAAGGAGCTTTATACGGGAACAAGGAGCTTAACTCTATACAGGTATAGCTGTAATCAAAGCAATAGAAGAACCGTCACGACATCCGAGATACATCATAAGGCTACAGTACTACTCCCGAAAAGGTCTGCGTGGACAAATCGACGGTGGGCGCAATCATGCTCAGGCTATTAGCACAATCAATCTCGTTGGCACCGGTATGCTTTCTGTTCCCAATCTCTAAATTCCCCGCGGGTCCGAGAGATGGTTCCTTGAGTCTCTGTGGCGAACAACAGGCCGAACTCCCAGGCGGCGACGAACACGCTCAGACCATTACAGCGCCACAGTAAAATCAGACCAGCGGGCTTGTCACGGTATATGTGGAAGCTTAGGGAAAGGTGGGGTGCAGGAATTCGAGGCCTACTTCGATTCCATCCATGGATTCACTTGTTCTTGACCCTGTCCGCATTGTGGCGTCAACTTCACTATTGGGTGGATGGGTAGGAATGGATGCGAAGCTTCACCAGCATTGATACCCTGTAAACATGCAGACATGTCAGATCCGACAAACACCTTCATGAATCACGACTCATAGAAGCAATCACAATAAACCTGGCACTTACGACGAGCGCCACCCACCTAAACTTCGTGAATCCGAATCAAAACAACCCCTCTTGACCCTTCCCCGGTTCTCCCGACCTTCTCCTTCTTCCCAATCTCTAAATTTTCCGCGCGGAACCGCCACGGGAATGCTATCAGACCAACGGGCTTGTCATGGTATGCGGAAGGAGGGTCACAGTCGAGAGTAGTCGCGGTCAAATCGCGGTGCCACTTGGTGAGCCTACTCGCACCATGTGACCACGACGCGTCGCGCTCGGAACCAGCTACATGGCGCTCGCGCAAGTTGGAACTTGGCGCTGTGGCCACATCGAGCTATTGCGGCTTTCTCTCCCACCATCATGATGGAGTTGGACAACGATCCTAACCTCGACGAATATGGCGACGTTCTCTCTGAGCTCGGGTTTTTCATCTCAGATGATGGCTGTGCTTTGGCTATCGCCGACAACCTCTTATGTATATTCACCTTCTAACGCGTCCAGGACGCGTTCCTCCCCGATCCCGTCGCCCCAACCACCATTAACGACTACCTCGCGGATTTCTGCATGGACTCCGTGGGCCTCCTTCGTGAAAAGTCCCTCGACCGTCGTCTGAGCGTGCGCTTCACGGTTTACCCTTTGCTCATTTTGTGTGCATACCACTACTAACAAATACTTTGTTCTACGCAGACCGTGAACACCGACCCAATCGGCTCCCAACACGCCTTCTCAATCGTGACAAAATCGAGGCCTTGTTCTTCCACGCGGACTATAAACAGCAAGCATCGGGAGAAGGCGGCGGCGCACTCGTTGGGCAAACGAGCAGCTCGCCCTCTGTCAATGGCTAACCCGCCAAGCGCGGTGACCAGAGATCAACGCCGTCCCGCTCGAACGAGCAGCGCCAAACCACATCCCGCCTACATAGAGCAGTGAGCACGTCGACGCTTTTCGCAAGGCCCTCGAAGAGCTCAAGCGAGCGCACACGCGTCGTCTCGCAAAGCTCTATGAACAGGTGAAGATCTGGTCGGCACAGCCTAAATCCTCACACCCTCCTCAGCTCTCTGGCACTGGTACTTCTCAGTTTGGGCCTGCGGTCGTTATAGACCCGTTCTTCGTCGTCGCGGAGTGTGCGAAATCGCGCTCGGAGGCGTTTTTCGCCCTCTCGTGAATCCGAATCAAAGCAACCCCTCTCCCCTAGCTCCGCCCATCCGAGTCTCCGCCCATCTCCGTCTTCTCAAACCTTCTCCATCTCCCCAATAAAAGTATTCCGATTCGACGACAAAGATGGCCATGGTCCACGGCCGCCAGTCCACCATTTCTGATAGCGAATACCGACTATCGAATATCGAATCATCGAATCAGCAGACGTCGGAGTGGGGGTACTAGTGAGAGTCGGTTACTACTTATGTACAGTGCAGGTAAATTGCCGGACGCTATGGCCACGAGAACACGAGAAGGCCTTCTGAATCTGAGGTTCGTTCGAGTGTTTGTTCTCAGGCGCTTCAGGAGCAAAGAAGGAAAGGGAGAAGAACGAGCTTCGGTTCGTCATGCAAGGGTGGAAAGGTGGAGTGAAAGTGAGTTGCCGAGGGACTTACTTATGGAAGAAGACTGGTGACTAGCTGGGATGGTGCTTCCGGAACCGTTAGTTGTGGGCGACTCGCGAGAGAACGACGGAATACAGCGGAGGACTTAGCATTGATTGGAGATTCCGAGTCCATCAGAGGATGTGTGTGTTCTTGCCCGTTCTGACCCGCTCCTATTCACCGAGAGAATGACTCTCGTATGTCATATGTCCTTGACACATCCGTTCGACATACCTCTCTGACAATTCATAATCATTTAATGAACTTCGGGATGTGTGTCCATGTCCATGTACAGCGGACCACCCTTCCCTCCGACGTAGATCAGTAACGTTAAGAGATCGACCGCGTCCTATGTATGTACAGGTTATCCGTCCTTCGTCTGTATCTTCCAACGGTACAGCCGGCGAGTCCTCCCCGACGCTGTAAGTAGTGTGCACACTCGTACCCGTACCCGCACACGAAAGTGGAGAGAAGACCCGGAACATCATGGTAGGTTGATGTATAGTGTAAATAACGAGAAAGAAAGGAAAGCGAAAAAAGATCCAAGAGATAGATACGCGAGCGCGAAAGGAGGGGCGAGTTTCTCAAACACAGACGCTAACGCCAACGCAGACGATTGGCAGTGTGCATAGCCGGTCGGCGAGTGTGAGTACTTACTGAGCACTGAGTATGATATAGCTATGGTCATGGAGACCCGTGACCGAGGTTCCGCGACGACGCTGTTCCAGGTTCCTCGGCTGTGATATTGTTGTGATATTGCTGTACGAGAGGATCAGAGATTCAGAGTGAGTGGGTTACGAGCGTTACGAGAAGCGTCAGGACCCAGGGGCAAATAATGGGAAATGTGTGGCGGTGGCGTGTTTACGAAGGTCGCAGTAGGTTGACGATGGAGTGAGGCACATAGGAGTACTAGTGAGATGGACATGGCGTGAATTTGTACAGCTTTGAAGATGAATGCATGACAGCGCAGGGTCGCGGTGCTTTGAATTTCGAGAAGGTCGGGGGAAGGTAAGGTAATAGGGAGCCCGTCTGAGGTTCATTAACTGATGATGGATGCCGGCGGTTGGGTTTTGGAAGGAGGAGGTGGCGTCGAGCTACGACGGAGTGGCACGAACCCATAGCGGCGTAGTCCTAGTCTCCAGAGCACCGATGAAGCTAGGAAAGTCAGATGAGAGGACAGGTGAAAGCGAAACATAGAGATTTCGAGCAGACTTTTGAACGTCCTAGCGTTAGCGTACATAGGATGGGACGACATAGAGACTAGCTGTGATTCGTAGGAGCGGCCAGAGATAGGGAGCCGACGGGTGTACATATAACACATAACTTACAAGGGATTTCAGAAGTTAGCGAGTTGGTTGTGAAATGAGAAGGATGGGTCGCTCGCGAACATGCATGCAAGTCTGCAGCATGACCTTCGTTCGAACTTCGATGTGGACGTCCAGATCAAGAGATGTCGATGCTGCATTGGCGGAGAGTAGAAAAAGAGAGGGATGATGGCCGGAGGATGGCCGGAGGATGCTACAGAACTAACCATTCTTCGGCCATGCCGGGCTGTCAGATTTGGCAGATTAGTCTAAAGAGCCGAGAGGGTGGCGAATGACGACGGCCTCGAAGGCTAGCTGCAGAAGTATGACTCGAGGGATGAAACTGCAGGTGTTTGCAGCGTCGAGAGGACGTTCGTATTTATGTGGTGGACGACGGAAGATGAAGGAGAAGAGAGTGGCGCGGGGGAAGAGAGGATGCCGAGGGGGCGGCGTGGCGGAGATAATCGTTGGATCTGCGTCCGACGGGGATCTGAACACATGGGCGCTGTCAACATGTCAACCGCGTCGCGTCTGGGCTGGGCAGATGGTCGTCGTCGTCGGGAACGAGAGCGGGAGAGGGGAGGTCGTGAGGAGAGCGATGGACGGGAAGGGACGCAGTGGGAGAAGAAGCGGGAGGATGTGTATTTGTGGGAGGAGGGCCGGGGAGGGGGCGAGGAAGCGGGAGAATATAAGCGAGGGAATGAAAAGGGGGGGCGCGATTTGAGCTGGAAAAATCGCTTGGGATACTGCAAGGTACGGAGGACGACGTGGGGGAGTACATATAGCCGCATCGACAGCTGTTCTCTCCTTTTGCCACTGTGCCCCTTCCTCTCTTTCCACTACGATGCTCTCTGGCCAGCGCAGACAGCAGTCCTCAGCGCCTACCACGGAGGACGCCCCCAATCAGACGAGGCTCCCGCGGTCCGCCCTCGCGCCGTTCCTGACTTCTGTCGAACAGGGCCCTCCCGCCGTCTCCTTCAACTCTCGCAGGCTCCAGCCCTCGCTCTCCATCCGCTCCAAAGACTCCTCGCGCTCTGCCCCCCCACCCAGCCGTCTCTCCACCGTCAGGAGCAGCGCAGAGACAGACAACTCGACAGCGACCGCGACCCAGGGCCAGGGCCACGACCGCCGTCTCGCCGACGAGCTCGACTTTGTGACGATTAACCCGCCCTCGCCCTCAGCGTCCGCACTGCAGCTCGTCCCCCGCTCAGACAAGGCGTCCCGTGTGCTCGGCATACAGCACAACCGCTCCATGGAGCCCATCCCTGCGTCCACACGCACCTCACTCGTTTCAACCCGTTCTGCGCGCGAAGCCCCTCCCCCTTCCGCCTTCACTCCCACCCTCCCCCTCACCTCCCTCTACGTCGTCTCTGGCCTCCCCAAGGCGCCACACACATGGACCCTCGCTGACCCCGACTCCGTCCTCGGCCTCGCCCACTCGGAGGGCGCCGTCAATCGCTGGTGGAGGGCAGAGGTCCTCGGCAGCACCGTCAGCCCTGGCGTCGGTGGTGGCAAGAAGAAGAAGCGGGGCAAGGGCGAGAGCGAGGTACACAAGGGTGCAGGCGCTCTTGGTAAACAGGAAGTCGCCAAAATGCTCTCAAAGGCGCTCAAGGTACGCCTTCGATTCCAACTCGTTCCTTCCCGTATTCGTGCTTATCGCCTTCTCAGCTCTCCTTCACTCGCGAGGTCGAGATCATAGCGTCCACCCTCCAGCCTGCCTCCACCGTGCACACCTTCTCCTTCACCCTCCCCGCACCCACCACCGCCCTCCATGCCTCTTCTTCCGCCGCCCTTCTCCGTCAATCTATTCTTTCCACCACCAGCGCCCCGGACACCCGCCCCACCTCCATGGCCACCTCTCTTTACCCCTACAACGACCCATTCATCAACGCACGCCCTTCTTCCGCCGTCATAGGCCAATCCAACATCTTTCCCCCAAACGCTTCATCTTCTGCCCACGGACACGGCGCAGGCGCGTCCGCCAACACTCCTTCCACTCCCAGCAGCACCGTCACCTACCACGGTGTCTGCCTCACCGTATGGTCCCACGCAGATGCCGAACGCAGCGCCGCCATCCGCCGAACACTCGAAGCCAACCGCTCCCGCAAAGAATCCTCCAACAGTCTCGCCAACGCCCGCCTCAGGTCGCTCCGTAGCGACGGCCACGGTAGCAGTCTCGACCCGACGGCCATGGCCCGCCGTAGCACAAAACGGAGCGCACGTGTGCCTTGGGGAGCCACTACAGACGGCGAAACCGATATTGATGCCGACACGGACGCTATGAGCGAGAGCGATTTCGAAGTGGCGAGTACGATCAACGGGGGCCACAATCCCGGCGAAAGCACGCTCTTCCTCCCTGGCGATACCGTCTTTTGGCTACCCTACGCACTCAGTGAGTCCTTTCCTTCCCGTGCAAACGGCGTGTGGATCATCCTAACTAACTGACTAAACTCATGTTGCACAGCCCTCGTCTCGCGCCACCCGATCTACGACCTCATGCGCGACTACCTCACGCTCTCCTGGGCTCGCTTCTCCAAGGACGTCCAGTCCCACACGCTTCAGATCTCGAAGATCCTCTCGCATCCCGCTCCCCGCGCGGGAGACCTCATCAGACTCGACGCGTCCGCTTCGGTCAAGACGGACGCGTCGGGCTTGGGGGTCAATGATCCGGATACGAGTTTGGAAGTCGTGACCCGTTTCCCTGGTGGACTTGATTTTGGACGCGGGTTGGTCGATGTTAATTTCACGATGTGGCCGCTGTTTAAGGCGCTCAATATCGATAATATATTGACGATCTGCGAGGTGCGTGTCGGGTGTTTGGTTCTTCGTGTTTTTGATGTTGAAGGGGTGTGTGTGCGTACAGATCGCGTTAGCGCCCACTGGCCGCATCTTGTTCTTCTCTCGTCATCCTGCCATGCTCGGCGTAAGTGAACCCGTTCGTGCACCCCTCGTTCCGTACTCAATTTTCTGTTTTCAGATCGCGGTCCTCACGATCAAGTATCTCGTCGAACTTCGTGGATGGAACGGTGTCGCACTGCAGTCCGTTCACGCTCGCGACGCGAAGATATACATCGACGATCCCGGTCCTTGGATCATCGGTCTCGCCACCGAGGCCAGGTACTGCGTCAGGCCTCCCCCCGAGGTCTGCGTTTGTGATCTCGATATCAACTACTTGTAAGTATCTCTCGATTGGCCCGTCTTATTTCTGTACGCTAAGACAGACGGATTCGGATTGTGTAGGAACTGCGCCGCACCGCCGCCTGGTGTTATCTCTGTCAAGCAGCAGAGGGAGAGGTTCAGGAAACAGTTGATGACCGCCTTTGAACCGCTCTATCACCCAGATCACTCCGTACCCAGGTACGCATCCATCCATCCATCATTTCTTTCTTCTCCTAACGACTCATGCTCGATACCTTGCAAAAAAAAATCAGCGAATTCAAAGAAGCTTTCCCCGCCGGTCGTTTCAGGCCGGTATGCAAGATCCAAGCCAAGCGCGGTGGCGCCTCCGCCGCCGTCGCCGACACGATCAAGCCTCCAGAATGGTGGCACTCGACGCGGATCATCCAAGCCTTCGACATAGTCCTGCAAGACAAACTCCGCAAACCGTCCCTCCTCAAACGCATCTCCTCCTTCGGTTCCGTCCGTCGTCAACCCCAACTCTCCGCCGCAGAACAGCACATCCAGCTCTCGATCCGGAAGCGCGCGACTGCGTTCGTGGATGCGCGGGATGATCTAGAGACGAAGATCGGGAGGCTGTCGAGGAGGTTGAACTTTTTGATGACGGAGAGTGATCTGTGGAGGGATAAGTTTGTGACGTTTGAGCAGTATGCGGAGAAGTTGAGTGTGGAGGCGGGAGAGTTGAGGGCGAGGATTAATAAGGAGCAGAGGGAGACGAAGAGGTTGAGTGGGCTTGTTACGTTGACGGCGGGGGAGAAACATCGGTTGGAGAGCCGTGCGTTTTTTTTTCACCTTTTCCTCTTCTCTTCTCTTTCGCCTTCGGTGGACACGGTTTGCTGATGATCTATGTATATGTTTATGTTCACAGAGCTCAGAGACACAGAAGGCCAACACAAAGACGCGCTAGACGAGCTCCAGAAGATGAAACAAGCAATGGAAACAATGGAAGTCGAACGAGCCGCTATGGTCGCCGAAGTCGAAGCACAGATCGAACAGGCACTCGCGTCGATGGCGGTTGGGATGAATGAGGGAGACTATGAGAGTGAGGGTGAGGGTGATGGGTACGATTCGGGCAGCGTGAGTGCGAGTCGGCCTTCGTCACGCAATGCGAGTCGGCCGTCGTCACGCAATGCGAGTCGGCCGTCGTCACGCAATGCGAGTCGGCCGTCGTCACGCAATGCGAGTCGGCCGTCGTCACGCAATGCGAGATCGCGGAGGCCCAGTGACGCGGGGAGTAGGATCAAGCAGCTACGGTCGTTCGGCACTGAGACGACGTTGGCGGAGTATGGGGATGATGCGGATCAGGAAGGAGAGGGGGGACAGGATGTGGGGCGTAAGACGGATTTGCAGAGGTATTCGGCTGTGATTGAGGAAGGGGACGAGAGTGAGGAGCCGGGGAGGGTGAGCGCGGATGGTGACGAGGCGGGAACTGCGAAGGCGAAGAAGACGAAGCGGTTCTCGTCGAGTATGACGACGGAGGCGCAGCAGGATGGGATGAAGGCTGTGGACGAGGGTATTAGCGAGCGCAGCGATAGGATCGCGCGGAAGGTTCTGGAGATCCAGCAGAAATTGGAGAATGCGCTCGCGGCGGAGTATAGGGAGAGGGATAATAGGCAACAGCAGCAACATCAGTCTAGCACGGAGAGCGGGAGCGAGATGTCAGAGGCGAGGTATACGCCTCGTCGGAGGGCGCAGAAGGGGGCTGCTAGAGTTGGGGGGAAGGCTCGTAAGGGATCGTCGTCCAGGAATAGGAGTGGCGGGAATACGCCGAGCGGGCATGTGAGGAGGAGTAGCGAGAATAGTAGAAGATCTGACTCGACGGAGGTCGTTACGCCGACGAAGAAGGCTCCGGAGACGACGCCGAGGAATAGTGCGTCGGGGATGAGGCCCACGGTCATCACTTCTTCTTCTGATGCGCCTACGACCGTCGTCGACGATACTCTTTCGACTGACCCTGATCAACAACAGCATGGAGATCAATCATCCATCGATAGTCGCGGGATTCGGAAAATCTCCTCTGGCGCGTCGTTGGGCGCCACACGCCCTGCTACACCTCCGGCTCCTTCGCCGTCCACGCCTGCGCTGACGAACGCCCTCACGGGGACTACGGACGACTCGGACACGGACTTCCAGAGCGCGTATTCTGCGAGCCCGAGGGCGAAGTATGGGGATGGAGACGGGATGGTCGATGAGGATCATCTCGAGGACTTTGGGGGCCTTCCGCCGCCGAGGAGTGGGAATGGGAATGGGAATGGGAGGTTTAGGTCGGAGTCGGAGTCGACGGAAGGGAAGGAGGGGGAGGTGATGAGGGAGAGGGTGTCCAGTGTTGTTACGGTGAAGAAGGGGAGTGGGATGGAGGGGAGTCCGACGTTTAGTGATCATACGGTGGGACATCCTAGACCGTCGAGGGGGAGTAGGGGAGTCGTTCAGTGATTATGTGGTGGAGGCTCCTTTTTCTCTGTTCTCTTCTCTTCTGTTTTCTTGATCCTCGTTCTCGTTTCTTTACATCTCGACCGCTCTCTCTCTCTTGTTTATTATGTATATGCCCCCTTGATTTATCGTTCTATTTGCGTGTTTTCGTTCCATTATCATCATCATCAGCGTCATTTCACCTTATTCCCTTTTCGTTAAAACCACTCCCTCCCTCTCCCCCGACCGTCTATCGTCTCTATTTTGATTTGCACTTTTACCCCTTCACCATTTACCCTCTACCCTCAAATGTAGGCCAACTCTACTTACCACGGGACTTTCCTTCCACCTGCGCTACCGCCCCGCCCCCCACAGTCACTCGTTTGTTTTTTGTTTTTCCGTTTTTATCTGTCTGTTCTCTCCTGTCCCCGTCAACCGAGGTTCTGCGCTTCTTTCGCTTCCTTTCGATAGATGTTACCCCGTCTCGTTCGTCCTCAATTTCCATCCATCCGTCCGTTCTTCCGTCCTCAATTTCCATCATCTTTTCTGAATTCTCGGAATACTCCCTGGATCGGAGTTTAGGGCTCGCTCAGTAGGCGATGAGGAACGAGGAGATGAAAACACAGTCTGGTGGGGATAGGGATAGGGATTGTTGGTATACCTATACATACATATGGAGATATACATATCATATCTATAAAAGCATATACTTATATACCAAGCACTCTTTCTCTCACTCTCACTCAGTTCACTCAGTCAGTCTTTCCAAAGTACCAGTACTTGTAGCTTGCGCAGACCCTAATTACATGCCCCCGACGGGCGTCTATCTTGAGTACTAGTACTTGAGCTGCAGCCCCTTTCTTTTGGTTTGTTTTTGTTTCACGCGTCCGTTCTTGTTCTGTTCTTTTGATACATTAAGATACAGGTAATTGATATTCGCCCCCTCGTATACCACAACAAATTGTCGGATGGATAGCTAGCTATAGTAGTTAGTTGTTGTCCGTCTATCAGCGTGTACAATACATTCCAGTCCGTTTGTTCGTTCGTCATACACCGCCCCGCGACCGATCGCCGTCGTGTCATCAACACCCATACACACAAACATGCACAAACACATACAAACAACCTTATTCCACCCGTCGCGGCGCAACGAACCGACCCACTATGCATATTTCGCACAAAAAAAAATCACGAGTCCATCCGTCTCCGCGCATTGAACGCCTTCACGACCGTCGCGATCTGTCCGAAGAACCACGACTGCGAGTTCTTGTCCGTGATCTTCACGAACTTATCCTGGTCCTTCCCCGACTTGTGTGAGAACCGGATCCCGCTGTCTTCGATCGTCACGCCCTGGACGAGCGTGAAGGGGAGCTCCCAGTTCAGCCGGAGCCGTCGGGTGTAGAAGGAGAGGACGCGGGTCGCGGTCAGCATGACGACGTTGTCTGTGCCGGGGATGTCTGTGAGATTTGAGATTGTCGGGGAAGATGGTGCGATGGAGTATTTAGGAACAAGTATGAAAAGAGGAGAGGAAGTCTAGCGCTTACTAATGTGGGCGACGTAGGATTCTTGGCGGTAGGCACCGCTGTCGAGGTCCTTGAGCCAGTATTGACCCAGCGCTTCTCGCGACGAATAAGGCTAGAGAATTTTGTGAGTCGACTAGACATGCAACGAATAAAACACGTATACACTTACCACCAATACACCGTCCGAGGGCGTTACTCGAGGCTACAGAGCATAAGTGTTAATACACTCCCCTGGCGCAGAGAAAGCAGGAAGACTTACGATTCTGACACGATCCCGAGCAGGATTATCGAAGACAGTGGTCGTATTCCGGACACCTTCAGCTACGTTGGAAGCCAGGTCGAAGACTCCGACGACGGGCTTCGTAACAGCTCTGCACAGAACCGAATCAGCTCAGATATCCACATCGTGGCGCGCCACAAAAATAACATACCCGACCAAACCCTTTCCGACGCCCTTGAAGAAGCCAACTGCCCCTTCTGACTCGGCACCCTCGATTGGTTTCATCTACGGAGAGAATGAATCAGTACAAAAGGAAAGTTGAGGGATGGCTGCGCCGGTCGAACTCACCACAAGCCCCTCTGCGCCACTCGCCACACTGTTCGCAAAGGCCTCCGCTCCGGCAGTGACACCGTAGCTAAAAATATGGCTTAGATAAATATGAAACTCGAAGCTCACAGCTGGACTCACATGGCGTGTCGCGGCTTGTTTCGTCGCTGGGTGATCCTTCTCCGCTTTTGATACTCAGAGTCGAGTGTGGCGGCAGAGATACCTTTGCCTATGCTACCGGTCACCTTCGTGAAACTATCCGAGAAGCCAAAGACAGTCTTCTTGACGAAGCTCGCCGCACCCTGTATAGGTTGTTTTGTCAGACATGGGCATGTACGAGCTTGTGGTGCAACGTACCTTCGCGATGCCGACACCGAGTTCCCGATTGCCGTGCATGACAACACCATTGAAAGGCTCATAGAAGATATCCGCCACTCCGGAGCTGACGTTCGTGAACAAGCCGACAGGGTTACCGATGAAATCTGCAGAGCCCAGGATACGGTAGAGCTGACGGAGGACCTCTTGTCGGTAGTGATATATGATACGGGATTGGACGTCCGGCACACTCAGGCGCATGTCTTTGATGGCGAGCGCGTTGAACTCCAGAGGCGCGTCGTTGACGTTTCCGATGGCCATGGTTATCGCGTTGACGATGATGGCTAAAGGATTCCGTATGCTCATCCTGTACCATTGTGGTTAGCTATAAAGGCTCGGACAAGATGAGAGAAGTGCTCACTTCTCCGCGCCGCTCATTCTTTCTGTACGCATGAAGGACAAAGCCAGCCGGATTGGTTGGAGTTCAAGGACCTCGAAGTAGACTTGTTCGCTGCTGGCCGCAGTGTGTGGCTCCGGTATCTCCTCAGGGTGTTCAATAAGCACACTACGAATGACATCAGCACTCTGTAGACAATCAAGACAAAGCAAACGTACTCCTGGTGCCCTTCTTCCCAAGACGCGCCTTTGATCTGACTGAGTTCGTACACAGTATACAGGAAGTCTTCGTCGGCAGTGATGGTCAAGGCCTGCAACAACACCGAGCAGTACTTGACGAACAATACGCCGTGTTCTGCGTACAACGCTTGAGCATGTACGTGAGCTCTCAAGCAGTGAACATCTCTCACCCTGGTCGTTCAGCCAGATGACCGATCCCTGGATTGTTGGCAACGCTTGCGCATTGCGCGCCTCCTTCGTCAGCGGTGTTGGTTGTAGAACAACAGGGAATATCGCATCATGCAGCTGATTGTCTAGTTGTATGGAGCCAAACGAGACGTTGACCGACTGCGCCACATTGCTGGTCGAATACTCGAACTTCAACTTCTCGATCGAGAGGTACACAACTTCAACGATCCTTCTGTTGATGAGGGACAAGCCGATGCCAGAGAAGTCGACATTGAACGAGAAGTTCGGTTTGATCTCTTCGGTAATCGCTTCGAATCCCTCGGTGCTAGAGATCGTGTTCACTCGAGAGCTGGACATACTCCCACGAGTCCTTTGTCGGTACAAGCTGTTTTCGGGCCTGTAGTCACTGATCCTGAGGACTTGCTTGTGGCCTTCGACACGAACGTCAATGGACACCACTCCCTTATGGGTCTGGTTCTGTTTGGTCAGGTCAGTAATGCCATCCTCTGTGAGTAGTGATGACCGTACATGGAATTTGAAGGGAACCAGATCTCCGATCTCCATGATGTCTACAGCTCGGCGTGCGTTGCCGATCGTAAGCAGGATCTTCTTCTCAGCACCGGCGGGGAAATCCCATGCGTATGGTGTTAGTGTGTGGTCCGGCAAGAAGTAGCTAGGGTTGGCTTTGCTTGAAGCGTCAGCGTCACCGTGCGCCAGGTCCTGTAAGAAAGAAAAAGTAGGTCGCATATCATCGAGATTTTGACGAGAATGAACTTCTTACCATTTGACAAAACGAGAGATCATATGAACTGTCGTTTTCAACGGTGAAAGGCCAGTCGTCGTCCGCGAGGTTGATCGTCACGAAGATAGTCGAGTAGTCCATCTTGATGTCCGCGCGAATTAGGTGACTCGTCGATCGTTCGCCTGGCTCCTTGAGACGGAAGTGCACCGAACCGATATCCTCGACACTGAATGGTGGCGACCTACGGAAAGGAATTAGTATATCGTGGACGTCATACGCAGCGTCACTGACCATTCCGTGTTGAGCCCCGGGAAAGCTATTGTGAGAAGCTTTTCGTAGCCCGCTCGCATGGTATGTATCGGTACTCGCTCTGATGGCTCCAATGTCGACTTCCCTCGAGGCGCAACGCCATGCTCTCGGAAACAGATAGGTTCGGCCATGTTGTTCTTGATCAAGAACCGAGGAGCGATCGTGATCACCTTCGTTAACTTGTACTTCCCCAGTCCGACGGTCCATGAGAGGCCAACATGCACCTCCTCGTTCTTCTGAGAGTTTGATGCAACTGTTAGCTCCGTCTCGGCACTTGGAGCTTCCAAGTTCAGTGGCTATTCGAACAAGTCTGAATGAGCTCCGGCAGTATGCAAGAGTCGAATTCCGCACCTTTGACCAGGCAGAATTCCCAACTTTCAGGACGAATTCATTGCCGCGCTCAACAGGATGAGACAACACTATTGCACGTAGGTTAGCTGGTTGCAGAGTGAGAGAAAAGTCTGACTTACGGAATGGGACTGGCTTAGATAACGTTTCTGCGGGACTGTCAGCACATCACGATTTCCTAAACCTGAGAGAAACTGACCGTCGCGTGAGTCGCCTGCGACCGCATGAGGAGCACCAGGTCTGGCGGACCGAACAGCCATGACGCCAAATGGGATACCCATCTTGTTGACTATAAGGTAAGGAGAGTAGATCTGGACTTTGAAGGCCCCGCCGGCCTCCGGGAAGCGACTGTGATACGATTAGTTCACACAGCGGATAAGAAACAAGTACTCGTTCGACGTACATATAGTTCAGCCGGAGATCCAATTTCCGACCTTGAGGATCCTGCAAGGTGAGGCGATGTTCGATGTCGAAGTCGGAATGTCCGTCCGTGTTGATTATGCCAAAGTCGCTAGGCTTGAATACTACACAAATGGTTCAGACCACAACCCCTGGTCGAAGTCAAGGCAGAACTCACCTGTATCCTGGATCTCAACGTTGAGAAGAACGAGATGCCCAAGTTCGACAGAGTGAACAGGCATAATTCCTCCCGTCCTAAGGTAGCTCTTCCAGTTCTGATCAGTGTCCTTGTCGTAGATCCGGTATTGAAGATTGTAGGGGAGGAGGTTCTCAAGTTCGATAGGAGCACGGAGTTTGAGATCAATCTTCGGATATTTTCTGTATGAGTAGATATGAGTAGGGGAATCTAAGCTTTGATAAAGCTAGCACGGACCGCATCGAAGCACCGGTTGCATCAGTCTGTACAAAGGCGTGGAACCTGAACGCGGCTTCTTGCTCGTCAGTGTGAGGGCATCTGAGAGTGAAGGTTTGTCGGGAGACAAGGTCTTCCCAACGTATTGCGGATGACCACTTGTAGCCGAAGCCCTCTGTGATGAAGAACAACCCAGTAATTCAACCGAGGGGAGCATGGTACGAGGGACAACAGGCTTACGGTCAGGCTGGACCCTAACCTTGTACTTGCCAACGGCATCGATGGGCAGGGAAAAGTCCTGACCAGGGGCTGGAAAAATGTCAGCGTTGGACTTTGCCGCAAAACAACTGTGACTTGCCTATCTTCTCGACACCACGCTGAGCGCGACCGGTATCATCCACCAGAGTGAGTTCTACCGGGTACAAAGTCTGATTGTGTACCTTATAGGTAGATCGAAGGGTGACGATCTTGACGCTGGCCACGACTGTAACTTCACAGAGCATGCGATTGTGGAGCTTGTCCGTCCTTGGTCGAAGTGCATATGTGAACTCTCCCTCTCTGTCCACAGGGATGCTACGCAGCCGTTCCCAAGGTTGTCCGTCGAACTGCACTCCTATGCTACTTTGGCCAGCGGACCCCGTATGCTAGATAAAGGTTCAGCACCCCCAACATGATAAAGTTAGCCATTAAACTGACCTCGCGCATAGTCTTCCAGTCGTCGAACCTCCAGTCGATAGTCTGGCCATCGTTGACCTTGACAGCGCCGAGATCCTTCTTCTCGCTGCTACCATCCGCGTCTGCCCAGATGTACAGGGGCGTCCCGGTATAATTGCGGATCTGATACGGTGCATAGCTTCCACGTGCTTTCTCCAGGACACGTTCGCCCTCTCTGCTCCAAGTATTGAGGATGTCGACGGCCATTTCCAAGAACGTCGTGCTGACGTTGAGATTCAATCGCTCTTGTGAAGACAACGTAGCTACCATCGCGCTGTCCGGGCGGTCTTTCGCAACCTTTGTATACGCCAGATTTAGATAAATGAAAAGTTAACATTCTGCGCTCTTACCGAGGCAGAAAATGTCCAAGGATCGATCACTGTAGTGAGACAAGGAGTTCAGTAAATAATGTGCCGTTATCGAGTTGAATGCAACCTACGAGGCTCCCAGTGCGAGTTTGTCAAGTTCCAATAGCTGATGGATGTCGCCAGTGTCGTTGACGCTTGTAACTGAGACCAAAATGATCAGTTCCTGAATTGGGAACCAGAGCCGTCATGTTGTTTACCTCTCCGGACCAATCATTGACCCCTACAGTGAAGGGTTTGACCTTGAGGTGCAACGTTGGCTGTTCGTGTAAGTCACCGATCAGAACCAAACGGAATCCATCTAGGGAGGCTTTCAGCTTTTTGAACAGAAAGAAGACATATCAGCAAACGGTTGCACACGATCTTTGACTAAGTACTCACCTGTTCTTTGGACGTAATAACCCTCGCCCGACCGACAGTAGGGACTTGTCCGCTTCTGCGTGCAATAGACTTGCGCGAAACAGCTTGACCAGACGAAGACGCGGCTCTCACACTCGGCCGCACCTTGGTGTTCGCCTGTTCCTGCGCCGTACTCGCCCTCTGACTTGACTGGTTATAGGCTGTTAGGGCCTTATTCGTGATTGTCATGATGAGCTGGATGTCTCGGTAAGAGGCGCGGAAGACAATGGGCTTCGAGGTGATGTCGATACTGGTCATCTGGTGAGCTGACGAGTTCCTGCTGTCCAGAGTGACGGTCATGTCGACTTCGTCGAGGAAGCGGACGTCATCCGCGCCTTTGCCCATGCGTGTCAATGACATTCCCAAGCGAGTGACGTTCAATGCCATGATTCCCTATGCGAGAGTTTAGTCATGAAGGAAATCGGATATTGCCAGGAAAAAAATCGCACCTGTTGCGAGAGCAAGACTTGACCGATAGAAAGACGAATAGCCTGCGAGTTCGCGTCTGTCTCACTTTCGAGTACACTGACCGATACGTCGTGAAGGTCGAACCGGAAATCCAAGCCAGACTTTTGACCAGGATCACTGGGCTGCGCGACTTCTTGAGCTTGCGGAGCATCGAAGACGGACTCCATCTCTTGCGCCGGTGGTGAAGGGGGAAAGGCACTCAAGAAAAACTCCATGAGAGCAAAGACGGGATCGATAGCGAAGATGACTTTCGGGGAATCGACGGTGAGGACTGCGAGCGATGATGGGTTCGGTCCCCCGGATGCGGTGTACAGGATCATGAATTGGTTCCGGTCGTGTTGAGCAGCTGGTATGATTTCTCGGAACTTGGAATTGCCAGCGCGGGTGTTGCTCATCGTGAACGACTTGAGGACGACCTGAGCCTCCAAAGACCCATCTGAAAGCATCTTCAATCTCAGACTGTTGTTGTTGAGCGCGAATCGAGCGACACCGTGCTCCTGCAGGTTCGCAGTCGTTGTTGCCTGAGCGTCGTATAAGTGAAGCTTCACAGCGTTGATCGAAACAATGAGGTCAAGACTCGTCCAGATGTTGGCACCCTCGGCAGTTGAGACAGGAGCCAACTCAGGTCGTAATGCGACACCAGAGTCTTGATCAGATTCCGGGGAGTGCTTCGAAGAAGCCTTCGATGACACAGTGTCTTCGACCTGTGCCGCTCCCTCTGGTGCTCCACTCAATATTTTCGGGATAGACTGAGACAATGCGATGACCATTCCGTACTGGACTTGAGTCAGGTAGAGCTTGATATCGGAGACCTTGACATTGACCTGGGCACAACATTTGCGTTAGTAATATTTAAGACGAAAACGATGCATGAAAACTTGCCTGAGTGTCGGGATAGTCATTATTTCCCGCAGGTCTAGCAGCAGCGGCTTGGACCACATCCGCCTCGACCTCGATATCATCGATGATCTTGAGGGTCGAAGGCTTCGAGTCATGATATAACGTGGAGATGAGCTGAATCCCACGCAAGCTTGCCGAGGTCTTGAGTTTGTCGTCCTCGTACGCATTGTTGGCGGTAATCTCACCAAGACGCAGCGTCAACGCATCTTGAGAACTGGTCACGTCTGAGGGGAAGACGAGGATAGGGGTCTTGACGGAGATCTCGAACTTCATCCTCTCGATCTCAGACGCTCGTTGCACGGCCACCTACAACGTTCGTTCCAAACTATCCGTGAGCAACTGACGATATAGCGAGCGAGAGAATATTTCCTGACCTGAGTAGCAGCATCATACAGACCCTTCAATTTCGCCAACTTGTTCATGAAGAGATAGATATCATGCAGAGGCTGTTCAAGGTAATGCAGCTTCACGGACGCAGCGGCCAAATAAACCGAAGACTTGATTCCCTTGTAATTCTCGTGGTCGTTGGGGTCGAACGTCTCGTACCGGAATTCGGCCAAGTTATCACCCTCGATGGACATGATCTGCTTGAACTCCGGAACGGCCGTCTTCTCGTCGGAATCATCGGTGAGCGACAAGCTCCCGAGCTTCGCATGGATGTTCATTGTGTTCGAGAATAAGAGAACGGTCGTCTTTGCAGTCGAAAGCGACAGTGTCGCAAGCCTAGCAGCGGCATTGACGAGCAAGACTGGGAATAAACTCAAGTCAGTCCTTTATATGATACCAATACATGATGGATACTTACTCTCCACGCTGGCAAGCTCGACCAAAACACGGATCTTGCCACCTTGCGCATTAGCCTCCTGTTGAGCCGCAGAGTCCACGACTTTCGAAGTGTCTTGCTGCTCTGTCTCAGTGATAACAGCACCCGATGGCGCAGCGACGAAGGTCGACATGATGAAGTCATACAACGTGAGAACCGGTTCTGGCGCAGCGCGGAAAACAACCGTAGATATCTTGATGTCGACGTTCTGGTCGATACCCTCGTGCATAGTGAAGAACTCTGGTGACGCTTTCTGGACTCGGTGATACTTCACGGTGAGCAAGTCCTTGTTCTCGTCGGTCTCGACCGAAGATAGGACCTCGAGGGGTTCGGCGCCAGGCTCCATCAGATTCATAGACAGGGAGCTGAACATGCATTTTGGTTAATGATTAGCGGTCGTCAGAAGTTAGGACAAAACGTACCCGAGGCTGATATCGACCGTCATATCGAACTTCTCCAAACCGAATGTCAAAGTGAATTGGTTGAACGAGAGGTCACCCAGAGGTTTCTCGCCATCCTCGCCTTGACTCTTAGAAATAGACGCGCGCACGGTATCCACCTGGAAGTTGAGCTCGAACGTCCTCTGATGCATTCCACGCTGCTAGAATTTCCGGTGAATAACTCGCTGGTGAACGTCTCGTAAGATGGCTCATGAGACATACCTCTACACCTCCGTCCTGAGACTGCTCCTTGGACTCATCATCCTCATGATCGTCATCGATAGTATACTCTTCGCCCGCGAAAGGGAACAATCCGGAAGGTATCTGATATCCACTGGTCGTAGCTGAGGCCGACGGGTCATCGTCTCCGAGTTTCGGTATAGTAACATCAACGAGACGCATGATGGACTTATACTTCGTGTCCGAAAAGTTGAGCTGTAAAGTAGGAAGGTTTCCGGAAACCTTGAATCGCGAAAGATTGACGGCACTAGGCACGATGGAATTCTGGACCTGAAGATCGATATTGATGCGCTCGAGGAGATGCAGCGAGTTGTGGTCGTCTGAGGTGAGAGCATCGCGACAAGCTTGGAGTTCATCTCCTAGCACGAACTATACCGTCGAAACGCTTCAGCATGGATCGAGTGATATACGGACATTCTTACCTGAGCCGCATGGAGCTTCAACGAGAACTTGTCATACATCAACGACTCTAACCTGACATAATCTTCGTCCGTGTAATTCTGGTTCCTCTTGAGGTGGATCTGGCGAATAGCCTCCTTGTCTGCCAGATTGCTCTCGATAGAGATGTGACCGGCATCGATTAGCAGATGTTTGCATCGGTTGGTCGTGATACTTCTCAATGATCAGCGCTCGCCGCTCAGCAGGAGTAAACGAAAGTTTTTACCTTTCCGGTATGATAATGACCGGAGCATTCATGTCCATCTGAATGTCGACGGTCTTGTGATTCTGAAGGGCATATTCAAGACCCGCTCGCGTTTCCTTCCGAAGACCTTCGAGCGTCTGACTCGCAGCATTCTACCCTCGCCGCACCAGATCGCATCAGCAGCTCTCACATATGAACTCGAACAAAGCCAGACTCACCAACAGAGCCTCCACAGACTCCAATTGACTAGCAGGCGGCTTGAAGAAGCGATAAATAGCTTCAACGTAGCCCCTGTGATAGATGATCTCCATATGACGCATCCGAACCGTCAACGCCGAATCCGCCCGCTCGTCCAACGGGTTATTCTCAAACTTCACAAAGAAGAACGGATCCTCCACGTCCGGCTTCTTCTCTCCACTCTCGTCGCTCTTGACGTGCACGATCTGGGGATACAACGTATCCTTCGTCGTCCCATCGAACACGCGCAAACCGCCCAACGCGGTCGTGAGCTCGAAATTATCCGCACGCTGCACGAAATCCGCCTGAAACGCATCGAACACGATCGAAATCACCTCCTCCGCCTTCCCGTGCGGGTCCGTCATGAGTGCCAACGAGCCCTTCTCCAGCTTCGCGGCCACCCGCATCTTGAGAGCCCCCCTCGGAGCCTCGAACGACTCCGCCAGAGCAGCTTTCTCATCGTAATCGAGCACGTCGTACAGTTCCTTCCGCTGTTCTTCCGTCATCGGCCCGGTGAACGCGTTTTCTCCAGAGCCAGAGTCGGGGCCTTGGCTGGAATCGGAGGAGGAAGAACCCCAGAGCCAGCTGCCCCAGCCCGCCGACTGTTGTGAGTCCTGTTTCTTCTTGTCGTCCTCGAGTTGTCTGCGGAGGGCTGCGTCCTTGCGGAGCTCTGAGCGTGCGATGGACCTGTAAAAGCGGATGTCTTCGTACGACAGTTTCTTTTCCAGCGCCTCGAACATGGCGGTGTCCTGCATTCAACGTGTCTAGTTAATAAAAAGGGTAGACACGGTGTGCTTTTGAAGGTACCTGAGGTCTGAGCGTGTTCAACTGCTTCTTCTTGAAAAGCTCGACGTATCGATGCCTGTCATCCCTACGCTCAGCGAAGTACGCCCAGGTCCATTTCCGCCTCCTTTCGTGAACACCGTCCAAGATGGCCTTGCCTGCAAAATTCAGCAATGCTCGTGGTCGATTTTCTTCGAGCTCTTCCGTAGTGGGCCGGAACTTGAGATACTGTCGACAAGAAAAAAAAATCAAGTCGGGTTCGCCGCAAAAGCCGTAGCAATGTCGAATTTTACCTGTCGGTTTCGCATGTAAATGTGGTACATGTCCACGAGCGAGATCGCATCTCGGTATTGGTTATCGTCCAGCAGAACGCCGATCTCGTCAAAGAACAGCTGAACGTCAAACCGCGGCGTTTCGTTGTCCAGCTTCTTGTGCATGACGATCTATGTAGTAAATCATTTGAGTACCAAATTGACGACGATGTGTGTTTGTTGTTCGTTCATACCCTGCCCTCCCCCGAGACGGGTTTCAGGATGTATTGATGATCTTTGGCATGCTTCTCGCTGGCAATCTGAACACAGCAATGATCAGAATGGGTTTTCGTCGGGTATAGAGCGGAAACCGAGGTTACCATAGCCTTGAATTTTTCGATCGCTTCCGAATAGGGCAAACCAGCCATGCTGCTCGTGTCAGTATCGATGTAAACGGCTAGCGATTCAAGTTTTGAGAGCTATAAATGGAGTGAGTATACTTGACAGAAGGTAAATGCTGGGGTGCATACTTTGTGGATACTACCCGCTGTGCTCTCGATGAACGCGGGGACCCAGTTCTCATCCACGGAGAAGGCAGAGAACCCGGCCAATGTCAAGCCCGCCGCGAATGGATGCTGAATACGTGTTCAACATAAGCGAAAAGGGAACGGAGATATGTCGTGCTTACTCCTGGGACACTGAGCTTGTCCTCATAACGAACATGGATGTTCTTGATCGTGACCTGGAGATTGTTGATGATTTTGGCAATCAGGGAAGCCAAGAGACCTTGCTGCTCGGGCGTTTCTTCTACAAAAATGTAGATCATCGATACCTCGTGCATGTCGAAGAGACACGCCACACATACCTTGCGATTGTACGGCCGTGTTCCGATTCATATGGAGCAGTTCTGCGTTTTCTAACCGCTCCCGTTTTGCAGCCTGTGCCCGAGCTTCGTTTTCTTCCGGGTCTTCATTTCCTTGCGAAGAGGGTACGACGAGGAGATAGACATCCTCGATCAGCAATTCGACGGGCTGATTGCCCAGATTTCTCCAATGCAAAGAAAGCGTGAAGGTGCCCAGGTGACCTACACAAGACTTCAGGAAATGAATCCACGGCGATATTCGCTCAATGCGAGCTAACCTTCAATCACATCGACGGGGAGCCGAAATTTGTCCAATGCACCCTTCTTGAGCCTGAGCTTCTTGAGTGTTAATTGACCTGGAGGGTGCAATGTGAGTGTCGGTGGCGGGGAATTCAAAGCGCCGACGGTAGCGAGAACGCACCCTGCCCTATCCCATAATTCACTTGGTTCATGTCCAAGTTTTCGACATACGGGGCAAGGATGCGGTTGAAGATCTGGTTGAGAGAGCAAGACCAGCTGGTCTGAGTGCCGGAGGACGATTCATGTTCGAGGTGTATTCGAGAGCACGTACGACGTTCAAGACCTCCTTGCCGGGGTCGAGCCACCACATGGTGAGATATTTGTTCCGACGCGCGAGCTAGCTAGGACTAATACGTATATAGGGGCAATGAGAATCGAAGGAGGAACGGCAGGGTCTTGTGAGGATGAAGCAGGGAGCAAAGGAGCCTGCGCGGCGCAAGATTGTGGCAACAGAAATGATAGGACGTCATGGCACGTGTCGGGGTGATACATAAATACGTGCTAAATCGGTCCGAGATCGGTGTTTGAATCAACCTTGTAATCTAAAAGTAGCAATCGGCAAGTGAATGGGGCAACCCCGGCGCTCTTCCCACGCTAACATGGCAGTCGCGAGTCCACCAGCTCGCTCGATGTGGAGAGTCTTTTGTTGTGGAGCGCTGCGGTGTTCTCTTGTGTCGTTCGACCTACTCACTGGAACTGAGTGGGTACCCCGCACTGAGGGTCTAATGCCCCGCACAGGCATCGCGGAGCGGAAAGGACCCTGAAGGGGACCGAGACCATGAAACCGGAAGATCAGGAGGTCCTGCAACGCCGCCACGACCAGCAGCCTGCTCCGAGGTCCGCCGGTGGGCGGAAATCTAGACGGCCTACGACTGTCTATATAACACTCTAGCCCGATGGAGGCCTCGCGCTCAGCGGTTTCCCTCCTTCCCCCACTCCAGATCCTAATCCTCTCCACATTCTACAACTGCGGGGTCGACCTTGCCAACGAAGTCTAGCCAGTCATGATCTCACTTCTTCCCCACCCAGTTGCCGCCCATGTTGAGTTGGAGGATGGACACCAAGACATTCCCCAGATGAATGAGGTCAGTGTTGATCCATAGGAGCCCACCGGCACACGACTCACATTCTGTGCTCTACCCCATAGCTAGGAGGCTTGCATGATGCTCTAAAACCCATCACAGAGTCAGTCTCGCTATTCTTGCACTGTTTCCCACTGTGTACTGACCGTCGGGCGACGTACGTGTAGGCTGCTGTGCCGTTCCGTCAACGACCAATCCGTTTCAGTCCGCCCAGTCCGTCTATTCTGCACGGTTCCCACGTGGTCACCCTGTTCTGAAACTTGTATGCCCCAATTTTTGGTTATCGTTACGTCTTGCTCACTGTGCATGTTGTGCAGGCATCGACCTCCACGACCTCCAAGACCTCCGCTCTCGCTCTCTCCTCTTCATCCATGACCTCGTGAACTCACTACGAGCATCGGGGGTACGTACCATTCGCCTCCCTTTTCTGAACGTACCTCTCACGAACGTACCTCAGGTACCTGCCTCATATACTCTCTCACCATCCCACTCTCCTATCTGTCTCGTCTGCGCATCACCGACTGAGTTGGACAAGAACCGTGTACGAGCATCAGCGTACGAAGCACTCGAAAAAACCAAACCAAGTGCACGGTAAGCTCTATCTCTTCGCCAGCCACGTGTATGACCTCTGAAGCGTGTTCGTTTGTAGAGAAAGGGTGCTTCTTGTAAATCTCAAGGATGGCCCGGCGTTGGTTATCACTTGATTGCTTTTCTTATTCGTGGTTTTGTTCTTTCTGGATCTGGGACTCTGTTCTGATTTTGTTTGCTTCATACATACTCTCTGCGTTCGTGTTGGATATCCCTACTGTCATATGCTATCACATCGTCCTTCTGTTCTGCACCCATCCTAGTACCGTTTTCTGCATCTCCCGTACGAGTAGTGCTGCATTGAATTCAACATCCGTGACCATGCTTCATCACGTTGGTTGACGTGTCGGGTTGTGGCGCCAGGACGCGTCGGCACACGCGGTTGAACGTTGAACTTTTGTTTGCAACGCGTCGAATGCGACTGGCCATGGCTTGTGGACGTTTATCATGACCGGCCGATGGAGAGGAAAACATATGAAAGAGTGGGCTGATGTGACTGACGTGTGACGGGTGACGGGGTGCTACATAACGGGGCCGGTCGCGTCCTCGTACGAACTTTTGGGCCGCCCAACGTTTTTTTCCCAGTTCTCGCTCGTCTCGTTCGCATTCATGGCTCCCCTCGCCGACTTCCTCCTCCAACATGTCCCCCTCCCGCACCTCCCATACTACCTCAATCACTGGGTCCCCGGCGCGTCTCCCCTCTCCAACCAGTCCACCGTCGTCGGCACTCTCGTTGGCTACCTCGTCACCATCTTCTCCATTCGCGAGATCATGAAGACACGACAGGCTAAACGACTCCAGTATCTCTTTCAGCTTCACAATCTCCTCTTAACGTCAGGTAGCGCTCTCCTGCTTGTTCTCATGGCCGAGGAGATTCTGCCGATACTCTGGAAGAACGGACTGTTCTACGCGATGTGCAACGAAGGCGCGTGGACAGAAGTGAGACTCATCTATCCGTCAACGCGTCGGTTCTCATTGGTTTGTGACTATTATAGAGACTGGAGTTTTACTACATGATCAACTACTACATCAAATTCGTTGAGCTCATCGACACCGTCTTCCTCGCGCTGAAGAAGAAGCCTCTTGGTATGTCCCTCTTCTCTCAGGATATGCGTACCTGTCGTGACTCAGTCTACGTGTAGCATTCCTGCACGTCTTCCATCACTCGGCCACGGCATTTCTCTGCTTTACACAGCTGAACGGCAAGACCAGTGTGGTTAGTATCATCAATCTTTGCGCTAGACCTCCCGAGTGACCGCCGCTCATACACCACTTCATCAGTCATGGGTCGTCATCTCGTTGAACCTGAGTGTCCACGTCCTTATGTGTGAGTGGACATTCCTCATATCACGCGAACAAAAAAACTGACGCTTCGCAGATTACTACTATTTCGCCACGGCTGGCGGCGCTAAGATCTGGGTAAGTCGCGCTCCAGCATCAAGCCACATAGGCACATCAAATTGACAAGGATGTCCGCACACGCAGTGGAAGAAATACCTCACGTCGATGCAAATCGCCCAATTCATCATCGACCTCTTCGTTGTCTATTTCGGAAGTCAGTCCCGTTTAGTCATCACCCCACACGTTACCCTTTTCTCTAATCACTTTTGACTACCACGCTCCGGTGACTTACAGCGTATTCGTACTTCGCCGCCACATACTGGCCGTCGATGCCCGTCATGGGCTCTTGCGCGGGGACGGAGAGTGCTGCGTTGTTTGGCTGTGGGCTGTTGACGGCCTACCTGCTCCTGTTCATCAACTTCTACATCCAGACATACAGGAAGCCGTCGACGAGGAGCAAGAAGCCTTTGGCCAACGGAAACGGTGTCGCAAACGGGAATGGGAACGGTGCAGCGTGAGTCGCCTTCCATGTGTTTATCCAATCTTCGCCCCTGACCAGATTTTTGGATCCTTGATAGTCACAAACAGGATTAAACAGTGATCGTGGGGTTTACCGGTACAGGTTGTTACTTGGTACGGCAGGAGGAAAAGGCGGAGTTGGCTCCGCTTCACTCGAATTCACGGCGGCGATGCAATATACCACCATCCATCCATCATCCACGACCGGAGCATTCTCTTTTCAATATTCTTCTTCCTGCGATCCCGGCTTTGGTTATTAGTTAGAGTGACGATCTGGACGCTTCGACCCGTTCCCTCTTTTTCATGCGTTCTTACTAAGGGTTGTCGCGTTTCCTCGTACTTATAATACCATCTTCCGCAGTGAACGTCGGGCAGGCGTCGGTTTTCGCTCGCTGTCTATGGTTTGTCGATACCTAATTGATATACTTACATAGCGCGCAGCCGACGTACCGTCGACTTCTTGCTGTTGTAATTTCCGAATTTTAATGGGCTGGGCTGGGCGTGACGCGTGAGGCTGAGGCTTCTGAAGATCTCTGAGCTTAGCTTTGAGCTTTGCGTGATTAATTGCGACTTTCGCTTTCGGGTTCTATTGTCCAACATTCGTGGGAGGCTATACTGCCGTGGCGAACGTGGAACGTGGTGGTCAATTACTGCCATTAATTTGTGTGATCCAGGGCCCGCCGACGGGAGATGGGGTTCCACGCGTTTGCTGCATATTCCTTCGGATCGTCTCATGGCATTCCTACAGTTACCTTGTTTTGCCCCCGCTCTTTCCGTCTTCCCACCATCTTGACCGGTGGTGATCATCCGCCTCCCGCGTCACACAACCACCACCTGCACGTATTAGACTACTCTAGTACCGACAGACGCGAGTGTTCAAAGCACCAGCAGTGGCAACTGCAACAGCAAACACAACACAACACGAAAAGCCACCGAGCCGAAACCCCTGTTCGTTGTCAAAGCGCAGGCTCCAACCGCGTCTCGTTCGTCTCGTATCGACATGTCCGACGGCGGCTGGGGAGCTCATTCGGATAGCAATCACGGCGATGCTCATGGAGAGTCGAACGGCGAGGGGAGGGAGTTCTTCATCTCTGTGCAGGTTTATATATCGAATAAAACGGCGACGGCGATGCGAAAGGTGCGTTGTTGCGTTCGACACGGTTCGGTGTACATGTGCATGGCGTATGGAATAACAACTTGACTGACGAACCTCTGGTCCACTGCACTTATTACATTCCATATCGCGCGTGTCGTTGCATGTTGCTTAAATCCAGCCCAATACACGGAAGAAGACAGAGAAGCGTGACGGGCAGGGCTCGAGACCGTTGTCTCTGCTGACGGAGGATCGGAAAGTCAAAGGTACGTCCTGCTTTGCTCGCGTGGTGGTCTGGAGGAGAGGAAACTGGAGTGATACGAAAGCAGCATTGCAGAGAAGTCGAGTTGGCTCAGCCTTGCACGGCCGTCGAGTACATGGGAGCATTGGAGGCAGGCTACATGTCGATTGACTGAGGAAGGAGAGAAGTGTATCTTAAACGTTTATATGGATGTGAGTCTCCTTCTCCTTGCTCGTATTGGTTTGTCCCTTCCTCCTGTTTGCAGAGGGAGTCAAGAGGTCGAGTTTTGGCGTGGTGTTGATGGGACTTCATTGCAACCATAGGAGATGATACTCTATCAATGCGTCTATATCCATCTCCTGCATCATACCGACATTCGAGCTGTCGACCGATCATTGTTCTCCATGGATCACTGCCTAGGGATACACTGCGCTTCGTAAGATACCCCCCTTTCCCACCTCCTATCCCGCTGAATGCCTAACGGGCCACCCCACCTTATTTTATCTTAGAGCACGAAGATGGACTCTAGGAACCCCCAACGAACCGCTCTACTTCCAGTTCTCCTCCTCCGAAGCCCTCAACACGTGGATATCCCTCCTGCGCTCGTATGCTGTCCCTGAAATCTACGGAAGAGATCCAAACAGTCGGGATGGAGGCATGTATCGTATATGGCGACAAGTCGAGCTCAAGTGCATCCAAGCACGAAATATTGGCTCTGCTCGCTCGTTGGACGAGAACTCGCCAAACTCACCTCTTCCAGGCGATAACATTAATGATTCCGGCCGTGGCGGGCACGGTGGCGGAGGGGGCGGCGGTGGCGACTCGGACGCCGTCACCGATCTGGACTTGTATTGCGAGATCTACTTGAACAAGACGCTTTCGGGACGTACCGTCGTGAAGAAGAGTCTCGGCGCACCGGAGTGGCATGAGAATTTTTTGTTCAGGGATTTGCCGTACTTGGAGGACTTGACGATCAAGCTGAGGAGGGAGAAGAAGCTACTGAAGCCTGCGACGGTTGGGACGGTTTATATCGTGCTTACGAATTTTAGGAGGGGCGAGCTCGTCGATGGATGGTTTCCAGTGTTGTATGGAGGCTCGGCGACGGCGAGCACGCAAGTTGGTCAGATTCGGTTGAAGTTGAGAGTGGATGAGTAGGTATACCTTCTGCTTCCGTATTCTTTTCAGTTTACAGCCAGGCCGATACTGAACGATTTTCCCTAGAGAGATTGTCCTGCCTCTGTCTGCCTATTCCTCGTTACAATATGTTAGTCCCGCTTCGTAGGTTCGCCTCGACTTACTGAGTGATGACCACCTCACACACAGACCCTCAACTCTCGGAACTATTTGGATTGGATGAGCGATCTCGAGCAGACCCTCAAGTTGAAGCATCTTTCGCAGGAGCTGGTCTCGCTCGCGGTTGCAAAAGATACCCTTCTCGATAGTATATTCGAACTCGCCGATCGCGAGGTGGACGGGACGCCTAGCTGTACGTGCTTTTTTTGGTGGCGCGTTATTGCGGCTCAACCCCGGCCTCTGATGTTTGTTCTTTATTGCCGTATTAGCACACACCACCCTATTCCGTGGAAATACTACCCTCACGAAGACAGTCGAGCTGGCCATGAACTGGTACGGCAAGTCGTTCTTGGAAGCCAGCGTTGGCGACACTATCAGGAAGCTGTGTTCCGAATCCGTCGCCATCGAGGTTGACCCGATACGGAATGGCAAGGGTGCTCGGGAAGTAGAGCGGCACGTTGATCTGCTCGTGCATTGGTGCCGGGAGGTTTGGGAGAAGATATACGCCGCTCGATATGGATGCCCACAGTCAGTGTGCACCTCATTGCTTTTCGTTGCATGAATGATAAAGGAGAGTTGACACTGACCAGAGCTCGGTTGGTTTAGAGAGATGCGAAGGTTATTCGAACATGTTCGGCAGCTTGTCGAGAAGAGATATAAGGGCCACCAGGATTCGGCTGAGCAGAAGAGAGAGCTACCCTGGCAGAGTGTCTCGGCCTTTATCTTCCTGCGTTTCATCGTACCCGCTATATTGCATCCTCACCTCTTTGGCTTGTGTGCAGGTGAGTGCCCTTTGCGGTATTCACAATCCACCGGAGACTGAAACTTCTTTCATAGGCATGCCTGATCCGCCAGTTCAACGTACGTTAACACTGATAGCCAAGGTCATCCAGAGCCTCGCTAATCTTAACATCGTACGCCTGCTTTAATGATTTATACTCTTCGAGCTGTTCACTGAGTACACTATCCGTACAGTCCGTCCAGAAGGAAGACTTTATGCGCGGCCTCAAAACGTTCCTCACCGAGAGCCAGCCCTCTATGGTTGACTACATCCTAGTCGTCTCCACACCCGATCCCCCACCATTATCCACTCAAACCTCCGCAGACCTCCACGATCGCCGGGGTGCCGTACAGGCTCTCGAAAGCCGGAGACATACCATGCCTACTCTCCACCAAGATTCTATCCCGCAGCTTCCTTTCCTGACCGACCCGCCGAAAGATCTTGCCGTCCTCTCTTCTGCCATCCTACGGCAGACCCGAGTTATCCAGGTTCTCCCAGATAGCCGACTACACGACCTCGTCAACGCATGTACACGTCTAGAGCAACAAGCTCTCAGGCGCGTGACACGACTGGCGGCCACTCTGGATGCTTCTCATCGGCAACAACAATTGCAACTCTCATTAGCTGCGACCACGCCGGCTCACGTTCACAATCATGGTCATCATCAACCACCGCCGCCCCTCCGATTACTCACTGTGCTCGACAAATCACCTCCCTCAAAACGTTCCGCCTCCCCCCGACCCATGACGGCCCCATCACCCTCACCCTCCCGCCACGCGTTCACCAGCAGCTCACACGAGGGCCCGCTGCCCTCCTCCAGCTCAAACTCAAACTCGAACTCTCACTCCCGAGGCTTCTCGAGCTCACAAGTCGACGTGTCCTCGCGACAGTTGCCGACGCCCATCGAAGAGTCTTCGAGGTCGATGGAAGGCGGCGGGGGCAGTTGGCCATTGCGAAAACGACTGATACCCAGCCATCCGAGGTCGATATCCACAGATTCTATCACCATGTTCAAGCCGCCTACTCCCTCGCCGCTTTCGCCACCTCCGAGCGGTGATGCTGACGATGACACGAGCAAACGGAGAAAGGGCTTCTTCCGCGGTATCATGACTCGGAAGTAGAGAGAGGTGACTTGTTGGGTTTGGAGCATGGCCTCCGGTTTTTGGAACATATGGGAGGATTGTGTCGGGTTTTAATGTGCTATGATCATTTTTTATGTATTTCATTGTCCGTCCATGGGTATCATTAGTGTTGTATAAAGTTAGTCGCTGCACAAGTACTACATCGTAAAAAAGAACACAATATACAAGAGCGAACCAAGGAAAGGTGGCACAAGATGAAAATGCTATGGTCATGATAATGAGGCGGCGGCGGTGCCGAGCGGCTTTTGAAGCAACTTTTGGACTTCGCCCGCCACTTCTTCCGACGTGCTCCGTACAGTTATTCGACAGAGCTGGGACAAGTTCATGAGTTTAGCTATGCAAGTTGGCGAAGGAGTAAAACGAGATGGGCATACCTTTGCTTCCTTATTTGGTTCAAGTCGCATCAGACACCCAACCTTGCCATCCCCAGACATATGCAACACGCCGGCGCACACGAAGTTGTTGGGATTCGGATCGACGTCAGGTAGGATCTTGAACCGTTGACCGGCGATGACCATCTGGTACCGCTCAAGGTCGAGCTGGCCCGCGGCGGTAAGCGGAATGGTGAAGACGCTCTGTGCCTCTCGCGGTGGGCCTCCGATGAGTTTCCACCGCTCGAAGAAGTCGGCGGCGGCAAGACTGACGGGCTCCATAAATTTGGTCATCACGACCGGTAGTCGGACGGCGATGGTTTGGTGTGCACCAGCGAGGAACGAGATGGTGAGGATTGGAGCAGTTTTAAACACCTTTTTGCATTCGACGTGCAGAATTTGTTGTGACTGTGTCCGTGCGGCAACCATTGTGGAGGGCATCTTGGCGAACGTGACGGAGAGGGCTTCTGGATCGTCGACGTGGATGCTGGTGGTGAAGGAGGTGAAGGGAGCGGAGATCTTGTTGCCCATGTAAACGGCGAGCTGACCGATATATCCCTGGTATCTCGATTTGATACCGACCTGGATTTGAACATCCTCGTAGAGTACACCATCGCCGTTGTACGTGAGCTTCTCGAACCAACGGTCCACGCTCGGCCCAACGGCAACATGAGGAACAGTGGCTTTCGGAATACCGTTCGACTCGACTTCTCCAGCTCCGTTCACGGCAACGCCATTGGATGTCCCAGAGATATCAAGGCCCGCGAGTGAAGACATGATATCACCCTCGGCGGCTCCTGAAGCCGCAGCTGTAGCCGAACCATTGCCATGAACCTTGAGTTTCGAAGTCGTTGCCTCCCTATCCGCATTCACCTCTCTGCCTCCGTGCACCCATGTCCTCTTATCCTCCGTAGCACCATGCTTCTTGTTCAACCGACCTAACAGTGTACTCTCGCGTGGCGGGAATGGCGGAATCTCCTCACACACATTCTGCAAAAGTTCGTCGTCATCCGGTCTTGAGGCTAGTGCGTAGAACTCGCAAGCTCGTTGCTGGAGCTCGGAATCGAGGACGTGGCGATACCGCTCGAAGATGTTGATCAGTTGGGGTTTGATCTCGGGGAAGACGTTCACCCATTTGATGTACGTCGAAAGTAGGAGAGCTCGAGTCGGCGCGGCACAGAATTGTGACTTCGCATGGAGAATCTGCAGCTGGTCGATGGGGCTGTAGCCGGTCTCGTTCGCGATGAGGTGGCCGTACTCGCCTAGGATGTATCCTGTGAAATTGGGTGTGATGAGTATTGTGCAGTGTATACTAACTCCCAGTAGACTTACCGCCAACCTTTACCAGACTCTCGTGCGCAACCGGTGACCTTAAGCGCTCAAATACGACTCTAGCGGCATAGGCTTGCAAGTCCTCGGTGTTGGTCACGATTTGGACGACACGGTACCAAACCTCATCGCTGACATGGTCTCCGGCCGCACTGAGGAGTTCCAATATTGTGTCAACGTACCACCGGTACGAGCTTGCGTACTTCTCAGTCAGGATAGCAATCTTCAGAACCATTTCTTCTCGTAGCCCATAGTCGGCAATCTTCAAGTACTGGAGCAGCTCGCCGACGATGACTTCCGAGTTGTCGACGTCGCACATGCTATAGAGAAGGTCCAGAGCACGTCTCCTTACAGAGATATCCCGATCCCGAAGCGAGTTCGTCACCGTGGCCTGGTGCTTCTTGATAGCGTCCAAGGTCTCTGCACGAGCCGCGAGATGGGCCAGAGTGTCAAGACCGAGGTAGCGTACATTTGTCTCCTTGGAGGAAATAAAGCGAGCCAACAGTACAGCGGCAGTATGGACGAGAGGTGAGCCTGGGTCTAAGTGAATGGCCAGACCGATAGCTTCGAATAGCACGGCGCGTTGGGCGTTATTATGTTGCATATTTCTCGACGTTTCTGCGCTGGCGTTCATAATTGTTTCTAGAACCTGATGCAGTGTTGTGCGAATAGCAGGATCCTCTGAGGGAAGGATTAGACATGTGAGAAGACGCGACCCAAAAACAGCTTACCTGAAGGAGGATAATACTGTAGTAATCGTAGGAGTTTGACTTGAAGCCATGGCGAAGGGACCTTGTAGTACGAATACGAAGCCAGGTATTCGTTCTCGACTACGAGCTGCATCAAAGCGTTATGAAGTTACTGACTACCCAGGGTGGCAACACACTTACTCGGTTTAGACGATCGACTGCTTTCAGGTAGCACACAGCATAAGCATCGAGATGATCCTGAGCAAGAGTCAGGACCAGAGTCGCGACACACAGTACCACGCCCTAAAAGAGAGCAGAAGTCAACGTACGGTCCATTGTCGATACTGTCGTGTCCTCTTACAAGGTCGGGATCATCCATTATGGATACTATTCGGAGCGCCCACTCGGGAGCTGGGATAACATCAGGATGTTTCCGATACAACCTCAATAGTGTCAATGCGGCCTTCTTCTTGACCATACTTTGTGATGTTCTGCCGTATCACGCGTCTAAGCTTCAGGTATGAACGGAATTCGGAGACGAACGTACGGTGATATAAGGAGCCGATGAACGTCCTCTGCCAAAGCCTCTGCCATCTCCTGCCCTCCCACGTTCGCGATGGCGTGAAGAGCTAAGCAGTTGTTGATTTCATTGTTCTCGTCCAGGTCCTTGCGTATAGAGTTGATGACCAGTCGTAGGAAGTCCGAGTTCTCGTGCATGAGTAGTGTTACGGCAAGATAGCCCTTATAGAGTAGATGTAGACATAAGCAAATCTGTTCGACTGGAGTAGAAAAGGGATGCGTACTATCTGCTTCTCGCTATACTTGTGGCTCGAAATCAAGTTGACTGCCTCCATATGCCCAACATCGACCTTATAACCAAGGATATACGCGTAGAGAACCTTCGCCACATATCTGTAAACACGCAAGACTAGAGTCAATCCCTATCCGACCTCAAAGGGAGAGGTAACTGCAAACTTCTTCTTCTGATATCCGTCAAGGTTGCCGTCTACATTTACGCTTTGGTATAAGCGTCCTGGCAGCCTAAGAGCACGTGTAACACACCTTTGAACTTCTTTCGAATGTTCGCCATCTCCTTGTTTATCCTCTTCTCCTCCAAATCGCGGACTCTCGCGCCTCGAATGTCCGCGATGAACTGTGTTCGAGAATCGTTGATGAGGCCATGCTCAGAAGCTAGTCTGGAGGATAACACACCTGCGTGAGACCACGCATATTGGTCGCCATGTTGGGCAATAATTAGAGGGTAGACAGCAAAAAAAATATGAGAGTAAAGAAGACAAGAGAGCAAAGGATATAATGGAGCACGATGAGCACTGGGCGACTCTCGGGGAGAACGGCTGAAAGAGTGCGAGTCGAGTGCGGCCCTTGCTTTCTCACGTAAGTGAAGCATCGGATACGTCACCCTCAGGCTTGGCTCTCCTCGCCACTCACGAGCGCGAATCAAACCTGGACCCACAACTTGGGCCACAGCGGCACATTGTTTGGGTTGGAGAGCGAAAAACAATGTATTATCCGGGTGATGCTTTTTCGATAGAGCGGGGAGAACGCGTGATGTATAGCTACAATTGGTAAAGTAGGGGAGACGTAAATATGCGACGACAAAAGCTTTGCCCCTCCAAATCTAAAGGTTAACCGAGCCTCGTGGAGAGCCGACTGGGTGTGCTCGGCCGCGAGCTGAAGGCAGAGCGAGGACCCCCGTACGGCGACGAAGTCCCCGAGAGCGTATTCAGCTGCGGCAAACGAGCCTGTCCTCCGAATGACGGTGAACCCATGGGCGTGACAGGTCTAGAGCTGTTCCTCGACTGTGTGGCAATCCGTTCCTCAGCGTATCGGTTCAATATCCTAACAATATCCCGCGTCAAGAAGTCCAACTGCCTGACCTCCACATCCGAAAGCGACAAGTCCCTCTGGGTGTCATCGTCCTCGTCTCCCGATTCCTCCTCTTCCCGAGATGTCACCGGAGCGATATTGCGTGGTTGCCTACGGTTCTTCATGACGAGACCCTGGAAGACACGAGACAAGCAGGCTTCCATCATCGTCTTCAGCCGCTGAATATCATCCAACGCGTAAACATTGCCGATGATGGGCAGCCAGTCGTCGCACTCCAACCCGCGCTCGGTGACTTCGATGCGATATGCACCGAACAGGACGTAAGTCATAGGGTCCAGGAGGGTCGTCGTAACAAGCGATGTCTGAGCATTCTGAGCACTAGCTCCGCCTGCCGAGATGTTCTGGCGTTTCTCAGCGAAGGCAATGATTTGTTTGCTTGTGATGGGACCCTCTGTGTGAGTTGACCCTCTCTTGCGAGCGTTGACGCTGGAAGGATGGATGAACACCATCTACGAGAGGTTAGACTTTAGTGAAGTTCGTTGAGAAGGAAAGTGTAAGAGCGACGCACCTTATCCTGTTGTGTACGGAAAGACCTCTCGCCAGTTTGTATCGCATACTTGGGCTGCGTGGCCACAGCGATCAGTGCAGCCAACAGAGGCTGCGACTCGCCGTTCACATTCAACTCTGGCGGCACCTGAATCTGATTTCCCCTTCCCATGTTCCATCGATCAACCTGGCCGCCCGCAGAGACATCGACAACACCGGCACGAATGAGTGCGTCCAGTAAATGTTTCTTGATTTTGTCGACCATGAGGAGAGTAGGTTTCGACAGGAAGTTGTCTGAGCAGAAGCGATTGGCAGAGTGGTAATCCCCCCTACTCTGCATCGCCCACCATTGATTGTAAGCTTGCAGAGCCGCGAAAGTATCAGAGCGGAACTCTTGCGGAGTCCAGGATGCTTTCACGGCCGAGGCTTCCTGCTTGAGATGCATAGGAGAGACGAATGGATCACGGTTCGTCAAGATGGCCGCCAGCGTCAATGCTTGGTCGAGACAACGGAAGAAGCTGCCGTACAAGACAAGCCGACCGACTTGCACTTCGACAGGGATCTGAAGAAGGACGCGCCCAAGTGGTGTAAGGTTCTGTAGAGAGTCGATGGCACCGACGATCTTGAGATCGTTCATGGCGGCGTCTACCTGTTCTGCCGAAGGTGGTTCGATGGTTGCGGCTAGAACCTCTTCGACGGCCATGCCAGGGAAGTCAAGCGCCTTGACGTGCATGACGACGTTCGTCAGGTCCACCCGCTTCATCTCGACCAACTGGTGAGGAGCGAGCTCATTCGCCCTCTTCCGGCTCAAGATTCCATAGTACTCTCCGGGTCTGTGTCGACCCGCACGGCCGGCTCGTTGATTGAGATTAGAGCTACCGACCCAGGCAGAGACGAGAGACGACATGTGGCGTTGAGGATCGTAGCGTTGCTCTTTGACCTTCGCGCTGTCGACGACGTATACGACATCGGGAATGGTGACCGATGTCTCCGCGATATTGGTGGCAAGGATGATTCGTCTGACACCGGCCGGGGGTGGCTCGAAGATGACCTGCTGTTCAGCTACGGGGACGGTGGAATGGAGAAGGTGGATAGAGTATTTGCTTTTGTCGTTAAAGGGAAGTCCGAGCGGCCTTTCTTGGAGCATGCGGTTCAAAGCTGAGATATCTTCCCAACCAGGTAGGAAAACGAGAACGTGTCCGTCGTCAGTCTTCCGCATCACGTGCGCGATTGTGAGAGCGATGAGAGGATGCGGCATCTCCAATTCTCTCTCGGGACGATTGTCGTTCTCAGAATCGCTCTGTGCACCGCCCATTCGGGGCCCCGAAGTTGAAGGTAACTCCTGCTCGAGATACTGCATCACGGAGCGTTCTTTGAAAGCCCAAGAGTCTCGGGGAAGTTCTCGCAAGAAATCATCGAGGAAGTGCTTCTCGACGGGGAACGATCGCCCTGGGACCTCGATGACAGCGGCCGGAATGCCCTTCTCGTCGGGGAAGTATTGCTGGAAGAGAGTGGGGTCGATGGTAGCGCTCATCAGGATCACCTTGATAGGCTTTCCCCTCGCCTTGCGATCTGCCAAAAGTCGCTTGAGGACGACGAGTAAGAGATCTGTGTCGACGTCTCGCTCGTGAACCTCGTCCACAATGACATGCGTCACGTCGTCCATACTGGGCCCCCCCTGCGACGATCCTTCTTGCAAAGCGGTCTGCATACGTTTGAGGAAGATACCGGTCGTGCAGAACGTGATGGAGCCATGCTCCTCCGGGGGTTTATGTTCGAATCGGACGGTATAACCGACAGACCCTCGACCAACTTGCTCTCCCCGTTCCTTGGCTACACGATCGGCGACGCTGATAGCGGCAATACGACGCGGCTGAGTGCAAACGATGTTACATTTGGCACCTTCGCCGCGCTCGATGGCATGGTCGAGAATGAGTTGTGGGATTTGGGTCGTCTTTCCTGAACCAGTCGCAGCCATGAGGATGGTAACTTCGTGGTCGCGAACGTGGTCCAGTACGTCTTGAGAACGGGTATAGACAGGTAGAGTGGAGCGAGTGGAGCGCATCTTTTCCATCTGCGGGTTGGTCAGGTACGCTTGCCTTTGATCCAATAACCGTTTCGATTTGTCCGCGACATAAGAGGGATGAGCAGGCGCACGGTAGACGGGAGGTCGAGCGTTTGAAGTCGCACTGGATGCATCGACGGCGGAGGCTGGCCGGTTCTGATAGAGCGCGCTCTTGCGAATGTCAATGCACAGATCACGAACCTCGTCCTCGAGTCCGTCGCTCATCTGAAAGAGAACCTTGGGAGCCATTCCGAGATCCTTGCCAGATGCCGAGGCATCCAGGAAGTCCTTCCATAAGTCGGTATCGCAGCTCTCGAGATATTGGGTGACGTCGATATAACAGTTCGTTTGCGCATTCTTCTTGTTGATTCCGGTACCGATCCCAATACGACGGCCACCAACGTGCATGATGGCTTCCCAGGTCGAGTTGTGCTTGCGTGCCTTGATCTCGTTGTATACGACATCGGGTTTGCCGAAACTATAGCGGCGACAATAGTATTCCATGAATTGGCGAGCCCGTTCGTAGTCGATCACAGTACCGTCGGATAGTGTTGAGGGCGGGGCGGCACCCTTGCCCTGTTGTTGTGACTTCTGAGCACCCGCCTTTTTAGCACCCGTCAACTTTGCAGTAAAGCGATTGTCAGTGAAGGAATGGAAGATAACAGAGGAAAAAGGCGAACCAGACCGAGACTGTGAAGCTGAAAGAGTGCTGACGAGGACGAAAGAAATACGGAGTCTTTTTTGTTCGTTGAGTCCCCGGTCCCGATAATTTGGGGCGTCCCTTCTATTTCGACTGTCGTTCTGCGAGAGGTCATTATGAGCTGTACTCGTTATCCGAGTGGAAAACATACCTGAAACCCAGCTTTCCATCGATGAGAACCTCTTTGGTCTCATATTTTGGTGCACGAACGCCAATATCATTGCAGTAATTAGAGATGGGGGACTTTGGATTCAGCTTCCATGCTTCTTTGAGACTTGTCGTATCATATTCCCGTTGGAGGTAAGCTAGGTCGTGAATGGGGTCGTCCGGCTGGGGAAGTGCGTAGAGCGAAGCAAGTCTGTCTTCCTTCGGCTTTCTGTAAGAAGGACCGCCTGTGCGATGAAGCCTGGAGTTGCGATAGGCGGGAGACTGTCTCGCCGAAGAGGAGGCGGAGCGCATTTGAGTATTCGATGGGTTGCCCTTCGGGAGCTTGGTAGGAGGGCCGGATGAAGAGGGTATTTGCGGGGAAGACAAGGAAGCGTTGTCTGGTGAATATGCACGTTTTAGAGACGGTTTTTGAGGGAGCGAGACGGGTATGTGTTGCGAAGGGTCAAATTGCATGAGGAGGCGTTGCCTGTGCCGAAAAGACAGAGCGATACGTCGCATAAGTGGAAACGCGGGTAAGTCTGGCAGAAGGAAAGTATTACGCTAATCAGCCTGCAGCGCCTATGAGCACCAAGAGTGCAGAGCGTATGGCGGACCTTCCTCCTCAACAAGCAAGCCGATGCTGGCTCAGCAAAGACGGGCGGTGTCGATGGCGAAGGGGTTCGTCAACGTCGTGAACAACGAGCTCTGCGTTCGCGCGAGGCGTCCAGCTCGACCCAGTCGAGCAAAAAACCAAATCCAGAGCAGCGCGCCGCCACGTGCGGATATGAAGACGATCACGTGCATTTAACGCCATGGAAACTGTCACCGAACATTGTTGCTCGCCGTTCCCGATTCTGCTTGCTATTTCCCTTCGTGTGCTGGGCACGGTGCTCGCTCTCTTTCCTCTATTTCTCTTTTTTGACACACACTCTCGGTCATTGACTTGATCGGTTTTCTCTCTTTTCTTCTTCTTTTGCCCCAGTGGCACGCCTTTCGTTCTTCCCGTAAAGAGCCACAGTCCTCTCCTCGGTAAGTCCATCAGACATATGTCTTACCCCGCTTTGACTGCGCTGACGCAGTTCGCCATTTCAAGGCTTTTCTTTCCTTGTCTCGATGTACGCATACCTACAACGTCTCCCGGTGCCTGCCAAGTTGAAGCTCTTCGTACGTACTTGTCATTCACTCGCCTCGCTCCACTCAGGCGCGGGATCGTCTTGGCTGCGCCTTCGGGGTTCAAGACAACGTCCATTCTTCGCTCGTCTACAAGCTGTCGATCCTTCCGACCCCCGATCGCTTTCTTTTCTCTACACATAGAGCTGATATCTTTCTAATAGTGGTCTAGAGTCAACTCCTCCCGGCTCACTTTGGCCTATTTCATCATCGCCGTCCTCCATTGTGTTGTTCAGGTTGTCTTCCAAGTTCAGGCCTTCACCATCAATGCCCAAGCCGCCTCCTTTCTCTCTGACATCGTTGCAGAGGGCAACGCTACTGCCGATGGCTTCTTCGTCTTCGACAAGTCCCTTCGCTTCTGTGATCACGTTCCTTCTACTCTCAGTGCTGCATCCTGCCAACTGGTTTGGAGCCCTTTTTCACCCAATGGTAGCATGTCCGACGAGTCCGCTGTTCTCAGCTGGGAAAATAACACCTCATCCTCTTCGACCGCTTCTTCCTCCTCGTCGCCCATCTCCTCCCAAACATCTTCATCCGCTGTGCAGGCCACGAGCTCTGTTCTCGCTTCGACTTCGAGTGCCGTCGAAACCCCTTCGTCTTCTACCACTAGCTCTGCAGCGCAATCAACCGAAACTAAGGTTGTAGTTGTGAAGGGGGATGATGATGACGACGAAGACGACGACGATGAGGAAGAGAAAAAGGAGATTGCGGAGGTAGATGACGATGACGATGATGACGACGACGAAGAAGAAGAAGATCATTACGACCACAAGAGGTCCACCGCCTTCAAGCGCCATGATATCACACAGACGCAGACGCGGATCACGGACAATGCGACCGAGATCGTTGTCCATCTTCATGGGCTTGGACTTAACCGAGACGCCAATTTGAGTGTGGCGTGTCTGGAGGCTTTGAACTGGCCTATACAGATGTGGGTCCCCTCCGGTTGGATTAATTGTAAATATACAAGGTGCTCAGTGACGCCTTCGCTTGTTGCCATGTAGGTTGGATAACACCAAACGTGAGGATATCGCGTTCATCGCTTTCCAATTCTGGGTGCTGGGAATGTCTCTTGTCGCGGTTAGTGCTTTTCTACAGGCTTTTTTGGACATCGATGCTAAAAGTTCCACTAGCTTTTGAACGAGTCCATTCCTCACGTGTCAGTATGGCTCTCGTATCCCGTGAAATACGGCTGACAGTCTGTTCGACAGCCTTGCGTCTCTTGTCACGCACATGTCGGCCACTGCATGGGGTGGATTCCAGATTCAGAGCACTTCCAACTTTCATAGTGACTTCCAACGTCTTTCCACCAACGGTGCTTGCAAGATCAATCTGTTGCCTCAATACTGGAAAGCCCGGGGAGACGCTGAAATTCCTAGTCTGGCTCTGAATGCTGCTGTCTTACTCGTCACAGCCGTTTTGTCTTGGAGGCTCATCAAGGTGCGTTTATATCACAATTCTGGGACGGCTCATAATGTTGTGCCAGTTAATTGATGGTTTTGTTGTATTTAGTCCTTTGGGTGGCAAACCTTCAAGCGCGTGGGAGCGTCGTTAACCATCAATCGCATTTACAAGCTGGTCCTCACGCTCTCGATCGCTATTCAACTATCATTGTTCTTCGTCGTAGCCTCTGTCGCATTATGGCTGGATCAGCTGTGCAACGGGGCTATCGGGCATCTAGCGAGGAACCGTATGCTGTTCAAGGTCCTTCTCAGTGTTGTCATCGCAGTATGTGTATCGCCTACTCCTTCGCCGCCCACCGTTCTAATTATAATCACATTATAGCTTCTTGTCCCATGGCTTTTGATGGTAAAGAAATTGTGCACTCACTCTCCAAGGCAAAGGAATTAATCAGTGCTACATTGTAGGGTTGGTTCGCGGTGCGAAGGGAACTCAGGACTCCAATGGTGGCCTTCCTCGTTCTTTCTTGTCTTTATATAGCTGGATGGGGTGGCATGTTCGACTCTCCCACATTCCGATGGACCTTCGTCCAGTGGCAGTTCTTCAGTGCAGTCGTCTCAATCTCCCTCGCCCTGATCATCATCTCGCTCGTCCTGGGCATCGTCTGCCGGATGAACTTTGGACGTGGTCTACCTCGTTACCGTAAGTTTTACTATCCACGACCCCACACTCCTGTGCATGTCAGATGTTGACCGTGTCTTTTCTTATGCGTAGTCAACGCCGAAGAGCCCCTCCCAGGAGACGACTACTCTTCATCCGAGAAAGAGAAGATCGACTTCCCATCTACCGCTCGCCCCGTCCCCACTTTCTCTGCCGCCTTTGGTTCAGGGTCCGAGGTCCCCCCTCCACGCCAAATGCGCTTCGGACCAGGTCCTCGCCAAATGGGTCCTCGCTTCTCTGACACGACCTCTGAGCCTTTCGAGACCCAATCGCAACTCGACATGAGCATCAACAGTCACACGACCCCGAACAGCGCGTATACGAGTCCGATCTCGAGTCCGCCGATGTCACTGGCGCCGTCGTACTATCGGTCGAACGTTGCCGCGGGTGGTCTTGGGGGTGCGGGGACTCCGTTTGGCGGGCTGCAGAGGAGTACCAGCAGGGGAACTGTCTCGAGCTTCGGGTATAGCGCGAGTGATAGCGGGCATTCAGGAGCAGGATGGAATTCGTCAAACTGGAGTCCGCAGAGTCAGACGAGGTTGAACCCTCAGCACCCAGTCGGGAAAGGTAGTGTTGGTGGTGACATTGATGAATTGTTGAGGAGCGACAGCCGCGGGTCGAGCAAGTCGGGGAAATCGACGGCGAGCGCTGAGCGCGCGCGGTGGGTTATTGAGTAATCCGTTTCTTCTCTTCGTTACTTTCTACTTGCCGTCATTAGTTTAGTGCTACGTGGTCTTGTATGTCGTGTTTCGGTTTCCTGCTATATCTATAACGCTTATGAACGGACACTTCGTTGCTCGTTCAAAATCTACCTGAGTACGATTCGAATGCTGGTACTGCTACGCGTAGATGTATTTTGCCTGTTGTGATTTCCTGTTACTGTATCCAGGACAGAGCTGGGACGGGGAAGGACCTGGAAGGACACCATTGGTCTCGATGCCGCATGTGTACTGAACATCGCACAATATCGAGATGCGCAACCTGCTCAACCATACCCCGCCACTCGCGTGCGTCCGGACAAAGAATGAGTGGCTGAGTCAGCCTTGCAGTAGGTGATTGACCCGACTTCAACCCGACTTTGACCCGAACTCCATATGCTCTGCACAAATGCTCCCCTCAGTCTACCTGTGCCAATAAACTGGACGGTTATGGACGAGGGACACTGCGACAAGCCTATCGACTTCTGCCTACCCGATCTCTTCTATTCCACCATCATCGCATCAGTTTCTGCTGGTTTTTACTCTGCCAATGGCCTTCTGAGTTACCGGCCGCCGCGTTGCCTCGGCATTTACTTTCTATAACAGGTTGTTTTGTGCTTGAATGATGACTTTCCGTGGGGTGAGACTCGTTCTGGCTTGATCTGAACCCATAAATGAGCATCACAACAGAGAGCCCGGTCTCAACTATGCCCGTGATGGTCAGCATACACCCGCGATGCTGTTTCTCGGAGGCCAAGCTTTCCTCGAATCCTACGGAAAGGCACTCAACACCTTACATCGACTGCCAAATTTAGTGGTACCATGGCTCATCGGTACCTAGAAATGATAGGTAAGGTTCCTGGACTTATTCGACTGGGTAAATTTCTTTGGCAGCTGATATTTAGCTAGTATAGATGCTAATTTCTGTCTCCATCTCGCCAGTAGTCTGTCTTTTGGAAGTGTACATTTTATCATCGCTTTAGCCGATGCCACCCACGGCGGTTTTTCTTCGACTGTAGGTAGGTAGGGAGAGTATACGGCGCACTCCCAGTATGAGAACGCAAGCATCACGGGCAGCAACTTCTGTTCAATAGTTCAGAACGCAGCATGAGGAGTAACGAACCCCTGTTGATACACGTTCCTTCGCGGGGTTTTCTATCGGGCTCATTGCGAACTTCATTGCATAGGTCAAAGTTGACTTCCATCTCTCGACCACACGACAAAAAGGTCCTCAGGTACTCACGCATCTCACCAGCATGAGGTCTTATCCCTTCCGAACGCATTTCCTCCTCATTTACACATTCCTATCTATACACCTCGTGATTCTTGTCAGACTGCGTATGCGTCTATCGCACGGCGACTACATATGGTGATGGTGGCTGGCACTGGTCATGATTCACCATATGATTCGGCCTTGTAGGACGCGTGCTTCCGTGCATCAATCCGATGTACCACGTCGTGAGAGGCCATGTTCGTTGTCATGTCGGGAGCGAGGATTGTGGCTTTTGCATGCGTGTGGTACTAAGGATGTAGATGGAGACTCGTGAGCTGGCCAGCGGCTTTGGTACAAAAGCACTGTCTATGGGCGTCACTAGGTAACCCAACCTCCTCGTTCTTCGCCTTTGTCTACCGGGATACCTTGGTCATTCTCATCTTCGTTCTATCATGAAGTCTTTCGTTTCCGCCACCGCTGCCCTCTCATTGGCCACTAGTGCCCTCGCCGCGACTTATACAGTCGTCGATACGTACACCAGCGACAACTTCCTTGACATGTTTGATTTTGAGGCCATCCCTGACCCCACTTCCGGACGAGTGTAAGCATAACCTCCAACTTTATTTTGAATATGCGGCTACTGATTCCCTCTGGTCATGTATAGTAACTACGTCGACAAGGCTAGTGCTCAAAGCCTCGGGCTGGCCAAAACCTCTGGTAGCAGCTTCGTTTTCGCTGCCGACGACACCACCGTACTCTCTGCCACCGGGGCCGGTCGTAACTCGGTTCGTGTCCAGTCCGTTAATGCTTACGGTTCTGGACATGTCAGCGTGTATGTTGGAATTCTCATCCTCATCTACTTGTCATTGTGCTATCAACTCACAGCATGATAAACGTCCAGATTTAACATCAAGCACATGCCGCAAGGCTGTGGTACCTGGCCTGCAGTTTGGGAGCTTGGACCGGACTGGCCTGCGGACGGTGAAATCGACATCGTTGAGGGTGTCAACGACGTCGTACCGAATCAGTCGACCTTACACACCAGCCCCGGATGTACGTCTCTTGCAATACTGTTCTTTCTTCGCCTCGTTCTGCCGTTTATTGTGTGCACTTTTGACTATCTTCGTACTTACATGTTACCGTTTATCTAGGTACGATGCCGTCTGGAATCACCCAGACTGGGAGCCAGGTCACCACGGACTGCAACACTGCCGGTACGTTTATTCTCTCTCGTCAGGTTACGTCCTGCGCTGACGAAGAGGGGATGCTGCAATAGTCGCAGGCAATACTGGGTGCGCGGTGCACACGACGGATGCGAACAGTTATGGACCGGCTTTTAACACTGTTCGTCTCTCTCTCCTCCCTTTCACACATCTCTCACCCACACCTACCACCGGCAGAATGGAGGTGGAATCTATGCGATGGAAAGGACAGACGATTTCGTGAAGGTCTGGTTCTGGTCGGCCACGGACACCACCGTTCCGTCTGATGCATCTAGCGGTGCAGCGTCTGTAGACACCGATAACTGGGTAATGCTCTCTCATCCTATACACATTGACCCTCTCCATGCAGCAATTTTGTTTCATATACTGACCTTGTTTCGTCGTGATCTCTAGGGTACTCCCGACGCGTACTTCCCCAACACCGACTGTGACATTGCTTCCCACTTCACAGCTGCTAACATTATCATCAACATCGACTTCTGCGGTGACTGGGCCGGCCAGGACGCTCTCTACACTGCAGCTGGATGCCCATCCACATGCGTCGACTACGTCAACAACAACCCCACCGCTTTCACGAATGCGTACTTTGAGTTCGAGTCGATCCATGTGTACGAAGCATAGAAAAATCAAAAAGGTTACGGGAGATTCCAAGACTATCGCCCCCCTCTGGGATCATGATAAATTATTCACTGGGGCACTGTTGCACTGTAACACCACAGATCATTATCTTCACGGCCTTTTCTTCTTGTCTTCTTCTTTTGGATATAGTGGTATGCGGATAACGATTCATGGTCTGTACGAGACTTGGGATGTGTCAGTCAGTACTAGTTGTAGATTTATATCTATTTATTTGAGTCGTATGTAGGGATGATGCATTAGGCCATCTTAGCGCAATCACACTTGAAGCTGCCTCACCGCCCTTCACTCGGATATGGACAGATACATCTCTGGCACTTCTATCTGTGATTTTGTTTGCAAGTCAAAAGTGGCTCAACGTCGCTGCCGACGACGAACATGATTTTGCGCCCCCAAATTAGCGCGGAAGTAGAATCGGCGCGGAGGTAGAATTGATCGGTCCGTTTTCAGCACCATTCAATTCGCCCCCCTCATTCATCCACTCGTTCAGCATGTTATTGATCCATAAAACAATAAGAAGCTATTTCAAAGGGGAAGTAATGATACAGTATGTAGGTAGTAGGTATGTTACAAAATGCATGAGATACAGAGGGATCGAAGTGGAAAGCGGAAACAAGCATCATCGACTATCGTACACGACTTTTATTTCGCGGAACGTCCATAGGGAAGAGACAAAACCCAGCCCGTGTATCACTGGGCTCGCAATGATATCCGCGTCGATTTATCCATCTCGTAGAAACCGAACTTCGTCTCCATCGCTATTTTACAGGATCGGAATCCTCGTCGTTCCCTCAGCTGCCTTCGGGATGCGAAGCGTGAGGACTCCATGATCCAAGTTCGCCGACACGTTGCTCGCGTCCACCGGGCGTGGAAGCCAGACGGTACGCGAGAACGAGGAGGAAGTGGTGCCGACGAAGTCGTTACGATTGGACACCTGTTGGTCGCCTTCGGCGGCTCGGTTGGTGACGGTGGTGGAGTTCGTGCCTGTAAAAAGACCCAAGTCAGCGACTGGCTCGAGATATTTGAACTGGATAGACAAGAAAAAACTTACCTTGAGCACCCTCCTTCGCATTGGCCGCAGCGGGAGCAGGTGTCGCAGAAGGGGCAGGCGTGTTTGCGCCCTCCGTTCCACCCTCAGCACCTGCACTGGTCCCCCTCCCGAACTTCCTAAACGATTTCCCCTCAATCGTCAAACTCCTCCCCGCATCTCCGATCCTGACATCAATATCCTCCTTCTTCACACCAGGCAACTCCGCCTCGACAACATAATGGTCTCCTTCCTCGTTGATTTCGACGGCAGGGCTACGCAGGCGACGACTGTTGTTGAAGAATGGGTCATCGAAGAAGCTGATGGGCCCACTGTTGCCGTTGCGGCGGGAAACTGTAGAAGGTTGGCCGTGGCCGTAAGGCTCGTCGAGGACGTGGAAGAGAGGGCGGAAGTCACGGAAGAAGCTGTCGCTGAAAGACATGATGGTAGTGGTGGTGTAGTGGTGAGTAGTAGGTGGTTGGTAGTTGAGAGCTTTGAGTTGTAGTGATTCGAGTGAGGAGTTTGTTTTGTTGAGGCCTCAGAACGACTGTCTGCCCATTCCTTTATACTCCTCGACGAGCCCCTATATAGAATAATCGCGAAACTTCGAGTTTCATAGATGAGTAAGCTGCAATGTAATGATCTCAGCTCGACGTCAGAAACGGCGTAGGTTGTGACCACGAGGGTGGACGAGAACAGGACGAGATCAGTCGAGTGTTGAGTAGAAAGTTCGAGAATTTGAAATTCCAGAATGTTCCGGGACCGACGCCACACACGCGCAACACCGAGTCCACTTGACTCTTGAGGCCAATGTCCGCGTTTATATCTTGGTCATTCGGGTGTCGATGATTCTACCAGGAGCGGAACGAGCGAGTTGTAAACTGAGATGCTGACAGACTTCAGAGTAATACGAATGAAGTGATTCGCGAAAGCATTAGAGATCGGACGAGGAGCACGGCGCGAAGAGGGCGCCCAGAGTATGATCGTTTGACCATACTTGCCAGAGAAAGGACAAATACAACAACTTGATAAGTCACCGTAGGGCGAGGTCTATGAAGACACTTGAAAGACATAGCGATGTTAGTACAAAAAGCAAAATCTCCTACTGCTACAAATGGCAGATGCATAATGACGGCCCTCTAGTTCCCGGTGGTAGCAGTCGCAGCAAATGCTATCGTTTCGATACGTCCCTTGCCCTTGCACTCTTTGTTGAGCAGGTCGGTGATCGTGCGGAAGTGACTTGGGTCGATGAGGAGGGTCTGAACGTAGTGATGAGTATGGCGTGCAGTCAAGTGAACACATAAAGGTCAGCATGATTCATTTCACAGCACGAAACGTCTGCAACACGCACGGTGCTCCACTCATCGCCGTCAGGTCCTTCCCTCTCAACCTTCTCAACTCCCTCAAGAATTTTTCCACGTAGACGTGCTTCATCAGCGGAGGGTATGGAGACACGGATGCGCATGCGAGCGCGCTGAATGGGGAGTGTGGAGTTGGTTTGGAGAAGCTTAATACATTCTGATACCTGATTATGCAGAAACCTATGGTCAGAAAAGGACAGGATTGATGGGTTCTCACTGCGCACCTGACTCTTCGCATTCTTATTTGCACGAACACTGAAGCCAGCCTCGTTCATCGCCTTCTCGATGATGCCAACGGAGTGAGGAGTCTGTGTCGCGGGATCGACGCATTTCTCGGCGACAAGGGTCGCGATCTCACGGCGAAGGGACGTGAGATCATGTTCTCGCTCTTTCTCTCCGATTTGGAGGTCACCCTTGTTGAGAATCTAGAGATAGAGATGAGTATAGAGGAAAAGCGCAGTGCTAGAGGGATACGAACTTCTTTGACTACGGTTTGAACGTTGTCTGTACCGAATGACTTCTTGAGATCTCCTGCTTTGGCGACTTCTCCCTTGGATACGTTGACAAATACGTTGCTGATTTGCAGGACGTCGTCCAGGTCGCTTTCACTGATCAAGGAGGGAGGTAAATTGGAGAAGGTGAGATAATACTACCGAAATACTTGAAAAGACTTACACTCCATTTCTCCATTCCTGAACCTTGTTCTTATAGCAGGCGATCTGAGAAGATACGCAAATGAGTCCTCAGATAGCGATGAGCCGCTACCGCGCACTTACCCACCTCGTACCGCTTGCCACCCTTCTTCAGGCGAACGATAGAGACGTTGGTTAGTCTATAGATCTAGAGTCAGTACGATGGAGCGAGATGGTCGAAGGGCGTTCATACTTGATCTGTCCAGATGGTTGGTTGATGGGCATTCTGGGAAACCGAGAGTGGACGAAAGTACAGGATCGAGTTGGTGGATTAGGGTGAAGAGGAGTGAAGACGCTGAAGATGACTTGGTCGTGCCGAGCAATCTGGTGTTACGTAAACGGGCTCCGGAGATCAGGAGCATCCAGATTCCACAGCCTTCCGCTGCCTCCTCTTCTGCTCGCTCAGTGTTTCTGATTCTTCACAACAACATCCATCATGAAGGGCTTCACGAAGGCTATCAAGCGGTGAGCTCATATGGATCAGAAGTGCTGTTTCATAACTCATTATTACCCGCAGTACGCCGCACCTGGTCACGACCAAGGTCGGCATGTCCAAGAGTTTGTCTCTTCCTCATGCTCTGTGCTACGGAGACTTTGCTACAGAAATATTAATATAAAACCTGCTTCTTTGTATAGAGTCTGCCGATCCAGAATTCGACGATTACCAGCGCAATTTCACCGTCCTTGAGGGCGCTACCGAGAAGTTCCTCAAGGATACCAAGGCATTCTCAGACGCCGTGAACTGTATGGAATCGTCTTTTTCTCGCGCAGTAATCGCTCTCATATCACTTCCTTCAACCTGGGATCTCTTGATTTTACTCCGGCGGTATAGCACTTTTCACGAACGGTACCAACTTTGCTCAACATTTCGCCACCATCTTCCAACCCATCGCTCCGGAATATGACATCCTCTCCAAACACCCTAACTGCGCCCACACTCTCAACAACGTCGACGGATATCAGGCCGCTCTCGATGAACTTCGTACAACCATATACCCCGAACTCGAACTCATTGATAGCAGAGTCGTTGGTCCCGTGAAGGAGCTGCAGCAGGTGTTGAAGACTATCAGAAAGATGATAACGAAGCGGGAACATAAGGTCTGTTGTTCTACTCGTGGCTGTATTTCACAGAACTGATCTGCTTGACGGGCGCTCGTGCAGCTGACAGATTATGATCGGTTTAACAACTCGTTGACGAAGCTTCGTGACAAGAAAGAGAAGTCTCTCAGCGACGAGAAGAACTTATTCAAGGTAGGTTTGACAGCACACATCCGGTACGGGATGTATATTGATTGCCACACATGTATCCCAGCTTGAGCAAGACTTCGAGATCGCCTCGAACGAATACGAATACATCAATACCGCGATGAAGCAGGACATGCCACGCTTCATGGTCCTCGCAACTCGTTTCATTGATCCTCTTTTCCACTCTTTCTTCTACATGCAGTACGCCTTACTCCGTGTTATCCCCCTAGACGCCCTACTTATCCGCTACTTTGTAGACTCAACATCTACTACATGCTCCTCGAGAAGCTAAGTGGTTTCGCTGAAGGCAAATACGACATCACCGTCTCAGCCGCCCAGATCGCCGAAGAATACGAGGGGAAACGTACCGAATCCTGGCAGACCATCGAAGAGCTGAACATCACCCAGCGAATAGTTTCCACCAGTCAGTCCTTCCCCTCTACGAAGACTCATGTCCCCCTCACTGACCCGACCAACCCACGAACTACAGGTAAGATGGTCCAACAGCAACGCCTCACCTCTGGCAGCTCCTCCCAACTCGGTCGTACCACCTCAACTTCCACAACATCCTCACGCGTGCCACCGCCTGCTTCCGGTTCCTTCCAGAAGAAAGCCCCGCCCCCGCCACCCTCGTCCTCCTCAAGCTTCAAAGCGAAATCCCCCGTTCCGCCGTCCTCGCCTCCCGCCCCCGCTGCTCCTCCGCCATACTCACCATCGACGAACGGCACCGCAGCCGCAGCGGCTGCTGCTGCTAAGCGCGCGCCACCTCCACCGCCTCCGTTGAAGTCGAAGCCGAAGCCGGCAGTGCAATACGTCGTGGCGCTGTATGACTTCGCCGCGCAGGCGGACGGAGATCTGGATTTCAAGGTTGGGGACAGGATCGAGGTCGTGGAGAGGACGGATAGCGCGGAAGATTGGTGGACGGGGAGGTTGGAAGGGCGACAGGGTGTTTTCCCTGGTGAGTTTCTCCTATATATCCGCCCATATACCTCGACGGATTGTCTCATGATGTGTGTGGAACAGGTAACTACGTTCAAGATGCGTGATGATCCTCTTATGAGCTCAGATTTATAATATGGTATGGGGCGTCAGGGCGTGCTGGGTCGAACATGGTCTTGGTTTAATCTCTCGCGGTGGGACTGGAAGTTGGAGTGTACGCGTACGGTCAACATGTATCTTTTCGTTTCGGTTTCTTCCTTTTTTTTCTTTCTTTAGTCCTCAGGCCAGCTCTATCATTCGCCTGAGGACCTCGGTGCACCTCTTCGAGGGCTCGATCATATCGTTTATACGTTTTCGTTATCTTCTTTGGGACGTTGGAAGTTAGCTTTCAGGATCACAAGAGAATGGCGATAATAATGAGGATCATACAAAGCTAGTACAATTATACACGCAACTCTAGAAGCTACTACGGAGAACAGACAAAAGACAAAAAAGGCATGTCGAATGACACTGAGAGCAAGACCGACGTAGAAGGACGACCCTATGGAAAGGACGCGGAAGGGACGAAGAGAAAAAAGAAAAACGCGAGAATGAACCACAACTACGAAGACACTAACCGGATTCCACTACGCACGTATCAATACCTTCCCACTAAGGAGCCAGTAATATCAACGACAATCCACACCCGAGGCGACATAACAAGAGGAGAGACGAGGACGGAGGAAGAAATGATGAAACAGGGAAAACGGCACAGTACGTAGGAACAGAGAGGCCATCTACTCGCTCGGAGTCAAATACTCATCATCGCTCACCACGACCTGATTCCTCCCCTTCTTCTTCGGCGGTGGCCTCTCATGCATATCCTCGTCCATGGGCGTCAACGCCTCGTCCATACTCCCACTCCCCTCCGCCGCCGCTGCCGGAGCCGGATCCGCACCTGGCAACCCCGAGCCCGCCGTGACCTTCACATATACGTTCTCGAACACGGTCTTCATCTCCTGCGCGTCGATGTACACCCAGGAGCCCTCGAGGTTGTACGACATCGCGTTGTCGAACATGAGCCGGACTTCATCCCGGAAAGCGGTCACGGTTTTGTACGTCCCAGCGTTGATCCGTTTGCGGATGTTGGACAGAGCGACCGGTTGGCGGATGAATTGGTAGTAGTCGGGATATTCCTGTGATTTGCAAGGGGCAAGAACAGGAATCAGTGTCACGGCGTTGGGTAGCGCAGAGGGTATTAGAGGCAAAGGCTTACGCTCTTGTCAGGAAGCTCCTTGAACATTTCACACCGTTTTCGACCGGTCTCGTCAGTGATGTTGACAATCGCCTTATAACAGTCGTTCATCGCCTTCTTCAGCTTCTCCTTTACGGCCGGGGACAACTTCACATCGGCACCCTTCTTTCTCCGTTTCTGTAGTTTAAAGCACCGTCAGGTTATGAGTCAGGCAGAAGTATGTGTGGCAAGGAGGATATACGCACGGAATCCCGCTTCTCCTCTTCATCGTCCGGCACAGAAGGCGTGACCGACATCTGCTTGATCTGGTTACGCTTCCTCTTGCCGTTCGTAGGGGTATCAAAGTCCTGCTCGGTAGCCTTGGCTTTACCCTTCCGGCCCCGACCACGACCTTCCGAGGACGGTGTGGCGACGCCAGACTCCGACTCACGCAGCTTAGCTGTCCTACGGTCTTTCTTCTCCCGAGCACGTTCCGCAAGCTCGTACACATCCTCTCCCTCCTCGAGAGCCTAATCAAAGTCAAGAAATACCTCATTAGCAATATACCACAAAGAAAGGCAACGGGAAAGCACAAACCATAGCCCACTGATCATCGCTCAACCCATCATTATAATTCACCACATTCCTCTTCCTCTGTCCCCTCCCCTCCACCTCCTCCAACTCGTCCTTATTCTCGAACGGCTCGTCCGTCCGATAACAGTCCGGAAGCTCCTCGAGCTGCATGAGCGGCAACGGCGGTTTCCCACGGTTGCCCGCCGCCTTCCACCTCGACGCCGTCTCCCGCTCGCGCTCGATGTCCATCTGTCCGAACCGGCGCTCTTCTTCCTCCGAGCGCGCGATGAGCATGTTGATCTCGTCGTCGTTCATGTCTCCGCCTTCTTCCGTCTCTTCTTCTTGATCCGCTTCGAGAATCGAACGCTGTTACATTACAAAGGCGTCGATAAGCGACCGGTGTAACATGCCAATAAAAGGAAGGGTAAGAACGCACCAAGAACTCCTCCTGCTCCTCCTGCGTAGACTTGTTATCGAATCGACCGGCTTGAATGACCTTGTCGTCAATATCGAGCTTATACCGTGCACGAGAGTACATCGCCTCCTCGACGCTCTTCTCCGTGATGAACCGCAAGATCCTAACAGCCTTCGTCTGTCCGATACGATGCGCACGATCCTGCGCCTGCAAGTCCGCATGCGGATTCCTAAATACCACCACATAACCCATCAGCCTCAAACACCACCACCACCACCACCGTACTACGACAGCCAAGGGAGGAAGAAAGAAGAGCCAGTACGCACCAATCCGAGTCGAAGATGATGACCGTATCAGCCGTCTGCAAGTTCAGACCCAAACCACCTGCACGAGTGGACAGGATGAAGACCATGATCTCCGAGTCCTTGGTGTTGAAAGCCGTGACGTGTGCGGCACGTTCCTCCGTCTTCGTTCCACCGTCCAGACGGAGGTACTTCCAGTTCTGCATCTTGAGGAAGTCCTCCATGATGTCCATCACTCTCGTCATTTGGAAGAAGATGAGGACCTATAGAGCAGGCAGTGCAGTGAGAGGTCAGTTATTCAGTTCAAGGGAAAGGGAAAGGGGAGGGTGAGAGGGAAGAAAGAGACGTACCCTGTGACCCTGGTCGAAGAACTTGGGCAGGATACGGTTCAAGAGCTCGATCTTTCCCGATGAGCGGATAAGCTTGTCGTCGATGAGACCCGAAGGATTGAGTTTGTCTTCCACGCTTTCGAACAAGAACGGATGCTGGCAGATCTTGCGCAACTGCATGAGCTCGTTGCTCAGACCTTTCACGCCGCCCTGCTTCCTACAAACCCACAAAATATCAGCCAACATTCCCGTCCACGAACACGAATGATACCAAAGAAAGAAAGAAAGAAAAATACATACCCCTGCTTGTTATCCAACCCACTCGCGATCATCTTATACTTCTTCATCTGCTTATACAGCTGACTCTGCAACGCGCTCATCCTGACCTTCACCACCTTCTCCACCTTATCCGGCAACTCCCTCTCCACGTCCTTCTTCAGCCTCCTCAACAAGAACGGCCTGAGCACCTTATGCAACCGCCTAATGATCAGCAACGCCTCCTCCTCGTTCAGCTCGATCTTGTCCGGCGTGCCCGAGTTCGCGAACGGCGTGTTGAACCACTCGTCGAACGATTTCACGGAGTTGAAGATCTTCGGGAGCGCGAAATTGAGCAGGGCCCAGAGTTCGGGGAGGTTGTTCTGCAGGGGCGTTCCGGTGAGGATGAGGCGGTAAGGGGAGTGGTAATACGTCGTGAGGGTCAGGGCAAGCTTCGACCGGGTGTTCTTCATACGATGACCCTCGTCTGTAAAACATACCGCTCGTCAATACACACAGGCATTATCAACGACAAAGCGAAGAAGACCCACCGATGATCATGTGCTGCCATTTCATCTTACTGAGTACGGGCCTGTCCTTGATGATATACTCGTACGTCGTGAGCAGGACCTGGAACTGGCCGACCCTAAGGTCGCCTTGGAGAGCCCGACGCTGGGCCGGATTGCCTTTATAGGCGACGACCTTCACCGACGGTGCCCACTTGGCGAACTCTCCGGACCAATTCGTCATAGTCGAGAGAGGAACAATGACCAAGAACGGGCCACGGAGCCTCTTGGTCTCGAGGAGGAAAGTGATCAGCGAGATCGTTTGGATCGTCTTTCCGAGACCCTAAACCGGGTAAGAACGACAAGGTCCAAGTTCAGTAAGATCTTAGAGGTGGAAAATGCCACAGGAAGCGTACCATCTCGTCGGCTAAGATTCCGTTAAGCCTGTTATTGTACAAGCTGACCATCCATTGGAGACCCTTGATCTGATACTCCTTGAGCGTCCCACCGACGAGGATCCCCGGCTGCTTCGTGACCTTCTCCTTGATCCTATGCGCAACCGCGTAATAATCGACCTTGCCCTTATCATCATGTATATCGTCCGGAGCCACCGTCCCACCGAACGTCCTCTCGTCCGTCGGGCCCTCTTCCTCCTCATAGATGATATTAGTACCAGGCTGAGGATGCGAAGTTTGCTGGGCCACGACGGCCTGAGCGAGCGAATCGAGATACGAATCCGTCTGCTTCAACAAATGAGTGATCCGTGTGTCCTTCGCAGTGTCGATGAGCTTCATGTAGGCCTCTTCATCGTCAGCCTTGAGAGCCTTGAGACGTTCCTTCGAGATACGCTCGATACGCTTCTGCTCCTCGCGCTCGGTCTGGGTGTGGAAGCTCTGCACGGCCTTGTTCAGCTTCAAGACGCGGTCCTGGGCCAACCGATTGGCTCTGAGGAGCTCCTGGCCGTGGTTGGTGATAACATTGAGCTGCTCGACATGTTTCTGCTTCGCGCGACGTTCACGATCGACGCGTTGTTTCCTCTCGAGCTGTTCCGTCGTATGAGCGTCTCGAAGAGTCGGCTTACGCGTACGACGGAAATCAGGACGGTTAAGAGGGAGGAGAGAGCCATGGGTGAGACGTTCGGCCACGGACGCACGAAGCGCGCGTTGTTTGTCGAGTACACGGAGCGATTTGAGCTCGATCATGGCTCGCAGCTTGCCATGGGCTGTCGCCGGAGGATGGACGTATTGCAAGTTGAGGACCTTAAGGGATTTCTCGGGTTCGGGCTCCGCCTTCTCCTTGCCCTTGTTCTCGGAGGGAGCGTCGTCGACGATGGGCTCGAGGTCACCGTCGCCCATGGTCGCGGGCATGGCTTCGAGTTCGTCGATACGGTGCTGGATGCGGGCTTCGAGGAAACGGTTGCGCTCGGCTATGATCTGGTGAGGGTCAAGGCCACCGGGCATGACGGATGGGATGAGCATGCGTTGGAGACGGGTGGCGTATTCTGAGGGAGTGGTATCTGGGAGGCGCTTGAGGTAGGTGAAAGGATGGACGTAGGCGTTGTACGGGAAGACGCCCGAGGTAGCGTCTTCCACGACAAGGGCGTCGGAAGCCAAGTCCTCTGCCTGGGCGGTATCCTCCATCTTGACGTCGTTGCGGCTCTGGATGGGAGTGGACGTTGGAGGAATATGTGGCATCGGGAGCTCACCGGGGCCCTTGTGGACTTTGACGGTGTTGTCGACGACCCGAGTAGCGACGTCCTGGGAAGCGAGGATCTTGTCGAGTTCGGGCATGGGCTGGTTTGGAGAGGCGATGATCTGTTGGATTTGTTCTGGGACAGGCATACCGCGCTGGAGGAGCTTGAAGGCATGGATCTGAGCGCGGAGAGCGTTGACTTGGCCCGGGGTGAATATGACAGGGGACGGGGGAGGGTTGGGGAAGGACTGTGTGGCGAGAGGACCCGATGCGAGCGGATGGCCATTGACAGCTGGTGGACCGTTCATGCCAGGTGTAGGACCACCGTGGCCATTGATGGCCGACTGGTGGTCTAAAGGAAAGCCATCTTGGTGCTGGCTTTTGTTGAGAGCTGTGGGGAAAGGGCAGGAGAAGAAAACAGATGAGCGAATACAGGTGAGGGGGACAAATATAGAGAAATACCGTGTTGTTGGGCCTGCTGTTGCTGCACTTGAAGTTGACGTGCGAAGGTGACTAGTTTGTTGAGCTCTGGGGATGATTCTGTGGTGAGCCCTTGGCTTCTGAGCACATTGATGCGCTAATTGGAACCAGGTCAGCGAAGCGAAAGAAAGCGGGAATGGGACGTGACAAGCCTGGAAGAGAGCGATTATTCGGTCGTTGGAGATGTTTGGACGCTGGAAGGAGTGCTGTTGGTGGATCGCGGGCGCGGCCATGAGACCGGACGCGTTCTGATAAGTGGGACTGTGCCGGATTTGAGAGCTTCAACTCGCGGCGCGTGCAAGCGACAATTGGCGGCGACTCGCTCTGACCGCCCTCCTCGTCGCACTGCCTCCTTTCAAGCTCCGACGGTCACGTGCCCCTTTGTCCTCCCCTTCGAGCCGCGTCCCACCCTCTTTCGTTTTGTCTTCGTTTACAACCTCGTCTACTTACTCGAACACCACATGGCGACGAATCTTTGACGCATCGAAATATGCGACGCGTGTTGTCACTTGCGAACATCCCGATCCTTACTTTTCCCGATTCGGACATGCTTTGCTCTTTTCTTCGTCCATCAACTGTGGCCCAGAGGCTCCTGCTAGCATCGGTCACTATCGTCTACTCTGTCAAAGGCTTACCTTTCGTTTTCAATATCATATACTTTTCAGACTGCTCAGATGAACTTCGCGCCGAATTTCATGCTCTGCACAAGCTCTATACACTCTGCAACGATGAGCCTTTATTCGCCATTCCTCGTACTCAGGTCGCCTACTATAATTCCCGAACGAATGAGTCTCTTTGATTTACACAATTCCATCCTCTGCTAAGGGGTTCGAGACCCACAACCTATCCTCGACAGCAACCTATTCGCGAACGACCATTTCGACGCCCCATGCGCCATGGACCGCGCCCACGTCCTCTCTAGCCAAGTCCACACTTTCGCACGCGACCTATTCTACAGTACCGCCGCTCTCCACCAAAATATTGCGCCTCCCCTCATATGCCGTCTCTATTTTGGCAAAGTCCTCCTTACTTCTCAATTCGCCAACTCCGTGAACATCCCCATCGACGTCGCTCACTGCTCACTCTTACGATCTCATTTCAATCACGGTCAATCAATCAGTCTGGAAGAAGTAGCGGAAGGGACGGGTGAGATACCCGGGCGGATTCATTGGCTCGCCGGATACGACGGAAGAGATGTCGAGTTCGTTATGGCTGGCAGTGGACCGCTGGTCATGAGGCACTATGTGACAGGTTACCTCGACGCTTGTCTCGAAGAGCTCAAGGGTTGGAGTGCGAGTCTACCTGGGCGGGACCGAAGTCGAGCAGGTGAAGAGGTCGCCGGGGTGATAGGATCTTTCTCGTTGTACTGTACTTTTTCGACCAAAGGTTCATCAGAAATGTACGTCACCCATCAGTTTCGCCCCGGTCACGGTTCAGAAACCGTGCGTGAGCGTGACGGGACCCGTAAATAGTTCAGAAAACAACGTAGGCGCTTGCAAAAATGATCATTTTGCGCAAGCGCCTGCCGAGGTCACTGTTCGCTCACCATGCGTTATGTGTGAGGTCACGCAGGATTTTGTTCGGTTCACCAGCGCGGAGAACGCGTGACGAACCTTTGGTCGAAAAAGTACAGTATCCGGACTTGTGACTTCTGAACAATTGTACCATTACAGTGAGCCTAAGTGAGCCTAACGACATAGCGCACTTGTTCATACATCACCAGTTATCATGCTACACAAACAACTAAATCAAAATCAATCAGTTCTGGTCTACATAACACGGCGCGACGCAACAGATCCACAGGGAATGTATATCGTATATTCGGTCATCTCTGACTACTACTTCCCATGTAGGGTCCGTCGTGCAGCGGCGTTAGTTAGGTCCCGTTCGGTTCGTAAGGTGTCTTGGTGCTCTTCTCCCAGTACGTTCCTTTGTAACACCAGCACCTTCTTATATAGCTCCTCCGCCTCCTGATACCGGTCTTGACCATGAATTGCGACCACCAAGCCATACTCGGTATCCAAAGTGTCCGGATGCTCCTCTCCGAGAACTGTCCTCCGCACCGCCAACACTCTTCGACACATCTTCTCTGCCTCCGCATACCGACCCTGATTACTGACTGCAAGTGCCAAGTCATGCTCAGTGACCAAGGTCTTTGGATGCTTGTCTCCAAGAATGGTTCTCCGCGCCACTAACACATTTTGATACAACTCCTCTGCCTCTGCATACCGACCCTGATCATTGACCATGGCAGCCAAAAAATGCTCTGTGAGCAAAGTGTCCAGATGCTGATCTCCGAGAACTCTCCTCTGTGCCACTAACACGTTTCGAAAGCGCAGTTCTGCTTCTGCGTGCCGCCCCTGAGTACCAAGTGTGACAGCCAAGTTATGTCTGGCGAGCAAAGTGTCTGGATGAAGGTCTCCGAGGACTGTCCTCCGTGTTTCCACCACTACTCGATACAGCTCCTCTGCCTCCGCATACCGACCCTGGCTCTCGACCGCGATAGCCAAGTTATAGTTGGTCAGCAAAGTATTCGGATGCTTACCTCCGAGGACTGTCCTCCGCCCCGCCAAAACTTTTCGATACAACTCCTCTGCCTCCACACACCGACCCTGCTTGTAGACCATGTTTGCCAAGTTATGCTCGGTGCACAAAGTGTCCAAATGCTCAGCTCCGAGAGCTGTCCGCTGTGCCACCAGCACTCTTCGCAACAGCTCTTCTGCCTCCGCATGCCTTCCCTGAGTACCAAACATGACAGCCAAGTCATGCTCGGTATGCGAAGTGTCTAGATTTTTGTCTCCAAGTGCTTCCCTCCTTGCCTCCAACACTATTCGAAACAACTCCTCTGCCTCCTCATACCGACCCTGCTTATCAAGTGTGACAGCCAAGTTATGCTTGGTGTGCAAAGTGTCTGGATGCTCATCTCCAAGGCTTGTTCTCCGTGTTTCCAACACTCTTCGATACAATTTGTTTGCCTCCTCATGCCGGCCCTGCTTATCGACTGTGACAGCCAAGTGATGCTCAGTGCTCAAAGTGTCCAGATGCTTGTCTCCGAGAGCTGTCTTTCGTGCTGCTAACACTCTATGATATAACTTCTCTGCCTCTGCAGACCGACCCTGAGCATTGACCATGTCGGCCAATTTATGCTCGATGTGCCAAATGTCTGGATGTTTGTCTCCAAGAACTGCCCTCTGTGCTGCCAACACTATTCGATACAGCATCTCTGCCTCCACATGTCGACCCTTATTATTGATCATGTCAGCTAATTTGTGCTCGGTGTGCAAAGTGTCTGGATGTTCATCTCCAAGAACTGCACTCCGTGCTGCTAACACTTTCCGATACAATGCCTCTGCCTCCACACGCCGACCCTGATCATCCACTATGGTAGCCAAATGATGCTCGGCGAGCAAGGTGTCCGGATGCCTATATCCGAGAACCACCCTCTGTGTTCCCAACACTCTTCGAAACAGTTCCTCTGCTTCCGCAGACCGGCCCTGATTACCGACTGTGAGTGCCAATTCATACTCGGTCGACAAAGTACTTGGATGCTCATCTCCGAGGACTATCTTCCGTGCTGCTAACACTTTTCGATACAACTCCTCCGCCTCTGCATACCGACGCTGCATATTACATGTGACAGCCAAGTTATGCTCAGTATGTAAAGTGTCTGGATGTTTATCTCCAAGTACTGTCCTCTGTGCTTCCAAAACTCTTCGATTCATCTGCTCTGCCTCTGCATATTGACCTTGCCTGCAGACTGCAAATGCTAGATGGCTTTCAATAAGCAGGAGATCTGCTTTGTCATCTTGGGGCAATTCAGAGCGTCCTATGAGCACTTCTCTGCACATGTGCTCTACCTTTGCCCACTGATGTTGAAAGAGGAGCGACTCAATCATACCCTTGGCCGCCCGTAACGTGTCTGGATTTTCCCACCCTAGAACAACTCTGCGTGCATTCAAGACCTTGCTGAATATTTCCTCAGCCGCAGAGTACCTCTTTTGTTCAAGGATAGCTTGTGCCAAGTTATACTCGGCCTGCAAAGTGAATGAGTAGACACCTGGAATCTGTCTATCCATAGCAAGAACTTGGCGGAAGGATGCTTCCGCTTCTCCGTACCTATGTTGTTCCAGAAGCGAGAGCGCAGATTGATAGATCTGCAGTCTCCGTGCTTCTGTGACGGGAGAGATCCTGGTGCGTGCAGTAGAGAGTAACTTTCGGAATGGATTGCTGGGTGGGTTTCGACGTCCTAGCTGGCTATCTGCATAGTTTCCAGGGAAGGACAAAACAGAACCCCTTCGGTCACTTGGTGAGATCGATTCGCTTTCGAAGATGGAAGGCTGCACACGTCCTGCACGCGCAAACGAATGAGTATGTATGGGCGTGACATGAACATTGTTAATACGCACTCAGTTTGACCGTGGAGACCTTGCCCAGTTCGCGGGAACCAACGACCCTGACCACATTCGACACTTTCTCGGTGACTACATCTGTGAGAAGATAGCGGTCTGTGTGCGCTTTGATTACGCCCGCTTGGTCCCAGTCATCGTGCTCGATGGCTTGCATGCCCTGAGCAACAGAGAAACGAAAATAGAGGTCGGGAACCTCTTTGTAACGTAGCTCTGCTTCGTTTGCAGTGCTTTCACAATCGAGAGCTATTCTCAACAAAACAACCTTCAGGTCTGCAGATGCAGGAGCCAATTGTCCAGATCCGAGGCTGACGATGCAGCTGACGTGGCGCTCTGGGAAGTTTCTGTAAGCTTCCTCCAAGAGCATTTCAAGCGGGTTGTTACACCCAAGACCACCATCAACGAAAGGCTCTTTGTGTGAGCCTATCAAAACAGGCTTGAACAGCGAGGGCAGAGCAGATGTCGCACGCGCGGCTTGCCAGATCGTGCAATCGTAGCTTTCGTCCACGCCAGTACCGTCGACATAGGTACGAAAGAGTTGAGGAGTGGCCGGAGCTACGTGATGGGCCGACATAGCACAAACAAAACTGCAGAGCGCGTGTTAGGGAAGAGCCTACAAGGAATGCACGGAATTCTCACACTTTGCAATCCGACGGGGCCGCCATCATCCTCGTCTCGCTATTTCCGGTTTTTGCTCGAATAATGAGTTTCAGAACTTCCTCGAGCTTTGAAGTCTTGTACTGCTGCGCGCCAGCCCATTTGGGATCCGAGAAAACTTGCTCGGAGAGGGAGACGTAGGACTTGATCGCTTCGTCGACAGTCATTCGTAAGCGCCCTAGGAAGAGAGCGACGATTCTGATTCCGATTCTTGTGAGTGAATCATGGTCTGTTTGGGGAGAATGGTCCGAACGCACCCTCCAGTATTAGACCCAGCTATCATATCGAACCATTCGCATGGACGTGGAACAGATTCGAGGTTGTTCTGAACCTGCAGTCGCTCCATCATCTCCCGCAGGATGTATAACTCTGATAGACCTCGTATCCCGCCTCCGTCTGCATAGTAGTCAGACACCAACCTCAGTGACTATGCTTGATCGGTTGGCATATCTGGTAGAAGACGTACCACAAGAAAGTAGTCGTAACCCGCGAGGTGGCATAGCGTTTCGTCGTACGAGTCAAAGATCAGATCAGAAAGGCGTGGAAGAAATCACGGTGGTGAAAGTCAGAGTTCTGGTTGCGTCCATTTTAGGTTCATGGCAGTACAGCACAAGCGTCTAATACGAGTATCGCCTTAGTAGAGTAGAGCCTCTCACGCAACCCAAGGAAGAGCAAAAAATGACGATAAAAATGTACATAAGTATACCAGCAATTAGGAGCTTGTTACTAGGTCTTGCAAGTAAGGTCGGTGGCAGTCGACTACATATACTTATGTAGTCGGTGGCAGAAGCGTTCTCAATGAGACCCACCAAGGCGGCGCTCAAGATACAAGAGTTTACCCACGGTGCCGCCACGCGACCACTGTAACGCACTCCATTTGTGGCGCCACGCTCGTTTCTCTCCGACCACGACCATCCGCAACTCAGATTTAGAGTAAATCACATCCATGTCGTCCACTCCACGAGCTTCAGCCCTTACCACCACTTCTTCTTCCTCAACTGTAAACGAACCTCGTTCGCTAAACCGTCAAGTCATCCTCGACGAAGACGAATACACCGCCGCCCTCTCCCAAATCATCGCCCGCGACTTCTTCCCTTCCCTCGTCCACCTCGACGCCACAAACGACTACCTCGACGCTCTCAACTCCAACGACCCCAATCTCATCACCGCCTCCGTTCGTCGACTAGAACAACTCAACGACAACGGCACCACGCCCGGTCCTTCGAGTCGTCGGACTCACACCACACGCAACAGGCCATGGCAGACTCCGTCCGAGACGCCTTATGCTGCTGGGACCTCGGAGACGCCACTACATACACCCCGAACCGAGGTAGGAGATATGGATGTTGATGGGCTGGATGGTCGACCGTCTAAACGCGCACGCTATGATACGGACCTCTCGCTCGATGCGTTTCAATCGCGATACACCTCGGAAGACAACTCGAGCTTTACGCATATATTGCATGAGGAGAATAAGAGGCGGAAGGAGAAGTATGGTTGGGCTTGGGAGGCGCAGAGGAAGGTGGAGGCGATGAGGGAGAGGATGATCGAGGGAAGGGAAAGGGCGCTGCTGGAGGGTCCGAAGCAGGGTGAGGTGATTGGAGTCAAAGAGAAGTTGAGGATAGAGGCACCGGTGCCGCGAGGACTGATTACTGCTGGTGCTGAGGGGTCAAATGGTAAAGAAGGAGACGAGGGCGAAGGGGAACAGAGGAACGACGATGGAGGTGACGGGGATGACAAGGGTAAGCAGGTCATTCTGAAAGCTGGCGAGGAGGAAGGCGTAGTGGATGTTATGGCCCCGAAGAAGGATAAACGCTCGGCTGGTGTCGACGGTTGGTCTTTCAAAACCCGTAACAACTTTATGTTCTCTCCCGATGCCGACATCTCCCCATACGATCCCTCGAGCTCTGCCTGGCGAGACTCCAAATTGCAACCCGATCCAAAGTTTATCAAACATGGGAACACACGCATGCCTGAGCACGAGGAGTCACCGTCTTCACATGTCGGTAGAGGAGCATCTGAGCCTCCAAGCCCAACGAGGAGTAGGATCGACGCTGCTATCGCTGGAACACCTTGTACGTCTGGTCATCCTATTCATTCTTTACATTAGATACTGACAACACCAATCCAGACCGTCCCAAATCACCCGGTGTCAACTCCTTCTCCTACGTCCCCTCCCTCCCCTCCCCTACACCCTCCCAACTCGGTCCCGCCGCCGTCAAACAACTCATGACCCTCGGAACCCTCACCGGAACCCCACGCATTCTCTCCCAACCCACCGATCTCGCCGACATGATCGAGCCACCCACCCCATTCCGTATCAACGAGCCCTCAGCCCGCGAGAACCTATCGCACAGACTATCCAACACCGCAGCGAAGAGCCTACGTGCGAAAGCCAATCTTCTGAACCGTAAGAGTGGCGGTGGCGGGCGCAGTAGCGGTGGCGCAGGTGTGGGAGGAAGGGGTGACATGGCTCCTCCGTCGTGGACGCCGAAGAGAGCAGAAGCACAGGGAGGTCTGACGCCGGCTGCGAAGCGGTTATTAGATAGGACTACGATGGGTTCTGCGGCGGCGAGGAGGGCGGAGGCGATGAGCAGGATGGCGGGGTGGGAGGGGTCAGGGTCAGATAGGAGGACTGGGAAGGAGAAGGACTTGAACAGGGTGAGGTGGACACCTACGCCGAGTCCGGTGACGAGGAAGTGAGGGTGTGGTTAGGGACTTGGTCGAGGTGCAGGTATACACGTCCTCGGCCTGGTAGTCTTTGTGCGTTGTGGGTGACTTTTAGAATCTTTGGGGGTTGGATTTAGCATGTTGTGCAGTTCGTTCACTCCATTCTCGCGTATATATCCATAAAAGCGTCAAAGGGCAGGACGGACTACATCGAGGAATCCAACCATGTAATCTACATGTATACTACTACGAATCGCCTCCTACCTTCCGCCGTTTCGCCTCCGGTCTATCTTCATCCTCTCCCTCTGCTGTCCTAGTCTTAGCAACGCTCTTGGCACCAAGATCTGGTTTCGACCCGGCGTCATCCTTTGGCTTTGTCTCCACCGGTTTCGATGAAGCTGGCTTGGCCCCTGCTGGTTTTGGTTTCTTCTTCATCACGACGCCCTTCAGGGGCTTTTTGGAATCCTTCTTAGCAGCAACGGTCGGTGCTGGCTTCTTCACTATGGACGATGTAAACGTCGTGGGGGAGATATTGGTGGCGGAGGGTTTAGAAGCGGAGGCAGAATCAATAGGTGGAGAGGCGGCTGGGGCGGCTATTGGTGGCGACTTCACAATAACCCTTGACGCGATGGCTCTAGGGTTTTCGTGAGTGGGAAATTGACCAGAAGAGACAAGTGAACGAACATACTCTCTGAATCCACGAACCTCCTCTCCGTCGCGCTCTTTCCGCTGTCGTTCCTCTTCCTCCTGCTGTTCCCTGACCGAATCGAGGAACATAATCTCGTCCTCCTCAAGCGCCCGAAATTGATTCGCAAGCTTCGTCTTCTCCTCCCATTCTTCCTGCTTTGCGGCCTACGAGAACCCAGGCATCATACATACGAGCTCGCGAAGGGGGAGCAGCTGCCTGTGTAGCTAGCTGATGAATGACGCGCTTACTTTGTTGGCAGCCAATTTCTGCCAACACCGCCATCACGCGAGGAGATGGGAGGGAGAGGGACGGGGTTCGTAAGCCCGTGGTAAAGCTGTTAGTTGCGGTGCAATAACGAAGGACACGAGATGGAGGACATACCTCTGCTAGACTACGACCATCATATATCTCTTCCTGTTGCTGTGGCGGAGGCTCTTGGCCTAACCTAGTGGGTTAGAGTTCCGCAGGTGAGACACTTGGACAGCTGTGCGCGATTCCCGACAGCTAGGGAATACCTAGCGTATGCTGCTTTCCACTGCTCTTCGCGTCGTGCTTTGGCGGTTTCGAGGTCTGTTTGGGAGACGAAGCGAGAGCCGACGGAACCGGTGGAGATGGATGGAATTGCGTCGTCGGCCATAGTCAATGCTGGAAGAAAGCACGAATATCAACAAGCACAAGTATGGGACACTTTGTCCTGCGTGTGTTTTGCGAAGGGGCGTGGGTGATGGACAAGAATAGAGCGGATGAAGCGATGACAATTAGCAAACGAACTTGTCATAGTCCGGCTGCCGGGAGCCGCCCGCCGAAGCGCTGGCTGTTCAGAGCGAGCTGCGAGATGACTTACGGTCGACCGCCGAGCTGAGACGGTTTCTGCTCGGTCTCTCCCTCCACAGCGCTCTCCCCGCTCCCTTTCTTCCCTCCCCATCCGCTCTCTTCGTCCTCCGGGTTATATAAATATATACTATATCTGGGAAATGGTCGACAATGTCCGCTCTCAGTCTCCCCTCTCCAGCGCAGACTCTCAGTTCGCTCGCGCCAGCACGCTCAGCCACCATGCAACTATAAGGACCGTCGTCACATCTCCCCGTATGTTTCGCTTTCCATCTTGATTCGTGGTGCAACAGACTGATGGGCCAGCTTCAAAATCAGCGTGGGCTAAAGATGAGCCACCCTCACCTACCGGAACCATCCATGGTCATGCTCCTTCGTCCAGTACAGTCGCAGGGACAAGTTCTTCACCAGACTTCAGACAAGCCGACGCTTCCTCCGTTCAATCCTCTGCGTTACAGCAAGAGGACGAGCCCTCACGATGGTGGAGCTTCGCCCGAAACGTCAATCGTCCATCCGCCTCTCCATTCCCCCTCGGATCCACTTACCGTCAACATACCTCCCGTCCAGAGAAGAAACTCACCATCTCATCCTGGCGTTCCTCATCACAAACAGCCCGTCAAGAGCAACAACCACCACCACAATCACCCATTGATATGGAGCAGGACGATGCTCTTCGAGAAAAGGAGAATCGGCTGCAGATAGCTCTGCCACCTCCACCCGCCGCCCCCAACACAATATCTCAGAGTCGGACACCGGGGTGGGATGTACCTTGGACACCGAGAGCGGATGGTGTGAGCGATTATCTGTCTCATGGGCAGTATGAGCCGCTGGACCCTGATCACAGTAGGGAGGCTGGCTTGCGGGAATCTCTTACAAAGGCCAAACCTGGCTGGGCTGGGATGAGACAACGTGCGAGGAGATATCTGCTTTCGAACGTTTATGTTCCGTTGGTGCGTCACTATAATTTGCACACACGTCTTTGTTATCGGATTCCTGTGCTAACACTTTCGTTCTCAGATCTTCCGGATGTCTAACCTTAGTCTGACGAGTGCTGCACTTGCTGTCGCCATTCGCATCCGGCACGAGGAGGAAAAGCGTGGAGTCATGGGTATCATGGGTAGTTCCCCGTATGTCCTTTCGTCGCTCCGTTTTTGCCCGCAAATTGATGTCTACCTGCTTGGGCGTAGAACATTGGTCGTTATCTTTGCGCCGGTCACTCTTCTACACGTCCTAGTATCCATATATGTGAGGTCTCCTGTCATCGAGATATGATATCAGGCTCATTTCGTTCCCCGACTTAGCTCGAATATTTTGGACGACCACTCGGCCTCTGGCGCACTTCTGCCAAACTCGCTAACACCCTAACGGAAGTTCTCGCCATCTGCGCGTGGGCCGCCGCCCTATCCCTGTGTTTCGACAATTTCTTCACCTCCACAATCCCATGCGCTCATGCCTCATCCGTGTCCTGGTACAGCAGCATCGGTCGGGCCATCAGTCCCGTCGGAGATCTCGGAGGCGTCGAGGGTACATTCGGAGAGGCGCTCTGTGACGAACAGCTCGCGTTGATCTGCCTCGTCGGTGTTGGCCTCATTATGTACTGCTTCAATCTGGTGATCAGCCTCTTCCGAATATTCGAGAAAGTCAAGTACCATCATGCGCCGGAGTTATGGCCCAGCACGTCCGGACATCGATTCACGCATCATGCACGACCATGACTCCCTCCCCTTTCAGCGACCCGTTCGACTATCCGTGTACAATAGAACCTGTTCTTCCCTTGACAGGCATACCCATTCTTTCATTCTCTACCAGCGTTAATGTTTTACCGCCTTTTTCTTACACCTTTTCCTTCCAGTCGCTCTTTCGTCCCTCTTATTCCTTTATTCCCTCCAATGTCTGGTAATTTATCCGCTTTCATCCACTGCATCCTGTAGCCTTTTACGTGTCTTCACTTTTCCCATCTTCATCTACATAGTTCACGTCTTTATGTCTTCCCTTCCTGTGTCTACGATTATCGCCAAAGTAACTATCATCACTGAAGGACGCTCACACTTATTCCACACATTGCCACCCTTCTGCTCTTTCCCTCCCTCATTTCAACTTCCCAGCTATCGCTCCTCGCTTCTTCACCCTCATTCCTCCATCAGAATCATTGCTACAAGCACGGCGGTTGTACGATACGATAGCATTGAGGACGACGACTCACCTCATCACACACACTTTACGTGCGCATCCAATGTTTACTGCAGTCATCCAAGGGTTACGCTACGGTTTATTTCCTGTATTAATCCTCTGCGTATCCAACCTCGTCTTGCTGTCGACTCTTCTAATCAGAATGCTTCTCAATTTTCAACGTCTCCGTCCTGCAATGAAGCTTGATATCTCGTTTGACCATAACATATCGAACTGTGGCCCAACTGTGGCCACCTATCGGCGAAACTTCTCACCACCAACACACCGTGCGCTCAAAATAGCAAGTCACATACTGCGTTCGGTTATCGTGCGTCCCAAAATATTGCGCCATCGGAACAGGCGTTGATAGCCTCAGCCTGTTTCTCCATTTGATCACCATGTCGCCTCTTCCGCCGCTACTATGCCCATTAGCGAAGCACTGACCGCGAGCAGGACGTCCAGCATCGATCTCACACGGTCGCAGCCTGCAGACCAACCACCACCACCACCTCCTCATCCTCCAGCGACGACGGGCAACAGTACTAGTCAACGCAAACCCAGTCCGGTCGAGATGGACGCCATCCCGGCGTCTACGAATACTCATTCCCATACTCATACTCAAAGCTTGAGCCGTCAACAGTCCGTAGAATTCGCTATGTCGGAATCCAATAGTTCGCGCTCGCACTCGCGCTCCTCGAGACCGAGACCGCCATCGAAATCGAAGTCGAGCTCGCCGATGAGGCCGGTGTTGAATCGGAGGGAGTACGCGGTCGGGATCTTGCTCCTGCTCGTTGTCGTCTTTTTGTGGACGAGTTCGAATTTCGTTACACAGGTGAGTAACTTGCCGTCCGGTCAAGTGGAGTGGTTCTGAGGGGCTGGGCGGGATTCGGTGATGGTTAGGACTTGTTCGTTGGAGGGTATGAGAAACCTTGGCTGTGAGTTGTTGGCGCTTTGTGATTGGGACTGGGCTATTCGGTCGATGTCTGACGGGCACTTACTCGGACACGATAGGGTGACGTATCTGAACACGAGCTCGTTCGCGTTTTATTTGTTGCCGTTCGGCTTGCGGACGCTCTGGAGACGGAGTAGGGAGGGTAAGAGTGGGTATAAACCTCCGAGGTGCGTATAGCTCGCTTGAGTGCCTAGTCAGATCCGAAAGAGGAATTGAGATTGTTCTTACACATTACGTATGGTTAGGTCGCGTGAGGACGAGTATCAACCGCTTGTAGAGGAAGAGTATACACCACGAGATGTAGAGGGTTCTGTGAGTCATCTCATCTTCGCATTCGCGTCACCCTCTAGCATATTCCTCTTCGTCTGACCACCTCTTCTCCCCTGAACTCCAAACCCAGAACACATACACCCCTTCCGAAATCGCACACGACTCCTTTCCACATCCACACACGCATGCCAAGCTCCCACCCCTTTCAACGCTCGAGACAGCCCGGCTGGCATGCGTCTTCTGGTTCTTCTGGTTTGCCGCCAACTGGACGTCGACGGCCTCGTTGGACTATACGAGCGTGGCGAGCACAACGATTCTCTCCGCTACCAGTGGATTATTCACGCTCGTCATTGGGAGGTTATTCCGTATAGAGCCTATGACTCTGGCCAAACTATGTGCTGTCGTTACCAGGTATTCATTCATCCTGTCGCACTCAACTCTGCGTGGAACTCATATCATAAATCAATATTCTAGCTTCATCGGCGTCATCCTCGTCTCCCTCTCCGACAACTCCTCCTCCGACCCCGCAGTCTCCGTCCCTCCACCAGACACTCCCATCCCCATACCACCAACAGCACCAGAACGGGACTACACACCTTCAAGTCCCCTGCTCGGCGACGCTCTCGCCCTTCTCTCTGCGCTCTTCTACGCTATCTACGTAACTCTGCTCAAGGTCCGGATCGGGGACGAGTCCCGCATCGATATGCAGCTGTTCTTTGGGTTCGTGGGGTTGTTTAATATCGTGGTTTGTTGGCCTGTGGGGTTGGTGTTGCATTTGACGGGTGGAGAGGTATTTGAGTGGCCGGAGGGAGGGAGGATGTGGGGTGCTATTTTGATTAATGTGAGTGTTGCTGGTTCGGTCGTGGTTCATCGTATGGGTCGTCGGTGCTAATTGCATGGAACTTGTAGATGTTGATCACGCTGTCCAGCGACTTTATCTATGTTCTCGCGATGTTAAAGACGACGCCTCTGGTTGTTACCATCGGTCTCTCGTACGTCCCCTATTCTACCCTCCATTGCCATGGATAGATCCCTGCATAACTAGAACTGACCTCTGATTGAATGTGTATTGTTCCTCGGATTTGCGCCACATTTAGATTGACCATGCCGCTCGCCGTCATCGGGGACTTCTTCCTCGGACACTCTGCGAAAGCCCAAGTCGTCTTCGGGGCCGTACTCGTCCTCGCGAGCTTCGTCGTCGTAGGTATCGAGGATTCCAAGGTCGAGGGTGCATTGATGCCGCCACCACCAACACCAACAACACTCGACGGGTCTTATCAGTATCAATATCATCCTCCTTCTTATCCGTCCGCTGTCCGTTCGGGATCGCTGGATGAACGGGAAGGGAGGGAAGCAGAGAGGAGTAGAGGGAGAAGACAGTCGAGGGTTAGGTGGAGGGATGAGGAGGATGTGGGCGGTGGGGAAGATGAACTGGAGGGATCGGGACGTGCGGATGTGGGTGCTGGTGAGAGGAGAAGGTCGTCGGCTGGGGATAGAACGACTGAGGAACGGTGACGATGGTTTTGAGATCTTAGGTCTCGGGCGTTGGCTATTCTTATGACTCCGCGCTAGCCCCGCTGCTGCTGCTTTCTTGGGTTTTTGGGTTGTATTTGCGTGACGTACGTTTTTGCTTTTATTGCTGCTATCTAATCTAGAGTGTACATATTCAGCCGCGAGAGTGATACATAGTTTGTAAGTCCACGCAGAGTAAAGAGGAGGTAAGTTTTGTATCACCTGTGTGGTTTTTCTTTCCTGCACACGAACGCACAAATTGCATGGGCATATGTGGTACAGTACCTCGATTTATCGATGAAAACTGGCTTTAGACTGACCGAGCGTTACCCCACAGGCTCCCACCCACCGACGGTATTGTCTTCACGCCGTGGTCGGAATCTATCCCATTCTCGGTGGACGTCGACCTCTTAGTGGGCCCCGGAATATTTTCGTCGCCCATCGTCGCGACCGTCACACCGGACTAATATACAGTCATCCCGACTTTCGACCATAGGTTTGCCGGCCAGGTCAGGTCGCTGATCGCCTCGCGTACAGCCCAGGACTCCTCATACCCATCATTGGGCCCAAGGCGAACTTTTCGTGTTTCACGGGCGAGCCCATCATATTCCCCAGCCGCAAATAGCTGACTCATCCGAGAGCTCAGTCACCTAGACAAGTTGTAGGCGAGATGTAGCGCAGATGCGAATATAAAAACCTCCCAGGTTGGAACCATTGAGGATGTCCATACCCACTGTCACCTTCTTCCACCCGATGCCTCCCATCCGTGCTGGTCTAACCGGTCTTTCCGGGTCGCCGCCGGACAAGTATCAAGGGTTGGGCTGGGCTGCTAGCGCACTTTTGCCGTACCTCCTCGATTCCGAAGCGTATACTTTCGATGCTATATGCAACACCTCGGTAGAATCTGCTCGATGTGCTGTCAGGCTACACAACTTGCCCGATTCCACAAAGACGTACGGGAACGTCGAAGGTGCGTACCAGCGTCCACCCGAATTTCCACTCGAGCTTAAGCTAACTACTTGCCTCCCTGATGATCCTGTTCTCGTATTGATTGTTGTCTCGACCAGAACTCGCTGCCGACCCGGATATCGACCTCGTTGTATCCTGCGTCCGCGTAGACAAACATTACCCTACCATAATTCCTGCTCTACGCAACGGAAAGTCGGTTTTCGTGGAGTGGCCGCTTGGGGCCAACCTCCAAGAGGCGGAGGAGATGGCGGCATTTGCAAAGAGGAATAACGCAAGGAGTTTGGTCGGTTTGCAGGGTGCAGTATGTTCTGATGTTCGGACGATAGAGGAGCTGCTGACAGCAGGGAGGGTGGGCAAAGTGCTAAGTAGCTCCTCTACATGTTCCATGGGCATTGGTAGTGCTACAGAGCAATAGATTGTAGACTACTTCACAGAGAGGGAAATTAGTAGCAATATGCTTACAATTGGTGTCGGACATGCCATGGAGTACATGGAGTACGGTGAATCGCCTCGCGTCTCTTACTGTAGTATTTCGACCAGACGTTCATCAGTGGCGTGAGAATTTCACGCACCTACAGCGGTTTCGGGTGACCTTGCGACTCGTCATGTATTTTTTCGACCGCTTTCCCAAATGAGCGTTACCGAAACAGGTAGTAGGCAATCCAAAGAGGGAAATGGCGGCGGCAACAATGACGATTCCGAGGAGATCCTCCTCTATTTGCTTCCGTTTCTTCCTTTTCAGGCAGTGTCCTTTCGGGAAGTGCACCCAGAAAAAAACTCGACCGGTCGCAAGGTCACCCGAAACCGCTGTAATCCAGCCTGTCCCCCCTTCGAGGTTCATGAAGCTCGAGGGACAGGTGACAACTTCCTTTTCAGGTATGTTTTTTGTCGTTTTGGAGAAAAATATGGCATTTTCCGTGAGTATTATGCCCAGTTGGGGATACCAGGACTGGGGGGACGGTGGACTGTCCCCCCAAATAGGTTCAGTTCGGAGGTTCCGGTGGACCGGGGACGAACGTTTGGTCGAAAAACTACAGTATACACCACTGATTTCCTGATTATCACTAGTTCTCGGGGATCTCGACTCTAGTCTCGGACCAACGGTTACTTCCAGCACTTTAGCCGTACCCTTGCGTTCGGTCGATTTCGGCGCTCCGGAGGGCGTCGGATTGCACTTCCGCAGGGGCATTCGTAATGCGTGCTGACTACCACGACACGGATGTCTGCCGGCGCTACTGCAATCAACGACGCGACCTGCAACGCGAGTTGGGGAAGATGCCTTTGACGGAGAGGGTCCTACTTGGGGATCGGCGGCTGACCGGGGCTTTGCTCCGGTATGTCCATGCCACGAAGCGATTTGAGGCGTACTGTATGGGGAGGAGGGTGGATGATTTCTCTTACTCTTACTTTTCCTTGGTCTGTTTTGTGGCTCGACGACTGCTTTCATTTCTTTTCCATTCTCTAAACGACTGCTTTATGATACAATACTCACCTGGCCATTGTCTGACCATGCACTGCTTACTGCAAGACAGTCTATCTTTCGTCTCCCTCTTTACATTTACATTGTCTTACTCTCACTGATGCTCTAGTTTTCTCTGTACTGTAGATACATTCCCTTTCCCTCTTCTCGTGCTGGTTTTTCCGATGCCTCTCTCTTCTCTTCTTCTTTTCCATATTCTTCCGTTTGTCTACCTACCATCGGGGAGTCACTCCCTTTGGCCAACTTTGGGCGCGCCGCCAACCTTTTTCCTCCCAATTGATACAGAACCCCTCCTTTACTTTCTTACTCTAGAATTTTCATACACAGCATCTAGTATACCAAGGATACAACATGGTCTCTTACTGTACCGGTTCGTTTACGTATGTTCCTGTTGTTGTACTAGGTAGTGGTCACATAGGCCGTAAACGGCCTGAGCACCACTATGTACTGTGGCTGACAGGGAACACAGTCAACCTACGAAGAAAGCACTGTGATAGCCTCCACGATCATCAGCGTGTGGTGCTGCTCTAAGATGATGTGTTGAAATCAATCTCACGAAGACATTTTGTTACAGGTGTGAAACACCAGGAGTGCAGTAACGATTTGTACACTCACTTTACTACGAAAAGGTAGGAAACTAGCCAAAACATGGAACCCAGTCACCATGCTTGTACCACTCCAACCAGGCCATTCCCGGCTATCTTCTGATAACAAAATATCATGTTTGACTCATTCTGAGACATTTTTGTTAAAAAACCTTGTGCTCACTGTAGGTTGCACTCTTTTGAGAGGCCGGCGAAAGTTGAGGGAGCCCAGAAACTAATATTGTGGCCCATCCCCCCACATTTTGGCTTCTACGCTATACAAAAAAGAGCACATTGACCTAATTTTGCTCTCATAATTTGCGATAAATATGGATTTCATATTCTACAACAACTTCCAGGCAGTCGACATAGGAAGATGGAGGCAAAATGTGCCGTGACTGAGTACCGGGTGTGACTGACTACCCTGTTACATACAGTATAAATACAGTAGATATGCTCATACGGCATACGCCGATACGGCATAAAATAATAAAATATGACATCATTTATGGTCATATGGCATATTGGTGCCTCAATCGGATCTTGATCTGCCTCGATCAGATCTCGCTGTGCTGCTCGAGTGCAGCTTCTTTGCGGCTTCGCACTGTGCACGCTCTTTTGCCTGCCTGCATTTGTGAGGCTGGGGATAGGGCATTCAAAGGGAGAGCACCTCGAGTGCATGCTCTCCCGTGTCTTTCAGCTCGCTATGTCTCCCCTCCCCCCACTTTCTGCCTCTCCCCTTGCCTCTGAGCCCATTCTTGCCCCTGAGCCCTCTCGCACTCTTGCCTCTGAGCCCACTCGCAAACCACGAGAGCGCTCTCAGACTCCCAATGCAGGTGTGCAGCCGACTCGAAAGCCAAGACTTGATAAGAATGCTCCGAGATCATCCGCTCAGGCTCCCACGAGCAAACGTGTTCTTCTTACGCTCTACGACTGGCTCACTGTCTTCAGTTTCATGGATGACCACCCTGAAATGACGCAGGACGATGTAGCTTTGTATTTTTCAGCACGTCCGGAGGGTGCTTTGATTTTTGGTCAGACTGCACTTTCAAAGAAGCTCAAACAGCGTCCCGAGCTGGAAGCGCGTGTAGCCAGTAATCCAACTGCGCTGTCTGGGAAACGCCTTCGTGTCACGACCCGTCCCGATGTTGAGCGCTGTCTCATTCTTTGGGTCAATCATATGTGTCAGAGGGGAGAGGTTGTAAATGGGCACATGCTTAGGGTTATGAGGGGTAAATTTGAGGATGATATGCAGGTGCCGGAGAATGAGAGATTGCGGGCTGGTGGATGGGTTCAGTCGTTCTGCAAAGCGTGGAATTTGAAGGAGCATCGCCGGCATGGAGAGGCTGGATCGGTCGATCTGGAAGCTGTTGAACGCGAACATGCTCGCATCTCTGTTCTACTCAAGGAGTATGATGGAAAGGATATTTTGAACTTTGATGAGACCGCTTTCTTCCCGTTGTGAGTTCCAGGGCTGTTCCTGTGACTATATTTTTTCTCTTATATTCTGAGCTGTTGCAGTGCACCTCCGGGTCGTGGCCTGTCCACGGAGCAGATGAGCGGCAAGAAAAAGGACAAATTCCGCATCACTCTTGGATTTCTCTGCAATGCAACTGGGACCGAAAAATTTCCCATCTTCTTTATCGGTCGGTTCAAGAGTCCTCGATGCTTCAAACACCGAGATCCTGAATCCCTCGGCTTCTATTACTGGAACAATAAAAAGGCATGGATGAATGCAGAGTTATTCGAGGAGTGGGTTACATTCTTTGCTTCCTCTCATTCCCCTGGAATTATTCTCACTTGTCACTTTTAGATTCATTAAGGGCCTCGATAAGAAGATGCACGATCAGGATCGGCATGTCGCTCTCACTCTCAATAACTTCTCGGGCCATAATATCGCATACATTCCTCAAAACATCAAATTGGTCCCATTCGAGCCAAACCTGACTTCTCACGTCCAACCCCTCGATGCTGGTATCATCCGGTGTTTCAAGGCCCATTATCGCCGCCAGCTCTGTACACGCGCAATTGAGTTGGATGCAGCAGGGGCTGACGACATCTACAAAGTCGACATCCCCGAGGCAATACGCATGGCCAACACGGCATGGGAAGCCGTGTCAGAAGCGACGATCAAGAATTGTTGGAATCATACAAAGATTTTGTCGTACGTGCTTGCACTTTTTGCTAATATTTTTGTCTAATAATTTGCATATGTAATAGAACCTTCACCACACCCCCCACCTCCGACCTCGACTCAGACTCAGATCCCGAGCTTGATGCTGCTGAGCAGTTGGAAGTGGATGCATGGGACCTCATCCGCGAGTTCGCCACAACTGACGAGATGACCCTTCCGGATGCCAAAGAAGCACTTCAAGAAATTCTTGGCGCTGGATACGTTCAGGAACACTGGCAGCCAGCACTAACTGCGGTCATGAATGCGGAGAATGATCATGACAAAGCCCTCGAAGCGGTTGAGGCACTCACAATCATCCCTTTCTCCATGTCAGACTCTACGGCCATATCTCCCAGCGCTCGACCTCAGTCATCCGCAGTGCATGCCTTACCTCAGCTCATGCAGCTCGAATCAGCACTCTTAGATTCTATCCAAGCTCTGCATGATTGTATTCCTGGCCACAATGTTCCGACACTCGAAGACCTCCTCGATCCACCTGCCGAGCGTGAAAACGCAGATATGCAAGAGTTTCCCGGTGGAGAGAAGGAGATTGTTGCAATAGTTCAACATGAGTTTGCCGTTCAGCGAGGGGAGATTATTGAGATGGAGGATGTCGAGGATGACGAGTCAGATACCGGCGAGGATATGAGTCGAGCAGAGAAGATGCGGTTATGCATGCAGTTGGAGAGGGTGTGTATGCGAGAGGCTGAAGGTAATCTTGCATTTGGTCTCGCTAAGCTACTTAGGGCTTTTCATGATGAGCTCCAGGAGATAGAGCTCCAGTCAGCTCTCCAGACTTCTTAACATGCTTTTTTGTAGTGTATTATCATCGGTTGTATGTATTTATCGAGCACTGAAGGAGGCTACAGTTGTGGCCACAGCGTACACCGGAGACATCCGGATGGCACCGGGCATGACAATCTAATCTATTCCCCATACGGCATAATTTCTCATACGGCATAAATTCCGGGCTGCCCCGGCATTATGCCGTATGAGCTTATCTACTGTATACTGATTTCATCATCATCATCATCACGACACGGATGTGCGCCACGTGCTCTACGAGACGCGTCGGTGGCACGGTGTCGTGTCGCGCTGTTTAGGGCAAACCACAGCCTCACAAGTGAGGATTTTCTTTTTATATCCACTTTGTATGTTATATGATACATATACGAGCAATTACATGCCTCACATCTACTCACAGTCTGCTATAAACTTGCGGGCCACAGGCGTTGCTCCTTCACTAGGCCTGTGGCGAGACGCGTCGACTCGCGCGCCGGCGTCTGCCGGCGTTCGCCAACGAGTTGACGCGGACGATTAAGGTTTTCCCTCTCAACTCGAACAGTGTACCATCCACCTCAAGCCTTGCACGCCGTTATTATGTCCAGCTGTTCCCTTCTCGTCTTCGTAGACGACGGTGAGCGCGTCGTATTTCGTGGATATCAGCACTTGTCCTACTCCTCGACAGACACCGCTGCCTTTTTTCTCCAACCAAGTCAAAACGCCCTCTCGCCTCGGACAGTGTCGCAGGCCGGTATTTGGGAGTTCTACCAAATGGTGCGCCACAACCACATATTAAATTTTCGGTTCTACCTATAACGTTTGCAGACGGACCCCGATGCGCCCATGATCAAGCGAGATGAAGTCCTGCGCTTTGTTAGTCGCAGTTTCAAACGCGCCCCAAGTGGCTTTTTCGATAAATCGCCAGATCATTTCCTGCTTGCTCACAGCGGCAATGCGGGTGATGTACTTATCGGAGCGAGTATTGTCGGGGATCTAGTTTTTGCCGTCTTTGGTAAGCCTGATCCGCTTCAATTGCGCCCCTGGTCGCATGAAATGACGGTGGTCCTAGTCCAAGATCCCCTGCCAGCTTTGCCTGAACCAATTCGACTTTCTTCTGAGCTGTCTCAGCCACAACGACTGGACGTTATACCGGAGGAAGTACAAGTACTCGGTCTGTAATACATTCATTTGTTCGCTCCTTTTTGTGCTGATACTATGGGTACGCAGGGCGCGATGATGTGGTCAACAAGGCTAAGTCGCGCAAGCCTCCTTCGACGGGAGCACAGGCGGGCGAGATGCGGCGCCAGCAAAGGTCTAGTAATGTCGATGCTATCTACAATGGAAGACCAATCTCCCTTTCTCCGACCCCTATCACGATATATCATTCGATCTTCTCCCAATTTGCCCGCGACGCGTCGGACAACTCTGCGCTCACCAAGGAAGAGGTCGAGACCGCTTATAACTTTATATCCATATCGTCTAGATTTTACGTGGATGAAGGCGAGCGTCAGGAGAAGTTGCAAAATGTTCTGGCATCGTTATTCCGCGGTTGCGGAGTCATCTCTCGGGAAACGACCTTTCCTGTAGGTACATCGTCATCGTCCGTCAAGCCGGATGGTCATGCCTTCACGGTCTGTCTCAACCATGGACTTGCTGCTGCCTTCCGTTTGTTTATGGAATTGAAGAATGAGGTAGGAGAGGGTGGATGTGATCCTTTGTCGCAGGCTGAATGTGCATACATCGCGTTGATATCAAGGGACACTGTGCGTCCCTCCTTCTTTTTCCCAGCTCATTGGTGACTCATAACCGTTCATGGCTAGTACGCTTCCATTCGAGCCATGTCTTGCTGCCCGACGTTCCTCCTTGCCATCGACGGACCATACTTCGTCATCGAGGGAGCGATCTTCGCAGACCGCTTCATGGCGCAGCACTTGACTGACTTTATCTACCTCGGCGCTAATGGCTTGCACAACGACCTCGACAACTCTATTATTCATATCGCGCGCACCTTCCGCGCTCTACGGAAAGCGCTGCTATCTCTCGAAGAGTTTTATAGGGACCTCCCCGCTCCAGAAACAAAGCCAGTAGGTTCATCGCCACCGTCTTTGGCCCGTGCATTGGTGCGAAACCAGTCCGTCGTCAGCTCGACGTCGAAATCAGGAAAAAAGCCTTCTTTCGACTTCGTCATGCCGTCCTTTTTTGGCCCAGCTTTCACAGAGTTCGAGATGGATGGCAGGACGTTTAGGCTCACGTACACGGCACGTTTACTACCGGAGTACATTAGTAAAGCGGTCTTCAAGGCGACTTGCATTGACGACGATGCCGAAGTTCACCACACCGTCGCCGTCAAGTTTGCCCGCACATACTCGAAACAGGCGCACGAGTGCCTTGCCAATCGAGCGCTAAGGCCTCTCGCACCCAAGCTATGGTTTTGCCATCGCATTCCCGAGCTCGGAGATTGGTGGGCGATTGTGATGGATTACGTTGAAGAGTGCTCGATGGAGACGAAGAAGGTGGACAAGGAGCAGGTGAAGAGGGACTTGCGGGACGCCGTGGACTCGCTGCACGGTGAACGCCTTGTGCATGGTGACCTTCGGCGGGCAAACATTTTGATCACGGAAAATAGGGCGATGGTCGTGGACTTTGACTGGGCAGGGACGGAGGATGAAGTGAGGTACCCGGCGAGCATGAACAAGGAGATTAAGTGGCCGGAGGATGCTACTGTCTTGGGATTGATTACGCACGAGCATGACCTTGATATGTTGAGGAAGTTGGAGGATGAGATCGACAGCGAGAAGTAGAGATGTTGGCCAGGGGTTACAAGAATGTCTCTCTCATGTTGCCCCTTCTCGTGTATGGCTCACTAGTAACTTTTCTTGCACACTGTCTCGTCATTGTCCTCCTATAATATATCCTTGGTTCTTGGTGTTGTACTTAGCATACCATATGCAGGCATATCGTGTACTTCTCGTTGTTGTCGCTTTCAAGAACCCCGGATGACCTCACTCTCTATGGACTTCGGAATAATCCAATGGCGTACCGCGCGTACGTGATATGGATATTTCAACTGAGGTGAGGTGAACGTCGACTTCGTTCGAAGGTTCGTTGTGTTTTCTGATTTTTACGGAACTCTCAGAAACTTTCATCCTCGCTATAGTCTTCTTGACACAAACGTAAAATGTGATCAGTACACACGAAAGACGAGAATGAACAGGCGTGACATATCACGCATTTATCAAAGCGCAAAGATGGTAGCACCACTAAGATCTCGCCCGAGGATGTCAGTTTCGTGATAGCAACCTACTAGTAGTTGAGGTGGCTGTGAAGTCAAAGCAACCTGAAAGACTACTTAAACTGTATACAGAGTATCTGTGATCCGGCTCAAGGAGACGACCCGTCTTGGTCAATATAGCTTATCTATGCAGACCCTTGGATCTGTAGAAGAGTCTGTTGACCTCGGCGCCACAACGTAACTTGCAAACGTTCGCTGAAAAAGGCAAGAGAAAGGTTAGCCGTGATCTCGCAAGATCGTCCCTGAATCGGGGTTTGTCTTTGTTAGGATCGAAAGCCGCTGAATCAGCATAGAAGAGTGACACGGCAAAACCCGACCCACGGGCTTTCTTTCTCACTTTCACTCCTATACAAAACACGGCTGCCGGGCTTTTGCAGACCAGTGCAGACTTATACTCGTCATGGTCCGTACCACATGCGTTATATTTTTGTACTCACCCTTACAGAAGTACTGCGTTCCACCAGCCCAAAGAGCGCAGGTCTCGCACGCTTCGACATAGCTCATCGGCGAAGGCTCCAAGCAGACGTCAGTTTGCGGTTCAGAACAACGCAGTTCGCCATGTGGACGTGGGATCCTCTGCAGACATATCCGTAAGTCCCCTGTTACCTCCATGAAAACATTTACGGCTGTCAGTAATAATTTGCTCATCTTCCCATGCCTCGTCTTTGCTACATAACATAGGGAAATGATCTCCTTCAAGAGCTTGGAGCTGACCCTACCGAGGAACCGCGGAATCTTTTGAAGAAAAAGGACAAACAGATGATGAAGCATGAGCTCTTCCTGCAACGTTTGTAACCATCAGCCTTGCACCAATAGCTCATCATTCGATCTCTTTCATTCTTCGTCTTCTTCCGCTTGTCGTCAAGAAGACTCTCACTGACGCTCCTATCCTCTTCAAATAGGTTTAGACGCATCTCGAGCCCCTTACTCCAAGTCCCACGCACGGCGAATAAAGAGGAAGGAAAAAGAAGAGATTGCCGGTGGCTTAGGAGCGATCAAAGCTGCACTTTCCTCCATGGAGGGTGTCGACGTCCCCCTTCATTCTGCCGCGGCCCCATCTGGCAACGTAATAGACGACAGCATTACAGATGCCAATGATGTCGATGAGCAGCAGGGTTCAAGCGCAAAAGCTTCGGCGATAGCACAGCGCCGACCTGGACAGATCGGTGAGGGCAAAGGAGCGCCTCTTACCAAAGCACAACGAAAGCAGGCACTGTAAGTGTCATTTCTCGTTCATGAGATCCACCTGCCTGCCTGCGTTCTGTCAAGATGAAACCATAAAATTCTGACCGCCATGGGACTCTCACAGAAAAGCGGAGAGACTACGACAGCCGTTGATCCTCTCCAACCCCGATTTTGCTGCAAATCCGTTCAAGACAATACGACTGCATGCACAGAACACCCTAATCCCGCATGAAAGATCTGCGTAGTACCTTTTGTCTCCATGACCTATGCAGAAGGTCATTTGAACTTCATCCGGACCGTCTACATACGACGGTTTTCATGTAGCCGGACATAAGCGTAGTATATTCATTTCGTATGCAAGTAATCCGCAACCAGTGTGGGTATATACTGAAATATGGACAACGAATCGAAATGAGGTCGTGAGGCGGGAAATCGTGATGATATGTATCGTAAACCGTGAAGGGCATTATGAGGGTAGGAGAGGTAGTCGCGTAAGACGTATCTTAGGGGACAAGGATGAAGTGGTGGCGCGTATCCGACGTCGCTAAGAGCAAGTGGCGAAGACGAAGAGGAAAGAAGAAAATCTAAATAAGATGCGACCGGTCCTCGTAGAACGCTATGAACTGAATGAAATGGACAGAGAAAATTTACGCTCAATCATCCCCGTCGTCGGCCTCGCGACTCATTCCAGCGCTCCAGACGGTACTTCCACTGCCACCACCACTCGTCCGACTGCGCCTGCTGCCCGACTTACGACGAGGTACAATCTCGGTGAAACCACTACCCGCGCCTTTTGCCATTTCGGCGCTCATCGCCTTCTCTTGAGCGTCAAGAGCAGCGAGGGTGTTTTCGGCTTCGGACATGGCAAGCGCGTCCTCGGTCAGGTTCACCGGGGCTGACTTCGACGAACCGTCAGAGTTCGCCGCACTTGATGATCTCCTAAACAAGGAAAACCTGCTCGTGGACGGAGTCGAGATGCTGGGGCTGGACAGCGGTGGAGATATGGTTAACGAGGGCGATGTACTCTCTGTTGGGTTGGAGAAACTCTTATGGATAACCGGAGGCGAAAGAGGTTTTTCGATCCCCATGAGTTTCATCGTCGCGGCCAAACGTTCTCTCTCCCTTCGGTCATCGTCGTCCTCCTGTGTATCCAGTTTTCGGGCTCCGGGAACAGAGTTAACGGCGCCAGGCTTGAGCGTCATAGATCGACTGTTTGTAGGATTGTCCTTTTTCTCGCCGCCACCGAATACAGAAAATCCTCGCCAGTCGAACGACAGGGATCGACGCTGAGTGCGTATGGGAGGGGTGTTGAGGCCGCTGTTCAAGGGGGGAGAGCTAAACGTTGTCAATCTCTCGACGGGAGCGGGTTCGGGTGGAGGTGGTGCGGAGGACCGTGAAAACATTGAAGCGCGACGCTGCATTTTGGTAGGAGGGGCCAGGGATGAACTCTTGTTCTGCATAGTAGCAGAATTGGGAGTTGGCGGCTGCTTCTCGTAGTCGGCAGCAAGGACGTGCTCGAATCCTTCTTGAGAGATAATCCTGTCTATGATCTTGGATGCGTACAGCGACAATGCTTTGTTGGCATCCTTGAGGGATTTGACTTCGTTTCTGAGAGATTCGACGTCGTTGGGAATGCCAGGTTCGCCGCCAGCCTCTGAAGCATAGGATACCTTCCTGTCCTTCTTGCCACGCTTGGCACCTTTGTTCGTGATCGATTTGTCGCGGTCATCAATGGTCTGACCCTCGAGAATGGCATTGTTTTCGGCACGTCCAAGCTCTGCGGCAAGATCGAGACCAGGACCAGTGATAGGCAAGCCCGCAAGCGACTCTCCGCGGGTGGCGCCAGGAGATTGGGAAGTAGAACCCGCGCGCCGCCGTCCGCCACGAGCTTTGCGAGAGCTCCGTGTCGAATCTCCGATAGAGTCGTGGTCACTATCCATGGTTTCGCCGACCGCACCAGGAACCATCTCATCCTCGACTTTATTGTAACCAGGGTCGAGAACCACGTCCACTCGTTCATCCACCCGCTCGTCGCGCTCTTCCACCGTACCGAGAGCACTGCGTGAGGAATTTGGAAGGCTGTTCATGTCACCGCTATCCTCGCCTTCAGTATCATCGTCGTCACGGTCGCTCGAGGACTCGCTAATGCCGCCAACTTGTTTCATGAGATCGAAAGTGCCGCTGAGCGTCTTCTCGCGAAGAAGGATGTTGTAACTTTCATTGTCCTCCTGGAGCTGGTTATTAACCCGTTTGAGGTCTATGAGCTGGGTTTGGATCAACTGGAGCGTATTCTGGAGGGAGGCATGGGAAGTGGATAGAGTCGAAAGCTCCAGCTTCAGGGCGGTCATCTCGGCGGGCTCTGCTTCGGGACTGAGCCCCTGTGGCTGGTTGAGTGGAGTCGTGGGTTCGGAAGGCTGATCATCATCTTCCATCCATTCGGCCTCAGACTCCGGATCAACGACAGAGGGCGCGCGCGGGATACGGGGCGCTTTACGGGCTTGAGAAAGGGATTGGATACGGGATTTGAGGTGTTGTTCGTTGTCATAAAACGCCTGTCTTTCCGCTTCGAACGTTGATGTCTGCACAGCGGAAAGATTGTTACGGCGTGACAGGCGAGTGACTAGACAGTGGCACATACCTGCTCGTTGTACCTACGCTGGACGTCTCGCTTTTCCTTCTCGAGCTCCTTCACTTGTGATCGAAGCTTCTCAATCACGTCCATGCGGGCGGATAGCTCTTCGTCCATTCTACTTTGCTCGGTGTAGAGCTCGTTGAGACTGGTCTCGGCGGCGTTCATGGCAGAAGCATAGTTGCTATTTTCCTTGGTCAGGGTTACGATGATTTGTTGCTTGTCCTGCAATTGAACGAGAAGCTTCCAGGCAACGCGGGTAAGTACACATGGCAGTGCGAGGAGAACGTATCCATGTACCTGTTCCTTTTGCTCGATTTCATTTCTAAGAGATTGGGCAAGGGACTCGCGGGTTTCGCCATTATTCGTTGGAGGTGTCACTTTGCTGAGAGAGCTGCGTCGAGCAGGAGAAGAAAGAGAGGAGGAAACGCGGGGATTGACAGCAGAGCGCGCAGTTGCGCCTCTAGAGATGGCTGGCGTGGGAGCTGTTCCCGAAGCTGGCCGTTTCGAGGCTGGCGGTGGCACACGCGCTGTGGTTGCCATTGTCGTGAATTTATCGTTGCGAAAGTAGAAATAAAGCTAGAGAAAAGAGAAATAGAGAGAATCCAGGCCAAGCGAGTATGTAGAATAGCGGAAGAACGCCTCTAGTCCGGTCGCTATGCGCGCCTCCATCGTGGCCACCTCCGCCATCATCACGTGACTTGATGTATACAGTCGCCGATGTTGAATGTGGCCTGTAGTTGAACCACGTACTCCAGTGTCCACCATGTCTCAAGCCTTGCTCAACGAGGTCCATTCTGAGACTCTTCAAACGGTCAGTGTAAGTTCCTTGGTATAGAAGACGGTGGCCTTCTGACGCTGCTTCCAGTTGCTGACGACCGTTAGAGCCGAGAGTGAGTATTTTTTTCTAAAAAAACACGCCACGGAAGTAAAAAGTTGAGAAGGAACGAACAGCGTCGCCACCCGGCAGCACCGGAATCACTGCTCTCGATACTCACCTCCTCTACACCGCCTCTCACCACCCTTCTTTCTTGTCCTCATTGCAGAGCGGCGATGTGATAGAGCTGCAGGCACCCTCCGCCTCTGGAAAGAGCCATCTCCTTCACGAGCTCATCGTCGCATGTCTTTTACCGCTCGATATGAGCATCAGCTCTAGTTTCTCCCTTCCGTCGAACAGAGTCGCAGTGGTCTATGACACCGATGGGACGTTCGACGTACGGCGGCTGGCGGTGGTTCTGCGCCGTTGTCTAGAGTCTAGGCTGCCTCTACGCATGCGAGACCCGGATTTAACGACCAATGCTGTTACACATATCCTGTCTCTTGTTCATATTTTTCGTCCCTCGTCATCTCTTCAACTAGCTGCCAACTTGCGTGCTCTGCCAGCCTGGCACACGCTCAATGCGCCTACTTCGGAAATCACGCTTGTTGCCATCGACTCTATGAGCGCTTATTACTGGCCAGATCGCTTTACCGCTGAGCAAATGCGCTCCTACACTTCATCCGGACCCGTGAATGCAGGATCGACACACCCTTCACCAAGTGCTCATAACCCTCTTCATCATATTCTCACTTCTCTAGAAGCACTTCGCGTCTCTCATGCACCAGTCCTCATTCTCACGAACTGGGGCCTTAACCCACTCAAAACGCCGCCGTCCTCGGAACCGCAGCTCTTCAAACAACATCTCCATCCATTCCCAACGGTCTCTTTACAGTTGACTATACCTGAAGGCTATCTGCCTTTGTCCCACCATATAACCCTTCAGGCCTCGCGCGTGGCCCAATCCCAACCAAGTCCGCCGTTGTCCGTTATCGCAGAGTCAGAGGACACTCAATCTAAGACCGTGGTCGAAATTTCCGGGATGGTACGTTCGAGGGGAGCAGATAAGACTGGAAGATTTTGTTTCACCATGGATGTATGATATATGGGGAAGACTTTCGATGGCTTCGATAGATGATCGGGTCCTTTCCTGGCACTTCCAGACAATCCTCTTTCAGATGCCGCCATGTCGTCTTCTCCGAGTCGTATCAAACGTCCAAACACATCGGTCCCCGACTTTGCGGGCATCGTCATCTTAGTGTCCGCTTTCGGTGAATATTAAGGGTGACGAGGGCATTCACCGATTAATGCGGCCTCGTAGTAAGTCGGCTGCGCCGGCTTGTCTTTTTGCGTTCTTGCTGGGAGCGCTAGAATATCGATATCTATACGAGATCGCGATTCACGAAGCCAAACGATTGTGTTCTCCCCATGCTCCCTGCTCAATCCTTGCCTTGTCCAGTGTGCGGTTCCGTATGCTCTGACCAAACTTACTACGAAGCTTAGTGCCACAAAGAGTTGACAAAGAGGGAGATCTCCATTACCAAATTCTCGCGAAGATCCGCGACGGCCAACCCGAAGATTGGCCAGTAGAACAATACGTATGCTACCTTCACCCGAAGCCCTGCGAAGCCGATACACGCTATAGGAGAGTGCAGGCAGGCTCGCCACGAGTCGTTGTTTCCGCTTTACTCCTTCCATCCTCTTCCACCCTATGACAACCCATCGTTTCTTGACTTTATTATTGCCAACACCGACGGTTCCCGTTTCGTGGCGTGCAGTAAGAACAAGGACCTGCCGCGGCCAACGGTAATGCTTTCCATCCCATTCCCATTGACACACACGCCATTTCCGCATTGAGGTAGGACTCGGATGTTCCGCCAACAACAATCGACTCGACGACACTTGGCAGACTGCTACGTCTGTCCCGGCGAGCATTTAAGGAAAGCTCTAAATAAACAGAGCCCCGTTCATGATCGGTGTTAGAAATGACATCCCTCTCGGCTTGGGCGCCTTCATTTTCTTTCATACTTGCTCCGTGGGCGCTCCGTCACTTCACACTGCTTCGGCATTAAGACACACCACAGTGGGTACATGCTGCATCGTGAGTGTATCCTGGTGCACGAATGGAATTATACTTCAGGCTTCCGTAGTGGTGTACCGCTTCGCAAGAGACAGAGTCTTTGATGTCGGCAACGCATATGATTTGATGGGTACATCGAAGCTGTTGACATCTTCATTAACATCTTCACACGCGCATGTCTTCTGAATCCGAGGGGCATCGATCGTGTCAGGGGCTTTACAGGTCTGTTTGTATTTATGTATGTTCGAAAATCCAACACATGCAACGTGAGAGTCAGGTACAATTTGTCGGAGGTACTTGGGTATGGATGTGTGATGATGGCGGGAAATGGTGATGGGGGGCAAAGGGGATGTCACTATGGGTGCAAGTAATATAGTCTACGCGTACAGTACTTATATTGTGCTCGGAGAAAGAACAGGTAATAAGTTATGGGGAAAAAAGTTTGCAGTGATGAGCGAAGAAGGTGGGTCTATGATGCTATGCGGTCAATAGTCGACATGTCTAATCTAGTAGAGAACACGGAGCCAAAAGGAGAGATGCCAGAAAACCCAATAATCAAACAACACCGTAGAGCTTGTCGAGCACAGGTTGATATGCCTCCTCGACTGCCTTGCGGCGGATGTTCCCCTTCGTGACAGTCCGTGGTAAAGTGCCGCGAGCAACGACGACGATCATGTTGGCGGAGGTGATGCGCTCATGGAGATATCGACGCGAATGAAACTGACGTGTACGCCGGAGAATATCCCGCTTGAGTTTTGCGTGATCGCAGTCGGTGGCTGGCTCCACGAACAACACCGGTGAAGGGCGTCCTGTCCCAACAACAACGCACTCGGAGATGAGTTCACTGCATGTGGTGCGAATGTTCTCCTCGATCGCTCTGGGGAGGAGACGATCAGCTGGTTGCCAAAACGGAGAGAGTGAGGAGGACGTACTTCGTGTCACAGCGCAAGCTGTTCTCGCTCTTGATCCAGTCGTCATCTCGCCCTCGGAAGGCGTATTGATTGGGCATGACCTCCAAGAACAGGTCACCTGTGTGGAAGTGTCCATCTGCCGCTCTGAGAGAATTGTCGGGACAGTCACCAGAATCTGCGAGGATGACGAGCTCGACCATTTGCGAAGCGACAGTGGCGTGGCCGGCTTCTGAAGAAGAAGCCTGACTGGACGTGATGGGGATGAAGGCATAGGAGGTAGATTTGAGAGGACGAAGGAATGGAGCGGACTGATCGTTGCCTCCGTTACTGAGTAACATGGGGCCACATTCCGTGCTTCCGAAGAGGTTCTGGTGGAGAACAAGTCAAGTGAGCACTTGCGCCTGATCAAGACGATGAGGTGGTACTGACCCTCAACTTCATGCCGTTACTGTAGGCCCACTCCTCTTCGTCTCTCGAAAGAGGAAGACCGCTGTAAATAATCTCATCCAGGCTTTTCAGGGTCGCGAGGAGTTTGGGGTTTTTGCGTGATGTGCGTAGGCAGGTGGCCAAGAATGCGGCGAATTGGCAAAGACGGTTGAGGCCACATTCTTGAACCATGGACATCAATTCCTCTGGAGGAAAGGAGATGACGGATGGTTGGATGGTGCAAGTCCCGTGTTGCATAGAGCCCAGAAGCGTGCACGTTTGTCCGATGTGGCACATGCTTCCCCTGTTGTATATGTCAGAAAGCGTGCCATGTAACAACATAGCTTTGAGGAACGACTCACATCCATACGGTAACGTCCCTCTCAGATATTGGGTAGCCGGTCTGGTAAGTCTTCGTGACGGCGCAGTCCAGCCATTTTCTACTGCAAGGGACGACCTTCGGGCTGCCGGAGGTTGAGCCGCTGGTGTGGAAGATGAAGACAGGTTCGTTCTCGTCAAGAGGTGTTGGGAGTGTCGGAAGAGGCTCGCTACGCGGGTCAGCGTCGGAGATGGATATGGCACGGTAGGAAGGGAAAGGGCAGTCGGAGAGGACGGATTCGAAGGAGGTCTCGTAGATAAGTGCTTTGGCGTTGGCGCGCTGAAGGAGCTCGAAAATGACGACGGGGTTGGGGAGACGAATGCTGAAGAGTTGTGGGACGTAGCCGGCTCGGGTGAGACCGTAAATCTGGAGCACGTCCGTGTAGGTCATGCCACCAATCCTGCACAACGAGGATGAGTGGAAAGAGGTCATGGTAGTTAGTAACGCACATACCACATTCCTACAACAGACCGGGGAGGGATGCCGTCGGCCTTGAGTATTCTGGCCCAGTGGCTGGCAAAGAGTTCGACGTCTTGTTTGAACTCCTCGTAAGTGACCGAATCCCAAGTCTGAACCTTGTTGGTATCCTTGTCCAGACGAGGGATGCGGAAGGCGGAACATGAGCCATAGAGGGAAGCGCTGTTCTCGAGAATGGAGAGATGAGATCGTAGTGTTTGAACCATCGGGAGAAGATGAGGATGTTGGTGTGGCGGATGATGAGTCTATCAATCGACGAACTGTGCACATCTTTATACGAGTCTTCGCTTGTCTAGGCAGCGCTTCACGTGAAGTGTGTTGCTCGGAGGTGCACACTCTATCCAGGGAACGGCAGTCTGTCGCCAGGTCGAATTGCAAAAGTGATCCCATCGTGTTCGGCAGGTCAAGATTTTGTCCCTGAATGAATCTGCGGTCTGCGGTCGTAAGCAAGCACCGGTACAGTGTCGGCCGCCTCGAGGTTGGCTCAGATTCGACGGCGTCAACGTGAGAGATCTGAAGACTTCATGGGGGTTCACCGCAGCTGACATAAGTTTTTGATGGGTAAAGAGTAAGAGAACGACGTGCGACACATATTGAGTGTACCAAAGCGCCAGAATCGGGAAGTTTCGAATTGGCAGACGCCATCAGCGTACAAACCAGTGAAAAGTGCCTAGGAGCTGCCACTGTCCTCTCCGAGTGATCAGTCGCAAGCAGCAAAAAAGTACCTGAGGCTGCGTTTCAACAAGAATCCACAATGCTCGCAGAGGGGAGGTTCGCGAAGCAGCATCAGAAATGCAGGGCTGCGGCGGAGATAAACGACAGACTACAAGTTGGACACGCCACATCACTATCACTCCTCGGCATTGGGCAAGCGTCACGTGCCGCTCCGCGCTACACGCCCGAGTCCCAGCATTTACTTCACGACCGACCATCGGAATTTACAGGAGTGAATCGACTGGACACACGGAACTTTCGAAGGTTTGCGTGCAATGTTGACTCTGTGGCATCTTTATGAAATTTTGTCCACCATATCCCAGTCCACGCAACGAGTTTTCTGTCAACCAGTGGCAACAGCCTTTCTGCTGGAGTTCAATATGTTACAGGAAAATGAGGCTACGAAGCGCCGAAAGGAGTTTGTGCGATCGAAAAGAGGTTCGCCTCGTTTATGACGAAGTTTTTCTTCTCGGCCTGCAAGGGGTAGCGACCGATAGTAAGGATAACCTTCGGGGTACCAATAGTGCTTCATTACCGTCCGACTGCGCGCCCGAGTCAAACATGGCATACCAAAATCGCCGCTCTTGGGCTTGGTACGATACTTAGCCTTTAAATGGTTAATCAAAGAAGTGTAGTGGGCCACTCAACCCGAAAAGTCCTTGTTCCAAGACCAAAAGGAAAAGCTAGACAGTAGGTCTGTGGCGTCACCGTCTTGAAACGTAGCAAATCCTAAGTATACTTGGGCTAGATATCACTAGAAGTACACGCCTGTCCGCTCTTGGCAAGGTCTTCATCGGTTGAAAGCTCATTAGCGCTTGACCGGGATGGCCGACCAATCGATATGAGAGGTTATAGATCTGCTATGAACGCTGTGAACCAAACTTACAACCTGGTCGTAAGCATCTCATCGCGTATGGCCTGTATACATCGCAAATCGAGTATGCCTGCGCCGCGATCAACGGGAGAGCGCCACAAAGCTTCGGAAGGCGTCCTAATTGCAAATGACTCGTGGGGTCCATGCTATATACCGCCGCTTTGTAAGTTGAAACACAGGACACAAATAGACAACGCAGACAAGACTGTAACTCACGAAAGATGCGTATTATTTGTCCAAGAGACACAAGTCAATGATCATGAGCGTTTTGCACCGTTTGGAGCATCAATAATTGGTGACGACACTGGACAGTGAACAGCATCGGGTCGACACAGTCCATTGAAGTTATCCCTACCGATACCGGCAAAGGTAGAATAAGATTGCTGAGCTCATCGAAGGCCAAGAACGTTGAGCGCTGAGCCCTGCAGTGATACAGATTTGAGAGCTTCTCGAAGTATACGGTGGCATGGGTTGTGCATTCAGAAAGAGCTACGAGGACTGAGCTATCGCAAAGCGCTTGACAGTCGTGTCTGTCCATATTGGCTTCAATCTCAGTCGCAGGTGCTGTGGTCGTGTGTGATGCCTCACTACTACGCCGATGACTCAAACGCGATCGGGATGAAAATCGGGCGTCGAGAAGTACTTCGTGCGACTTCACCTGGACATAGTGGCTAGATGAGGAATGTACCGCGTTTGATGCTGATCCTTCACAACTTCCTGGCCAAAGCTATTCCACCTTCACGATCCCCGATGAGCGCCCAGTAAACTATGACCGAGTTGCGTTAAGGCAAGTAGTCGAGGGAGGACAACTCAATCAGAAGATGTAGGCTTGTTTTGGAGATGAATGTCAACATCGAGTCCACAAGCCCCGAGGGAATCCGGCATCGTTGCGAACCGGGTGGCGTATAGAACAGAGAATAGTTCCAGAAAGGCCGGGGAATGTGCGAAGAAGGGGAATATACATCTGGCAAAAATGGAACCTACGCTGTTTAGAATGTACGGAATGGTGGACTGGCAGCGACATCTCGATGCTCTGTAATGCAGGAAGAGCTCAGGCATCGGAAATGATACAAACCAAACGTCAACGAGGGTAGGCTGGCTACGATGTTCTCCGGTATGGAGAAACCTATACGCTCCACATGAGACTGCGATCTGGCTCCCCGAAAGATCTAGTAAAAATGGTCGTAAAATATAGGGGTGGCCCAAAATCACATTCTCATCCATACCGTACATGTACCATGGACGCCGGACCAGTCGGAGGTATAGAATTGATTGACCGAAAAAGGCTCCACGCAGGTCTGAAAGTCAATTTGTTCTCATGTAGACCCCGAGGCAGCTCATGACACCAGACGCAGGACAATCATCCGGTAATACGCTTGGGCGACGGTCCAACTCCCGTCGAGGAGGCTTTGTTAAACTAACTCGACGTACACTGGCAATAGTTGAGCATCCGCCGCATACAAACAATGTCTCCTAGATGAGCGCCGCATAGAGAGTCAAGAGCTGATTTCATGATCATGAAGACTGAGGAGATGGAGGTGGTCGAGACATAACGTGCGGTGGCCTGGTGTGGCCCAGATGGCGGGAGCGGACCGGCTCGCGTGTCGGAGGACGCCGGTTGTGTGGAGGACGCGGTGGGTGCGATAATTTCGAGTTTTGTATGTTCGCGTCAAGGCTCTACAGTCGCTCATCCACGGCTGCACAATCCTTTGGGCTACACAGCACCGGCCACGGCTCGTGAGTTACTCTATTGCTTGTATATTGTTATAGTTCCAACTGTTATCCAGCAGAACCTCTGGTCAGCCTCGCCAGCCTCGACGTCGGTCTGGCTGTCCATGCTCTGGAGAGTAGGCCGTCCTCCCAGCCAACTTACGATCGTGCTCGCTCAGGTCCACCCCCTTTCATCTCCTCGAATCCTATCAGTCTCCTATCTGCCTTCTGTCATACGTCAGGCAGTTCATCACAGATGTTCAAACGCACTTGCTTTAGCACCTCGTGCGCCGAGGTCTCTACAGCAGCGGAACACAATGAACTCTGCAAGCGATTCGCCTTCACCTCTCCGCGCGCCCGAACACCCTTCGCACATGATGCCCCCTCTCCCATCTTCTCGCGGAATGGACTTAGGCTGGCCCCGCCTTACCCCCGAACTCCTCTCAATCATCGACAGCGCGTTCACGCTACCCGCCTCCATGGAGGAATTTCCCGAGGAGATTCTCGATACGTTGCGGAGACAGAACCTACTGGACAAGTTCATGGACAGTCTTCGCGTCCGCAGGCTCGCCGAAGGTATGTTGGCGAGCGAACGACCCAAACGAGCTCTTCGAGTACTTGGTCTCGCTCATCGACTAGGCTGCCCGATGAAGAAAGACGTCTACGAAAATCTTGCAAGGAGAATGTCGGAGAACAAACAATGGCAGTTGATACCTCCTCTGGTTCAACTTGCCAGGCATCAGATGGGCCGCCTCAATACTCGCCTGCTCAATTGGCTCGCTCGCAGTTTAACGGAGACATCCCAATTTTCCCTTCTGGACGGCGTACTTGCCAAGTTCGAAGAGGAGGGCGTAGGACCGAATCAACGGACGTTTCAGCTACTGATGTCCGGTCACATTCGCAATCACAACCTTCAAGCAGCTGTCGAGATACTTCAGCAGATGCAAGAAGTCGGATTCTCCATCGACGCCTCCACCCAGGCAGTAGTCGCGTCTGCCTATCGAGCCCTGGGCTCGGATACCCTCATGCAGACGCAATCTCTCGAAGCTTTGCAAAAGGCCGACAGTTTCACGTCGACCCTGATCGTCAACGCACTGATGCAGCTCGCTGTCGACGCCGACGACGCGGACAACGTAATCTTCTTCACCAACTTATTCGATCCCGACAAACTGCAAATCCCCCACACGTTTCGTCCAGGAAGAACCATCATAGGGCGCGTCGGAAAGGTCGTTCCTCTCCATTCTCGTCCTCAATCCTTGAGCCAGTTACGCCCTCCTACCTTGCCACGCCCCATTTTTCCAGACTCCGCCTCTTTCACTATCCTTCTCAACTACATGGCTCATCGACACGACGCGCTTTCTGCATCGTCTCTCGTCGAGCAGATGCTCTATGCCGACGTCGAACCCGACAGCCGCGTCGCTGCTGCTCTTATGCGCGTGCACTTCGTCGTCGGTGACTATGCAGCCGCCGTACATATATTTGCACAGGCCTGCTCCGATTTTCCAGCAGCACAGGAGTCGCTGTCTTGCATCAGTTTCCTTCCTGTCACTTCCCAAACTCTCATCTGGACGGATCTACGACCGACTGCCGAACTCGGAAACGTCTTCGCGCGTGGCTTGTTGGACCTTGGTGGCCTAAACGGTATTCGACTTGCCTTGGAGATCATGCAAGGCTGCAACATCGTCCCTGACTCTGACACCGTCCACATCATAATTTCCTATCTCGAGAAAACGGAAAATCAACCTCCCGGAGATCTAATACGCACTTTGCGGACTCTCTTGGACTCGCACGACCTTCCAACCTTGAAACAACTCCACGTCGTCCTACGGTCACTCCTGCGCCGCCAACGACATTCGATCACCCGCTCCGGTTGGAATACTATGCCCGAGCCTTCATCCCAGAAGCCATCTAAAGTGAAGACCGGAGAGGGTGCTTTCGACCCGACCGCCGGAATTCAATTCGAGAAACACCAGGCCCTCTTGAAACCAATCCTTCAATCTCTAAACTCACGAAATGCTCGTTCGGACCGTGCCATGGTCGCTCTCCGAACCCAGCACGAAGCCGTGGCGAAGGGAAACATGAACGCGGCCAGGAAGGTTTTCCAGTTCATGCTCGACCGGGGGATGTATCCGAACAAGTACCACTACAGCGCATTAATGGAGGGCCACGTCCACGCTGGCGATCTACCGGCGGCGCAGGCTGTCCTCGACGCCGCTATCAAAGCAGGAGTCCGTCCGACGGTCGTCCATTATACGATCCTCATCAATGGGTACGCTCGCGCTGAGGATCCAGAGTTGGCTACGCAGACGTTGCAGGACATGATTGCGCAGGGTATTAGGCCTGACGTGCCTTCGGTGCACGCGCTTGTCGGTGCTTATATCGCCGTACGGAAATTCAAGATCGCGCGGGCTATCCTCATCGAGTTTTGGCATTTGGTCAGGCCTTTCCCTGAAGATCTTCGGCAGTCGAGTTTACTGGACCTCACCCGAGCTTTCTGCGCGTTGCACGTCTCGGCTCAGACAAGCCGTCGTCTGACGAATCAGGAGACGAGATTGTTACGATGGAAGTTGAAGCGGATCACTCATCACAAGGTGTGGCAGGAGAGGACGAGCGTGAGAGGCGGGGTCGACGGTCTGGAGTTTGAAGAGCGCAGCGTTCAAAATGACGGGAGGGGGAAGGAGGGGATGTCTTCGACTGTAGATTCTGCGACGAAATCTAATTCGCATTGACTTCAAGAGCATACACCATGAACGAGACGACATGAGCATACGGTTTTGCGTGAATGGCATGGGAAGGTAAATGAGTAAGTACGCGTCGCGGACGTGTGTAAATAACTGCCTTGGAAAAGGACAAGCACGTGATACAATGAATGAATATTCTGATATAAAATACAAGAATACGTAGAAATCGCACCCCCTCCCTAGGAAGAACCGAACTTCGCATCGAGCATCCGCAAAGCCTCTCGTACAGCATCCGTATGCACCTCCCGTACAGGACCCCGACGTCGTCCACATTCCACGAGCTCCTCGTGGGGAACCAGCGTCGGTGGTGGAGACGAACTGAGGGTGCGCTTTTGTTGATTCTCGCGATACTGTGCGTGCGGATCCGTCAGGAGAATCGCCGACGAATCCGAACGATGGGCTTCGTCTTGCGAGGCGGAAGAAGTGACGGGCGCAGGACCCGCGTCTGATGGCTGTGTCGGCGGAGGCGATAGAACGACGCGGGGCCCTGTGCACTTGGACCGACCGGCGACGACCTCGGCCAGAAGGGTTAAATCGGCAAACTCGACATTGGGGTGTGATTTTAGCTGGCGCCAAGCGTCGTCGGTCGGGATAGTGTCCAACGACGATTCGGCAGCTGTTGGGACGCGAGAGGTTGACGCGCTGCACGGGCCACCGCCACATGCACCGGTGCCGCCGCAGCAGCCGCGACCGGTTGCGCTACCCTTCATGCTCGGGCAACCAGAGCATGGCGCAGAGGATTCGACAGATGCGCCTATGGCAGTACAGAAGGCCTTGCCAAAGACATCATCGGCACAGGCCGCACAATTCGACGGATCGCCAGAGCAGTTGGCAGGCTTGTCTGAGTTGGAACGGGAAGGCTCGAGTGCAATCTGCTTGACGACGGGAAAGATAGGTTTGGTGGGCGATGTGGTGGTGCGACGACGAAGGGGGACAGGAGGTTGATAGGCGGGTAGGTTGTCTAGGATGGAGACTGTGTCGGGACGCAACGAGGAGAAGTCCTCCATGCGGTCGTCCTCTACCTTAAAGACGGGGTCGGAGGGCATCTGCGACACCTGGTTGAGGGCGATCTCTCTGCATACGCATGGCGTATGTTCGTTGCAGAAGCCGCAGTCGAAGTGACCCATCGAGGAGACAGCGTCGTAACCAGACTGCTTTGCCGTCGAGGGGAAGTCGAACATCGACTCGAGTGAGATCTGCGTTGGGTGGACGGAGTCATCGTTGGCCGGAGAGGCGAGCTGGATAGGAGAGAAGCTGCTTTCCGACGTGTCGTGTGAGTCTGGGGAAGAGACCATGGATGGAGGGGAGGACATGTACGTGGCGGAGGCGGAGCGGGATGCATGGTGAGCAAGAGGTACGGTGTCGACCGCGAGCTTGGCCTTCTTGTGGACAGGAAGGTCAGTCGACATAGGGGTGTCCTCACGTGGTCGCTTGTTGTCATTCTCTTTGAAAGCAGTATGCTCAGACTCGAGCTGGGCGACCTGTTCCTTCAAAGCAACATTCTCCTTACGAAGAGCTTCGTTCTCCTCTTTAAGCCGTTTCGCGACGTTCTGCAGCGCGACATTGCGCTCGATCTCGCCTTGCTCATAGAGCTGGATACGAGCTTGAAGTTCAGCGAGCTGAGACTGCTTGCGCTCGCGGAAAGCACGTTGGGCGGCTCTGGAAGAAGATTGTCAAGCTGGTGCGGAGTGTCGACATCGGGGTAGAGAAAGTACCTATTCTGTACCCGCCTGCCTTTGCTGTCGGGCTACAAGATTAGAGATCAAAAAGTAAGAATTAATCCAATCGTGATGCGAACAAAGATCAAGAGACGTGCCTCATTATCAACATCTTCGGGAGGAGGAGCAGCCTCCTTCTTGGGTTTCCTGCCAGGCTTCGGCTTGGGAGGTATGACCCATTCCTTAGAAGCTGAGATATGGGGTCAGAGATGAATCTGTTGCACTGAATGGTGCGAGATAATTACCAGTTGCCCATAGGGTCGAGGATGAAGATATCATGGGGGACGTCGGGGGAGGACGAGACGCGGGAAGCATCTCACGAGGAGGAGAAAGAGCAGCTGGTTATAGCTGGCGGAGCTGCTGATAGTGCGAGAGACCCAATCGCTCCATTTATTCGCTTGTCTGATAAGATCAATCTCCGAATCGGTTATCATCGGCCCCGAATCCCGCCGTTCAACGGGCTCTCGTACGATCCCACGCCCCCACCCAACAAGCTTTCGCGTTCGTGTGCCCCAGATGCTGCAGCCAATGCGATCCTCACATCTCCATTTTCTTCGATAATCTCGCTCACCATAGCTTTCCTTGGCTGCCCATTTTGTCTTGCCGCCGGTCCCGATATATTTATTTTCGAGAGGACGCGGTGCCGCATTCTCCATGCCCCCTCCACGCCACGCATGCCGCTGGCCCAGTACTCCCATGGCAGAATAGCTCAAGACTACTAATGCTTCCCCTAGCTCCGTTCCATACTCGTTTTCATTGTTGCGGCTGCACTCGCGGAATGACATTTGCACGAGGTCTAGTTCTTCTCCGTGAGCGTCCACAACGTACTCTCCGCATCGCCACTCTGGGAATAATCTGCCTTCGTTCCTTGCCCCCTGAATTTGAAGAGCATATTCACAGATTAGCTTTTGAGAGACGGATTTATCCCGCCCCTCTTGGCCGTATCATAGCTTAAAAAGGTTTATAAATCCAATACCGTGTGTACTTCGTGGCCGGACAGCCTTCGGTGCGATCCCACCCGACGTCAGTTGTCCTAGAACGAACATTCCTTCCCAATCCTCAAGCGCTGTTCTCTCACTCTTAAGCTAGCATTGTACTGACCAGCATATGCGACTGAACAGTGACCTTTGGGATGGTCGACCCGACTCTCGCGCGAACGACGAGCTCAGCGCTGGACAACGGATCATGTTCGCCGTTCGTGGAACTACGGCCACTCCATTCAGTGGAGTGTCTTTGCCGACACAGAAGCAGGAATCTGAATAGCAAACTCACCGAGGGCCTTCGACGCGCTTTCTCACGTCCCGACTCCCACCCAACCTGACGGTGAACAGTGCCAAGCTTTGGGCCATTTGTTGACACGGTGGTAGATTGGTTATTCTCAGGACGGACAATCGTGGTGTCGACTGGGAGAACGAATGTTAGCCTCCCTACCCAGGAACATACTCCCGAAGAAAATATCTCACCGACAATTACTTAACAATCTTTTTCTCACTATCAGATCTTTCTCACAAGGCTAGACGTCACCGCCGGTAAGCCAGGCAACAAACTCGCATCTCAGGGTGCTCTTGGCACGTCGTCGAACATGTCTAGAGATAGCTCGTGCTAAAACGCAAAGTGTCAGTTTTGTGCAGACGAAAATTGCCTAGTATCGAGGGGACGTACCTTTGCCGACTCCGCGCGTTTATCCTTAGAGAACAATCTTCGAAGGTCAGGGAGCTGTAACAAAGGATCCTTGACACGCTGATTGGTGATCTTGTTTGTCCAATAACTAAGCGTACTCTCCACAAACTTTCACGCCGTTAGCCCCCGGTCCCGCTCGCATACGCGCCCATGCATGTTCACAGCACCCCTACCATCATGCACCGGCACTCTCGCCGCGAGAAATGTCGCCACGGCCGTCTATCTTCAGTGCCTCTTTCCCCAGCACCGGAACCATAACCTCTCACCTCTTCTTGTCCTTTCCTTTCATACACGCTAATCTGCTCCACTAGGCAACGCGAAAGGCATCGGTCAGCGCTGGGACAGCTTCACTCGAGGGTCCAGATCACGTACTCTTCTATCTTTTCACTTCGACGGACCATATGGCTCTGTGCATCGTTGTTGGCTGGTTGAGTGACAATGAGTGTGTAGACGAACACTTACCACTCCTGTTTCTTGAGGCTGGGAGAACTTTTGTGCACCATAGGAGGCCCTCGGGCATCTATCGTTCCATCTTCTCCCAGCCGCCACAATTTTTAGTTGCGAGCACGAGGATGAAGGCACCACCCGCAATGAGGCTGACAAAAAGAGATGGGATGGGAGGATCGATTAGTCATGCTAGCTAAAGCATCCAATGGTAGACATCCCGCAGATGGGCGGTTCGCAAGCCCAAGGGGGATTGACCGGGTCTTTACGATGTTGAGGCCGTACATAGGAGCGAGCTTGCATAATCTCCTTACGACGCGATGAGACGAGGGGAGAAATCCCATGTACGTTTCGTAATAGATGGTGTAGACGACTACCCACTAGGGATGTTCGCCGCGGATTAGACGACTACAAAATGCCATTAGTGCGATGTCCCGGTTGGTATTGCGAGAAGGAATATTCGACGAGATGATGAGCCTGCGCGCAGTCGTATCGTGAGCACGAAGCATACAAACGCACAACTTTCCATAGTTGCTCTCTCGGGTATCAAAATTTCAAGCGCCTGCGGCAGGGAGGATGTCCGCGCCCTCGCGTGAAGTCGCTGCGTTGTACAAACAGCTCAGACACCGTCTCACATGGGATGGATGGTTGGTTCTAAGTCACTGTGTTGCTGGCGATGCAGCGTGAGGTATTGCTGCGAATGGGCAATTCAAGTTACGTTACCGTTCACTGGGTCGACCACCCTGGATTTCTCGCAAGACAGAGAAGAGGGTATTTGGCATTGCCATGACCAGAACTGGTCAGAGCTGCGGTTGTCGACTGTGATGGGGATGCGGAGACATCCGTCTCGGACTCGAAGGTAGGGAGGAGAAAGTTAAGGTATTAAGGATGTCGTAAGTTTGAACGAACGACGACGGCGAATTGCCACGTTCTGCGAGAAGCAACCGGGCCTTCCATTTTGACTAGATGTCGCCTAAACGATGGCCAACGCCGAGTGGCAAAGCACGAAGGAGACGGAGACGGAGTGCCTGAGTTAAGTAAGGCGGGATGTCACCGTACTTGGTGAACATGTGGTCAAAAAGGCGTCAGGAGGTGCGCTAATTTGTGCAGGACCGACCCAGGGTTACTGGCAAGAATCAAGCATGCAAAAACATACGGCATCAGCTGTCATTGCAAGAAATATGAGCGTGGCTGGTCATCATAACGAAACAGGGGCCCTAATCCCAAGGAGCACGGCAAACATCACAAACTTGAACTTCGACCTTGACTCTAACCTAAAAAACAAATCCCAAAAGTGAAATCAAAGTCCCGCCTCCTTGCTATCATACCTCTGTGTCACGTCCGTGACCAACCCCTTCTCATCGTCCTCACCGACTTCGCCCACCCAGCCGTTCTCGGCCAGGTACTCCATAAACTTCACATCTTCGTCTGCCAAGTCCACGCCCGTCATATCTGGCACGAAAAAGTATGTGACGAGGATACCTGTGACACCACAGATCGCGGCGATGATGAACGTCCATCTACACATCACAGAGCAACGACGAGGGTGGCGCAACCCATCAATATATCATTGTCGACACGACCATACCGATACCCATGGAAATGATTGTGAGCAGTGACCTCGTGGGAGCGGGAGGATGAAGCCTTGCGGGCAGTGGTAGACGCACTTTTTTCCCAGGTTGTTCTGGATAGGAGTGAACGCCTGCGTGCCTACAGCAGCACCCACTTTACCAATAGCAGCCGAAAGTCCGTAAAGTGTACCCCTTGTTACGGGATAGATTATAAGGTTACAAGGACACGGTGTAAAGAAGTAAGCCTCAGGTTTGACGTATGGGTTGAGAGATAGTCTTACCTGACGGGCGTGGCGTAGGACCTGCGTTGTGTGGGCACAAGTGAGTTAGGCAAGTATGATACTGCAAGGTGAGAACAAAAACTCACTCGGCAGAAACTAGACCGAGCATGTCGCCGGGACCCTATGGTGCCATTCGTGAGGGTCAACGTGGGATAGAAACGATACCGAACATGTAGTGGCGAGATACCATATTTCCAGAGCTTTGCATGAGGCCATAACTAGCCAGTGAGATGAATCATTCCCGTCAGAATGGTACTGGAACGTCGAAGAGAACAAGTAGACTCACAAAACAACAAAGAGAGGTATAATCTTCGTGATCTGGTCGTACGCGCAACCAATGATCAAACCTTGGAGCCAGTCAACACCGTGGCTTCGTCCAGAAGAGACTCCAGGAATGCACACACCGAAGATAAGGTATCCTGAAAAGCCAAGCATCATCTGCATGAATCCGTCAAGATAGAAGTTAGGAATAGCGTCTGTTCAGCTAAAACACTCTAATAATGATGCGAAAAGCTCACAGTATTCCTACGCCCCAGAGGGTTACACAGTAATGCTCCGATAAAGACACCCGGAAGTGCGATCGTGCCAAGCAAGAGTTGCCACTCCGCGGTCTTCTTTAGGTCGCTGTCCTTGATGACGGACGAGATAATGGTACCGCTGAATACACCATTGGGGAATGTAACCTGCAAGACGAGCGTGAGTCGCAAATTCCGGGCATGAGATACCTAACGAGCCGGAATACTCACGAAGTCGTATAAGAACCTAGTGGCGCATGAATTATTAATGTTTGGGGCCTCAACGAAGATAAAGTGTGGACATACCAAGCACCACAGGTGCCGATCATCGCCTTCCAGTATCGGCGAATAACAAGCATGTATGGTACTCCATCTATTATGCGGAGTCAAAGATGTATCAACATTTCTAGCAGATTAGGTACTCACGCTTCATTGCAGATTTCCTGTACAGTTTGCTGCTCAGCATGCGCAGACGGAAGAAGAGGACGGTCAAAGGCAAGAGAATGCCGATACCAAAACCTGTGCAGGGTTATGTCAGTTCTGGTACAGACGAAGTACGAAGGAGAGGTAAAGCTCACAGACGCGCCACACCTGAAAGATATTCAGAGTTAGAGAGGTTTTTGACGTAAGAAACGCGAAGGTGAATTTACCGTAGGCAAGTGGTTCTCCCCTGCGGCAGAAAGTACGATTAAAAATACAGAGACAGCCAACGGGCCACCAAACTGTATGGTTGATCAGAAGACGATATAGATTTGATAAAGGCTGACGTACACTGAGCACAAAGTTCGTGACCATGATGAATACTGGCAGTTTTTGAAGGGCTTTTATGAGTAAAAATCGCTGAGATATGGCAAGTCACGTACCTGGGCCCCTGTTCTTGAGCGTCTTCTCGTTTGCAGCCTCTGATGCAGACGTTGATGACGCAGGATACTCTCCTCCAACACCAATACCCGTGATCCCGCGCGCAAAGGTCAGAAACCAGAACAGACCTTGCACGCTTCCGTTCGCGCCATGAGCAGCCGTGCCAAGTGTGGCACCAAGAACGATCATGAGCGTGGTCGCCACAAGCGCCACTTTGCGCCCCATACGGTCGCACATCAACCCAACAATGACCTGACCGAGGACTGCGCCGACCAAGAGGGAGTTCGAAACTCTGGTAGAGACCGAAGATGTGTAGTCCTTGGGGTAGAGCTCCTTGAATACCACCTTATGATGGTAAGAGTGGATGAGTTATCTTGATCAAGACCACTCAAAATTCGCAAGCTGACATTGGACATGGTCATAAGATTGTTTTGATCTGCAAGATAATCAATGAATCAGCTCTATGGGCGTGTAGTTCGGTGCAATCATACTCACAACCATCGGAAATAAGACCAAATGCCGCAGCTGCAATCGTGAAGTAAGCGCTCAACTTCTCCTTCGTGCTCAGTTGAACTTCGGGGTGAGCAAGTTCTGCGACTTCCTGAGTAGGAGAGTCGCTGACAGCGACCATCTTCTTGCCTGAGCTCTCAAGAGAAGCCATGCTGGAGAACGACCGGGTAGCGGAAGACAGTCAAAGCGCAAGGGGGACGAGCACGTCGGTCGTCCGACCTTAAGAAGGGTAGCTGAGCTCAGGAACGGACAGGCCATGGCGCGTAGAAAATAGCACATCAAAAGTCGGTTTAGGCGGCAGACGAACGTGCAGAGGGAAGCGAACATACGCCTTGTGATATCCCTCCTGGTTTCGAAACAGCAGACAGTATTCTGAGTAGGTAGACTTCTCTTATGGACTCAGTCGACAATTGCCCATCTTGTATGTAGCTACCTATCGTACGAAGCGCCCCTGGCTCCGCCGGCGCTATATAAATGTGTTGAATTTAAAAAAAAAAAAAAAAAAAAAGATATCCCTCCTGGTGCGCACGTGCTTATCTCTCTTCGCGGCGAACTGTTCGGACGTGCAGACTCGATGGTAAGCAGAAGTCAGCCGCGACCTGGTAGATATATTGACGTCTTTCTTGCCTAGTGGCGAGCCTACAATTCTTTTGACTCGTCGATGACAGGTGGAATCCTCTAAGTATATCACAATGCCAATGAACCCGTCACGGCGCCATCCCCAGGACTTGAGTCTTCGATGTCCAGGACTTGATAATTTTCTAATAACCTCCGAGTTACAGCTGTGGGCTCGCACACGACCATTGACGGTGGCTCTCCTGTTACTGTTGTGACTGGCAAAACTTCCAAGATGTGTTTCGAATAGACTGAAGCGGAGGATGCATGGCGCTACAATGGTATGGTAGTACTAGTAAGTCGGGTCCTGAGCCGAGGGTGGGCAGAAGTATCGCGGATGACCTCGACCGCACATAATCAAGGACTTCGATTTGGTCTTCCTGGTATAAAAAATGAGGAGCAAAGACAGTTGGACAAACGTGCACCATATGAAGACCGCAAAGCGAACGGATTTGAAACATACAATTTACACTCGGGTGAGGTCCGATGCTATAGTGTGCCACACTTTGAGGGGTTGACAAACAGAGGAGGTAAGGTGATATCTTTGGCCAGACGAATACGGCTCGGTCTGGCGATGTTGTGGAGGAGAGCAAGTGGAATCCTTCGTGTGGCGTCGGTGTGGCACTCGAGGTACTGGCTGACTAAGCAATTTTTACGACGCGTTCCGTGCGACACGAATTCTTGCTTGCGAGTTGGATTATACGGACCACTCTGCTCTGAGGAGACTACGTGTATGTCCCTTCTACGCCAGGCAATACGCTCTTGTGCACCCTCTCTCTACGCGTCCCGACATCGCTTCTTTTCTGCCCAAGCAGCTTTCCCCAATGCCACCTCAGACGATGCCCAACGTACTGGTGGATTCGGTCAGACTCTCGATGCTTCAGGGCCTAAAGACTCTACGACAGATTCAGTTGACTCTGACGCTACGGAGATGAAGCCGAAACGCAGACGGAGAACCGTCAAAACAGTGACAGACGAAAATGGAGAGGTTAGGGAGCGGAAGCCGAGGAAGAAGGCGGACTTGGAGGAGGAACCTCAACGAAATCCACTCGAGCCAGGTCAGACTGAACTGTGGCTGCAATCTTTGCAGAACGCTGGTCTTGCTCCTTCACTTAGAGAAGACCTGGATAAACTGCGACGATCTCCTCCGGGAATTGGATCTCCGAATTATGGGGAACAATACGATGACTTACTCGACACTGTAACTCGGACCTTCAGCGCTGCTCAGTTGAGTTCGTTTTGTCAGCAACTGGGATTCCCTTACTACAAACGGCGCAAGATGGAGCTCGCAGAGTCAATATTGGGTTATTGGAGCTGGCGACCACCAAGGGAAATTGAACGGAGGATACGGGAAGAAACTGAGATATTACCACAGAGTACGTGCTGTCTTGTTCAAGCGAACTATAGCGCTAAGTTGTTTTACAGCTTTTCCTCTGGAACAGTATCATCTGTTCTTAGTAATGGGCAAAGGTAGGGTTCACTCTTCGAGCTGGTCCCTGAATGTGGTTTTAATGCCTAGCCTACAGACGGCAGCGATCTCCTACGAATGTCTAAACGACACAACGTTTATATCTCTCTAACACGAAATCCCTTGGCCCTACGGGTGGAAGGTATACGGTCTTCTCTGGCCGCTGTCGCAGAACATCTCAAGTCTGTCAAAGAGGTGTGCACGTTTACTTTTGCAATGAGCTTCGTCACCTTGACCAAACCGTAGAATAGGATTGAGGAGGTGTTCGAGACCCCAACGAAAAAGCCTGTTCGGCATGATCTTATCCAGAGGATATCTCGGATAGCCAATGCCTTTATCGAGAATCTGAAGACGGAAGGCCAGGTTCGTGCTCGAAGTTTCCCTTCCGTCTCGCACGTCTGTTGAAATTGTACAGGTCAGAGTCTGCGCGAATGATCAAGTGAGCCTAACCGGTGCCAAACGTCTGGCTATGCGGGCGGCCTCCGAGGCAAGCTCTATCCCCGCCTGTTAAATTCAATCTATTCCTCACACCTTTCGTAGATGGGGTCTGCCAATCAACTATTGTCTTACCGGCCGCCTGAATATGACAATCCGGCTGTGTTGCCGACTATGTCTCCACTGCAAACATATTCTCTGTATCCATTCTTGTCCCCTCGTGCGCCTCCATGGCAGGTAAACACCAGTGGCACATTTAGATGGCGTCGTGTGGGGGACTGGCTTGGGATAGATCAAGTCGAGAATGTGAAGGAGACAGGTGGACTTGCGGGCGAGAGAGGAGCTTTCCGTGATCTCAAAGAGCAAGTACTTCTCTACTCCACAAAGACACGTCTAGCTGATGATGTCTCTTTCAGCGGGCATGTACAACTTAGGCAGGTGCTCAAGCAAGGGCTGCCGGAGGTTCACGACGCATCTGTGGGTTACAAACGGATCATTACTGCCCAGTGAGTTGGTCGAATGCCCATGTCTTGCGACTTCGGTTGAGTGAGCGTTTGAATAGGACTGGTCATCTGTTATACGCTTCACCAAACCAGGGTCAGCGGACGTCTATTGTCCCACCTGTCATGGGTCACAAGCAGTATTCTGAACTACTTCAGTGGATCTCCGAGGATAATCAGCGTCGGCCATCCTTCGTCGAAACGTATGTTGATGCTCTCTACCCATTTTCCCGGCTGAAAAGTTTGTTCACCTTCATCCAGTTTACCCGCCTCTCTCCTGCGGTCAACGCCGGCCGAGCCTACCACTATCCATCGGCTAGTCTACAATGCGCTCGAGATCGCAGAATCTTTGGATAGAACCAAAATCACTCCACCGAGGAAGACTGTCAACTTTGAAATCGTACTTCAGGAGCCTTCGTCGTTGAATAATATGCCTAAGACAGAGACTTCAAATGACAAGCAGCCGTACGCTGGTTCCAAATGCTGGAAGGGACTTCACACCGATGTGGACGTGCTGATGCCTGATCGGTGATTTATCGTACACCTCTACGTCACCCAGCGGCCACTGATGTCTTTCCAGCCCTATAGATCTACGATTTACGGTCAAGGATATGGTGAACATCAGTGCTGGTAGCGAACCGGACGCCCTGCAAGCGTATCATGATGCCCTTTGTGCATAGTGAGTGGAGCTTTTGCAACTGTCTGATCGTCTGCTCATAATTCGATGACAGCCTGGAATCCACTGAGCCGGACCCAACACAACCTACACCGCCTCTAACGCTACACTACGATGGCCAGGACTATATTCTCGGTTCGAGTACCACAATACGACAGAGCCGAGAAGATCTGCAGAGTCGCCTCAGTGTACCGGATGGCTCTGTCGAAGCCGTGACGGAGAGTACGCTCGATCTTGAGACTAACCACAAGTCTGCTGTTTGCTTGGTGAGTTATTCCTTCACTTCTTGCAGTCATCAAAAGTCTTATCTTGACCTTGTGCAGATTTCGTGCACAAACTATGAGTCGGATGTGATCTGGAAGGCGTTCCTGAGTGACTGTGACCAGTTCACAACGGCTCTTTATAAGGCTAGCCGGAACCAGCTTTTATTCTGACCCTCCATGTATCCCATATCACACACACACTGCTCAGGCGGATAATATTGCGCACAATATTGCATTGCGCGAAGGTCCCGAGTGAAAAGGAACGAGGACAAAACGACGCAACAGAGAAAGATACAGCAAGGAATGAAAACTGAGGAATGGGCACTTTCAATGTTTCCGCTTCTTGTTCTCTTTCTCCTTCCGCTTCTTGGCTCGCATCTAAGGAAATGACGATTAGACCCAGATAATGGCTAATAAGAAGCAAAAAAAAACATACCTCTTTCTTCATTCTCGAGTCCACCATCGCATACCGACCCTTTACACCCTTCGGCCTCCCCTTTACTCCCCTGTTTACGCCCTTCGCCACGACGACCTTGATGTCCTTCTTCTCCTTTTTTCCCTTGCTCAACCCCTTCCTCATCAACTTCTCCACCTGCTGTGCCTTCTCCCTCTCCGTCATATCATCCGTCTGCGTCACTCCCTCCGCCTTCTTCATCGCCTTGTCCAACCTCTGCGCCGCCTTGAACTTCTTCCGAGCCTTGGCTTCAGCGACCTTCTTGATAGGCCGGGCGTCGAGCGCGCGTTGCTTCGCACGGAGAGACTGGATGGCCTCTTTCGTGATGGGGATGTTGGCCATGTAGTGTTTTGATTCGTCGTCGAGGAACCAGTCGGGGAGGTCGTCTTTGGAGTTGAGGGAGTAGCGGGTGAAGCCTTCGTTGATGAGGTCGGTTTTGGTCGTCTGGCGGTTGACGAGTTGTTGGGCTAGTGTGACTGCTTCGGCGGTGAGGAGGCCGTGTTCTGTGTGTCGAAGGAAGGGATAAACGAGAAAGTTAGTAGTGTGGCGGGGTTGGGAAGAATAAGTAGGAGGGTGGCGTACTCCGGATTTGTGCCTGCTTGGCTTCGTCCTCATTTTCGTCTGCGACATCCCACATGTCAGTGTCGTCTGGTTCTTGAGGAACAACCTCGAAGTCGTCGTCATCTTCACTTGCTGATGGCTGTGGGAAGAGGATGAGCAGAGCTATAGCGTAAAAGCCTGAGAGGACTCACCTCATCAGCCTCCTCTTCACTGGCCTCCTCTTCCGTCTCAACGTCTTCAGCATCAAGGCCACTCTCTTCCTCGCTGTCAGGGATCGCATCCAGACCATCCATGCCGCCGAACACGTCCTGACTAAACCAAAGGTCTGCTGCGCGGCTTGAAGCTGGAACGACCTTCGCATCTTCAGTAGCGAACCTGGCCTTCTTCTTCCCGTTCTCCTGTACTTGGCCCGGTCTTCTCCTCTTCTGTCCTGCCGACACATCCTGGTCCTCTACCTCCTCATTACTATCACTCTCCTCATCCGAAGATTGGTCATTTCTTCCCTTCGCCTTCTGCATCACGTCCCAGCCACCTTCCTCGTCTTCCTCCTCATCCGAGCTCCCATCCTTAGCTTCCTTGATCCCATGCCATTCCTCTCGCTCCTTATTCTTCTTCCTCGCCTCCTTCACCTTATACTTCGAATCTCGCTCCGCCAACCTCTCCTTATACGAATCATATAGCCCGTCCAACTCGTCCTCCAGCCCCTTCGTCTTCTTCTCCCTCTCCTCATCCGAATCCAACCCCTCCTCCTCACTCTCACTCTCCTCCTCGTCCTCCTCCTCACTCTCGTCCTCATCCTGGTTCCGACTCGCAAACTTCGAAACACCCCCCTTCTTCTTCAACACCCTCTCCGTGTCTCCAAGATCGAACATGTCCTCGTCCGCAATCAAAGCCTGGTCCTGCTGTTCCAGACCGATATCGAGCGGCGCGGTCATGGAGAGCTGCATGCGTTGAATCGTCCGCGTCTTGACTTCGTTTGCTTTTCGGCGCTCGCGTTTCGTGCGGGCGGAGGCTTCTGCGTTGAGTCGCTCGAGCTCCTTTTGGATCTGTTCTTCTTCGTCGATGTCTTCGGTGATTTCGACGACTTCGGTGGCGTCTTCGGTGGATTTCGTCTTCACGTCCAGACCGAGCTATGTATTTCGGGAGCGTTCAGGGTTTGAATTAAATATAAGAGAAGTGTTATGCGTACCTCCTCGCGAAGCGCTGTCCTCCACTTCAGTAGAGTTTTGAAGTCACCCTTCCCGAGCACTTTCAAGTCGTCAAGGTTGGCCTTGACGTCGGTGGTGGTGATATCCATTGCAGCCCACCTACACAACACCAAGTCAACAAACACGCATCACAATGATGTGTGAGCATGAAAAGAAGAGATACTTACTCTTTCTCCTCCTCCGTCTGGAACACCATCTGGTTCACGGATCCAAGGACCGCGATCGGCTCCGCAGAGTTCACGAACTCCGACACTCCAACCTTGTTGAAGAGTATGTAATCTCCATCCGCGTAACCCTCACGTTTTCGGCGGCTCTTTTCGGGCTGGAAAACGTTAGCTTGGACGTTGTTGGCTGAGGAGCCTTTATCGCCTGTGGCGGTCGTGGCGGAAAGATCCTTGAAGACGTGCTTGGGATCGAGGAATTTGGGGTCTATATGTTTTGGTGCGTGGAAGTCACGACAGACGACGAAAATCTCGGCGGAGACATTACTGAACAGTCAACCGAAAAAAAAATGATCAGCCACTGTGGCCCTGGAACAACCTCACTGCGCGAGACGCAGTAAAATAAAATAATGAGACACAAACGAACCGTGAAGAAGGCGGCTTCGTCGCCTCGACCTTCCCGAACAACTGGTTGAACACCCAGATGAGGTTGTTGTAGTCCACGCTACGGAAGACCTTGGTCACGAATGTCCCGCCCTTGATGAGGAACTCGACTGCGAGTTTGAGACTCATGAGCACGAGCTCAGATTGGGAGTAGGCGTCCTGAACCCAGGCGGTACCGACGTTAGGAGCACCATCGTGCAGGACGACGTCGGCTTTCCAGTCTTTGAGTTCACCGCGGAGGAGGTTGCGGCAGTGGGAGGTGGTGATGTCGGCGGCGAAGGTGGAGACGCGGGGGATAGGTTTTATTGGAACTAAGTCGACACCTGGAAGGAATAGGTAATATAGTAATATGTGTTAGAAGGTAGATGGATGAGTTATGGGGCGGAGGAACGCACCGACGATGAGACTGTTCACGGGCATGTATTTACTCGCTACTTGTAGCCAACCACCGGGAGCGGCACACAGGTCGATACAGCATCGTGAAGACTCGAGAAAGGAGTACTTTTTGTTGAGCTGGATGAGCTTAAAGGCTGAACGGGCACGATAGCCTTGTTCTCTGTAGGGTGCCAATATTAGAACGAGGTTCAGGCTGAGGAGTATAGGAAGTAGAAGGAAGAGGTAAAGACGTACTTTGCAAGCTTGTAGTACTTGTCGAGACGACCCTTACCGGTCTTTTTCTGAGCCTTACCCATCGCAAGAGTCAAACAGACCTAACAAAGAAGAAAACTAGATAGAAAGGACCCGTACCCGCCGTAAGAGGCCGTGAAGGAAGAAAGTGAGGAAGAGCTGCTCCTGCCAAAGTCGCTTTGCAGAAATTTCGAAATCTCGATCACTCCGTCCCGAATGGGAAAGAGTGGCGCCGGGTTGACGGCCAAGCACCTTCGCCTCCGCAATGGGTCCCGGCAAGTCTGGTCCTTGTCCAATGGATTTCTTGCCGGCTCACTCACAACTTGCTTCACACACCCACTAGTCAGGCTTTATAAGGACTCCCTTTACACACCCTAATCCCACATTCTCTTCTGCCCATTTCGCCGTACCACAATCCGACCCTCCCAAAACTCCTCATATCGTTTACATAACATGCCCTTCGCACCCAATGCTGCTCTAATTTGGCGCACAGGAAGTGCTTTTGGTGTGTTGTTTTCCTTTTCTAGACAGGTCCTGTACTCATCGACTTCCAAGTGGTCGCCGGGATGATTGCTGGCGCGTTTGGTTCACATGGTTTGAAGAGTAGACCAGGAATGACTACCGACAGGCAAACTGCTTTTATGACTGCTGTACACTACGCGGTGAGTGTATCTTGTTGAGAATATTAAGGACAAGGTAGACCTCGTATGCTGGAACACCGTGTGCGCTTGGTGCCACCCGAGTTCTCGTTGTCACGTCGCTTGTGTGGCCCATTCACTGACATACATTCCTTCTCTTGTCCACATAGGTATATAACGGTCTTGGACTCCTCGTCATCTCTTCTGTACGTTGATGCTATATGATTACTTATCCTGGAGCTGTGCTTGACAAGGCCTTTTGCAGCACCCACGGTTTGCGGTCCACCGCTTTGCCACCCCTGCCATCGCGCTTGGCGGACTTCTCTTTTCGGGTACCATTTTTGGTCTGACTCTGAACAGGGACCGGTACGTGTAATGTCCTGTGGTCGTAGGTCATTTGACTTTGCTTTTGACCACCGAGTATGTATAGATTTAAGGCTTTGGGTCCAGTCACACCTATGGGTGGCGCTTTGATGATCGCTGGGTATGTGGCTCTCGTCTGCTTCCTGCGATCATGATGACAGTTGCTGAGTTACATTCTTCCGCTAGATACATTTCTCTGTTGTTCTAAGCTATGTATGATGGATAGTTGGGATGTTGCTTTTACTGTACCTATATTTTTCTTCGTCGACGAGTGATTACTAGGTGCTTAGTAAACCGCGATGCCTATTCTGCGGCCGACCCGCTGTGTGTCGTCAAGTCCCTCTTGTCATACGTGGTCCTGCGCATGGGGGGCTGTGCAACAGAACTGATGCTGCGGGAAACAGCGGGTAACGCGAGGGAGGCAGGCAGGAAAAGAATTAGTTGATTCCCCGAGTTCAACTGCCTTCCTGATGAGGGCCACAAAGAGTCTTGGCGAGCAATGCAGCCTGCGTCATCGCCGAACATATATTAACTTATCATATTGTTGCATAATGGCTCGTCGATATTTTCGAGCTCCCTCAGAGTGCGACTTCATAAGTAGGGCTGGGCAGCGCACAAGGCGTCCAGACATTTTCAAACGAGCAAAAGCTGGAAGAGATGGAAGAGGAGAGATCACGTGGTGAAAAACGAACCGCATCAAATGAACTCCGATTGAGATTCCGATGCCAACGCGACACCGACTGACTGATTCCTGTTCGTTACATAACCAGCGTATTCTCTTCTCCCTCTCCTCTCTCAACACAAGCCTCAAGCGCCACCGTCATCGTCCATCGTCCCTTCGTCGTCGTTCCCGCCGTCGTCGACGACCACCGCCCACCAAGAGCGCCCACCTGCTCACTAATCGTCACATCGCTCACAGTATCGATCTCGCTCCATGTCCGAGACCCACGCCGGTCCCCCGACGCCTCAACGTAGCGTCTCCTCTCCCGATACTTTTTTCACCTCCGCCGCCGCCTCCTTCAACCCTCGCCCGTATCAGCCTCCCATCCAAGGACCGCGACCAAGACCACCCCCAGCTGCTCGCAACAACTCGCTCATGCATCCCCATATCCCCATGGATCCTCTCCCAACCGACCCCGGTGCAATCTTCATCCACCCGCCCTTCGACAATTTTCCCGGACACGAGAACTATCCTGAAGGTATCACCTACTCTGTCATGGCTGCCAACCCAGAGTGGTTCCTAGATCCCACCGATTACACTTCGGAGAATCAAACTCACAACAATCCACACGCTATCGGTTATCCCACTCAGCTCGAGCCTCCCAGAGGTTGGAACCCCTCGAGGAAGAAGGATCTCAAGGATCGTGGCGGCGATGGCTGGCCTCAAGGGGAAGAACCTCGTCTCCGCTGCACTTTCTGCAGGAGAACTTACGCTGGGATCAACGCTAAAAGCATGTGGCGTCGTCATGTTCATGAGAAACACAAGGTCGACATGGCCAACCGCCGCCACACCACCGGAGGCGGTCGCACAGCGCCTACCAGTACGTTGATCTCACTATGCGCTTCAGTATCAACTTGACTCATTCGTTTCTGGCTAAGAACAAGCCAACGATAAGGAGAATGTGTCGGTGCCCTCCAAAGCTGGCAGGGCGAACAAAGCCTCTGCATCTCAATCTGCCGCTCCCCGGGCGTCCTCTTCAAAGTCGAGGCAACGCTCGACGACTGCTGCTAGCGCTCCTCCTCCAGCCTATTCCGCTGCTCTTTACGACAGAGGGAATGGCCATGAGTCGCACGACGACTACGACTACGAATACGATGGGGAAGAAGACGAGCTAAACCCCCCTGGCGCGCCTCGCATTCCTCAAGAAGAGTTCCCTGCTCCTGCATATGAACATGATCTATCCCGCCCATCTGTCTCCCGCTCCGGTTTCAGTGCGTCACCTCCTCCGGACTCACCTCAGTCTGATACTCTCGACGAATACGTCCCACCGTATACTCCGCCCGAGGAACCAGAAGAACAGAGGCCCTCTTCTCCTGTGCTCGCCCTCAACGACCCTGACTATGGTCTTATCACGCCCAATTATCACCCCTCACCGTTCCGCGCCGTCAAAGCCTGGCGCTTCCCGGATCCGAGTCACCCGCTGCACCAGGACGTGGGCGAGCTACCTCTCGCTGCTGTCACTGGTTACGCACCCAGTCCATCCTCAGCCGTCAAGACCTCGCCTTCCGGCCTTGATGCCAGCCCGCTCATCATTTCGTCGACGACGCGCAGACCCGCGAGCTTGTTTAATACTCCGAGCGTGGGCGTAATCACCAGACGGGCGGAGAACACTCTGGAACGCATGTTCGACGAGCCCTCCCCCGCCCCCATGTCTACTCCTCGCAAGCTGTTCGATTCTCCCGGGCCCGTGATCGATCGTCTGCTGGGCAAGCGAGGTCGTTCTGACGATTCGCCCTCGTCCAGGTCCCTCTTCAACCTTACACCTGGGCGCTGGGCCAGTGGCACCTCCGGCAATCTCTTCGGGCCCGCTCTCCCCGCGGGCGACGATCCGTTTGCCACTTATAAGACCCCACGCAAGACGGACAGTCCGTTCTTCAGGGACAGGTTCAGGAGCAGTGAAGGCAGTAGTTCCAGCCCCATGATTGTCACTCCGCCGAACGATAGTCCCATAGTCCGTCTTCGTAAGGCATCGGGCCTCAAGAGCAAAGGCACGGATAAGTCGAAGAGTACAGTCGGTCTTTTGGATGCGTTCATGCAAACGCGATCAGGGGTGAGGGTTCTCGATGAAGAGGCGGGGAATGAAGACGAAAGTGGCAGTGAGGATTCGGATGGGTGGGATCCACTTGCAAAGGGACGTTTGAGCAGCTCTAAAGAGTTGATGAACTCGAGGTTGTCGAATGAGAGGTCTACACCTGGTCGTCCGCCAATGAAGAGGAGGAGGAAGAGCGAGGATTAGACGGGACGAACCGATCCCTTCCGGGCTTTGGTAGGGTGTTCTTCGCCCTTTGGTTTCTCCGCGCGATGTTGTTGTCACGACTTGCTATCGACGTTCTGTTTCCCTGCTTGCTTTCACTATGTATCCCTACTGGCGAGCTGTATCGCTTGCGGGCCTCGTTCAAGACCTTGTATATTCTCATCTATCCATCCATTCGCTCAGCCGCTCATCCATCCCAGTGTGTCATACGCATCGTTTCTTGACCTTCATCCATCTATGTATGCCTGTCTCTCTTCATTTTGTGGTATAGTTTCCTGATCACGTAGTTCGATACGCGGCGCCTCCTTTCTCCCTTGATCCCATCTACTTCTTTCTTGTCTTTCGACACTCACTCCCTTGCGACCCATCATCTCGATCTCGTTACTTAAAGGCTTCACGTCTTGATATACGTAGATGCACCCCTCTTCTTTCTAGTTACTAGCACGTCCATCGCGGCTGCTCTGCGTCCTCCTCGTTTCTTTTTACTTTCGTCATCTTATTATCGTGTGGTCGCCATGTTTTCTTTGCGTCCCCCACGTCCGCTTGGTCTTTGACTCTTGCATCGTCGAACATTTTCTTCTCATGCATGACATGATGACCCTATGCCTCCCCTTATTTTCCTGTTGTGTTCCGCATACTCTTCACTCAGTAATAGCCATGGTCTTTTACTACCAAGACAGTGACCTGTTCTCGACGTCCTTACGCTTGTCTGTGATTTGTGGCTCTGGCTCGTGATTACTGTGTCTTGGAATGATGAAAGCTGTTGAAGTTTCTGCGTTCGCTTGCTTGTATGTGTATACGTATTTATCGAACGTGCCCTATCATCTATGGTACTACTGCGACCACCCTCGTACATACGGACAGACGATTCGAGCGGTGGTTCAAGTTGGTGTCAGTGTATTGAATTATCATCTACGTATACAGTTTTTGTTGCTATAAGTATACAGGGACACGCGACTTCATTCGTTCATCTTTCCATTTGCTGTGAGAATCATTCAAACTCGAGACAGGCTACCGAATTGTATCGGCCTGACGAATGAATGAGTCAAATGCGAGGTTGTGACTCGAGCTGTTGGCTTTCGGTGCTTATAAGTGCGATATTGTAGGACGGCAGTATCCCCCGTACCTGCTCTACTACTGCTCTACTACCCACACGGCTTTCGCTGCCGACAGAAGTAGCGAAAAGATGTCATACCCACCAGCTACGCCGGTAGTCACATCCTCACCTCATCCTCGACTACATCCTCTTCGTCTCTCGCCGACCACGAACGAGCCCTACCTGACTCTTCCGGCTCCATATTCACATATAATCATCACCCCGCCTAGAGCGTCGGATGTAGAGGCGCATAGGGCGATTATAGATGATCCGAGGGTTTATAGGTGGTTGGCTGGTCCGACGATTCCATACCCGGTGGAGAGAGCGAGGGCGTTTGTGGCGAGGGGACAGGGGGTGGCGAGGGAGGCGTTGGCGGAGCTGACAGGCGAAGACTCGAGTTCAGGAAGGGAGGTGGAGGGACTGGCAGGCGAGGGGCTGCGGATGGTTAGTCGGTGTCCGGTGAATATTATTAGGGAGAGACGAGAGGATGGCACGGAGGTTTATTTGGGTGATTGTTCGTTTGCGAGGTATCGGTTTTTGGACGAGCAGGATCCAGACGAGCGGAAGAGAATGATAGATGCGAATGAAGCGTTGCCAGTCGGATATCCTCAGATTGTTTGGGAATTGGCAGGTAAGGAATGAGCGCTTGAGCAAGTGAACTGAGCTGGAGCAACTAAAGTGATGATATTCGTTGCAGATTTTTTGAGCCCAACACATCATGGACAAGGTATCATGACGGCAGTAATGGATACACTGATGAACGAATGGTGTGTTCCACGGATGGGTATGAGACATGTTCGAACGGCAATCTTTGTTGGGAACGAGGGGAGCCGTCGCGTGATGGAGAAGAACGGGTTCGCGCTGTGGAAGACGGTGGAGGGATGCATAGACGTGCCAGCCAAGGGCGAATATCCAGCCGAGCGAAAGTCGCTGGAGTTTATGGAATGGAGGATGTAGAGTAACAGACATGAGCAGAGACGGAAGATAGAGATCCGAGGGAAATGCGCAGATATTAGCCAAGAAATGGCGGTGTGTGGCGTGGGTTGTGGCGAGGAGCGGAGGCTGTGGAAACGGAAGCACAGCCGCTGCGAGCTTGGCCTCCTCCCTTCGTCTCCATCCACATCCACATCTTCACCCGTCCGCCCCTCCTCAGCCGCTATCTCGACTCTAACTTATCTTATTTTTGCTCTTGCCTCTATATCGCCCTCGTCCCGATGGGCATCATAAGGCCTGCCACACCGGGCTTTCTTGTCACTCTCGTCGCGACCATCCTTTTAGCAGTCGTCTCTTTCTCTGTTCCTTGGGTCAAATCAGTTTACTTCCTCAAGGCATCGCTCCAGGTCGAGAGTGTTAACGGGTCCATTACATTTGGTACTCTTGGTTACTGTACCACGCTCTCGAATGGAACAACATGTTCATCACCCTCTGTCGGCTATGAATACGGTTCGTTTTGCCAGCATGCACATCAGCCTGTGAAACCTCATCCTACTCCACTCAGACATCAACGCACTCGTCGGCGACGATACCTCCATCCAAATCCCCCAGGTCGTAGTTAAATGGGTCACCTACGCCCTCGTGCTTCATATCGTGGCACTCGTCCTCGCAGCCGGATCGTCCGTCTTTGGCCTTCTCGCCCACGTCCGCGAATTTTCCATGACATGCTGCAGTACCTGCATCTCCGGCTTCGCAGCCGTGATCGCACTCCTCGCATTCGTCTTCGACATCGCCTTCTTCTTCCTTGCCAAATCCCGCATCAACTCCGTCGATGGTGGCTCAGCCTCCATGGGAAACGGTATCTGGCTCACCCTCGCCGCCTGGGTCCTCCTCTTCTTCAGCGGCTGCTTCTACGGTATCGGCAAATGTTGTATCCGTCGCAACCCTCGACACCCGTACTCTAAATCTACCGACGAAGATCAGAGATGGAAGGGGAACAACGCGGCCATGCCGGGAGGGTATGAGGAGCAGATGCGTCTTGATGCCGTCAAGGCAGAAGCGGATCGCAAGGCGAGGCAGAAGCAGGGCGAAATTGGTCTGCCCGCTTTTCAAGAGTATGATCCCACGCAGCCTCTGACGACCGCTCACGAAGACGAAGAGCATTCGCTTTCCTATCATGATACGCACCCTGGTGCTGCCGCGGTGGGAGCAGGTGCCGCTGCAGGCGCTTATACCGCACGCAACGAAGGCCACTATGCTAATGGATATGCTCCCGCGCCGACGAACACCCGAGCGGTGGATGAGTACTACTCGCCATCGAATCAGACATCCAACAATGCGTACCCCCCACAACCCAGGAGACAGGGATCACAGTCCACTACCGCCTACTCCGCGTCAAACTATGGCTACGCAGGTGCTGGTGCTGCTGGTGCTGGTGCTGGTGCTGCTACGCATGATTATCTGAACACGAACCCAAGCTACGGTCATCAACAATACCCCACGCAAGCGACTGGTCAATACCCCACGGCCCATGACCAATATCCCAGCCAGGTCATATATGGCCATGCCGTAGAGTCTTCAGGTGAGTCATACCCGAATATTCTTCAGTATGCCGTTTGACTGAATGTCTGTATCAATAGCAAACTCAACGTATCCATCGAACGCCTATGCCGATCCCTACGCCGCATCTCGATCACCTCCCGTCCCCGACGCTTACAACCAAACGAACTATTACAATACCGCACCGTATACCCAAACTACCACTCCTCCCGCTCTAGGACCTCCGAGTGGCCACAACGCCGCCACAGCTGCTGCCGCCGCCGCCCTAGGTGCAGGTTCAGCCTCGGGCTCCGGCGCAAACTCCTACTACACCCCGGGTACCACAACTTCACCACCTCCAGCCACACAACCACGATCGTACACCCTCGGCGGTGGTGGCTATGGCGACAACGTCGTTCCCGAACTGCCTTCGGGTTCGTCGCTATACGGTGGAGGTGCGGCAGCAGCGTCTGGAAGCTCGTCAAGAGCACCGCAGATCAATACGGCGGTGCCCGGGGCGTCGAGTTATACGAGTCCGACGAGGGGACCGGCGGGCCCGAGGCAGCAGATGGTGTTGCATGGGAGTCCGACGAATGAGTACGAGGATAGTCCGCCGGTGTATGATGAAGGGTTGGCACAGCCTGCTGGGCAGTGGAATTCGAAACGTTGAACGTCGTGTTTTGGGCCCGAGTCTGTGCGTGTTTCTGTTTTGTCAAGGTGAGGTGGGGGTACTGACATGATGTGATTACCTTACAGGTCTCTCTCTGTTTGATCTTGTTTCTTTCCTTCTTTATCCTTCGTGTCCAGCCCTATATTATCTGCTGTGAACTTGAACTCTTCTTTTCGAGACTTTCTCTAGTTTTGTTGTCGCTGTTCGTGTCTCCGAATTACCCTCTCGTATTCTTGTCATTCGACCTGGACTTGGCTGTTTGCTACGAATGTGATGACGAATTAGGATGTATATAGGTACATAGGTTGCATATGTGATCACGGTGTCGCTGACGGACTTGAAACCTTTTGAATAATGTTTTTATAGGAAGCGTCAACTTATGTGGCACGGTGGGCAAAACTTGGGAATTGGTGTAAGTAGTTGAGTGCGCCAGACCAGTGGATCGACTAAATGTTCAAGGCTGCGTTCGCGCTTCCATTCGTGCTGCAGCTATTCGTGGGTCATTTATGGTTGACTCACTCGGGCTGGCTCTCGACTCAGACCCGATGAGGCAGATATATATCTCACAAACACGCTATATAAACATCTTCAAGGGGCTGTACCACCGTTCACACGTACTCGGACAATGCATCTCTCTCCTTCTCTGCTCTTTGACTCTCTGTATCGAGCTGACAAGCTAATACGCGGATTAAACCGACTTGTCCACAGTACTATGCCGAGTTACCGTGGACTACGACTATTATCTCTCGGTGCGTCCTTCTCGTCCTATTCAAACACGTATACGAAGCTTCCACCAGGTTAGACTGAAGAGATACGCTCATAGTAGAATTTCACATCACGATGGCTCGCCATGCAGCGCAACGACAAGTAAAGCTGTAGGCTTCGGAGTCTTATAGTAATAATGTTCTCGTCATGGTGAATCATTGCATGCGATGGGTATTTCTGACGAGAGCTTGTTTCAAGTATCTCTCATCCTCCGAGTTGCTTGGGCGGCTCTGACCTTACACTTCTCTGAGTCTCAAATGAGCCATGGGCGTGTGTTGAGAGCGGAAGTACCCTGGAGTATGGCTCGAACTGACAATAGCATCTCAGGATTGAGCGCCTGTTATTATCTTTAGGCCTTTCCGCCGTGCTCAATCGTGATTTTTAGTGAAACACAGACTTGACTGTGTTATCATTGGGGCACAAGTTCTGTGCAGATGATGAACATCCATACTGTTCCTCTCTTGAATGCTCCATACCGCTACGGTATGACCCTTATGATGGTTTTGAACACGGTTCAGTAAGACTTCTGACCCTCAGACTTCTTTCCGAGTGCTTGGTTGATGCATACCGCCCTGGATCATGGCCTGAAATGGAGAATCTTCACTTTAGGAAATAATCATTTGTTGCTTGACACTACTGTTTTATTTGTGATACTATGCCGCTAGTACGGTATGGTCTTGTCTAGCTGTTTCAGTCATGGCATCATCATGTTGCTCCTGGCAAAGAACGTGCTCTGTCCTTCCATGCCTTGAAACTTCTATAGGTGGCAGTTTCAATGTATTTCTAGTAACTACGAGCGGGTGAGAGTCCCGAAAAAAAACCATGGATGACTTGATATAAAAGTACTTCAGTCGTTCATAATTTCCATCACTCTGAGCATCTTCCTTGGATCTTCCCAACCAGCCATGTCAAACTCAACACCAGTTTTTCAAGAAATTATATCCCAGGATCAGCTATGGTCAGTTTGCAAATTTATTCACTTACACTCACTCAATGACCGTGACACTATTCTGATATCATTACATACAGGGTTATTAAGAACTACTCCTTAGTGTCCTCATCAAGTATGTTCTCTACACCCTGGTATCTTATTAGTGATATTGATATGGCCATTCATTTGCCATTCATTCAGTCTTATGGATCATTGACTTCTTCCAAACCTTGCCAATGGAGATCGACAGTGTCTGGTTGAATAAAATGAATGGCACTGCCATCATATTTCTTGTGAACCGCTATGTGTTTGCACTGTACCTCATTCTCGGTCTGGCATATGGAGTGCCCGGATCTGCTTCGGATAAGAGGTACAGTTTTCAAGTTCAAAACCAAATGATGTTATTGCATGCTCACCGATAGTCTTCTAGCTGCAACATATTAAGAGAGCTGTTCTCAACTCTACAAAATATTACACCCATTACTACTAGTTGTAAGCAAAAAAAAACACAGACTCCTGTTTCTCCTGATATTACCTCACATCTTGTTCTAGTGCTGTTTACTCTCAGAGTTTATGCCATATGTGATAAGAATAAACTTGTCCTTGGTATAGCATCAACTTTAATTCTCACAAGACTGGGCCTTGACATCTGGGTATGTGAACTTGAGGAATCACCTAGAATATAATGTATCACTCACTTTGCTGCAACTTGAATAATCATAGCAAGTCACGCCAAGAATGTCTGTGGGTGTATCTAGCATGGGAACACCATTTAAAGCATTTTCAATGTGTGCAACATCAATCAATGATCCATCTGGATATGAAACGTAAGTGTTGATGATAAACTGCACAGTTAATCTTAATTTGATTGAGCTGACCTCTGCTGACCTTCATATAGATGTAGGTTTATAGAGCATTTCAAGTTACATGTACCTTGCTTGAGACCTTTCTACATCTATTCTAGCTGCTCTTGTCACTGTGATTTTGCCGGTGGCATTTGATGCCTTTGTGTTTGCCGTTACAGTCTTCAAGGTGTATCGGCATGCTTTAGAGATGCGCAAGTTTGGTCAAATCAGTGTCACCAAAATTCTGCTTCGTGACGGTGAGGATATTACTTTGATCACTGTCTTGTAAAACTAATGGGCAGGGCAGGGACCTTTTATTTTGTGTCAGCCATATATCAGAAACATTCATTCTCTATGAAAACTTGGCTGACCATCATGTGCCTTCATCACTATGCAGTATTGTACTTGTGCTTGCAATGGCTGAATTGGCTTTGACCTTGGTATGTCATAGCAGCATTTAATCTTGAATTGATGTGCTACTGACAGTGGTGCTTCAGTCCTCCTTGATCCAAGTGAATGCTCTCATTAGTTTTCCCTCTTCAATATATCCATACTCACATTGCCTTACAGGATTTGTCTCAAGCATCAACATCGTTGGAAACTATGATGCAAGGATATAATTTCATGTGAGCTTCCTTGCATATATGTTCTATTTTTAATAGCCATTGATAATACCTAGCCTCCCAAACCTACTTGTCAATCACCTCTACCTCAATATCCGAGCATTCAACCGTTCACATTTCACCGAGCACAATGATCTTCCCCAACATTCATTTGCTCGAAACCGCTTCCTTGGTAATATTGGAGCACCTCTTGATCCCGACTGGTGGGATGCTCAGTTTGATGAAGATGATGAGGAGTTAGATAGTGAAGGGCAACTTGAAGTAAATCAGGATGGCTTGAACACAGTAGAAGGGGGTAATGGCCTAAGCACACTTGTACCAGTGGTAAGCACCCTTCTCTTTTGTGATCTGTGTGAACAATTATTGATTGTAGTATAATAAAGGTTTATGATACAGATGGGACCGGTGACATTGAAATGATCCCTATTCAGCGAGAGTGATGACTTAGCTATCTAATATTCATATGTGTGAGAGAGAGAGAGAGAGAGAGAGAGAGAGAGAGTCCAAGTGATTACCAGCCAAGACTTGTATAGAAAGAAGTAAAGAAAGCCAAGATCCAAGGAACTAATACTGTCTGAACTGAGAACACTCAAAAAAGTACAATGTGAATTGCAGAAATCTGACACAGGTAAACGTAATGAGACAATAAGTATACAGCCAAGTGGCGCAAATGCAGAAGGATAAGAAGTGGGGTAAACATTAGGTCTAGCTTTGTGTACTGAGCATAATCTGGCGAGCACAGTCCATAATCAGAGCTGATATGTGGAGGCAGAGGGGGTGTATTGGTTGCACAGAGCAATGGTCCTGATCTTGGATGACGGCTTCCAATGCAGACTTTGTGCGCAAGGTGTCTGGGTGGTCCTCTCCGAGTACTTTGCTCTGCGCCGCCAACACTCTTCGATATTCCCGCTACTTTAGTAGTGGGTCTTACAGGAAGTATCGTTTGGTTTTTGGCGGAGAATCGTGCAATTCCCTTACATGGAAATTGCTGAGTCAGAATCGGATCGGATCTTCCACGCTCCTTCCGCGCTCATCATCGCACGTGCAGGCTCGGGTGCATTTGTCTACTGTACAGTTGTGGCTGCCTCTCGCGCGTCGCCGTCTTCGTTCTGCTTTGCTTTCTGCAACGTCGTCCATCTTCGCCCATTCGCGCTACATCCAATATCATCGCTTTCTGTCTTGCTATCACTCCTCCCTCGCTCTCTGTATTCAGCCGTTTCGAGGCCTTGATGTGCTCATTCTCGTAGAAGTTACTCCGAGATCTCTTCGCGCTTTTCGCTACTGCACAAAACACAGCAAACTCTCAATGTTGCTCTCAGAACCTTCCCGCTACTCTGTTGCGCTCTGAGATCTTGTAATTCTTCCCACTGATTGTGGCTCTTACCATTCACATAAGTTTTTTCTCGGTCATATCGGGAACTTCTGGTATGGACTGGATACCTGTTCGCCCTCCACATGGGATGGGTCTTCTATACGGCCTGATGCTTCGTGTACGTCCCTTTTCCTTCTCATACATTGTCTGTCTTATGTGCTTTCGCCTCGTAGTGTTTCTCGTTACAAGTGATTGTCGCCCTCCATCTCTCCCACTGCTCGACCACCTCGGTCTTGAGCAACCACCTGCCGCCCAAGTGGGCTCTTCTGCTTCCCATGTGGGACGATTTACTGCTGCCCATGTGGGTTCTTTGTCTTCTGCTCCTTCGTCCGTCCGTTGCTGCACCTACCCATTCGTCGATGTCTGTTGATTGTAGTAATACCTGTGTATAATATTTTTGTCTCAGTTGATGGCTATTGTCAATTGGATATAGTCTCTGCTGCCCCTTCCGATACTTTGTGCATGGTTGCTCCTATATTTTGATCAACAAGCATTTGTTCCCGGTCCCTGATGATAGTTCGCTGTGCATGCATGCATCCCAATCACCAGTCGAAGAATACTGAAAGCTCGCATCACAGCACTTAGGAAGGAATATTCATGTAGTCGGCTGAGCCTTAAAATGAATGTGCTGCAAAGCTTTCGTCAAAACACGAAGGTTGGCCGCAGCTTACTCTCCCATTATTTGAGCAAATATCAATTATTATGTTCCGTGAAGTTGCATTGTCTGATGCACTGGTTGGGTAGTACGAAGCATTAAAAGTCAGTTCGTGGTCATCCTTCCAAGTAGCGGGACCTGCCGTTCACCGGCCTTACGCCTGCGTTATACCCTCTCTGCCTCCGCATATCGGCTCTGATTGTGGATTGCGATCACCAAGTCATGCTCCCTGCTCGGTGTACAAGGTGTCTGGATGCTCCTCTGAGTATGATTCACGAAGACGGACAATACACATCGAAGAACAGCGGCGACGCGCAAGAATGCCTTCGGAGGCGAACATCTACAAGCTACTACTTCGCACATCAAGTCTGAAGTTGCAACCAAAGTCCGTCAGGGCCGATATGTGCAGGCCGAAGATATGTATCGACAGGCAAGAAAGGCTCTCGGGAGGGAGTACCCGGGGAATGTACGAGATATGGCGGATCCATTCCATACCTGAACCAGGACGTATGGCGAGCAAGGATGCCAAAGGAGGGTGGAGCAGAAAATGATGGTGGAGAGGCGGGACACCAGCAGGAAAAAGCAACGGAGGAGAGTTTCGGCGGACAGGATGCTCAGCGGTCGTCTGAGGACGGGTGTTACTTCACGATCCAAGACGACTCAGGGGACGAAATCATACACGGGACAATTTCGAACGGGTTTGATACAGTTGGTGCTCGCGGAAGAAGCTTGTGCTGCATTGTTTTTGTATGTCTCGACAGCATTAATCGTAATATTCTGCGTCTCGTCTCATCACACGGAGGACGAGCAGCTCTAAAGCTCAGCCTTGGCCTTCATCTTCTTACGCTCGTCGCGAGGCTTTGGTGGCTCAGAGGATGTCATTGCGCCCAAGAAGTCGTGGATGATATCGGCGGCGGCGATGTTCGTGATGTCGGCTGTAAAATAACGTGGCGTTCAGCACCAATAACAAGATAACCAGATTCAGAGAGATACGGAAGGCATGTGATATCGGACTCACCATGATCGTAGGCGGGTGCGACTTCCACGACATCTGCGCCGCTATGGAGGAGAAAAAGGAACAAGGTATTCATCAGTATGAGATGACGCTCGCAAGGAACAGTAGGGACATACACGAAGTTAAGACCAGCAAGGCCACGGATGATACGCTTGACTTCACGGGTGGTCAAGCCTCCAATCTCAGGTGTACCGGCTGGAGTGGAAACAGACATGTAATCAGTGATTATTCTATCGGCCATGACTCGGAACCGTAACGTACTCGCAGGTGCAATACCGGGGTCAACGACGTCGATGTCCAGGCTGTAAAATCAGAGTAATAGTAAGCAATAGAATCGAAAAAGAGATTTACAAAGAGAGGACTGACGTGAGGTAAACAGGAGTATCACCGACGCGCTCACGGATCCGTTTGATGACCTCCGGAACACCCAGGTCGTCTACATCTTCTGCGGAAACGATCGTGAAACCGACGTTCTCATCGTTCTCTACGTCGGCTTCGCTCTATTGATATGAGAAACATCCAAGGTAAATTTCACGACGAAAGGGTAGGAAATTTGACAGAGGATTTGGGTGATGGAACTCACCAGCATTTTGCAACGAATGCCGGCATGGATGCTAGTGTCATTCAGCAGGAGGCCCTCCTCATGCGCCACATAGAAGAAACTTCCGTGGGTGACGGAATCTTTGGGTGCTCCAGGGACTGGGAGACTGCCCCAGGTATCGAGATGCGCATCAAAGTGAATAACGGAGACAGGACCGTAGACTTTGTAGAGGGAACGAAGGATGGGGAGAACGATGGTGTGATCACCTCCGAGACTGTCGGTCCCAAACGAACGTTAGTGTCTATTTAATTATGGGGACATAGAGATAACACATACGTGATCACTTTCGGATGAACCGCACCGTCCTTGGCCAGTATAGGCCTGTTGGGGACGAGGTCGCCACCCTTCGCCACAGGACGTGCGAGGAGGGTGTCATACGCGACCTCCATTTGATCCAACGCGAGCAGGTTGTCGTACGCGCTCAGCGGAATCTACGGAACAAGGGTATACTCAGTTCGCCGCGGCTATTCGAAAACGTCTCAGGAGAACGGGACGCACGTCGCCACAATCCATGACCTTAATTCCGGCGTACGGGTCCATGCCCCAGGCCAACGAATATGCCCTCTGTCCATGTTGCCTCCTCGATCCCAACCGGATTCCGTGCGGTCCAAACCTTGCGCCGGGTCTGAAAGATGTCGCGGTATCGAAAGGCATACCCAGAATCGCAACATCGTAGTCCACCGACTGGTCCTCGAGACATCTCGCGTATTCCAGGTGAGAGAACGCGAGAGGGCCGGTGTAGCCTAGGTCAGCTTGTTTGCCGTACTTGGCAAGCCATGACTGGGGCTCTTTTGAGTCAGCGTTCACGAAAGCGAGAGGAGGGGCGGATGGGGGTGAGAGAGGTAGAGTTGGCCGGGGTACAAAGTCAAGAGGAGAGCCAAGAGGAGCTTGAGCATTGTCAGTCCCGACATCGGGAGTTGAGCGCGAGACCACAGCCTGGATGAAGACGAGTGCAAGTGCGGACTTGATCATGGTCTGTCCTCAGATGGATGAACAAGACAGTGAAGTCGAGGGTGAGGCCGATGACTGTAGGCATGGCGCTCTCTGTGATTTTATAGAACCGGGGGAGGATGGAGATAGCATGGGTAGATAAGCCGAAAACATTTGCCCTCTGCTTCCTCTCGGCCGCGGCCGCGGAAGTGGAACCGCACGCCTCCTGTGGCGATTGCTGTGGCCCACATATTTATGAAGAGTCGCACAACATGTAAAACAACAATTCATAGAATATGACGGTAGATACACATAAAATCGTACAGCTCCCACATCAAGCTAGGGGAATTACACGCACCCAAACAAGTCTCTGATTGTCTGCTATAGAGACACGGGCACTAATCTTTACTTGCCGCCCTGCTTCCTCGCCGACGTCCTGAGCGGCACGACCTCCCACATCCTCCTAATCCTCGCCTTATCCCCCAGCTCCTTGACGTCCTCCTCCGTGAAACCTATCACCTTCACCTTCCTGACATCCTCCGGCGAATCATCTACCTCCGCATCCTCCCCCCTATCCCTCTCCTCCAACTCATCCTCCCTCAAATTAAACTCCTCGTTCAACTTCTGCTCACTCTGGGCACCGGGTGAGAAGAGGCTCAACGGAGACCGAAGTGCGGAGGAGAGGACTTCGGAGGCGTCATCCATGAAAGAACGAGGCTTGCGCATCGGCATCGCGGTGAGGTTGTATGATTTCGTGCGCCAGACGTTGTTGCTGGACGAAGGAGGGTCGGGGTAGGCGGGGTCGGCTTCGAATGTGATGGAGATTTCGCCGGTTTTTTCGGAGTAGCGGAATTGTGGGACGGGGTGGGAGTAGTGGTTCGGGTACGGGTAGGAGACTGGTCGGCGGTGGCGAAGAACGAGGCCTTCGTCTGAACGGGATACAGTCAGCTCGATGAGATTGAGACTGTCAGGTGGTGCACTTTGATTTATGCTTACTCTCGACGTCGATAGCATGGCCGGAAGACCGAGAACACAAGGCGCCCTCAGTCGAGATGAAGAACACTTGATTGTTCGACTCAGGTATACGGAACGCTGACGTCGTTGTAGTCGGATCCCGTCAGTTCATAGTAAACCCTCGAAAGACAGGAACAACATACATTCAACTAATGACTGCTCTCTCTGCGGAAACAAAAGCACCTCAGTCCCATCCTCCGACTCGTCCATCTTCACATCAAGCAACCTGTTCATCGCCACCGAGCGAATGATGAAGTATCCTTGTGGAAAGCCATAGTTGTCCAATTCTGCGGTGGCGGTCATGCTCTCAGTGTTGGCAGTAAAAGTGCTAGTGATGTCTCGATGGGCTGGGCAGAGACGGTGGTGGTTGTAGATAGAGAAACAATACAGATATCCCGGTTAGTGCGCATACTCGGCGCTCAAACGGCTCAAGGCTGTTCACTATTCCAGCTCGGACTGGCCGAAGCCACCGGTGGCGTTTATGACCCCTGTCGGACGCCACACACAGCCTCGTCGGTCGCACAATACAAAAATGGACATTGTGATTATTGAGTATTTTGGTCGTAAAAATGGCCGTCAAGTAGAGTATGAGAAAAGGCAATCATAAGAGGATAAGGAAAGCAGTGTACTAAGCAAACCGATGAGCATCATAAAACATAAAACATAAGCATGAAACGATAACGATACACCAGAAAGAGTTCGCCTTGACTTCATGGCATGGAACAGTCCAAGGACAGAGATAGAGGGAATAAAAGAGATGTTTGTCGTGAAAGAACGTGTAACGAGTTGGCGAGACGACTGAGCCCGCAGTGAGAAATGATATGTTTTTTTCGTGCAGAAGCCCGTATTCGGGTCTGACCTTGGATTTTGACGCGACTTGTGTTGTTACAATGCCTTGTTGCGGCTAATGTGAGAGGAAGGGACGTACCTATGTTAGAGCACGAGCAGTCAAAAGCAAAACACGACGCACCGATATTGGCCCGCTCAGATACCAGCGAACATCCTTTTGAAGCAATCCGCCAAATCAAAATCGGCGAAGAAACTCGACCGCTTCTTCTCCTTCTTCCCCTCCTTTTCGTCGCCCTTGACGACGGCCTCTTCGTCATCGACGAGCGTACTACTCGAGCTCGCCGCGTCCGACGACGTCGACCCGTCATAGTCCGACTCTGTCGTGGTTGGGCTCCCGCAGAAACTTCCCTTACTGCTAACGGAAGAGACAGGCGACGAACTCGCAGAGAAGGACTGGAGGAGGTCTTCGTACATGGTCTGTACAGACAAATGTAGCGAACAAAAGGGCAGCAACAGTCAGACGGAGCACGTACAAAAAGAAAGGAAGGCAGATGAAAGCAACTCACGACGCTGTCCCGCGGGTTGGAGCCAAACATCCCAAAGGCATTCGGCCCGGTAGTGGAAATGGGGAACAAAGACGAGAAGGCTGAGGAGGATTCGGCGTGCATGGTGGCTGGGTGGTGGGTGTGGACTGACGATTGAGTCTCGAGACTGAATGCTCTGAAAGACGGAGGATGATGGTATAGATAGATAGGTTACGCGCGAGGGATTCGAGGCAGAGCAGTCGCAGAATACTGGGAGATTTCCCCCTTGCACCGGGCCTTATGAATGCACGAGAAGCCACGCGTCGCCCACAAACAGATCGCCCAAAACGGACGTGTCTTTGCGCGTGTTGCCTCGCTCGGAATAACGATTGCCGCGATCGAGCCTAGATGCATGAGCCGCGAAGCCAGCGAGTGTTGACATCGTTATGGGGACTGACGTTCACTTTACGACTCATCCATAAATATTACGAGTCACCCAGCGACGAGCTAGTGAGTAGCGTTTGAGCTGTCGAATTCACAGGGATCACAGTAACTTGTTCCCTGCGTATCAAGAACAACGTGTATCCCTAGCGGGAACAAACGTCATCAGCGACGGTACATTATTTGGGAAATAGAGCGGTGTCACGACACTGACCTGAGCACCAGTGCGGAGAAGAACAAAGTCGCGAAGGAGATCCGTAGGATTGGGAACAACGCGAACGGCATTCTCGGACATCTCTGCCGAATTTCCGCTATTCATCCCAAATTGGGACACAACACTGACCTCTGTACTGCAGCTCATACACTTACGCAAAATTGAGGTATGAAATCCGATTGGAACCGATGGGGGGACTATATGTACATAACGACTACACGGTGATGACAGGGAAAGATACAGCGAACAGAACTCACATGGGGCAATTAGGAGCGCATCCCACCCAAGCTTCTAGGCAAACACTCAAATAACCTCATCGTCGTCTTCTGCCCACCTACCAGGGAGCCTCCTCGACGCCTTCTGTTTCTGCCTCTCTTTCTCCTCTTTCTCTAGCTTCTGCCGCGTAACCCAGTCCTCCAACGCTCCGGGCACTTTTGAGAGACCCTTCCATTCATGGCGGGCGATGGTGCTCCCAGTGCCGTTACGTCGACTCTCCCAGCCAGCACTGAACAGCACAGGCTCCTGATGGCCACAGAAAAACAAGCTATGTGAGTGATGTACGACTATGGCGAATATTAATGGTACTGACCCGGGTATGCCAGCTAACGTCGCGTACACAGACAATGTCACCTGCACCGTCGGTCGATGGGGGCTCGGGTCCTGATGGGTCGAAAGCCATGGGTAGTGTACGCGAACGGTCAAGAACTTGAACAATACGCCCATCCAGAGACCAGATCTGATGCGAAACATATGAGACCTAGCCATGTATTCGTCAAGTGGGTATCCTGTACTCACATGGATACGTCCGTCCGCAGAACCAGAGTAGATATACTGTGACCCAGTTGTCTCCGCTGGACTGAAGTGACAGCGAATGAGCGTGGACATCACACTATGACCACGGTACGTCATGACACTGCAGTCTTGGGGATGAGCCTTGACTTTCGGTCTTGGATAGTAACTATACCTGTGGGCGAGAAATGATGTCGAATAAGGAAAATGAAAAAAAAAAAAATCTATTGGTTGTACCGGAAAGCTCACCGATAGTCGAAGTTGGGGATCCCGTAGTCATGGTCTGCCACTGCCTCGTATTCAGCGTTACTCCGCATCTTGCGCAGATCCCATAATCGTAGTGCTTGGTCCTTGCCGTTCGAGATGATATATCGTCCGTCTCCCTTTGCCGATACATTTGTGATACCTTCTGTGTGCCCAATCAGGACACCAGAGGGGGTCTGGGAGGACCCAAGAGACCGACGATCCCTAAACGAGGTTGAGTCTGCGCGACTTGAGATTAAAGAGTGAAATTGCACTCACCAGACCTTCAAGAAGGTATCATCCGAAGCGCTAACGAGGACGTTGCCTGAGGCAGTGTCAGCCCAGCAACAGCTATTCACATCATCGGCGTGTGCGTCGATCTTGACCGTACGACGATCGGCAAGCAAGTCGTAGACTATCACAGTGTAAGTTGAAAGTCCACAGTAAACCACAATCTAAGACGAGACATACCAAATATCCGTCCGCTTCCGCCTGCAATGACCTCATTTCCGTCAGCAGAAAAGCGGCAGGAATAGATGCCGAAGCTTTCTTCGTAACCCCAAAGCGATTGTCCTCTACGTGAATCGGCCAGCTGGATTGCATGCTGAGCTGTGGACGCATCGCGGGTAGTGGCAAGGTAGACAGTCGGGGTCTGATTGAGTTCGTCAACACAGGCGTTCGATGAAGTTAGGATGCATGCTGACCAGGGACGAGTAGATGATCCTGTGGTAAAGAAAGTAAGAGACATGGCTACTGTGATCAATTCGATTTTTGCTGACCTTTCGTTGTCTGGGCTTAGATGCGAGTCAGTGATAGTCCATCGTCCAGGCATTCCATTGATCGTTTTGTGAACTTTCAGCGTCGTTTGGTGGTCTGCCGCACCGAACGTTCTGCGGAAAGGGATGGTAGGCGCAGGCATCGGAGGTGCGGTCATGTCATACACATGCAATCGAAAGTCTGCGGTGCTAGTAAGCTTCTACATGAATGAACGAGATAAAAGGGTGTACCTTGACAGCATGTATAGTAAAAGCTCGAATCTGTCCACGTGAATGAGTCGCCTGCCTGTAGATACGTTACCGAAACCCACCTGCTGAAAACTGGGCAGAGTATATATTATGATCATAGCCTATGATGTTAACGCCGTTTGTGTTTGGGACCAATTCCTGTAAAATACATTCATGAAACAAACAGTGATCCAGAACAAGACAGAAACTTACACTGGTGTAGTCTTCTTTGTACGTCCGCCGTGTCCGAGTACCTCTAGTGTTAAGTATCTTTGCCACATTGCGGACTCCGTGCCGGGCGTTTAGTTTTGGAGTCACCCGTCCGTATTCGCCGCTAGCGATAAGCTCAACTCCAGTGTCCTGCGGCTCTACCACCGGTTCATACCAGCGTTTGTGAGGAGCACTATCTGGTCGCCGATACCATCCATAATAGAAGTTGTCTTCTGGGTCATCGTCCTCTTCCTCTTCATCGTCAGAAATTGGAGCCGCTCGTTGAGCCTGAGCGCGAGTCTGATGCCGATGGCTAGCACTGACGGTGCTGTTGCCGGATTGCTGAATGACACGAACGGGCTGGGAGAAGAGCATCTGAAGAAGAGAAAGAGACATTCTAGAGGAAGTCGATGAATCAACTACGGCAGGCTGGGAAGAATCCGCACCACCCGCAGGTGCATTTGCGAGTTGCTCAAGCTCTGTCATGTCTAGATACCGATGATGAGTAGGAATAGGGGCCTTCTGGAGGACCGAGCGTACTGTTCAAGATGTTCAATACAGGATTGCCACCTTCAGTACCGTCCTCCATAGCTTGTGTATCATGAATAGCTTCGGCTAAGTCATCCTGCAATTCCTGGAAATCATCCTCGTAGTCAGGTTGTATATCGTCAAGTTCCTCGTCTTCATCGTCTTCATCGAATCCTGGAGCGTAGTCGCCGTCGTCTTCTTCTTCGCCGTGCATCTCCCAGTCGGGTTCGCTGCGTTCCATGTAACGGTGGACAGAGTATGTGAGGGAACGGAAGGAAGGTGGATGATGGTGGGCCTGAGAGATGCATGCTTGCTGAGCGCTGAGCAAAGCAATCGGGCGGCGCGACAACTCCATAAAGCACCCACAACTTCTTCGGCTACCGGCACCGCCCACCCGGTTCAGGCTCCGTTCTAAAAACCCCTCGGCGGTGGCGCCGTGGTGGCTGAGCGCGGCTTCACTTGCAACTCTCAACTCCTTCCAACTATCCATTGTCCTCTCCACCACTCCCGCGGCATCCTCCTCCCAAACATCCATTGTACCGCTTCAGTACATATAGAGCTCTATACATTGCTCCCCATGACTTCTGCTCCCATTCTCATGACGGCAGACGAGATCAATTGTCTTATACATCAATATTTTCTCGATTCTGGTGAGCTCCCTCCAGCGCGCTCATTTTGTGCCGACGCTCACTCCACACAACTCGTTCCTCCGTAGGTTTTAACCACTCCGCCTTCTCTCTACGAGCAGAAGGCCGCTTGGAGCAGTCAGCCAACTTTCAGAAGATCATCCCTCGAGGCGAACTTGTTGAACTTCTTAGCAAGGCTCAGCTCTATCGCGAAGTTGAAGCTCACTGGACCGGAGACTCATTGATCACAAACTGCAAGACACGCTTCTCCCTTCTTGAGGACCATGTCTGCTCCCACGATGGCAAACTCACGATGTGCAACACCATTCCTGCACCACTCATTGAGAAGGACCTGCGCACAATACCTATGCACATGTTGGACCCTTCGGTGAAGAGGAAGGCTGGCACGCCTTTAGACGAATTGAGGTCGGAAAAGAAGGCGAGAAAGGATGATGATTTGCGATCGTCAACAGCACAATCTACTCCACAACCAGAACGTACGTCCGACCCCTTTCCATGTTATATTTATCCCTCAAACGTCTGTATTCCTAGCTTCTGCCTTGAGGACGGTCACCAACGACAGCCGAGGGTCCTCGACGGATGTCACGCAGACAGACACTGTGGTATTAGATCGCTCTCACCCCAGGAAAGTTAAGCCGGTGAAATCCTTCGATGGCGATCGAGGCCCTGTCAGCATCCATATGTTAGAGGGACACAAGACCGAGGTATGCATACCATGTTCGCCACACACACTCCTGCTAAACTCTTTGTGGTGTTGTGATTTGCCATAGGTCTTTGTCTGTGCATGGAATCCTATTCAGCCTAGTATACTGGCGTCAGGGTAAGCAAATTTATACATGTCATCTTCTCTCGTCTCATCTGCGTGTGCGTTCAAACAGATCCAAGGACACCGTCGTTCAATTATGGGATGTCCCACTATCACCTCAAAGCTCGGTTCCTCCAAATTCTCGGCGAACGGTAGTGCACATGCGACAAAATGAGCAAGGCGACTTGACTTCGTTAGATTGGAATCACGATGGTACTCTGCTCGCAATAGGCTCATACGACTCGATCCTGCGTGTGTGCAAGCCCAGTGGCGAGATAGACTTTGCGCTTTCTCAACATGAGGTTAGTCCATTTTTCATCATTGCTCGCTACTCTCACTGACCACGACATTTTCCGAACATCCACCAGGGTCCAATATTTGCCACTAGATTTTCGCCGTCAGGCAAATGGCTATTGACGGCCAGCCTGGACAACACCGTGGGTATTTGGGATGTCAAGAACAAGTCTTTACACTCGCGACAGAAGTGCCACACAGGTATATCCTCTTACGTATGTGTATGTGTGACGTAGCACCTGATGGTTCAACCATAGATTGCTGTCTGGACGTGGACTGGCTCGATGACGAAATCTACACGAGTTGCGGCGCGGATCATCTGATATTCATCTCGAAGGTTGGGGAGACAACACCATTAAAGAAATTGGTGTGAGTATTCTACACATTTCCTTTCGAGCTACATTTATCTGATGCCCTCGAGCAGTGGACACTCGAACGAAATCAATCAGGTCAAGGTCAACAAATCGCGGAGGCTCTTGGCTTCATGCTCAGACGACTGGACTGCTCGTATATGGAAGACCTCGGTAGTTCAAGAGACTGGGTTCGTCTGCGATACCGCCATCGTGTTGGAAGGGCATCGAAATCAAGTGAGCGGCATAATGTGGTGTCCACCTGGCGGCCCAAATGACCCCGAGATACTGGCCACGTATGTGTACTGTCTCATAATTTGCACCGGTATGATGTGACTGATGAATTGCATAGACTTTCATTCGACACTACCTCGCGGCTTTGGGACGCAACTACTGGTGCTTGCCTTAGAGTTTTCACGAATCACAAGCGAGCGATCTTCACACTTGCCTTCTGCCCCGACGGTCGATGGATGGCTACTGGTGGCGGAGACGGCTGGGTGTTCGTGTACGATGTGAAGGTTAGCCGTTTTTGATAGTCATCAAATGACCTATACCTGATGTTTTGTACCCCCTTGTCTTTGAAAATAGGAGAGGGAGAAGGTATGGTCATGGCGTTCAGAGTCGACACGACGGGGTATCTTCGAGTTGGACTGGCAGCAAGTGGGCGACGTGAGTCGAATCGCTGTGGCTTCCGAATCCAAGCAGGTGGGCGTGATAGATGTTTCTGCCATCTGCAAGAGCACTTGAATGGCTTGTTTGGTTGCGATTATGTGCATCTGTTATTGCAGTATTTATTTACGGCGGATGCCACCATGAGTATACCCCAAGCATTGGAAAGCCTACTCTTACTACCTATTATTACTGTATTGCTCTGCGGATTGCACTGCGGATTGCACACTGTAATGCAACGCACACTCCCGCTTCGAGGTCGCGGGGGCGAGGAATAGCAATGATCCGAGTGGACGACAGGAGAATGAACTGGAAGTTTGGCCCGATCGGCGATCGAGTGATGTAATTCGTATGCCGAGCTTGCGCGTAGAGCCGGGCGCAGGTATATAAACCACCTGCTCACATCTCTGCCCTCAGCCTTTACTTCAGCCTTCTTCTTGACCCACACTTCTGCCTTCGCTATGTTTCGAGTCGGCGTATTTGCGCCTCTCTCCAAGCAAGCCGCTACCCGTGTCAGCGCACGGACATTCACGAGTGGCCCAAGGCCAAGTCTCATCCTCAATGCGCTTCGCGCAAAGCGTCCAAATGTCTTCGCGAACTCAACTTTTGGGAAAGGGGCCACTCGGGGGTTCATGAACGACCCCGTGGTCGCGCGACCGTCACCTCAGGAGGCGTGGAAGCGATATGCCATGACCGCTGTGAGTAGACTGACCTCGCTATCCCGACAAGAGACTCATGGCTGCGATGGATGTATAGGGTGCTGTCGCTGTCACTATCGTTGGTGCTGAAGCCTTCTTGAACCGCGATACTCGCGATCCTCTCAGTCCTGCGGAACAGTCATATCTCCATCAATCCTTTGCATACACTGGCGGAGGATTGGCCCTTACCGCATTAGCTGCGAGGAGTATGTTCACTGCTGGCTTGCCCTTTCGGATTATGTCTGCGAATCCTTGTGAGTGTCGACTTTCTAGGTTGCACCGGATTCCATGCTGATGTCATTTGAAGGGCTTGTTCTTGGCGTCAGTCTTGTCGGTAGTATTGGGACCATGATGGGTGTCATGTACACTCCTCCAGAAAACACCGTTCAGAAGCACCTGTTCTGGCTCGTAAGTTGACTTCATCGTAGTTAATATCGTACTTGACTGACATGCACATCAGGCCTTCAACGCATGCCAAGCGGCCACCCTCAGTCCCCTCTTCTTCGTGAACCCAGCCGTCCTTTCTCGTGCAGCCCTCTACACATGCGGTGTTGTCGGATCCTTATCCTATGTTGGAGCCACGGCCAAGTATGTCCTCACCGAGTCAAGTCAAACTTAACATGCCTCACTGACTTTGTTTACTCGACAGAAATGACAAGTACCTCTACATGGGTGGTCCCCTTCTTGCTGGTGTTACCGTCGTCGCTTTGAGTTCGTTGGCTCCTATGGCCTTGCCTCTCGGTATGCGCGGTTTGGCTATCGCCGAGTCTATCTCCCTCTACGGTGGTCTCGCTGTCTTCAGTGGTTTCGTTCTCTACGAGTACGTTTATTTCATCCCATCGATTCTGTCAGACAATTTCTGACTCTATCACAGTACGCAGAAGATCCTGAACCATGCTCGTCTCGCCGAGCGTGGCGTCATCCCAGCTGACCCGATGAAGGAGTCTATCAGCCTTGAACTCGACATGATTAATATCTTGTCAGTACCTCTCTCTGCCCTGATTGTTTCAAACTATCCGCTAACTCTTTCGTTCAGTATTCGTCTCGTGCAAATCCTTAGCATGTCGGGTAACAGGAAGAAGTAGGCGTTCCTTAGGCGAGGTAGTTGGGTTGTGATTGTGTACGATGTTCTGTTTTCTGTACTTGTACGCGACTTTCTTTTGCTTTGATCTGACGACCTTCAATGGTTCTTTTTTCATCCCCGCTCAACCATCGTTCGGCTTGGATCGACGAATAACGTGGTGGTGATGAAACAACAGGGGTTTATTGGCATACAGATCGTCACATCATCCTGTTTGATCTCCTGCACAGAGGCTACAGCGAAGACAAAACCAAACTCAACCCACAGCAGTCCTACAGCCCCAGACGTCTCCTGTACTTGATGAAAGCCACCAAATTATCCCGAACCTCCTCTCCCCTAAGCTTCAGCTCACGGCCTCCTTCCTTTTTCCTGTCGATACCCTTCACTGCCTTCCTCACAGCCTCAACGGACCCCGTGAGCGTATCCAGATAGTTTCCTTGCCTGAAATTCACGTCGTATGGCATGGTCTCGTCGGAGTAGATATCTATCAGAGCAGATAGGGCTTGTAGCATAGGTTCCGTGCCCACGGGCGAAGGTGATGTAGGGCTCGGAAGCAAAGAGATGAAGTAGGCAGATATGACCTAGTCGGTAGGACGTCAGCGAGAGGCTAGCAGATCAAATGGGGACGCTGCTCACCCGATTAGCGTCTATTGACTGTGGGTGTTGTGCAAGGCTCTCCAGGGTGCCGATGCACTTGACCTTGACAGCCTCGCTTTTTGTACTATCGCAAAGCTGAATGAGTACTTTTAAGTGGTCTTCTTGTGGGACCTTTACAATATGCGTATTAGTTAGCAGCTCCTTCCAGCGGGTTGACAAGGCAGCATTAATACTTACCATCTTCCCCGTCCACACGATCCCGACGCCCCACAGAACGCCCACCGCGATCTCCCATACCTCAGTCTTCTTCTCCTGCCCCAATCCACCACCAGTGCCGGTAGCACTCAGAGCGTTCCACAACGCCTCCCAGACCCGGGTACCAGATTCAAGATCAGCAGCGACGGCAGGATTGACATTGGCAGCGAGGGAGAGGAACGCGTTGTTCAGACACTCTAATGCAGATATGTGAATTGAACTGAGCACGGATGTCGTTGGCGGGTGGGGTGAGAGTGCGTTGGGTGGAGGGAATGAGAGTGATGTGGGTTGTATAAGTGAGAGGAGTGGTTGAAGGAGAGTGGGCAGGAATGAAGCGCTCGAAGACGTTGGCCCGTTAGTTAATGGTGCGCTTTCAGTGGCAGCAGGCACATCTGCAGACTCGTCCATAGCATCGTCTGCAACGTCGTCATCAGTACTTGAGCGAAATCACGTGGGACGAAGTGGCCTACCTTCAGCATCTTCTTCCTCGTCCTCCTCGATTTCCTCTTCCTCGCCTTCGAAGGCTTCAGGTTCCGGAAGTGTGGCACAGACCCCTGTTAAGATCTCCAGTGCTAGATGCACGGTCCTGAGCATGGTCTCGATTCTATCCAGCTCGATCTCGGTCGGAGTCCTGTGGTCAGACTTAGGAGCGCCTTTTACGGACTTTTCTTCCTTTGGCTCTACGGCCTGAAAATCTCGTCAGCCAGATATTAGGTCATTAATGCGAGGAGGGGGTACATACCTGCTGCTGCACGAGCACTTCTACAGCGTGTGATGCGTCAGATAGCGAAACTGCTGAAACGACGGGTACGAGTACGGGGAGCACTACGTCCTTGTCGAGGTCTAACGCAGCGACAGCCGACGGTGGTGGGAGTGGTGCCACATTCCGAAGAATGCCTGTGGTCCGTTTCGTCAGCATAATGGACGTCAGGAGACGTCGAAAAACGCAAAACATACCACAAGCAAGCACGCAGAGCGTAATCGCGCGCTCCTCGGCCTTCACAGATTTTCCTTTCGCGGTTGGGAGACTTGCTCTCGTCTGTGCGATCTCCAACAAACAGGCAGAGTAAGCAGAGTTTGTCTTGATCTGGACGCTAGCTGGGTAGTTGTCGTCGGTAAGAACGTAAAGACATTGTGCTGAGAAGAAGTGTACGCTGTTAGCCTATCTAGCTACGCCACATTTCAAGGAATCGACACACCTGCTGATGTCACGGTCGTGAGTGGGAGATTCTCGCGAGATACGAGAAAGGACATGAGAAATGGTACTAGTGAGAGCTGGTTGACCGCAGTCAACGCTTTATGGGACGTCTCACTGCAAAGCTTGAGCAACTGTGGCGCCGAGAATGAATTGGAAAGGGACTCACGAGAGGCACCATAGGATCGTGATCACATTATCGGCAAACTCGTAGACTACTTTTTGTGCATTCTCCGGAGCAGATTTGGGCGACTCGAGATACTGGGCTAGGGTTGTCGAGATCTCAAACCGAAGTCAGGCCGGAGGTCCGCGAGGATTGGTTCGAGACGTGAAGTCACCTTGGGTATGAAAGTCTGAAGGGGGGCGATAATATTCTTGTTGTACATTTCGGCACAGATATCGTATCCGCCGTCGATACATAAATTACTAGTCTCACGGCAATATGAAGACATGAAGGTACCGGTTATGTACAGGAACGTAGCGTACCGTAAAGAACCAGCAGCTTCTACGACAACCTCCTCTTCACTATCGGAGAGTCTGCTAATCAGAGCGCCGACGATATTCTTCCCCTGTAGTAGCCTTCGTGTGGAGGGGTCGTTGTTAATCAGGTTGGAGATGGCCACACAGGACCATCTTCGCTCGGCGGGATCGGCGCTCTCCAGCTGTAGAAAAAGAATGTGATGTAAGGTCCGTGACCAGGAGAGTAAGAATTAGTCCACGCACTTTTTGCATGATGGGTAGGATAGCTTCATTTTTTGACGAAGAAGAGGATGCAGACGCAAGACCTTTCGGAAGATGAGAGTCGGGAACTCGCATAGGATTATGCCGTCGCATAGATCTTTTTTTCTGGGATTTTCCCATCGTGATGTCAAGTGCTCAGAGGGCTCTAGTAGCAGTAGCTCGGCAGATATTTACAGAGATTCTGTAATGAGCAGAGCAGTGATGGTGCAGCAGCAAGGGGACTGGTAGAAATTTGTGGCCCACGACCGCACGTGGTCGTAAGGAATTTGAAATAGTGCGAAGTCGCCTATGAATTCCGATTTTGGTTGCTCATTCTTCTTTCCGGCTACTGGCAGTATACTTGGTCTCCAAATATTGCTCGACCGTCACTGACATCTGGCTAAATACTTGTTGCTGCTACGTTATACTTAACGTCTCCCTGGTGTCTTGCCATTGCCAGTCGGACCTCCCCACAACCTCATCAGACAGCAGCAACACCTCCGTCATCATTCAGGTCCTGCGGGCACCCCACTGAGATTGATCTGCATATCCTCGATCGGCTCTGGGCAGGTTTATTGCGAAATTGTTGTGAACACATGCTCATTCCAAGCCTCGCCTGCTCCTCAATGTCTCCACCCTCCCACAGCCGTCTGCCGTGATGTATCCGCAAGCCTATGCAGGGACAGTCTGTGTCATCCGGTGATGGTATGTGTGCCCACGGAACTGCGAAAGTGAAACAGGCTGCACCAGTAGGTTACTCATTTTCCCTTTTGTGCTAATTCGGTGTTCCCCGCCCATTAAACATGGTCTCACTTGAGCTCCAAAACCAATAAAATGATGATGTAGTCGGTGACGGTGGCAATGTGGCGTTTATCGAGCCGTAACGCTATACGTTACATCATCCTTGAGGGGCTCCTTATCCTCCTCATAGTATATATGTGCCCACCGGCTCGTCTCAACGTAAACTACTACATGAACTTGCACCATATCCCAACCTTCCCCACAAACGCCAGATCTCAACCATGTTACCGAGAAGATACCCAATGTTTCCCCTACGGTTCTTATCCCCGATGACCCTTCAGCGGCGCTCATTGGTCACGCTGAGAGACCATATTGTACGTCGGCCCATCGTCAATTCGACCTGTGGCTCTCCTACTTACCGACCTCCCAGTCTGTCACGCAGGCGACCGCAGAAGGAAATGGTCGATCAGGGCATGTATACACCACCGGACGCGACCCACCATTAGACCTTCGCATGCATCCCTCGAAGGACTTGGGTGGTGTCGGTCGCGGTCATAACCCAGAACAGCTTTTCGCCATGGCATATTCTTGTTCGTGAATTCTTTCCCTCTACGCACACAAAGACACGCTACTTACCTTTACCTACGCCTGCTGCCTATAGCATGTTTCCTTGAGAGCCTGCAGAACTCGCTGTGTCGACAAGGAAAGGGGGACGCCGCTCCTGATGTCAAGGTACACACAAGTGTATATATGGGACACTATACCGACTCGCCGCAATTAGGCCTCAAAGTCCATGTCACTATCGAAGGAGTGGAGGACGACGATGCTATAATCGAAGCGCAGAAGGTCAGTTCGTTAACTTTCCCACCTCCCTGACCTCGATTGAACTATCTCCTTTAGAAATGTATGTACAGTCGGGCCCTGATGGAGGGCATCGAAGTCAAGCTCATGAAAGCTTAGATGTTGGGCGAAGCAGAAGTAGATATTCTAGAACAATGAATATAGGATGTATTATAGTATGTTCACCCACAATGATAACCAGTCGCCGTTATACATTACGCCAACGATACTTCTGACGTCTCTAATGCGAATACGCCGACTTTCGTTGCAACCTCATTCATACCTTTCACCTCACTCCTCGTGAAAGGAATCCCTTGCTTTTCTCTCTGACGTTGCATGACAGCCTCTTTCTCTCCAGGAAACCATATTCTATCGACCCCTTCCCTCTTTTCACCTCCAGTCACCCTCGCATATAGCTCTCCCAGCCTCTCCCTAAATTCCTTCTCTCCACCGTCCAAAAACATCCCCGCCTTCATCACAAAAATAAAATGCCCCACCCCCGCATTCGTACTCAACCCTCTCTCCGACGCATCATACGGTCCCACCACGTCCCCACCAAAGCTTGCCCCCGTCAACACTCCCGAAAACACATCCATCATCAACGCCAACCCAGACCCCTTCGGCCCCGCCATCGGTAACATTACTCCCTTCAACGCCTCCTGCGGGTCCGTTGTCGGCCGCCCCTCCGCATCCAACGCCCAATCATCCGGTATCTGTTCTCCCCTCCTCAAAGCCTTATGCACCTTCCCCCTCGCCGCCACACTCGGCGCCATATCCAACACGAAATCCTCCCCACCTATCCTGTTCCCCTCCGCATCCACACCCTTATCCGGACCCGGCGCACCGGCCGCGATGGGACTAACACCAAGCAGCTGCGTCATGGAACCGAACGCCGGCATGGCCGGGGACGAGTTCGTGAACACGAGCGCGCAGAGGCCTTCGCGGACGGCTTGGAGGACGTAGGACGCGCTCATGCCGAAATGGTTGCTGTTCCGGACGGAGACGAGGCCGAGGCCACTGGCTTTGGCCATGCGGATGGCGGCGAGCATGCCGTGATGCGCGACGAGGTGGCCGAAGGCGTTTTGGCCGTCGAGGAGGGCGATGGAGGGACCGAGGGGTTTGAGGGTCGGTGTGGCGGTTGGGGAGATGAGGTTTTTTTCGAGTCGGGTGGAGTAGGGGATCTGCCATGGGATGGGTCGTGAAGATTTGATTATTGTGTCAGTGACAGACAGATAAAATCAGCGTGTTGCGCTCTGTTGTCTTACCAGACGATTCTATCATATAGAGGAGGGGATAGTACTAGGTCAGAAACCACGACGAATACATGTGTATGGGTGGCTTAAACTCGAGCAGTGACGCACCATGCCATGCGTATCCACACCTCTCAAATCAGCCTCGACAAGGTATCCAGCAATGATCCTTGCATTCTCGGACGAGATTCCATACTTCTCCAATACCGCAGCCGTAAACGTCCGCGCAGAATCGGCAGCCACGTAGACCAGTTCGTGTTCGCTCATCCTGGTGACTTCGTACGGGACCGTGGCTCCAGTGGTGGCCAAGTAACTACTTACGTGTACTATAATGAAACTGGGCTGATCCGTCAAAGATCTTGCCTTTTCCAGAATTCGCAAAAGAGTAGGTAAATATTAGTATGGCGATCGTCAGAAGACATGGACGTACCAGGGTCGTAGTTTGCGTCGAAGTCGACCTCGACTCGGATGTGCGATGGGATCAAATTGGGCTGGAATAGGGGCTTCAAGTTACCGTCGCCACAAGAAGTTCTGCTCTTTATACGAACCAATGTGGACGTCAGGACACGCACTTATATGCCCTTCCGCCTCTTATCTTCTCAATCAGTACGAAGCCACAGTGACGAATCGTACGCTTTCCAAAAGTTGTTGGCGTAGCTCTCAATCATGTGACACGATATAAATAGACTAAGTGATAGGAGGACGATGGCGCCACAGCTCGCATTCGGCGATAATCATCGTCACGTTGATAGATGGAACCAAGTAGCAGTCAATATGATAGGATTCCCAGCAAGAAGCCGAGGAAGAAGATCACGGCTCACATTATCCCAGAACGGATTGACGCCCAGTGCTAACTCAGGAGCTCGTAGATCCTGCCGAAAGCGCCACATTGAACATGGAGGAAGAGTCAGAAAAAGAATGGGAAGCTCGCGATCGAAGGGGGAAATAAAGGAGAGGAAGGAGGAAAAAGAGGCCGCAAACATCAGGAAGTACTCCTGCCACACAACTCCTAACAACTTCCTATCGACCCCGACGTTTCACGGTGAGTAAGAGAAAGCATACTTAGTCCGGCGTCATCTGCAGCAGTGAAGAGGAACGATTCTCTTCCTCGATCTTTGAGTCTGGATTCCGAGACTACTTACCCTCACGAGCAGAAGTTTTTCCAGTCTCCCGTTCATGGCATACGTACGACGTTCATTGTCGACATCGACATCCAGCATTCGACAATCCGATTCAAACATTCATGGCAGTCCATACAGATATGAATCGATGAAGCGTGGATATAACCCAGCCCAGCCCCAATGGAGAGCCTCGGGGAACACATCCATGAACAAAATAATCGAGGCGCACTGAATCGGCCGGAAATGAATGGATGCATGAATGGATGCACCCTCACCATACGTATAGCCTGCCACTTCGTACCACTACTAGTATCATGGAGCGGCCATCGAGAAGGACTACTTATTCCATGAGGGGGAGCTCGAGATCAGGAGTCGCATGGCTTTGCGGCTTGTCTTGAAGACGTTGTAACATGCTCGGAGCGGCGAGATGAGCTTGAAAGAGGAAGTGCCACACTGGCCTCTCCTCACGACCCCAGGCCAACGGACAGAAAGACACAGAGGATGAACGACAATGTTCAACGGATTGCTTCCTTTCCTTTTCATTCCATTCCCTCCAATTCACAGATGCAGGTGCGGTGCGGTGCGGTATGTGTATATATGTATATGTATGCTATGGACGAAGTAAGCGAAGAGAAAAAATGGAGATAATACAGGGCTCAACGAGGAAAGACCAAAACCCGAGTCTGGAAGGTGATAAAAAAACTGGTTAAAAAACAATACTGCTTGTCAGGTCAAGTCAAAGGTGCTCATGCAGAAGTCGAAAGGGAAAGGGGATGGGATGATGGGTGATGAAGGATGGATGATAGGTGCATGCGAACTACAGGTGCGAAGCGGGAGACGAAAGTACGTGACGGGCGAAGGGAGTATCAGCATCAGTACACCGGAGGCAGAGAAGGAGCAGAAGGTCCAGGTCCAGGGGACTGCGTACGACTCGTAGGAACAGAAGACACCGTCCGACGTAAACTCCCAGCGCCTTCACCTTCCTCTCTTGCCAAGCCTGCATCCAAGCCCGCGTTTACTTCCACATCCACGCCAGCACCAACCCCGACACCCATTCCATCGGTATCCGCCTGGGCGTACCACAATGGAGGTGCAGAAGGCTCGAGTTCCCCGTCTTCAAACGACTCCTCTTCGTCCACCGGCGGAGCCGAAGGGACCACGACGAGAGTCGTCCCAGCTTGGCTTTGCGCCTCCTCGAACGGCGGAGCAGAAGGGCCTATTTCCGGTTCGACGCCAACTACGTCTGCTGCCTGCTCGAGCGAGAAAGCGTACTGCTCGTAGCGTGAGGCGGCCATCTTCCCCATAGACGGTGGAGGCGGTAAATCAGGATGCAAAGATGGATAGGGAGGTATGGGATCGGAACTCGGTGCGGAGGAGAGAGCGAGCACATCAGCAGGGATTTCGTCGTCATCTTCAAGCTCGGGCGCGCGAGGAGAGTGAGGTAGAGAGGCGCGAGTGTCTGGGTCAGGAGGAGCGCTGGCCATGGCGGCTCTGCGGGCCAACGTGGCTTTATCATCCGTGGCAATATGGCCTGGAGAGCTGTGTACGGCCTCATTATGCCCTGAATCGTCGACAGGCGGGGGTGCCGACGGTAATTTGGACGAGCTTGCGGTCACATTGGATCCTTCAGCGTGATAGGAGGGGATGACATCCGTGGGAGGAGGAATGTCGATTGCGCTATGTGGATGATTGCGCGAGGGGTGGTATGCCGGAGGACGGAGTGGGGAATCCGGATTTGGGGGAATAGGAGGGGTATCTTCCGCATGAGGTATGACAGGTGAAACTTCGATGGACGAACGAGGACGTGGCAGTGGCACGGGTGGTGGGGGTGGTGAATTAGGTGGATTGTCGTGAGAGTGCCGAGAAGAGACGGAAGAGGGGGAACGTAGCACAGAGACCGAGTCGTCGTTCCTGGATGGAGAATGATGGAGGGAGGGATTACTCTGGTTGTCTTGTACGAGGGTAGCGGAGAGACTGCGGTTCGTGCGCCGTCGTCGGGCTGATTGCCTGACGTTGGCCTTCCAACGACTCGCAGCCTTTGCCCACTTGCGCTGCGCAGATTTTGCCTGCTGAATACTGCTATTTTCGGAACCGTCCTCGGACCTATCGTCCCGCTGCCCGCGCACCTTGCGCTGCAGCACTTTCTCTACGTCCTTCTCACCCTTTCGCCGTTTCCGTCTCCAAACGACGCATGCGAGTATGAGGGCTACGATAGAGCCGGCAAGAACGAGAGATAAAGGGAGAATGACAGCCGTGAGGTCGTGAGATGATCCGCCGCTGCTCGCCCAGCCGGTAGGGAGGGTGCTGAGATCAAACTCGTCTGCAGAGATAGCGGAAACAGAGGCAGAGGACGAGGGTGATGAGATGGCGGTAGCTGTGGAGCTGGCGACGATGGTAGAAGCGGTCGGATTTGCCGAGTTTTCGTCGTCAACGGCTGTAGGGGTAGCCTCTGCGGAACAAGAAGAGCCCTTTGTAGTAGCGAGAGATGAAGCGAGATGAGAGGAGTGGATGTCGGAGGGAGCAGAGAGAGTAGACTGACTGGGCATATTGTGGAACCGTACAAGGACCACTCGGCGGCCTTGCGCCAGAGGCCATCCTCGCCTTGGACGTACTTGTCAGGCACGGAGGCTCGGCGCTGCAATCTCTTGGAAGGTGATCGGGAGGACTCTGTCTTGGACGAACGTTCGCGCTGGCCGTCGTGGGGCAGAAAAGGGTAGAGAAATGGGAGGGAAGTGTCGTGCTCTGGGTCGAGGGGCCTAGCATGCGCTGCCGACGACGAGGCAATGGTGGCAAAGACCGAGGACAAGAGGGAGGAGGACGACGCGGACGATGACGAGGGCCTCTTTGTGGCACGGCGAAAGCTTGGCTTGCGTATTGTGGCAGGCGGGGAGGAAGGCTGTTTGGCTTGGGAAGGAAAGCGCATGATGCTCCCGGATTGCCAAGAGGCCCAAGAGGGTGCCGCGTCAACGGTACGAGGATCCGATTAGCAAACACTGAGCAGAGCCGCGCCGGGGCCGGGGGCGCATAAGCTGGGCGTCGTTCGAGAGCGGCGAGAGTGGTTCGGGCGACGGGGGCGGTGGCGAGGACGATGGCGAGTGGGATGGGAGCGACAGCGAGCGAGGGAAGAGACGGGGGATCCAGCAGCGCGGGCCAGCGCCGTTTTCGGTCGCCCAATCGGTCGTTTTATCCCGCTTACCCAACCGGCTGCTAAGTATAGCACAGCCTATATTTACTCTCAAACGCTAACAATAGTACATCGACTCAACGCCCTCAACGCCGATACAGACACTCGAAGCCCTCGAAGAACACCTTGTAGCTCCCCAGGCTCACCCGCACTGCAAGTCCGTCCTCGACGACCACCCCGGCATCCTCCGCGCCCCCCTCGCCCTCCGTCTTCAGCAGCCTGCAAATAGACCCAGTCAGCTCACACACAGCGACACTCCGATCCCGGCTACACACCTCTTCATGAACACTGGCCTCGATCCTCGCCCCTTTCTACCCTCGCTTCCTCGCCCCACCCACTCCGTGGCGTGCTCCAGCACATAGCTCTCCACGTACTGCCGCCACCGGGTCACCCCCGACCTCGTCTCTTCCACGCTCCCCTCGTCCGGGCCCACCAACTGAATACGAACCTCCTTCGCCGTGGCATCCTAAACATACCATCCGCATCACACATACAACCGTTGACATCAGCTCGGGAAAAAAAATGACAGAGAGAACAGGACAAGAATAGCACGCACCCATTCCACTCGGTACAAATTATCGTCCGATCCGACATGTTTCGCTGCCTCTCGTCGGTAGCGCATGACGTCCTGGCGAGTCAGTTCCTTCTCCTGTCGCGTCTTGCGCAACAAATCCCATAGCTCCTGACATTTGTTGTCCGAAACGACCGTCTGCACCTACAAAAGCGGACACCGAGTCCAAAACCGCGGAGAATTGAGGTAAGCCAAAGATAGAACAAGGGGATCAGCCGCCCATCATTGCTATATGCGGCGCGCCATCTGCCTACCTGCTTGATCAACGCAGCGATAACTTTGTCCAGCGTGTACAGGTGGTAAGCCTATGTGACACACAGAACGCACCCAGAATAGAAACAAAGGCAAGCACGTCAGCCACTGAATGATAAAGTCGCATCCCAAAGAAAGATCCGCAGCGAGGTCTTCCCAAAAAAAGTGAAACTCAAAGCGCACCCTCGTCCCGAAGAACCACCTCATTTGCTCCTCGAACGTGGTAAGGTCCATCTCGTTGTCGAATAGCTTCTCGCACGCTTCGAGGAGGTAAATGTAGACGAAATTAGAGTCGCCTAAGTCCCGTCCTCCCAGCGTCGTTAACATTTGCTCCAAGATTACCGACGGCCCTTGAGGATCCTCTAGGCCCAGCCTGAGCGCGACCGGGTTGGCCAGCAGGTATCGGTAATCTGACTTTGCGAATCCGGCGCCGATCTTCTTGCACATCTCCAGGCGCGAGTACACCAGCTGCGCCAAACAATCGACCAACAGATGTGAGTATCTGTCCACTCTAGGAAGGTCGATCAACGATTAGCAAATAGACGCACCTGCAATAACCTCAACAAGGTATAGAGCGTCGTATTGGCGAAGAACGGCCTTCGATCCACATGAGAGTCCCATACCACGCTGTCCCCATCCGGCAAACTCTCACGTATCCACACATCCTTCGCCCTCGGTGGCGCAGGTCTCTGCTGCTGTATCGAGTCTGCGGCGTCGTGAGAGGTGCTGGTCGTAGCGGCTGCAGGGAGCGCAGCAGCATCAACAGCGATGGGAGACCCAGACCTCGAACCAACCGCAGACGGCGTGTCTCTCTGGCCCCCTTGACTTCTCCCGGCAGTCTTCAGCAATTTCTTGCGCAGGTGTCCAGGATTAACCCCACCAGCACCGCTCCCGTTCACCTGTGGCGCGCTACCGGCTTGTTTCCCTCCCCGCTGCGCATCCTCGGAGAACCCTTCCGTGTCGTTCATGGTCTGCTCGTCGCTTGAGTCGTCGTCGTCCATGCCGACGTCCGTGGACCCACATGCCGCGCTAAACTCCGGAATGGGGACCATGAAGAGCGTAGGCACAAACGAGCGCAGGAACCTCTCGACGCTCCTCCTCTCCTGCAAACTATACACCTGCGGGTTGTGATCCAAATAGGAATAAACCATCTTGAGCGAATCGTGCAGGACCTCTGTGTCCTCGAAGCCATACGTGAGCTGCGGACCAGGCGGCCATATCGCACAGGCCGGCATCGTCTTCCTCTCCTTGAAAGACTCGCCCGACTCGAGCGCCTCTTTCCTCAGCGTCTCGATCTCCGTCACGAACGACTTTGCGGTGATGTTCTTCTTGTCGTTCGCCTTGAAGTTGATCCCGATGTGGTCGAGCGACTTGTAGAAGTTCTTCACCTCCATCTGCCGCCAGAATATGCCCCACTCCCTCTGTGCCCGCTTCCAGTCCTCGTTCTTCTGCTTCAGACGTGCGAGCACGACCGGGACGGCAGCGATCGGGTTGTCCAACAGAGCCTGGTACATCACCGCACCCTGGTCTTTGTTGTACACCTTCTTGAGAGTCCGCTGATAGATTGCCTTGCTCTGACCGCCGAGATCGGGAGGAAGTTTGAACGTCGCCCGTTCCTCCGCCGATAGTTCCTCGATCCGGGCATTCAACGGCTCGAGAATCGCGATGGTACGGGCCATGCCCTCGAGGTGAATCTGGTACTCGTGTCGTTCGTCCTCAGTTTTATGGATGAGGTCCTCGAAGATGTTCTTCTTGTGAGCTACAAAGCCCGCCTCTTCGGACGCCCACGTAGGATGTGACACCCATTCGTCATTGAGCACAGAACGACCGAGCTGGCTGCGTCCAGACGTTGCAAGTCTCGCCTCCTGCAACCCGTATCGTCTCCATCAGCCAACATCAACAATACCAACCATAAGACAAGAACTCACGCTCTCGGGCAACCTCCGATAACTAGGTCCTTGCCCCTTATCAGCCATAAACGGAATCGGCTCCGGCGGACCAGTCCTCACACTTCCTGGTGGCCCAAGATCGACCCTACCGACGCCACTCCTCCTTTCGTCCCACTTACAGATCTGCTTGAACTGGCCCAAGAGATCACCCGCGAGATGGCCAATAAACGTATCCGCCTGTGTCATCAACGTCTTCATGTCGATGATGTCCGCATTGTACAGACCCAACAGCTTCACAAAGTCCTCATGCTCGGCCGCCGGGAGAGCTTGTTTGAGGTGGCCGAAGAAGGCGACTTCCTTGCTGAACGGGTCTTCTCCTTGTTGGGAAGGCACTGACATCGTGTTGGCCATCTGGGCGTGCGAGAGCCCCGGTGTCGAGAGCTGAGGAGGACCTGGGTATGAAGGCGGGTATGGTGCCAGGTTGGGATGAACGACGGAACCTGGGCCAAGCGGCGGGAGTGGCGGTGGCGTGGGCGCGTTGCGGTATGCAGCGAACTCAGGCGACGGAGGACGTCCTTTCGCGGGCTGTTTGCTCACTCGAGGCTTCTTTCGACTATCCTGCTGTAGAAAGGGTCCCTCTGTAGTCAGCTTGAACGATTCAACGTTTCGATTAGTGAGAATACTCACGCGCCCAGGTTCCGCCTTGCTTTGCGGCGTGTCCTTTTGCGCGGGTTCTCGCTTTCGTCTTCTGGATGGTGGTACCGTGCCTTTGGGTGCGGTCGAGGAGGAGGCAATGGGTTCTGCGGGCCATCCACTATTCGATCCAGAGGCGATGGCAGGCATTATCCCAGCGAGGTGATTGGCGTCCATACCGGTCGCTCCCATAAGCTCGGGCAAAAACTTCTTGAATTCGCCTAACAGATCGGGGGCGTCCTTGAACAGGAGTTGAACTTGAGCGTACACCTGTAAACAAACTCGATCCTTTGAGACCGCACTGCCCAAAGAAGAAAACAAAAGGTACGCACATCGGTCATCATTTGCTTCTCCCTCTGCTGATACGTCGTAGGATCCTTGAACAGATTTGTCTGCTCCTTCCGATATATCTGCAGTATCTCCAGGAATTGTTTGTACGTGTTCGCGTTGGGACCATCGGGGTACCTAGTCTTGATCCTATTCAAGAACTGAATGGCATGGTCAAACTCGCTAGTGGGCGGTGCTCTTGTGATCTCTACCTGTGACTTCGTGCTCACATTACCGGGCATAGATGCGCCTTGCATGTTTGGAGAATAGGGCTGCGGAGGTTGTGGCCCATCGTAATAGCCCTGTTGCATGTGTTGTTGAGGTAGAGGAGGACGCCCGGACATGGCGTGCGGTGTTCCCGTACGCGAAGCAGGAGCAGACATGGGCGGAAGCATAGCGGGGTAGGCCACAATAGGGGTGGGTGCCAATGGAGGAACGGTCAAGAGGGCAGCTTTCGACATGGAATTGGTCGAAGATGTGATCATTCCGTTTGGCGTGGTGACGGTGATGTGGTTGACGTCCTGACGGTCGGTGGTACAGTTGATATGGTAGCCCGGAGGAAGAAAAGTATTGAATCCTTGTATGAGGTAGGGGTTCCCGTGGAAAAGCATAGACACTCGTTCAATAACACCAGGGGTATCGATCCTGGTGGCGCAAACGATGTGAGTGGCACTCGGCGGAGGAGGGCATGTATAAGGAGTGGTGAAAGGAAGGAAGAGGGCGTTGAAGTCGGTGGCGTCTGAGCCGCATTGGCAGAGGTGTTCCCAATTTAGTGCCCGACGGGCGCTAAACGGTACCCCGCACAATAGACTTCAACGAAGGGCTGATCACACCCCCGAGCGACGAACACTTTCTTCATCTTATGATATCCCAGCCTCGACAACGTTACAATACTCTCGTGACCAACAGCTCGCTTCGAGGCAGTGTGACAAGCTGGCCATCCCAGGGCCACCACCGTACGATGACGCAGAAAGCAAAAGAGAGACTGGAAAAGAGGACATACACTTGGCCCTTAAAGTCCTTCATTATATCCAAGAACTGATTATACACGTCTGGCCTGTCCTGAAACTGGATCTTGACCGCGTCCAAGTAGCTGAGCGCATCGGTGACATTGAGGGGTCTGGTCATGTCGGGTGGCATGGGTGTTCCTGGGCCAGATGTAGGTGGGGGAGGAGGCGGGAGATCAGACATCGAGAGAGAGGCATGAGAAAGAGAAGCGTGAGCGCTGTTGACGATAGAAGGTGGCCTTGAGTGGGGCATGGGGGGTTGCGCTGGGTGGTAGGGCGGATGGTGCTCGAGCATGGGCGGTCCAAGCGATGATGTCGGTGGCGAGTGACTACGCTGTGCGCGTCGCGGTGGAGATGACGGCGCTGAGAGGATGGATGAGAGCGACGGCATATCGTCGAGACCGCGTCGGTCGATGTGGTCAGTGTCCAAGTTCAAGCAACGAAGTTCGAGCAATGGTCCTCGCCATCCAGTTCTACAATCTTATCTTATCTTATCTGTACGCTTTTGATCCAACGTCATCTCGTCTCCGCCGATCTTTCGTTTCTTGTTAATGCTCAAAGCGTTCGCCAATTGCAAAGACCCAAGTCTTGCTCCAGTGCTCTCATCACATAAATAAGGTACGTATACAGACAGTTGCTAGTACGCCAGAAGGTCTCGGTGACTCCCACCCATAAACCCTCGGAAACTAAATAGATCGTCTCGTGCCACTTTCACTGAACATTTTCCTACTCGGGCCTGGGGCCACGGTCGCCTGACTGTCGATGGGGTCGGGGCCATGCTGAAGAAGGAGACGAACCGCCTCATCCTTGCCTAAGATGGATGCTATTTGGAGCGGACTGTGAGGGACGTATGTCGCTTGGACATTGATTGGTGCGCCTTTGTCAAGGAGCAGTTGGATGAGCGGTTGGTCGTCGCCTCTAACGGCGATGTGATGGCACTACCATTGATACCACCTAGGGCTTTGATATCGGCACCGCAGTCAAGTAGCACAGCGACTGTGTCTCTGTGGCCGCCAGCCACTGCAGCCTGGAGAGGAGTTCCGAAGATCCTTCCACCGATGTTGACGTCCTCTCCGTCCTCTAGCGTGGCTCTAACGAGCTCAACGTCACCTTCCAACGGGTTGAGATCGTGTTTTCCTGGAACATTGGCGCTGCCCAGGATACCTTCAGATACCTTCTGCATGATGGCGTGTACTTCGTCGTCAGGTAGGAAGCCACCAGTCATCGTCGTGAGCTGCGGCAATCCCATATCCAGTCCACTGATCGAAGAAAATGAAATACGTTAGATATAGAGTTCGATTATAGAGGAAGAAGAAGATACACGACGAATGAGTTCTCCATGAACATCGCCTCCGTAGGACCAATGAGCTGGAATCATTCGAAGTAAGCTCGAAAGGAACATCATAAGCGACAGTAAGAGTTCGCACCATGACTTGTAAGGCCTCAGGCGAAGCTACCGACACCGAGTGGCTCAGATATCGTTCGTCCACGCAATTCCATCGGCTGAGAGCAATGAACAAGTCGCACTCAGTAGCCACTTGAAGTGCTGGGAAGGATCACGAACGAATTTAGGGAGAAGGAGGTTCAGCGGTATATCATGGTCCTCCACCGGTGATTCCAGCTTCTACAAAACACCTCAAACAAATCAGTCGTGGCCAAAACAAGATGATAGAACTTTAGCAACCTCATCCCGTGGTATGTAACCCGGAGAATCCTTGTACCCGTTATTCACGAACCGTTTCGCCTTCCACCCCTGACACAGTTTGATCCGCATCCGGAGCAAGTCCCTCCACGGCTGTACTAGACCTAACCATGATGGAGGCTTGGTGCTCAGAACGTGTGAACCTCGACACCGATGTATCTGCGGTCAAAAGAACCGCAGTGTACTTCAGGCTCAAATCATCGGAGGAGTCGACGCTCACAGCGAACGTCCAAGATGATGTCTTGCAATAGTGGGTGACGAGCGTGATCTGCTGGAATTTGACACCGCATCCGAGTTTCTTGTTGGCAAAAGTCTCCCAGGATGGGCTGTGTTTTTGCACTTATTTCTTGATCATGTCGTTGCGGTAGTCTTTGAGCATCTCTTTGACCAAAGGGGCCTTCAGTACCAGGACAGCACCCTCAAGCTTGGAGGACGTGTGTTTGAGCTCGAAAGAAGTGTCCGCAGGTAAAGTAGCCCTGTGAGCAGTCAAGATCAAAAATCAGTTATCGCAGGTAGAAGCAATCGTATTCACTCACCCGGACACAGAACCGCCGGGTTTGACTTGTGTGATCGTCGTGCTATGAAGTGGCCCCGGGTCAAGGGCCTTCTCCGCAGCTAAAGTCTCCAGGTCCTTTGGTTGTTCAAAGCCATCTGAGACCCCCAGTCGTTCATGAGAGGGATCATCAGCGAGAAGAGAGGCATTGAAGAGACGATAGAATTTTCCATCGGCGATATAACCAACTTGGTCGGCAAGTTTGATAGGCCCCCATTCAGGAGACAAGACTTACCGGAGCTTCGCCCCGATTGTTTGCAAATGTACAGAGAGAGTATGTAGAGAGAGAGAGAGTATGTATTTATTGTACTAACTAAACTAAATCAATATTTCAAGGAAGGTAACATTCAATAGGTTGCTCTCCCCGGGCAGTAAACGTACGAGTCCGTCCTCCCGCCTGCGAATACGAGATAACGCAGTGTAAAGCTGGCCGTGAGAGAAAACAGGGATTGTGCCGTCGACACCAACCTTATCTAATGTCAATCCCTGGCAGCTATTGAACGTGGTACAGTAAGCAAGTCCCAGAGGGTATTGTCTGCGAAGTAAGGTGTGGCCTGAGGACAATGTCTGAGTGAAGGGTATCCGAGGAAGTAAAATAGAAGGGCCAACAGCGACAATGGCACCATGAGTGTTCGGGCGCAGCAAACGTACAGAGACCAAACGGTAACCTACATCATCGACCACTACTCGGGCATTCTTAACTAACCCGCGTGTGATCGACATGTTTCGTAGGATTCTACAAACACATCCACGCTTCAGACGGAGGGTATGTGCTGGAATTCCGTGGATAGTATGAGATGCCACCCAATGCAGTATAGCATCGGGTACAACTTCCGCGTCGTCGAGACCAGCATCGTCGGCTTCTTTCAAAGAATCGGATGCGAAGTATGACTGGGCAGTCCCAGGAAGGCGGCGAAGAATGGTATCGTTGTACGAATCGACCTGGGCATTTGTAGGCGCAAGGATCGACCGAGACACGCACTTTTCGGGATGACGAAGAATATCACCCGGAAAGGTGAACGCGATGAGGTCCTCGGGCTCCGTACAGCTTTCGAGCATGCGGAGTGGAACTTGTGGCCCAGCGCCATCACCGATGGCGTCCACATAGGCTGCGAAATCCGGATCCTCCGCATTGCGAATGGGGATGGTGAGATGTCGGATTTGAAAGATATTCCAAAGCGGCGAGGACTTTATTGATGCGTCGATGACTTGTGCTCGGGAGCCTCCACGAATGACCGGGCACGTTTGACGGAAGTCGCCTAGTAGTATGACGATCTTGCCACCAAAGGGTAGGTCGTTCCCCATAACCAAGCGACAGACCTCATCTACGCAGGAGAAAACCGCGCGATTTCCCATGGGAGTTTCGTCGATGAGGATGACTGCTGCTTCTCGAATCAACTCGGCCCTGGTGTCATTGGCATTAATCGGACTCTTCAAGAACTCGTTATTAGAGTTGACGGGGACCTGGATGTAAGCGTCAATCAGCATGAATTCGACAGAAGTCGGCAGCACAGCTATTACCTTAAATGTAGAATGTGTTGTTCGGCCCCCGCGATAGAGTTGGGCAGCGAAGGCGGCAATGGCAGTCGGAAGAATGATGAGACCATGAGAACGGAGATGGTCGGCGAGGGTATTCATGAGAAAAGTCTTTCCACGACCGGCTTTCCCGTCAACGAAGAGATAGAGTGGCTGCTGATATTGGACGGCGGTCACAATCTCGTCAAAAATGGCGGCCTGTTCGTGAGTGAGATTCTGGAAAGCATCACTCGCACGTTGAGCGAGTTGTCGTGGATCTGCGCCCCATTGGAGAAGTTCATGTTCGACCTCTCGACCACGAGTCTGGACGTCTGGTAATCCGAAGTCGACGAGTGTCTTGCCGTGCTCAGCGAGGAATCCAGACATCTCTCGAAGCGCACCATGTTGACCTGCAATTGGATTATTGCCTGTGCGGAGGGTATAGTCGAGGCAAAGTCGGTCTCTGAAGCGATTCCAGAAGGCGACAGGTGAGGAAATACAATCATTGATGAGAAGATCAACGAGTAATATTCTGATCTGGCGAGGCGTGTAGAGGGCTTGTATCGCCTCCGTCATCGCATACTCGGCCTCATGTTCATCGTCGAAGAGCCCTGATGCCACGGCAGCTTCCTGGAAGGTGGCGTGCAGTTGCCCACCGACGATTCGTAGTTCATCGAAAGAGCGTGAGGGGCGGTGTTGCAAAAGACGACGTAGATAGAACCTTTCGCCTTCAGCAACGCGAGCCGAGTGGAGGCGACATACGTGATAATTTTGCTCTAGTCGCAGAATGACATGCATAGGGGCCACTCCGTTGATGGGTGCGCTTTCTCGGAAGTAGTTCGGCCGGTGATCTCGAGCAGCGTTGAACTTTTCTGTTCGAAACAATGCCCAGTATTCACCGTACAGAAGGTCGTCAAAGTTGCGCTGAACACCGCGGTGTTCAAAGACACCATGGGGGCGTACAAAATAATGATCGAGAACGGAAGACGAGGCGCCCGGTACTCCTCGACGAGTTGCATATTGACGGTGTGTACGGTCTTCTGGTACATGAACGGGGAGAGCGGTGACTCCAGGTTTCTTCTTGGTGACATGATAGCCTAATATACGCCACGTCGCCTCGCCGGAAGAGAGATACCGTGCACGAAGGTAGTCTTCTATCTCGTCAACGGGTTCGGATTCCTCGCCAGGGAGCCGAAATCTGAACCGCGTACGATCAGGACCTGTAATTCGAGCACAAAATAAGTCAATATATCAGGCCGGCACATGGGTTTAGCTAAACATACCTTTGTGGATGTACTTAAATAGATACTGAAACAGGTGTGAAGAGCTTGCGACCTCGAAGTTGATGTGGCACCGGAATTTTTGCAGCAGGATCAAACAGTACGGCACGACATACTGATCCTGAACTGAACGGCGACGATATTGAACACGGCCTTCGTCATCAATGGTGGTTATCGGGTTGATAGGCTTGGGGTAGCGGAACCTGCAACGCTTCTCCTTCGTGATAGGGTCCTCGCGGGCACAGTAGCTACTTTGCGCCTGGAGATCGTGACCGTGGATCATAAACTCGGTGACGAGGAGTCGATCGACTGGATCGCTTGGTAGCTCAGCGGACACGATAGAGTCGATGGATTGGGGGTCGAGGCAAGGGGACCGAAACCTAACTAGGATGTGTGCATGGGGAAGCCCGCGCTTCTGGAACTCGACGGAGAGAATGATATAGACGAGGCCTCCGGCGTTGGGGAACATCTCTTCGAGGACCGACATCAGCCGCGATAATTTCCGTCTGAAGACCCTGCAGATGAGAACGGGACGGTCTGCGTATGTTTGGCCTGGAAGCAGCTGAGACTGGATCTCTGGCCAGTTCGCGTTGCACGTCATCGTCACAAAGAATGTAGGGCCACCGAGATTCGCCGCAATGGCAAGGGAATCTGCGATCTGGTCGGCAGCCCAACGATCCGATCCTAAGAAAGAAGAAGGAAGGTAGACGTTCTCCGAAGGGATCACGTCCTCGTTCGCACCCATAAGTGCAGAATCTTCTTGACGCAACCGAAGCTGATTCATTCGAACGTAGTTCAAGCGTGCATCCAAGTTGCGACTGAACATGTCAACAACATACTCGTTCGTGAGCCGACCGAAGACATTGAAGCGCTGTTCACGCAAAAGCAGCGCTCGATAATGCCAGATTTGAGTCGTGGGTGAGTCAGCATCACCGCCGGCGGCGCCATGTTGGGCGTTGTAGCCCTCGGTGAGCTGGTCAGGAGTTCCGTGCCTACCCCAACCTGGCGTACCGTGAGGAAACAGGAGAGGATACGAGAGCGGCTCCCACAGCCTGCTGTACATGTGGATCCGCTGCTCGCGACCGTTGACACGCTGTATCACGAGCTGCCTTCCACGAACATCAAGTTGAGTAGTGTTTTCGTAAGACATGATCGCTGCGACTTCATTGCCAGGTCCTGGATCGGAGAGAACGAGTTCGGCGGAAGGGTATAATGCAGGGGGAAGCTGAGAAAGAGCACGGATAGCGTGCACGAACGGATTGATACGCTGTAACGCTGATCGTAGGAGGGCGATGAGAGCGTGAGGGACATCCTGGGCGCTATTCGGATGAGGGAGGTTGGTGACGGATGTGTTCTCCATCAAAGCATCGTAGAGGAGCCATCGAACGGCTGAGTTTGTATGAGTGGGACGGACGCGGTGATATATCTTGCCTTGGACTGCGAACATGCCACCGTGTGTATTTGGGAATTTGTGGGAGGTCTCCATTGACGCAAAAGAGAACACGAGATTCAGCTTTCGTGACAGCTTTGAGATATGTGGATGCTGCATGAGGGTGGTGTATTCCGCAGGCAAGGGCGGCAAGTTAGATACATCTGCAAGTCGAGCACCGCGATCGCCACAGCAGAACCCAGCCTTTTCACCTGTCAAGAGGAGGATTCCACAGTGTCGACAGGCGTTATAAGAGGTCGTCGTCTTGATCTTGAGGTTATCGCACCGGTAAGAACGGTACCCGCCTAGCCCTTGTTGGGTGCGGATAGATTCCAGAGTAGTACGAAGGTTACAAGATTAGATACCCTACATGTACTACTCGCGAGCGCATATATACGAAGTAGTTGTTTGTGCGGAACAAACAACGTAAAGAATAACAAATACGAATGTGAAAGAACGAACGATGCAAGTCGGCGAGTGTGGCGTAAGTAGGTTCGTGTGGCGTACGAACTTACTTCGCATAACTCCGCCGCCTTACACTCTCCCTCACTGAGCCGAACTCGGCTCATGCAATCAACGTATGTCCATCATAGGAGGAGGAGGAGGAGGAGTCGAGGCAGGAGGAGGTGGCTGAGAGTACGAGCTCTGAATCCCATGAGGTGAGTAGTAATTACTCTGCGGAGCAACTTGACCGTTCGCATAGTTTGCGATGCTCGGTAAGGAGTTCTGCCCCGCTTGATAGTACGCGTTGTTCGTTTGAACACCAAACTGGTTGGCCTGATAGTTATAGCCGTTGTTGTTCAACGGTTGAATAGGTCCAGAGTAAGTCTGACCGAATGGCAGACTCGAATTGTTCCGATACTCGTTTGAGGATAACGAGGACTGAGCGATGCCTAGCGATCGGTGGGACGGGGTAGAAATGGG